CTTCAACATTCCCCGGAGACCTCCCTTGTAAAGTGGGTCTCCCTTTCCCAGTCTCACAATCTATGCACTGACCCACATATTTCTGAACACTCCGGAACAGACCCCTCCAATGGCAATATCGTCGGATCCGATGATAAGTACGTCCGATCCCCTGATGGCCGCCTTCCAAACTCGTATGATAATGATGGAGGACGTCGGCTTGGAGACTCTCAGGTATCACCAATCTGGCAGTTATGTCTCGGTCGTCTCCCTTGATTCTCTGGCCGGGGCAGTACACCAGCAGTCCCTCTTCACTTATCTCGTAATCCTCCGACATTTTGCTGCAGTTTCTGGCCGCTTCCACCGACAAGTCTTTCCAGTCTCCTTGCAAATATGCCTTCAACTCGCGTACCCAGCTCTCCTCTTCTTGCGCATCTCGGATCCTATCCATCCGGAGTTGTTGTACCACATCTTCTTGCATAACCTCTCCCGATATTTTGACGGGGAGCCGTGATCTCGTCACCGCAGATACCTTGACCGACTGACCTCGGTCTCTAGGGACCAGCACCTCTGGCAGCCGATTGATTGTTTCTAGACCTGACCACTCTCCTCTTGGTATCGACTCGACCCCTTGCTGCTGATGTAAAGCTGTACTGGCCAACTGGTCTGCGCTCTGATTCCAGTCTCGTTTCACATGTAGGACTGCCTGGTTGGGCCACGACTGGAGTTTACTCAGCGCCTTGGCCCGCAACGGGGATAAACCTGAAGCTTTGCATTCAATCTCTCCACGCATCTGTCTTATAACCAGATTGGAGTCTCCACAAATAATCAAACGCCGTCGCTCCATTGGCTCCAACAGGTCAAAACCCAGTAACATGCCCTCATATTCAGCTTCATTCACCGTAGACTTGTCGAGATATTTCGATGCAGCTGCAACTATAGTCCACGCAGGGAGTCTCCACACAATAGCGCTGCAAGCACCTCCCCCTTGTTTCACCCGGGCCGACCCATCGAAACTCATCACATACAGTTCTTCATTTAGTTCCACTGTGGGCGTCGGTAGGTCGACCACTTGCCTGGATTGCTTCTTGGGAGCAATTGACGACAGAATTGAGTCCACATTCTCTCGAGGCGTGATGCTGGCAGCTAACGCCCCCAGTACCTGGTCCTCGCCTTTCTTGCATTTCACAATCTCCAAAGTCCACTGTGACAACAGAGCGGCCCAGTTTCCTAAGCGACCTTGCAACCCCGAAGACTTCACTAGCCAGGCTAGTGTAGAATGCCTCGTCAGAACCTTGAGAGGTCGGGTGACCAACATCGTGAAGCAAGTTTCCAATATCCGTAACAACGCCAGCACTTCCTTTTCCACTGTGCTATAGTTCACCTCGTTTGACTTGAGGGTTCGGCTCGTAAACATTACCGGCATATACAGGCCGTCGTAATTTTGCACCAACGACGCCGAAATAGCCCAATCACTTGCGTAGACAATGATGACCGCCTCTCTAGCCGGGTCGAAATGTCGTAGGATGGGCGCCGTAGCAATCTTGTTCTTGAGCATGGCAAACGCTACTTGTACCTTCGACCATTTTTCTTCGTCGTCTTCCTGGGCCGCCACTTCCTCGTTAGCCTTCAATTTGCACCTCCAAGCGTGAAAATCCACCTCTCTCAGTTCGTAAAGGATCGACGCGTATATGGCATAATCTTCGATGTACCTGCTGTAGTAATTTAGGCTTCCTAGAAAGGACTGCATAGCCTTCAGTGTTGTCGGTAGAGGTAGGTCGACCAAAGACTGAAGATCTTTTGGGTGGGCCTCTAGTCCCCCTTTGGAAACTCGATGTCCAAGATACTCGACCTTCCGACATCCCCACGTACTCTTGACGGCACTGACCGACAAATTCCAATAGTCACACACGTCTAGCAGCCGCTCCACTTTCTGGCATAATACGTCCCACGATTCGGCCGGAACAAGTATATCGTCAATGTATGATCGTCGACCCAATACAGAGAGGCCCGATTTTGCATCGGGTTCCCCTGTTGCGAACAAATCCTCTGTTTCCTCTGTGGCCGCCCCTGGCGAAATCCGTAAGAATCCATATAACGCATTATCCAACAACCTTTGATATATCTGAGGCGCATTCTTAAGCCCAAAAGGCATCCGAAGCCATTCAAATAATCCCAGTGGAGTAACGAAAGCTGAGATTAATCTCGCCCTTTCGGTCATACTGACGACCCAAAAACCACTCGCCATATCAAGAGAACAGTACCATAAAGCTCCATCCAAGTCTTCCAGTAATTCGTTAATCAACGGCATCGGGTATACCATGAGCTGGGTAAGATCATTCACCAACCGATAGTCGATACACAATCGAATATCGACCCCATTCTTCTTCACGATAATTACAATTGGGCTGGCCCATGGCGAGGTGGAAGGCTGAATGATCTTTGCTGATAACAATCCCTTGATCAGGTCGGCTAGCTTCTCTCTGAATTGAGGGGCCACCTTTCGTACGCGTTGCGCGATCGGTCTTGCGTTCCCTACATCGATATCGCATATCGCTCCTCGGGCGGCCGGGGGTAAGGCGTTACCTTTACCCATCAGCAGATGTCGTTTCTTCCATATTATTTGTCGCAACCGGTCCACCTCTTCGGGAGTGTTCCCATCTGGATCTGGAATCTGTATATCTTCTAACGCAATGCCTTCGGATGAGGGGTCCACTTCCGGTACGACCGCCCACCCTGGCCTTATGTCCTCGGCCCAAAGTTCTCCACTCTCGAAAGAACACACCTGGTCATCTGCCTGTAACAAGTCTACCGGTTTGACTTCCTTCTCATTGGTGGTGGTCACTGTATGTAGGTCTTCTTCAAATACACTCCGCTTTTGGGCGGTCCCCTCCTGCCAATTCACCCTCTCTTCGCACGGTTGTTCTTCACTGTCGGGTACCGGTTGGTGCGTTATATTCATCATTGGGGTTGGGGCCTGCTGGTCGCTGTAAGATGTGTGACGGAGTCTTATACTCTGGTCTCTCCACTAGTGGCCCCTCTTCCTCTTCCGTTGGGTCGACCTGATGGTCGACTTGGTCGGTGGTAGATTCATAAGCCAGATTTAGCCATTCCGCATATCTTCGAGAGCCTACCGAGACAAACCCTGGCGTTCTCGGAACTTGCTCCCTAGTCAACCACATACCTACCTTGGTATCTTCATGCAATGTTAAGGGGCGAGGGCTGACATTGGTTATCTTCAAAATCGGTCGACGTCCTATCCCTTGTATCATGGTGGTCACCCATCGTTCGCCTCTCGTGACCCACAATTTCCACTGTTCTGAGGTCGACCTTTTGAGAGGCACTTCCGTACATCCTCCAACGGATATCTGTACATACCGACCCAATTTCACATCCGATACTCGAGTATTATACAGTGTCCTTCGCCCAGTCAACTGTACCCTGACCTCATCGGGGAGGCAAAGAGTTCCGTCGGCCAAGTCTAACCGGATACCGGCTGGGACCATGAAGTCCATCCCCAAAATTGCATCTTGGCCTACCATAGGGCCTACCCACACCTTAAAGATGTACACCAAGTTCCCATTCAGAGTGACCTTGATGCGAGTGCGTCCCTCCGTGGTGTATACGGCTTCCCCAATACCAATACATTCTTGTCGTTCACTTTCATCAATTTGGCAGCCTACCTTACGAGCAAAGGCGATATCCAGAATGGATATCTCGGCACCAGTATCGAACAACAAATTTGCATGGTCGTTGTTGACCTTTCCAGAGGCTTTCGCTTGCCTGAACCATTTAGTAGGGGCGTGGTATTTCCAGTACCCCCTAGACTCGCCTGGCAATAAGTCCAACTCCATTACTGAACTTTCTCGAGCAAAATTATTAGGCTCATTCAAAGAAGCAACATGGATACACAAGGAGCCAGCAGTCAACGGAACAGTTGCCATCAACATGACGCGTACAAAGATGCCGTGTTAGGCGGCCGTCGTATGTAGTCCGACTGAGTCTGCTCACGTCAGCCGCGAGAAAGCTAACGACAAATTGATGTGCCTTCATCGCCTCCAAGTGTCCCCATCAACCCGTCTACAAATCACTTGCGTCAAAACGGGCGAAAGCGGCGTAACAGCTGTACAGCGGAAGCAAGAACAGCGGCAAAATGGTCATACAGGGGCTCGAACCCTGGACCGCAGCGTTATTAGCACTGTGCTCTACCGACTGAACTATACGACCGGCAGACGGCAAACGCACCCAAGCCACACAAAAATACACTTCTCCCAACAGGAACTTAAATGCCACACGCACGTTCGCTCCATCTTACGCCTATACACCACCTTGTAATGCTCAACAGCCTGCAATTCGTCTTTACACCTACTTTCAACTCGGTCGCCACTCATCGCTATTCAAACACCGTGCCTCGATTCGGCCTGGTCACCGTCTACAGTGATCTATCATCTCCTTTGTGTACACAAGGAGCCAGCAGTCAACGGCACAGTATCCATCAACATGATGCGTACAAAGATGCCGTGTTAGGCGGCCATCGTATGTAGTCCGACTGAGTCTGCTCACGTCAGCCGCGAGAAAGCTAACGACAAATTGATGTGCTTTCATCGCCTCCAAGTGTCCCCATCAACCCGTCTACAAGTCACTTGCGTCAAAACGCGTGAAAGCGGTGTAACAGCTGTACAGCGGAAGCAAGTACAGCTATGAATGTAGCAAATCCCGAGATAATTTTTTTGGAAATAGTCTGGTGTGATGGAAATAGCAAAAAAATATGGTAGAAATAGCAATTACATTTGACCCACTCCCCCCTCCAAAGTTTGGGTGAGTCAATTTTGTAATGTGATAGGCTATTAAAGTAATTTTCTTATATTACTATTAAACAAATGTTATTTCTAATTAGGAAGGCATTTCTTTGTTAACTGCAGTTGAAGAATGTGTGCAAAACCGGAACAAAATCCACAGGAATCAAACATGGCTTCATAATCTCACTTTGCAAGCTTGACGCATTGCAGCGTCCAACTAGAATGATGCCACTAACGAGAAAGGACCAGCAACAGAAGGCAGACCATGCGTGGTGGTGGCGCAGCGTGAACGATCATCGAAATATCGCCACGCGGACGGTCACTGACAACGAGTCGGAACTACTGAGTGCTGCTGTGCTTTGCGCCGCGCTGGCCGCCACCAAAGCGTCTCCTTCAGCCTCTGATGCGCTAGCTAATGCACGCGCCGCTCGTGAGCTGGAGATGCACGTGCGCAAGTCGCCGCTTCCGCACACTATCCACTTACCGGTGATCGAGCTCACGACCGATTACGTGCTAGTGGAGTCAGAAGGCGCCGTCATCTGTGCCATGCGAGCTACGAGCTCCAGCGATATTATACATGCTGTGGTAGGATCAGCTGTACCGCTTTCACAGCCGTATGTGTACCATTTCGGTGGATCTCGCGTGCATGCGCCGTTCTGGAAGCGCGTGCAGAGCCTGGACCTCACGAAACTGTACGTACGAGCACAGCATGCACACAAAGTGTTACTACTCTGTGGACATTCGATCGGCGGCAGTATCGCAAAACTAGCGTTCTGTGAGTTGGCTTATTCTGCTTTGCCAAGCGGCATGCGAAAGATTCTCGAGAAGCTCGATGCAGATCAACTAAAAGACGGCGGTAAGGAGTGCAGTCACAAGGAGAAGCACTTCTACAAACATCAGAAACATAAGATTGATCTCACGGGATGGATGAAACAAGTTGGAGATAGTGATCGCGATGCCGCACTTCAAAATCGTCCTGTGGCGATGGCCGTTGCATTCGGTGCACCTTATGCTGGTAATGACACCTTGACTGCTTTCTCAAAGCTTTTGGGAATTAATGATCGAGTGGTGACTTTTGTAAATGAGTTTGACTGCATCCCTGGGATTTTGAATATTGCACATTCGGCTGCGATGCTTGCCAAAACGACTGAACGACTGGTCACGATTGCGAAAGCAACGAAAGCTTTGCTCGATCTACTACCAGCACCAATGCAGCAGCAAGTTGCCGACATGGCAAAAGGCGCTGGCACTGCTGCAGTACCCAGTGCTACGTCAGCGTATATATCAATGAGCATCACCATGCTTCAAAAGTCTTTCGACAAACTGCGCGAGTTTAATATCGTGAAGACAGTTGACCCTCGGTACGCTCCATGCGGGAGCTATATTTTCATGGCGAATCGAAGCACAGAATTCAACATCTTCTCGGAACCGATGGAGATCCGGAAGGCCCTAGGTGAAGATGGAAACGAAGCCACGACTGGTCTCACGGGAAACTCCATCTTGCAGCACAGGATGAGTGCCTATGTTGATGCTATCGCTCGGCGGTCTGGATTGGTTAAGATCAACGCAACAATGAACCATTACGAACGCCTAGGTGTGGCACGGAACGCCACTGAACGTGAGATTCGTGCATCATATCGATCGCTTGCACTGAGGTGGCACCCAGATCGAATTGCGCACGCATCGTTCTCTGATGAGCAAAAGGAGATGGCGGAGGATATATTTAAGCTGCTAGCAGAATCCTACGAGGTGCTATCAGACAAAGCAAACCGACAGGAATACGATGCGTATTTGAATCGGCCACTGAGCCGCAGAGAAGAGTTCATACATTACGGAACGGTCGACGGTATATCGCTTGACGAGGCGATTTCCACTTTTAAGGATGCGGTTGACAATGTTTCTACCACGTTACACCGCATGACAGACCGGTTCAGTTCATCAAGCTCTACTCCTGTTACACATTCACATCAGCAAAATGTAGGCAAGACAACGGCTGCGACGGCTACACCTTCTGGACACCAGATCCCAGGTGGAGTGCAGGCTTCACCAACCAGCTTTCCAACTACGATTGACAGTGCTTCAAGTAGTGTAGCTGGTGCTCCTGGCTCTACAGAAGCCATTGGTCAAGTGCCATCCAATGCTCCTGTTGGATCAAGTGGTGTCTTAACGTCAAGCACGATTCATACGTCATCTGCTGAAGTTTTTACTTCTACAGTTGAAACATCTGCTGCCCTGAGCAAGACCGGAGGGATCGTGACAATCAATAATGCAGACACCTCCACGCAATCAATTACCATGCCAAGCAGTGACAGCATTAGCTCAAAGTCGAGCAGCGCAAATTTGAAAACGGTCGCAGTTGTGGGGGGCGCTGTGGCCGTTGCTGCCAGCGTGGCGATTATCGTCAGTGCGTGGTCTCAGTTCTCCGAAGCCTCTAAAAAGAAACGTCAAGCTGCTGCAGTGTATGATATGCCAGGCGATTGCTTGGTGTTGCTCTTACAAGACCGCAAACACGTTGAGCAACGGCATAGTCGTACCCCAAGCATTCAGCTTCTGCAGGAATCCAAGGCTCGACAGATTAAGGCATTCGCTATTGCTAGTAGTCCAGCCAATAGTGGAAATACCGATTCTGGTGACGATAGCTTGTATCTCGCTGAAGAGGCTCAACTGGCGATTGTCGAGCTAACAAAGCAAGACCAAGAGCAAGATCGAGACGACAATCTCATCGAAGAGTTTTGCAATTGCGCTACTGATAATGAAGATGCAGCCATTGAGGAAATGGCTGAAGAGACGTTTTTTGACTGCGTTGAGCTTGTCCAAGACGTTGATCAACATTTTACCAAAAAGTACGAGAAATTCTGGCATCCGCATGATGTGCAAAAAGTTTACGTAACGTTTCCACAAGGTTCTAAGGTAATTACTCCATTTGGTCTTGGAATGGTTGAGGATTGGCGAGAGAACACCCCAACAGCGGCGATTCGATTTGAAGAGAATTCTATTCGCTACGTCGACAAGAAAGAAATTACTCGAGGAGCGTCTTTGGCTTGTGAGCTAACGACCCATGTTGCTGAGGAAAAGCGACTAGAATTGGCAAGGTGTGTGATCTCGAATTATGGATTAGATGAAAGCAAAACTGGGAAGAAAATTACAAATGTGGCGCTTGCCGGCGCAGAAGGTGCTGTCGATAATGGAATTCGCGCAGCGGGTGGGCTAGCACTAGCTAACGGGGTGGCAAGATCTGGGACAGCTCTTGGCGGTATGGTAGCAGCTCCTTTAGCCATCGCGTCCATTCTTGTCGACATTGGGAAAGAATTTTATGACTACCGCAAGAAGCACACGGAACGAAAGGAGCTAGGAGTGCTTTCGTCGACAAGTGAGCGGCTCATGCGACGGGAATTCCGCCTGAAAACGGGCGAGGTACTTGTGAGCCGCACAACGGCTGCAGCCGGTGCAGGAATATGTACGTACGGGGTAGCGTCAGCGATGACGATGTGGGCAGCTGCCGGTGTTGCTACTGGGCCAATTGGAATTGTAGCGGCAACTAGTGCTGCCGTTATCGGTGGTGTCGCGGGCTACTTTGGGGGTGCCAAGGTATACTCCCTGTCTACTGCATCGTACTTCAAGAGCCACAAACATGCAGAGGAGCACATCGATCGCTTGGAGCTGGGTGCGCGTGTGCTGTTCGAAGAGCATGACCCGACAGGCACAGGAGAGATTTCTAAGGAAGCGTGTCTCACAATAATGCAGAAACTATTTAACATTTCAGGCACGTCAGACTTTGCCTACGAGGCAACCGTTGAAGCGATCAAAGATCCAAGTTTTGCAGGGCCAGTGACGTGGCGTATGTTTTGGGTCTGGGTGAGCACAGAGGCTGCGAGGTCGCTTAAAACTCTCGAACTTCAGGTGTCCGAACACGGTGATGGCGAAAGAAAGAGGGATAAAGTAATTCGAAAACTTCAAGAAGCGAAGCAGAAGCACCATGAAAAACACCACCCAGACGAAAAAAGAAGTGCCGGGGTCAAGCCATTTGGAGTGTATGTGAAAGAAGTGGAGAATAATATCCATGCTCGCGCTGCCTTTGCTCCAGTTACTTTTGGTGAAGAAGACAACCTTGATGAGGTTAAGGCGACGGTCGAAGCTCTCGTACAGAGCAACCAACTGACGGCCGGGCAGGCGTTTTCACTTTACTCGCAGCTCGATTCGAATGAGCCTGTGGACCAAGTGTCTGCCCGGGAAGTCATTGCAGCCCTTCAGTCAGAATTAAAAAAGAGTGAAAGTTTCGAAGAGCTCTTTCCTGTTGCAAAGACTGATGTCAAGATCGAGAACGAGCAGACCGCAGGAGCCCAAGCATCGATTTTAGTCGACGTGAGCGACAAGCTGGTCGTGCCGTCGCAGTCAACAGCCTTGGCCAAGCTGCCCCCGCTTGCACCTTCCTCCACTGGTCAGAAGAAAAGGGGATCCAAGTCGCCTCAAGTTGATCCACGACTGGATGTCATGTGCTCTCTGATGTCTACCGATGGGTTGAAGCGGTTTCTCGAGAAGCAATACATTGTCCCAGAGGATGAGGTGATGGTTCGTCATGATGAATTGCACTGCCTAGCGCTCGCTTCGGCAGTGCTGCCAGCTTCATCGGGTACTAACAGAATAAGTAGTAGTGTATGACGCGTGAAGGAACAGTGAATAAGCAATTGCATAATAATCGTTAAAGCTACCCATCTCTGTGCACGCTAGTGATCTCCCACACCTCAATATCTGCGGCAACGCAGTGTGGATGATATTCGGCAGTATCGATCACCCGCAGCGAAAACTTCCTTGCCTTCATGAGGTCCCAGAATCTTTGTTTGGGTTGAAAATGCTGATAGTGGCGATGTTCATACGAAATGAGAATACGGGTGTGTGGTCGACTGAGAAGTGTCAAGGCATTCACAAGGGGCTCGATTGGGTACAGGCGTGGCAGGATACAGTCCGACACAAGGATGAGGTCTGGGTATCTCAACGAGATAAGCTCGTTTGATGGTGGCTGGCCCCACTCGTATCCTTCAACATTGACTACAACGTGGCTGCCAAGCACACCATCCTGCCGAGCTAAGGTAGCGTTCTCCTCCATAATGAAGCGAACATTGTCCACGTCTGTGAGCACCACTCTTCCCGCTTGAAGTAGCGTCGCCACCGCGATGCCCACTGCACCCGTGCCGCTCCCGAGCTCCAGCACAAATGGGTTGTCTGTACCTGCCAACGCTCGTGGGTTGTTTGCTACTCCTTGTTCCAGATACTTCAATAGCACACAAGCAGCAGGCCACACAGTCAGGCCTGTGCCAAAACCATTGAGCTCTCCCTGCAGCACTTGCTTGATACGGAGTGGTCTGCCACCGACCGTCTCGTGAAAATACGGTGCCATGGAGAAGGCGTCACGCCACGCGAGCGTCTGCCACGCAGCTAACTCATTGCCTTTATTGCTGCAGTCCAGCAGCGTGGCGTGACGGACTTTACCGCTTGTCTCAGCTTGAGGGTTTTCTTCACCCGATGAGCTCGCTTTGTTCTGTTGCTCCTGTTGCTGGTGCTGTTGCTGAACCTTGTGCTGTACGCCCTGCCGCAGTAGCTGCATAAAGTTTTTTCTGCTCTCACAGTCGGCCATCTTTTGCGTATGACGAAGACTCGCGACTGACCACGTGAGATCACAAGCGACACATCTGGAACACTTGCGCTAGAATGCGATTGAACTATGGTGAGCAGAAATGGGACTCCTACGATATTAGCTGTGTTGGTTCGTTATAACAACGTAAGATCAATCTACAAGCACGACTGCGAATAGCGAAGACTACAGTTGACACATCGGCGACATTGCATTCGCCCATCGTCCGTTCAGATCACTCGTTGTCTGAACCGTCGCTGGATTGCTGCAGGAACGAAGAGAGGCGCACAGGCGAAGGACATACGTCTCGATCTCTTCTGCTCGATGACTTCTTGCTCTTCTTGGAGCGTTTATGTCTTCGAGAGCGGTCGTCATCCAGGTCTGAATCGCTATCGTCCGAATCCAGGGACTTCCGTCGTCTCTTGTGGCTTTTCCTGTTTAATATTTCTACGTGAGAAGCTGACATCGACACAGGTTGATCATCAAAAGACTCACCTTTTCTTCCGACTCTTGTGTTTAAAGCGCCGGCGCTCATCTTCATTGCTCGAATCATCTGACGAAGATGAGCTTGAGCGTTTCTTGTGTTTTTTCTTCCTCTTCTTGGAACTACTGCCTCCTGCCAGTCTCTACCGACAGTCACATACTCAATGCGTCATTTCCTCCCACCAATTCGTCCGGCCCTGCAACACTTCTATCTCACCTTCTCCCTGGTAGCGTCCAGCTTTTTCCTATACTCCTTCATCTCCTTCTCTCCATTGCCGCTGAGGTCCAATTTATCTGCGTTCTCCTTCTTGTACTGCTCCCACGTGGGCCGGTTTGGGTCACTGATGCGATCAGCAATAGTGCGTTCTTCCTTGCCCGTCACCATGCGCATAAAAGCGTCCATAGTGGCAGACACTGGAGCTGCAGTTTTTACACCGACATTCTTTGGCTGATGCTCTACAGGTGGCTAGCAATAACAAAATAAAGGTCAACTCTATGAATACGTGCAACCTAAAAGCAAAGACTTTGCACCGCTGATGAGGCCGCTCGAATGATGCGCTGACGCTCAAAGCGGTGATCGTCAATCTGTCGGTCCCGCACTTGGTTGTAATCTACACCTGATGATCGCTTGAGCCCGTGCTCGTTTGTACCATGCGACCTGCCCAGCGTCATCTTCTTGCTGAAAAATCGACAGTAGATGGCTACATTTAAGAGCCTATCGTGCAGCATATTTGATGTACTTTGAAAGCTTTCCCTCATTTTTAGATCTCCTCCAAGTGTTCGACGTAATATGGTAAGAAAGTGAGTTGTCACTAGCGACATTACGCATCGAGAGACTAAGTTCATGTGCTTGTGTCTGGTGTATTGTATGCTACTCTATCAGAACTCATCTAGTCTCCCTCTCGTGCGTGCGCCCCCCGACGCTCTACGCTTTGGCTTTTACAGCGCCAGTGAGGACGTCAGACCGCTGCATGAAGTACAGCGTCTGCAGACGACGGTACGCGACTTCAGATGCTTTATTTCATTTACAAACTACTGTACTGAGTAGACTCATCCAATGTAGCACCGCCAGTCCAACTGGGAGCTCAAGATGGCGACGGTCGAACAGGTCTACGGCAAGGCGGCGGCCATGCGTCTGCGCACAGAGAAATCAGTGCTCGAGCAGTTTACAGTGAGCACTTCTCTCTCTTTTATCTCGACGCCGGATCAGTTTCTTAACTGCCGCTGCTTGTTTTGTAGCGTCTTCCGGGACTGCCAAGCTCGCGCGCCGGTCTTGACACGCTCACGGGCGCAGATGAACAGATTGAGTTTACGGACTTCCTAAATGGTAGTGACAGCTGCTTCGGTCGTTGGTATGAGGAGGATTGGAAACTGATTCATCTTGCTGGCTGACTGTTGTGTTGTAGATCCTAATGAGCACCCTGAAAACTTGTTCCGTGTCCACGAGGCCATGGAAGTGAAGCTCTCGATTTTCTAAGCAGTGTGCGCTTTATTCACAGGCAACCACATTCAAAAAATAAAGACGACATGACTTGTTTTCAAACATGGTGAGATGGCGCTCGTGGTACGTTTTGCCCTGGGTACCTCTTGCATTGAATTGAGGAGCAAGAGATCGAACATTAGCAATAAAAAATAAACGACATTGACGGAGCGGAAGAGTGAGTATTCATTCATCCATCCGTATCTTCATGAAATTCCTCAATGCTTTGATATTAGCAGATTTATTGCGTAAGCTCAATTTGACGATTCTGGAGTTAAAGAAGCAGGAGCTGCAGCCATGAGTGCTAAACAGTGCAAGTCCTCGTGTCGCATAGGCATATCGTTTCCAACAAGGATGTTCTGTCGCTGCAACAACCGCTCCAAACCTTGCGTAGACATCAGCGAGCACATGACGTCAAGCCGTTCATCAGGCTCAGGAAACCTTTTCGTATCGTCATTAGTAGCAGTGGCCTCTGAAGCGCGTGCGCAGGTTGTAACACGCTCCTTTTCGGACTCAACAGCAGACGCATCCATGACGTCACCGCCAGCAAAACCAAATCCGTCGCATACAAGGTTATGATTTAGCGCCCCGTCCGAAAGGCCTTCATGCATGGCGGCAATTGTCCTCTGTGCGGACTCTTTTAACATCAGATCATCGGACGCCAACTGCTCTCGGAGCTGGAAAGCGTCCCCCGCTGTCAAATGACCATTATTCACCAAGAACTCAACCTGCGCCTTCAGCACCAAGCTCTCATCTTCAGATGATGCAACGGTAGGTGATAACTTAGTATCCCTCATTTTTAGCCCCTGTGCTGCGAGGACAGATGGATATACACTAGCATGCGGTGCTGCAAGCGACGGCGTAGCTGATCTCGAGTTCGGATACGAGAAATATGTCATGTAGCTGTTCCACCACGCTTCACCCGCTACCGGTTCTGACAACTTCTTCGACTCTTCATGCTCCAGTTCGCGAAGAGCCCGAGCTGCCTCTGTGCTGACCCACTCCCAAAACATGCCCCACGTCACGGGACCTACAAACGCATCGTCGTGAATCACTATCATAGTCCTCTCATATCCGCTTTCTGAAATTGATCCCATCGCGTCGTAAAGCTTTTTCATCAGCTTAATGCAGTCTTCCTTCGAAATTGTGCCTGTAGCTTCAGGATCAAACTCATCAAACAGGATTCGCGCTCCAAGCTCCAGACGATCGATGTGCTCTTTCGCATTTTCCTGGCTTGTAAAATAACCTGCAGTAGATGCCGAGTATGCCTTGGAACCAGCGAAGAATCCTAGCATACCGCCAACGACAGCTGCACTTGTGGCAGCCACGATACCAACGGGACCAGCTGCAAACCCTGCTGTACTCCACATTCCTAAAGCTGAAGCCACACTATATGCACCAATCCCTGCACCTGCCGCTGCTGCCGTACGACTGGCGATGACTTCCCCAGTTTTTAACCGGAAATCTTGCATCATCAGCTGCTCGGTGGTCGTAGAGAGCACACCGAGAGACTTTCGATCAGTATAACGCTTGCGATAATCGTAGTACTCTTTTCCGATATCAACGAGAATTGACGCAATCGTAAGCGGTGCAGCAACGGCACCACCTAGCGCTGAGGATGTCCTTGCCATGCCTTTCGCCAAAGCTACACCTCCAGCGGCGCGAATTCCACTATCCAAAGCACCATCACCGCTCGCAATAACTAAACTCTTGAAAGTTGTACCCGCCTCTCCAGCATCTAAATGGTATCGAGCTATCACACGATCGGCAATCCTCGTTCTCTTTGACTCTAAGATATCACTTGCTGTTGCTTTTGCAAGTAACGCACCACGCGAGATATTCGCTTTCTGAATGTAGCCGACCATATCCTTAGAACAAATGAAGCGCACATCAGCGGACAATTCACCTTCTCTCCAATCTTGCACGATGGCGAGACCAAAAGGAGTACTGACAATTGATCCACGAGGAAAAGCAATTCCCATTCTGATACCAACAACGTCTTCCTCTTCTTTCGATCCTTCCTCCACGCGCTTTTCTTCTTCTAGTGCATCTTTGCTAAAGTGAACTGCTACATCATTCAAAAGACTGACGCAATCAAAAAACTCCTCCTCAGCTATTGCCTCCATGACGGCATTGTCATACTCGGTGGCGCAATCAAAAAACTCTTCAATGAGCTCATCTTCTGCCGCATCTTCCTCTTGCTTCAACGTGGCAAGTGCTTGCCGCGCCCCTCTCACAAAAAGCTGTTTACCAGTACTTTCGTTCGCTTTATTGCTCGAATTGCTAAGGGCAAGTGACGAGGTATCTCTTCTTTTCCTCCGTTCATCAGCTTGTTGAATAAGTAGTTGCGTCGTATCGGTGTGTTGCGTATTGCGGTAGTCTTCGAGCAACAACAATAAGCAGTCTGCAGGCATGTCTCTCACCACTGCTGCCTGACGATTTCTCTTTAACGTTTCCGAGTACTGCGACCACGCATTGACAATTAACGCAACACTTGCTCCAACAGCAACAGCACCACCCACCATGGAAATTGTTCGCAATCCAGCATTGCCACCAGAGCTACTTGTTGCTTGGGCAGGTGCTGCTATATCGCCAGCTATAATTTCTTCAGGTTCCAAATACAGAATTTGCTCGCTCTGGTCTGCACCAATTCCCACTGTACGCGACACACGAATCCGATCTGGCGCAAAGATATTGTCGTGGTTGTTAGGGTTAAGACCGCTTCGGACGGATGAGGGAGTACGCAATGGATTCACCACCGTCGAGTTTGAAGTTGAAAAGCGCGACGTGACCTTCGATACCGCCCCAGAGAGATTATCAATTACGTCTCGGAAAGTGGCGATAGCTTCATCAAGAGTCATCCCGTTCACAGTGCCATTACGTACAAACTCATCCCTTATGCTGCTGGACGAGTTGGTCAGATGCGCATCGTATGCCTTCCGTGCTTCAGTATCTGACAGCACCTCGTACGATTCTGCAAGCAACTTGAAAATCTCCTCCGCAGAAGCTAATTCCTGTGGGTTGGCGGAATTGTTTGCCCACCGATCTGGGTGCCACTTCAACGCTAGCCGCTTGTAGGCACTCCGTATTTCTTTCTCTGTCGCGTTTCGAGGAATATTAAGACGCTCATAGAAGTCCATAGAGGCGTTAATCTGAATGGAATTTGAACGGCGCGTGACGGCACTCACATATGCGCTCATCAAATGCTGCAAAATTGCGTTACCCGTCAAAGTGGAATCGAAATCATCCTCCTTGTGCAACGCCTTACTGATAGCGCTTGGATCCGAGTAAATGCTATACTCTGTTCCAGACTTTGAAAGGAAAATGTAAGTCCCGCATGGAAAATACTGGTAGTCAATTTCCTTCACAATATTATAGTCGCGAAACTTTTGGAACGTGTTCTGCAAAATATTGAGACTCATTGACAAATAAGCAGAGCTCGCATTTGGAACTGTGCCAGTATTTGATGTCGCTGTTAAAGCGACGAAACGTTGTTGCATTTGAATTGGCAGCAAGTTCACAAACGTTTTCGTCGCTTTGGCGATCGTAACAAATCGGTCAGTCGTCTTCGCAACCATCGCCGCTGACTGCGCTACATTGAGAATGCTCGGGATGCAATCAAACTCATTGACAAACGTGATTACTCGCTTGCTGAGCTTCAGTGGTTCCAAAAACGCTGTCAGTCCCGAAGATCCAATATACGGAGATCCAAAGCCAATCGCTAACATACGTGGCATATTGCGAGAAATCATCGATCGCTCTTCCTCTGTCATACCTTGAATCATCAATCCAAAGTCTAATTCATCACATGTTCTCGTGCCATTTTCTGTCGACTGTTCTTGTTTCTGCTGCTCAAAGTCTCGCTTTTCCAGACTCAACCGCACCTTCGTTGGCAAGTGCAGGTACGCTAGTTCGCAGAATGCTAGCTGCGCAATGCTGCCGCCGATTGAGTGGCCACACAATATCAACATCTTTTTGGCTTGGCGTGCTCGATGGTGAATGTCCTGTAAGTTCAGTCGCTGTGTTCGCTTCCAGAACGGCGCGTGAATCCTCGCAGCACCATATCTGTGCAGATATGGCTGTGAGAGCGGCACAGCAGAACCCACCACCGTCTGCAGAATATCAGCAGGCTTTGTTGCTCGCACAGCACAGAGCAACGCAAACTCGGACTGCATGAGCACGTAGTCGGGCGAGAACGCCAGCACTGGCAGATGCAGACTGTGCGGAAGCGGAGACTTGTGCACATGCATCTCGATCTCACGAGTTGCGCGGTTAGTGGCCTGTTCGTCAGTTTCTGAAGGTTCCGATTGTGTCGCAGACAGCGCCGCACACAATACAGCGGCGTTCAGCAGCTCCGTCTCGCTGGAAGCAACCTGATCACTGTCTAGATTCGTGTCTGTCCACCACCACGCACGTGAATTATTAGACTTCGAAGCATTTCCTGAGCTTTTCGGTTGCTTTGTCGATAGTCGCGAGACTTCAAACGTCGACGCCATGAATAGTGAGAAAAGTTTTTTTTTTTTAAATGAAGCCAAATTGAAAAAGAATGCGACACATTGAAGTTTCTACCAATCCGAAATGTCGAAAAGGGACATGATTAACGCATAAAAGTGACATTTGGTGTCAAAAGGACATTTAACACTGAGCACTGATTACGAGTTGTGGGATGTCGTGTTTAAAATGGAGTGTTTGGGTCACGCTCGAATGATATGAGCTCTTGGCGACTGACTTAAAAGCTGCTGCGTATCGATTGCTCTTACGCAAACCCACCTAGAATTACCAGTTAACTACAAGCTCCCGTACTGCAAGCACTGTAACAAGACCAATACGACCTGATTCAGCTTCTCATGGGATGGTAACGGACCACCGCCTTTGCGTCGGCGTCGCAGAAATGCAAACTTGTCAATACCACAGACGTGATGGATAATTTAAAAGAACGCGATGGTTTGATGAATGCGCCAATAATTTGCAGGTAAACAACATTAAGCTTCGATTCACGTGGAATATGTAGACGGGCATTTCGAAAGAAGCTGCCAAGTGCTACGAGCACACACCTTCGAGCAGCGTGAGATAGCGGTTAGACCGTCTTACCTCCGCGTACGGTGGTCGGGGTGTTGGTCGGCGCTAAAGCGCAGTACGAACCGTTGCCGGTCGCTTAAAGCGAACCGCGCAACGAACTTTCAAAGCCAAGAACTACACTTACGTCACGCAGAAGCTAATTCAGCTTTTCGTGCGCAGCTCGATCGTGTATGCGTTGCCTAGGCAGCGGAATACACGAAATGGCTCGATGTACTTGGGCACCAATTTGCTGCCCACGTTAGTCACTACGTGTTTAAGTAAATTTACTATCGACAGTAATACAGTACTATATCTTCTTAATAAAAGAATGAGCGTTTGCCCTTCCATTATATTCTGCTTTTCATTCCTGCTTTTCGACCGTTTCTATGATGGAGTCTTGCACGAAACGGACTACCTCTTAACGGTCCAGCAGGTAATCCTCTGCTGACTAATTGCTTTTGGCTGCTGTGCAGAGATATATATTACCAACTCAGTGAGAACATTAGTCGTCTCGCTAGTGATACCTCGAACGATGCTGACGTCGTCAGCTTCACTATTAGTAAGAGCGTCATCGCTCATACAGTACCGAAGTCGAATGGTACGACTTCGGTTACTGTCGCGTCGACCATAAAGTCGCCGCGTGACTAGCAAGAGCCATATTGGTTCTTGCTCGAGCGAGCCCCCCCCCTTTAATTAAAGTCACCCTCTACTAAGGTGGGGCACGTGGATGGCGAAGGCCATTTACGTAGAACGGTATATGCATCGTATACGCATGCACTGAGTTGCTGATGGCGAATCCGAATATCGACAAATTCACTTCAACTCGTGAAGAGTGGACGTACTCTCGAAGAATCTCTTCGAGGACGCAATTGGCGTGTGAAGTCTGACCATCGATTTCTAGATGGTCAGAAGTAGACATAGTGAGCCGTGTTCTAATGTTTGGAATACTGAACGCCAAAACTCAGCCGTGAACCGGGGGTCCCTCTTGGACACAAGTTCACGGGGTAACCCGTGCAATCGAAAGATTGTATCGATTAACACTCGAGAACAGCCCTTCGCTGTGATCAACTCAGGTACAGCAACAATATGTACCATCTTGCTAAACCAGTCTACAAATACAAGAATATCATTTTTCTTATGAGCGTCTTTGGGAAACCCAAAGACAAAGTGCATTGATACGGACTTCCAGCACTCTGCCGGAACAGGTAGAGGCTGCAATGGTGCACGGAGTGAAGGACTAGGTTTCACTCGTTGACACACCTCGCAAGCACGCACGTACTTGCGCACAAACTTATACTGGCGTGGCCAGTAAAAGTCGCGACTGACCCTTCTCACGGCCGCGATGCCCACTTATTGGTGCATCGTGACATTCAAACATGATCCGTAACCTGAGATCATGTTGTGGCGGTACAACGACACGAGGCGTGTCGTTGTTGACGGCTGTGTAGTACAGTAAGCCGTCCCGCTGGGTGTATCGATCTAGAGAAGATCGATACATGGCAGGCAAGCGCTTCTTAGCTTGCGTGGAGGGTCCTTGAGATACTTCATCAGGCGTACAAGATCATTATCTTGTGCGCAAGCCCTTCTAATGTCGTCGAGCTTACTCGACGACAAAACGGGTGTACTCAGCGTAGCGGTAGTGTTTTATGCAAGTAATTAGCGAGCCCAAGGAATTGGCGCAGATCCTTCACATTACGTGGGACTGGCCATTCCTTTACAGCCTTGACCTTTTCTGGATCTGCTCGTACACCATGTGCACCTACGATGCAGCCCAGTACAGGTATCTCGGGGACCCCTATTACGCACTTTTGAAAGTTTAAGTATAATTGGGCGTCACCTAGAGTCTCCAACACAGCGTCTAAATGACGCTTGTGCGACTCTATTGCGCTCAGACCGTCCTCCACCCTACTATGCACGAATACATTGTCAAAGTAATGGGACGCGTAGGCACAGTGCTGACGCATCACGTGAGCCACCACTCGGTTGAATGTTGCCGGAGCATTTTTCAGTCCTCGTGGCATCTCAAGCCACTCCCACAGCATACCGCTCGAAATGCTTACTACCGTTTTGGCTACATCAGTATCTCTCATGAGAACCTGATAGTAGCCATCCTTTATATCCAACGCGGAAAAGATAGTTGACTTTCCCATGGAATTCAACAAAACATCTTTCCGCGGGATCGGCGTTTGAGCTGGAATGGTGGCCGTGTTCAGCTTATTATAAGCATGAACCACGCGCCATCCACCAGTGGCTTTACGCACACAGAAGGTCGGGCAGCAGTGAGGCGACTTTCTCTCACGTACATGTCCCGCCTTGGCTCGCTTGTCGAAGAACTCATCGATGTAATCGACTTGTTTATTCGGCAACAGCCATTGCCTGGTCACACAATACTTGGTGCCAGGCTCCAGGTCAATTTCGTGCCTGATGCCCCTATCGGCCAGTAGGCGGCTCGGCACTTCTGCTGGAAACACATCACGGTGTTTCCACAGAACATCATAGAACGGGCTGTCCTCCAAGGCTTCCCAGCCTTGAGCAGAGAACCGTTTCTTTTGTCGGTCTCCAAGACGCTCTCATCCATTTTGGATGAAGAGCAACAGTCCACCACGTTCTCTTCTGGAACTGGTGCGACTATCTCGTGGATATTTCCTTCCTTAAGTTCGGACAGGAACAGAATACTCGTTATCTCCGAGAGATTTACTATCTCCTCGGCAGATGCCAAGACAAGTTGGAGAACCTCAATTGAGGATGCCTCCGGCATTTTGTCTTCGACGGCCTCGAACAACTCGTTCGTAGGTCCGCCCTCTTGGACCGATACTGATCCAAGGGTCACTCATTTCGACGTGCCCTTTATCGTCTTAATGCGTCTGGTGCTCGTTCTTCGAATCACCACGACCTTTGACCTGGAAGAAGGTGTCGTTGCTATTTCAGCTAACGCACTCCTTCCAACCGCACCAGGCTCTTGGCTCTGTGCCGGTTCTTGTGGCGCTTGACTTCCTGTCGGCCCACCATCAACTGACACAGGCCCTCGGCTCTGTGCAGGACTATTGGACGCATGACTACCTGTCATCGCCCCATTCACTACACCAGTCTTTTCGACCTGGGGAGGAATATGTGTCACCTAGCTTTCTGCCAGGGCACTTTCAACTACACCACTCCTTTCGAGCTGGGTAGTTCCTGGTGTCGATTGACATACCGTCATCGCACCCTCGACTGTGTCGGACACAGCATAAATCGCATAAGCTTCTTGCAGGAGCACATCATTTCCGGTGTCTTGCGTAGAGCTAGCGACTGTGCGTGTACGCCAGTCTATACATGGTTGGTGTTTATCCAACCAAGGCATGCCTAGGATGAGGTCATACGGACTCTCCATACCTAGCGCTGTGAACCTCTCTTTACAAGAGAAGTCACTCAAGCTGAAGGCGAGTTCAACTTGAACTCCCTCCAATACAACGAGCGCGCCGTTCGCTAAACGAACGATCGCCTCTTCTCGCTTGCCATCCTGGCAAAGCGACTTATAACTCGCCGGTCTCTTTTTCAGAGCCGCGAGTTTCACAAAGTTTTGTGATGCACCCGAATCCACGAGAAGGGTCATCAATTGGTCATAGCCTCGTAATCGAGAGCTATAGACCAAAAAGGTTGAGGTACGACCTTTCGGAACCTCACGGACTATGCTACCCATTTGTTCGATTACTCTGAACTTAGGGGTAGCTTCAGAGTCCGCGATAGTAGGACATCCCACCCCTACTGCGCTCCCACATTTCCTGGCCCATCTTGGGCAGGTGCTGAACCCGTGCGTCGTGCACGCTGGTTTTTCGAACCTCCCTTCGGGCTGGGAGACTTCTTGCTGGCTGACTTGGCCCCAACAGCAAGTTTGGCATAGCAGCGAGCCATCATATGGCCGCGCTTGCCGCGCATGTAGCAGACCCCGTGTGCATTGCCTAACCCTATTGGAGTGGCATCTGACTTCTCGGTCGACGGCCTGTCGCCGAGGCGATGTTGTAAATTGCTCCTCAACCATGGTAATTTTCTATTGCCTACTCCATCGTCGTTGGTAACTTACTATAAAGGGCCTGACGCGATGGGCCGTACGGTAGTCGTTCATGAACGTAGGCACCTTAATGTGTTCCTATATCGGACCCACATTAATATACGCATACAGCGAACGCATCTTCTGCACATACTCTTGCAGAGATCGTTTCGCCTGTCGTGCTCCATAAGTAGCGCGCCTGAAATAATACTTCATTGTTAGGCGGCTGGTACAGGCACGAATCTTTGACTTAAATATCGTCCATGATGGAAATGCATCAGCGTTTGCGATAATCGCTGAGTATGCACACTATGGCGCTTTTCCACGCAAATTTACCATGGCATACGACACCATCCTGGTGTCGTCTTCGATGAGTTGCGCCATACCGCATTGCTCAACTGCTAAAAGCCAGTGGAAAATCGTGCGTGGGGCAGTTCCATCAAGCTTTGGAGGGTCCATTCGAATGGGCCTTGGCTGATTAGACCGAGACGAGAGCGTCTCAACAGTTCTGATGAGGGCCTCATTCCGTGCCTGCTCAAGCTTAAGCTCATCCTGAGTCTTAATGATGATCTTAGCTGTGGCATGGCTGTTTACCTCAGACGCATTTCTACGCTGTCCAAGCACAAACGCCTCGAAATGCTCCGACTGCGCAACATGATGCTCAGAAGTACGATTTAAGAGATTGGACAGGGCTTATTCACCAAGTTTCTGCACCAAGTGCTTTGCCACCTCCCTATGCCGTGCAACATACAATTAAAAAGTGCCTCACTTGGTCACGCAGAAGCTTATTAAGCTTGTCATGCGCAGTGGAAGGCAATTAGTAAATTCAAGACTGATTAATATTTAGTTATATTATTTTAATATAAATCAGTCTAAAATTTACTCATTACCGTCCAGCGACTACTGGTTGGTTGATATGTAATGATGGGTGCCATCTCTATAGATGCGCATCCCAACGTGCCAGCTCAAATATAATTAAGCTTGCTTAATGACGTAACTGACTGACGTCATTCGATGACGCCGAGTCCCAGCTGAGCGTCATTTCCATCAATGTGAATACACCTAATGTATATCACATACGCAAGGGTGTGACACATGGTGTGTCTCGCCCGAGCGTCAGGTCTTAAGTACTTACGTACCTTTTTAGGCCTGCCCGTTAAGTATCGCACACTTTAACTGGTACGTGTAACGTTGAGCCCGTTACACATATAGCCTTCTCTGCCTCCGTCCATGTACGTGAGGTTTTGAGGCACCTGCCTTCACTGTCATCAGTGAAGGTAGACTATACTGTTATTAGTATAGTCGGAGGGTGCCCTGTAACAGGACATCTAGTTACACGTAAACATTAAGTAATATACTTAATGTTTGGTCTAAAAGTATCCATGATTACTTTTGGTTTGTCACTTGGGTGCGATACACAAGGGTGATTCAGCCTCGTGAATGTGATATCCATTTATGGATTCACATGAGAAGGGATGACGCTAGTTGAAGCTAGGCATCACGACGTCTCAGAAAGACGTCAGTTGCGATCTTAAATCTAGGTTTAAGTTCATGCGACAGGATAATCTTCTAAAGAGTCGCGTATCCGATCTATATATATATATATATAGCCAATCATTAGTTAAGTATATATTTAGTTATAATTCATTAAATATAGCTCAGTCTTGAATTTGCTAAATCAAAAGCATCGCGCACGAGAAGCTCTAAAAAGCTTCTGCGTGACGTCGGTGACTTCTTGTTTTAGAGGTTCGTTGCACTCTCGCTTAAGCGAGAGGCAACTGGTGGTACGACTGCGTAAGCAGTCGACCAACCTCCTAACCAACCTCCTAACCACCCTCGCACGCGAAGGTAAGACAGTCTAACGGCTTCCTCGCTTGTGCATAAGGTGTATGCTAGTAGTACGAGGCAACTTCGTAGAAGTGCCCGTCTACACTTGGTAGCACTAGTAGTCCTTTCCACGACCCGTCCCTCTGAGCTTGCGTGGGGTTAAGATGGTCCTTAATATGGAATGGAGTGACTTCCTTCACCTCTCCCAACATCATAGGGAGTTGGAAGAGCATATGGCGCAGGGACTTGGTGAACAAGCCCTGGTCAACCTCTTGCATTGTTCTCCTGAGCAACATGTTGCTCAGTTAGAGCAATTTGGGGCGTTTGTGCTCGGACAGCGTAGAAACGCGTCCGAGGTAAACAGCCAAGCCACCGCCGAGTCCATCAATAAGACTCAGGATGAGCTTAGGCTTGTGCAGGCACGTGATGAGGCGCTCAACATAACTTTGAGACGCTCTCTGCCCGGCCTACTCAACTGAGGCCCATTCGGATGGACCCTCCGAAGTTCTATGGAACTAGCCCTCACACGATTGTTCACTGGCTATTAGCAGTTGAGCAATGTGGAGTGGCACAGCTCATCGAAGACGACACCAGAATGGTGTCGTATGCCATGTCTAACTTGCGTGGTAAATCGTCAGAGTGGGCATACTATGCGCTGATGGCTAATGCTGATGTGTTTCCATCATGGGCGATCTTTAAAACAAAGAAAAGATCGCCCATGATGGAAACGCATCAGCATTAGCCATCAGCACAGAGTAGTCGCGCCATGTATCAGCCGCCTAACAACGAAGTGTTGCTTAAGGCGCGCTTCTTTGGAGCACGACAGGCGAAACGCTCTCTGCAAGAATTTGTGCAGAAGATGCGTTCGCTGTCGGAGTCCATTAATTCGGAACCGAAACCAGAGCGTATCAAGGTGGCCACGTTCATGAATGAACTTAGGCACGGCCCATCGCGTCAGGCCCTCTTCAGAAAGGTGCCAGCGACGATGGAGTAGGCAATAGAAAAACACCATGGTTGAGGAGCAATTTACAACATCGCCTCGGCGACAGGCCGTCGACCGAGAAGTCAGATGCCACTCTAATAGGGTTAGGCAATGCACACGGGGTCTGCTACATGCGCGGCAAGCGCGGCCATATGATGGCTCGCTGCTATGCCAAACTTGCTGTTGGGGCCAAGGCAGCCAGCAAGAAGTCTCCCAACCCGAAGGGAGGTTCGAAAAACCAGCGTGCACGACGCACGGGTTCAGCACCTGCCCAAGATGGGTCGGGAAATGCGGGAGCGCAGTAGGGGCGGGATGTCCTACTATCGCGGACGCTGAAGCTACTGTGGTGGAGTGGATTCTCAAAATTGTATGATGAGACCCCAAATTACTCACTGTGCCGGACTGCCGACTGTCCGAGGGGGTACCCCGATGCCGCGTATGAACCTTCTCTCACCTTGTGTACCCGTCGGCTGGCGGTTTGCACTCTTCGGAGGACTTGGTGACGATGTAGACGTCTGCCTTGAGGGAGGTAGACCTGGGGGCCTCGAGTGGATATGCTTCACTCGGTGGGCCGGTAGGTGGCCACTTGATCGATCTTGTCGAGAGTGGACTTAGAGCCAAATTCTTCAAGGGCGCTTGTCGTCCCTGACCTTTTCCTTCTGTTTCAGGGGTATTAACCACCTGACCTTTACGTTGATCCCGGACCTTGAGGTGAGGGAGACCGCTTCCGATAGCGGGTCTTGGGGGGTGTTGCTACTCGAACGAGCTCACAAGCCAAATATATCCTGGAGCTCTATTCGCCCTTGAATTTCGCTACGCAACTGTCTTCGACGGGGGGCCAAAATATATCCCTTCCCGGAACAGTGAGTAACTTAGAACAAGTCCTTCTTGGGTGACGGAGTCGTGCCACGTATATCGCAAATTGAGTAGTATTTAATATAGTCCTATCCTTTTAACTCTTTTACTCTATCCTTGCCTGAAGCTCTGATTCCTTGCGTCGACTGCTCTGATTCTTGTGTTAACTGGTCAGGAGTGTCTGAACCCCGAGGGACCCAGTCCGACGCACGAGGAACCCAGGTCTACCAATGAGGGACCGGATCACCCAACGAGGGACCGGGTCTACCCATGAGAGACCCAGGTCTACCAATGAGGGACCGGATCGACCAACGAGGGACCTGGTCTACCAATGAGGGACCCAGGTCTACCAATGAGGGACCCAGGTCTACCAATGAGGGACCGGGTCGACCAATGAGGGACCCAGGTCGACCGATGAGGGACCCGGATCTACCAACGAGGGGCCAGGTCGATCAATGAGGGGCCATGATCAACTCCTTTTGGTACCGGTTAACCGGTATCCTGATACTGATTTTCTTCGGCGGATCCTGCGGATTGTTCTCCACCAACGGTCGTTCCCCTTCGAGGCCCCTGTCTCTCTGGTCCCCTGTCCCTGACCCACGGCCTATGCTCCGAATCCAACTGGAGTCTGGGACCTCCACATCACTAAATTAGCACTTCACCACAGCCGCCCCCTGCACTTGCTCAGCCGTACAACGGATTGAGCACGCGCATGTCTTCACTTCCTTTGTCACGTAGGTCCTTTACTGTCCCCTTTGTTGCTCATCCATCTCTAACTCGTGTCTGTCCAGCCATGTCTTCCCCTGGTTCTGATCCACCGTCTGCTGACCCACCGTCCGCTGATCCACCGTCTGAAGAGCCGACCTCGGTCGCCCCGGCGCCTCCAATCGCCCCTGGTTCTAACCCCCCACCTGATGACCCACCGTCTGAAGAGCCGACTTCGATCGTCGTCACGCCTTCGGTTGACTCTCCATGTAAAGGGGTGTCCTTGGCCGACCTTCCCGGGCCGGTGTCTTCGCCGTTGAGTGCTGCTGAAACTGTTGTCGTTCACAGCTCTCCTGTTTCCACCGCTTTGCCTCCTGCCGAGACAGCAGATGCTCCTGTCACGCCGGCCCCCATGGTTGACCATCCGTCTTCCGTACCCGTCAACGTACGGGCAGCTCTGCAGGAACTGCAAGCTCTCGCGGACGCCCATTCTCGTCGCATAGAAGACTGCGAGGGTCGGCTAGGTGTCCTTCCCCCTTCGGCCACCTTGTTGGCCACTCGTTGTGAGCGGTTGAAGGAGACATTGCGCGACAATTCTCGGCTGGTGGCTCAACTCCGTGAAGCTCTCCAGCGCGAGAGTGCACTGGTGGACCGTCTGCGATGGAAGGTCGACCACATCCGAAGCCGGTACTCGCTTCTCTCCCCAGAGCTCGACCACGTCGACTTCTCTGACGGGCCACCTCCGGGACCAGCTACTCCTTCGGCAGCTTCGCCCCCGGCCGTATGTTCCCCTTCGAGGCCGGCAAAAGCTCTTTGTAAACGTTCCCGGCGGCCGTCACCCCGGGTACCCGCCAAAGCCTCCAAGCTTCCGAGGCCCGACGCCTCTGCGATACCGCTGTCGGCAGTCTCTGGTCGTCGTTCTCCTGTCGTGCTTAAGTCTTAGGACGACGACCTTAGCGACGACAGCGAGACCCTTCGGGCGGCTCTGGCCAAGTCTCGTTCTGCTAGTCGGCGCCCCGCCAGTGCAAACACTTTTACATCTTCCGTCGACGTCCGCTCCTCCATCGAGGACCACCTCGGCTACCGGTCTCTCGCTGAAACGGGCGATGTTCGGGACATAGGACTCGGAGACCGAGTCGTCGGCGGATAAAGACAAGTGCGCGCCTACTGTTGCGGACAACACTTCGCCCCCTTTGGCCGACTACAGCCTGCTTCCCAGAGACGCCATGATCCCCGGGTCCATGCAGTCGAAGACCTTCTCCGCCGCGGAAGTGGCACCTTGGCCGGTCGACCTGGTCAATCTGTGGTGCATTGTTACAATGTCTTCCACAGACTTGGTCGACCAGCTGGATCTACACTGTGGTTAGTTTGGCCCTACGGACGGAAACCTCGACCGGCCCCCCAAATGGAAGAGGTCGTTGGTGAACTCTCCAATGATCCAGAGATTGCTAGCGGCGCAATTTTTGGGTGGAAGCTCGTGTTCCCATGCAGCCCGTTTCCTTCCGACCTGTTGGCTGGTTCGTCCAGTTGGCAGCGGCCTACATCCAGTTTGACGAAGAGCATAGTCAAGCACTTTGGGAGGCGACCCACTGCTTGTGGACCTCCAAAGACCAAGCGCGCGCAAATTCTATCCTCGCGTCCTACTACAACGCGCGGAAGAAGCGTCGGAGTCGGGCGACTCGAGCGTGGCGGGAGGTGGTCGACCTTATCTTCATTGGGATGAGCAAGGGCCACTGCGATCTCGACATTTTCCTGGACCCCTTCTTCCGTCATCTTCCTCGAACCCGCCGTGTGGTTTATTGGTCCCCAGGTCGTGAAGAAGGGTCGGACCCGGTCGACCTGCTTGAGGCCCTTCGGGTGTCGGATTCCGCGTGGCCTTGGCTCACCCAGTATCGGTTGTCTTCTGTGCCCCATCCTGGCGCGCTAGTTCCACGCCTCAAAGGCAAGTTTGGGCCATCCGCTTAGGTCTTCCCTTGAACATGAATCTTCTTTTCCCTTCGATCCTATTTTGTGTGCTTGTCTATCTTCTTTCTCCTCTTGCCATGTATTCCTCTGTTCTAGTTGATCTTGGTAATCTTCCTCCTTTGGTCGCCCCGTAGGCGACTCAAGTCTTCCAACGAGGGGCAATGAAGGACCAGGTCTATCAATGAGGGACTCGGTCTACCTTCCAAGAAACTTGCTACCGTCTGCTGATTTTCCTGGCTTTGCATTACTTCGAAGCGGTTATGGCTTGTCTTCTTGCGCTCGAAGTCCCGGAGTAAGGCTCCGCAATTCAGATCCACTTCGTCCACCCACGAGGGGTCAGGGTGTCCCTTCCATTGCACGAGGAATTCCGTTGTTGCCTTCCATACCGAGTCTTCTTGCCTGTACGACTCTCTAAAATTTCTTCGACTTCATACTCGCCCTCTTCCAATTTCCGCACCCAGCTGTCTTCTGGTAGCAGACATTCGTCGAAGTCAACTCGATCCGTTCCATCCACCTTCAGCTCGCTGTTAGGCCGATCAGGGAACTCTCTGACGGGCTTGAGCTTGGAGATGTGCACGATTGGGAATAGTCTGTATTCTGTACCTCGTGATTCCAGACGTACTGCATGATCTCCAACTAACTCCTGGAGTCGGAACAGTCCATGCCATAGGTGGGCCAATTTCTTGGCATACCCCTCCTTCACTCGGTCTAAGTATAGCCATACCCGGGCCCCTGACTGAATCTCGTGGTCGACTACCCCTTCATTTTTCGCTTGCACTCGAGCCTGACTAGCCGCCCGTAAATTCTCGTTGACTTGGTCCCTTGCTCGCTGATAGTGACTCTGAATCCGATATCTCCATCTCCGAGGTCCTGATTCTCGACGTCGAGTGTTCACCACCGGTAACATAGTCTCAAGAGTGGTCCTAGCATCCCATCCATGTACCAGATAGAACGGTGTTTCCTCCCGTACTCTGTCTTGAGCCGTGTTTAACGCGAACGTTAAACGTTCCGCGTATTCATCCCAGTCTCGCTGTCCCACGTCGGCTACGTACATCTTTAGAGATCTTGTTAGAGTCTGGACCATTCTCTCCGCAGTGCCGTTCGCTTGAGGCCGGTAGGCCATGGTCGCTCTCTGCCGTTGACCCACCATACGACTGAACGCTCGGAAGAAGTCCGACATAAACCCCGGTTCCCGATCGTGACGGATCGTCTCACTGGCACCAAAACGGCGGAAAACGCATTCTTCATATCCCTCAGCTACTGCCTGTGCTGTCCGTGACGCACTTGCTTTAGCCATCACATAACCTGTGAACAGGTCAACCCAAATCAGTAGTTCCGTGTTTCCTTTATGTGACTTGGGGAGAGATGATATGTGGTCCATCGCGATAATTTGGAAGGGGTACGTCGCTTCAACATTCCCCGGAGACTTCCCTTGTAAAGTGGTTCTCCCTTTACCAGTCTCACAATCCATGCACTGACCCACATATCTCTGGACACTCCGGAACAGAACCCTCCCATGACAATATCGTCGGATCCGATAATAAGTACGCCCGATTCCCTGATGGCCGCCTTCCAAACTCGTATGATAATGATGGAGGACGTCGGCTTGGAGACTCTCAGGTATCACTATTCTGGCAGTTATGTCTCGGTCGTCTCCCTTGATTCTCTGGCCGGGGCAGTCCTTCTTCACTTATCTCGTAATCCTCCGACATTTTGCTGCAAGTTCGGGCCGATTCCACTGACAAGTCCTTCCAGTCTCCATTCAAATATTCCTTCAACTCGCGTACCCAGCTCTCCTCTTCTTGCGCATCTCGGATCCTATCCATCCGGAGTTGTTGTACCACATCTTCTTGCATGACCTCTCCCAATATTTTGACGGGGAACCGTGATCTCGTCACCGCAGATACCCTGATCGACGGACCCCGGTCTCTAGAGACCAACACCTCTGGCAGCCGATTGATTGTTTCTAGACCTACCACTCTCCTCTTGGTATCGACTCGACCCCTTGCTGCTGATGTAAAGCCGCACTGGCCAACTGGTCTGCGCTCTAATTCCAGTCTCGTTTCACATGTAGGACTGCATGGGTGGGCCACGACTGGAGTTTACTCAACGCCTTGACCCGCAACGGGGATAAACCTGAAGCTTTGCATTCAATCTCTTCACGCATCTGTCTTATAACCAGATTGGAGTCTCCACAAATAATCAAACGCCGTCGCTCCATTGGCTCCAACAGGTTAAAACCCAGTAACATGCCCTCATATTCAGCTTCATTCACTGTAGACTTGTCGAGATATTTCAATGCAGCTGCGACTATAGTCCATGCAGGGAGTCTCCACACAATAGCGCTGCAAGCACCTCCCCCTTGTTTCACCCGGGCCGACCCATCGAAACTCATCACATACAGTTCTTCGTTTAATTCCACTGTGGGCGTCGGTAGGTCGGCCACTTGCCTGGACTGCTTCTTGGGAGCAATTGGCGACAGGATGGAGTCCACATTCTCTCGAGGCGTGATGCTGGCAGCTAACGCCCCCAGTACCTGGTCTTCGCCTTTCTTGCATTTCACAATCTCCAAAGTCCACTGTGACAACAGAGCGGCCCAGTTTCCTAAGCGACCTTGCAACCCCGAAGACTTCACTAGCCAGGATAGTGTAGAATGCCTCGTCAGAACCTTGAGAGATCGGGTGATCAACATCTTGATGCAAGTTTCCAATATTCGTAACAACGCCAACACTTCCTTTTCCACTGTACTATAGTTCAACTCGTTTGACTTGAGGGTTCGGCTCGTAAACATTACCGGCATGTACATGCCGTCGTAATTCTGCACCAACGACGCCGAGATATCCCAATCACTTGCGTAGACAATGATGACCGCCTCTCTAGCCGGGTCGAAATGTCGTAGGATGGGCGCCGTAGCAATCTTGCTCTTGAGCATGGCAAGCGCTACTTGTACCTTCGACCATTTTACTTCGTCGTCTTCCTCGTTAGCCTTCAACTTGCACCTCCAAGCGTGAAAATCCACCTCTATCAGTTCATAGAGGATTGCGCGTACATGGCATAATCTTCGATGTACCTGCTGTAGTAATTTAGGCTTCCTAGAAAGGACTGCATAGCCTTCAGCGTTGTCGGTAGAGGTAGGTCGACCAAAGACTGAAGATCTTTTGGGTGGGCCTCTAGTCCCCCTTTGGAAACTCGATGTCCAAGATACTCGACCTTCCGACATCCCCACGTACTCTTGACGGCACTGACAGACAAATTCCAATAGTCACACACGTCTAGAAGCCGCTCCACTTTCTGGCATAATACGTCCCACGATTCGGCCGGAACAAGTATATCGTCAATGTATGATCGTCGACCCAATACAGAGAGGCCCGATTTTGCATCGGGTTCCCCTGTTGCAAACAAATCCTCTGTTTCCTCTGTGGCAGCCCCTGGCGAAATCCGTAAGAATCCATATAACGCATTATCCAACAACCTTTGATAAATCTGAGGCGTATTCATAAGCCCAAAAGGCATCCGAAGCCATTCAAATAATCCCAGTGGAGTAACGAACGCCGAGATTAGTCTCGCCCTTTCGGTCACACTGACGACCCAAAAACCACTCGCCATGTCAAGAGAACAGTACCACAAAGCTCCGTCCAGGTCCTCCATTATTAATTCGTTAATCAACGGCATCGGGTAAACCATGAGCTGGGTGAGATCATTCACCAACCGATAGTCGATACATAATCGAATATCGGCCCCATTCTTCTTCACGATAATTACAATTGGGCTGGCCCATGGCGAGGTGGAAGGCTGAATGATCTTTGCTGATAACAGTCCCTTAATCAGGTCAGCTAGCTTCTCTCTGAATTGAGGAGCCACCTTCCGTACACGTTGCGCGATCGGTCTTGCGTTCCCCACATCGATACCGCATATCGCTCCTCGGGCGGCCGGGGGTAAAGCGTTACCTTTGCCCATCAGCAGATGTCGTTTCTTCCATATTATTTGACGCAACCGGTCCACCTCTTCGGGAGTATTCCCATCTGGATAAGGAATCTGTATTTCTCTTAACGCAATGCCTTCAAATGAGGGGTCCATTTCCGGTACGACCGCCCACCCTGGCCTTATGTCCTCGGCCCAAAGTTAAAAACTCTCGAAAGAACACACCTGGTCATCTGCCTGTAACAAGTCTACCAGTTTGGCTTCCTTCTCCTTGGTGGTGGTCACTGCATGTAGGTCTTCTTCAAATACACTCCGCTTTTGGGCGGTCCCCTCCTGCCAATTCACCCTCTCTTCGCACGGTTGTTCTTCTCTGTCGGGTACCGGTTGGTGCACTATATTCATCATTGGGGTTGGGACCGCTGGTCGCTGTAAGATGTGTGACGGAATCGTATACTCTGGTCTCTCCACTAGTGGTCCCTCTTCCTCTTCTGTTGGGTCGACGTGATGGTCGATCTGGTCAGTGGTAAATTCGTAGGCCAGATTTAGCCATTCCGAATATCTTCGAGAGCTCACAGAGACAAACCTTGGGGTTCTCGGGACGACAGTGATCCCTGGTCAACCACATACTTACCTTGGTATCTTCATGCAATGTTAAGGGGCGAGGGCTGACATTGGTTATCTTCAAAATCGGTCGACGCCCTATCCCTTGTATCATGGTGGTTACCCATCGTTCGCCTCTCGTTACCCACAATTTCCACTGTTCGGAGTTCGACCTTTTGAGAGGCACTTCCGTACATCCTCCAACGGATATCTGTACATACCGACCCAATTTCACATCCGATACTCGAGTATTGTACAGCGTCCTTCGCCCAGTCAACTGTACCCTGACCTCATCGGGGAGGCAAAGAGTTCCGTCGGCCAAGTCTAACCGGATACCGGCTGGAACCATGAAGTCCATCCCCAAAATTGCTCTTGGCCTACCATAGGGCCTACCCACACCTTAAAGATGTACACCAAGTTCCCATTCAGAGTGACCTTGATGCGAGTGCGTCCCTCTGTGGTGTATACGGCTTCCCCAATACCAATACATTCTTGTCGTTCACTTTCATCAATTCGGCAGCCTACCTTACGAGCAAAGGCGATATCCAGGATGGATACCTCGGCACCAGTATCGAACAACAAATTTGAATGGTCGTTGTTGACCTTTCCAGAGGCTTTCGCTTGCCTGAACCATTTAGTAGGGGCGTGGTATTTTCAGTACCCCCTAGACTCGCCTGGCAATAAGTCCAACTTCATTACTGAACTTTCTCGAACAAAATTGTTAGGTTCATTTAAAGAAGCAACATGGACCACAGGGTAATTTCCAATCTTCGATATATTTCCAATCTTAACTGGAATACCCTTCCCCTCCTTGGGCTGTTTCTCCAAATATGCAAAGATGCAACAATTAGAACGCTCGGCTCGTACCAGATTCCAACCTGGCGAGCGTCCTAATTTGCCATCTTCTCGAGTTTCTCCGGGAACATCCCTGCATGCTTGGCTGGGTTGTACCATTAACGGAACAAATTATAGAGCTCCTCCATCTGGCACTTCCCAATCTCGTGAATCTCTCCACAACCCCGGCATACAAACAGGCAGCGGTCAGATGGGTGACCCTTCCTTCCACAGCGGTCGCAGGTCAATCTTTTCCAGCAATTCAGATCTCCATGTTTCTTGGACCCGCAATATGCACATCTCGTGTTTGGGGTCGCTGATGATGGGCCGGGTCGCTGGTCTACCGCCTGGCGATGTTGGTCGGCCTCCCTAGTCGGTAGATTCTTTGAGAACCTCACACTTGGATCCCTCCCCGCTTCCTTCTCCATAAGGTAGACTCGTCTTAGATCTCCCTCATTCTCCGAGGAGTCTGGGCTGGAATCTTTAGAGCTAGAGTCTTCCAGGGGCGTCCGTACTGCATGTATGGAGCGGCGATTCATATCTCTCGGCCTCTCGGGTAGTGCCGGTGCCTTCTGACGAAACTTATTTGATCCAAACAGCATCTTGCCTCGTCTTGCCTTCGTCCGCTGACATGCTGTCAATACTTCCTCCAATTCTTCCACGTCCGCCAGACGCAGCATAGTCAACTTGTATGCTAGCTTCAAATCGTCTACCGTCAAAATGTAGTGATCGACGTGATCCTTCTGAATCTTGGGCGACCCATCCTTAATCTTTATCTTCGCCCTGAGTCCAAGCACATTCAGGCGGTACAGATAATCCAGCGGGGTCTCTTTCGACCTTTTCTTCGCATGGTAGTACTGGCGGGCGACCGGTACCCCCGTGCCACAGAACCGAATCATGAACTCTTGGATTAGTCCTTCCAGTTTCCTCGTACCGAGCGACCCAGTTGACGGTACCAATTCTGCGCCGGTCCAGTCAGCAATCCTCCAAAAACGAGACATCGTTCATCATCTTGTGCTTGGTCTCTTATGAATGCTGTCTTGACCGTTAATACCCAGCTGCGCGCTCTGTCTTCGTCTTGGTCTCTTCCATTAAATTCTTTAAGATCCGAGGTCGCCGAGAGTTTGATGCGAGGGACCATATTAGGCATCTGTCCCAGCGCTGCGTTCTCCATCATCGACTGAGGTCCCCTCAAATCCATGTTGTCAGGGTCGAACTCACAGGAACCGACGGATTCCATATCGACGTCGGTCATCGTGTGGCCTCTTGGCATTTGTATGCCTGGATGCTGGTCATGGTGAGCGGTCGTCCTTTGCGCCTCTGGTCTTCCTCCTGCTACACTCCCGTTAGGGTGTGCCCGCGGTACTTGGCGTTCATTCAAAAATCTTGCCATCGCCGCGTCGAAGAGGGTCTGCAGATCGCCTACCGGGTAGGTAGGTCCTTCCCCCCCAGCATCTTCGTCACGGGGCAGAGCAAAATCCAACTTTTTTCTTTGCTGATTTCCCATTGGCTGAAAATCGGAATGATTTTCATTTTCGCCACGCGTCGCCATTCCGAGACCCCGTGGTTCCTGCTCCGCGCTGCGCGCTCGGGCCTGGAGCAGCGCCGCTCCAGTAGGGCCTAGGGGCATCCTAGTGACCGACCCAGTTGAGGACGATCCTGGGGACCACGGTGCTGCTTCCCTCTGGCTGCTTGGCATCAGGTGTTGAGATGGGCCTTGATTTGCCTCTGGGCGGCCGGCGGCTCCGTACATGTGGGGACCCACCGTGATGTCTTGAAGCGTCATCTGGCTGTCGTTGGACCGCATGTGTGTAGGTGTCACCAGAGGTGGGTGTTCCGTTGCTGGTGTGGTACCCACCAGGATCGACAGACGCTTGTGCATATGCTCTAACGTTGTTGTGATTCTGTCAAATCCCAAGAATAGCAGATCGTCCGGGTCGAACCGACCTGCGACATGTTCGCTTCACGAAGCATGGTGACCAGCGCAGTGATCGCGTCCGTGACGGTTTGCAGCCTTGGTAGGGTCGACACCGGCCCAGTGAGTTGACCCAGCTGCCGGATCTCCAGGATCTTCGCGACGGGGTCGCTCTCCAGGAACGCGTTTAGCTTGCGTTGGTGGTAGGCTCTCGTGACATCAGCGTCTGTCCATGACGCCAGTCCTGCCTTCTCGGGGCCTATCGACTTGGTGTTTCCGGGTGCCTTCATCCGGAACTTCGTCGGCTTGGATTGCGCGATCTTTGTTTTTTGTTTGTTCGGGGACCTTAGCCTCTCGGTTTTCACCGTCGGCTGATGGTCCTCTGGATCATGATAGGCGTCATGACCCAAGGTGTCCTCAACGAGGACATAGGGAGGGTATTTAGGTTTATCTTCAAAAATTTCAACCTTGACCATGTTGACCGGACCCGTCCCAAGGCCCGGTCGGTCCTTCGATCCTTTGTTTGTTTCTTCTTGAGTCACTGGCGATCGGTCTTCCAGTGTCTCTTCGGTCTTGTGCTCCTTCTTGACATGAACATCTTTATCGTCTTGGGACTCGCGGTAAAATCCCGCGTCTTCCGAAGATCCGGGCACGCTCACCATTGTGGTGGAGTGGGTTCTCAAAATTGTATGATGAGACCCCAAACCACTCACTGTGCCGGACTGCCGACTGTCGGAGGGGGTACCCCGATGCCGCGTATGAACCTTCTCTCACCTTGTGTACCCGTCGGCTGGCGGGTTGCACTCTTCGGAGGACTTGGTGACGATGTAGACGTCTGCCTTGAGGGAGGTAGACCTGGGGGCCTCGAGTGGATATGCTTCACTCGGTGGGCCGGTAGGTGGCCACTTGATCGATCTTGTCGAGAGTGGACTTAGAGCCAAATTCTTCAAGGGCGCTTGTCGTCCCTGACCTTTTCCTTCTGTTTCAGGGGTATTAACCACCTGACCTTTACGTTGATCCCGGACCTTGAGGTGAGGGAGACCGCTTCCGATAGCGGGTCTTGGGGGGTGTTGCTACTCGAACGAGCTCACAAGCCAAATATATCCTGGAGCTCTATTCGCCCTTGAATTTCGCTACGCAACTGTCTTCGACGGGGGGCCAAAATATATCCCTTCCCGGAACAGTGAGTAACTTAGAACAAGTCCTTCTTGGGTGACGGAGTCGTGCCACGTATATCGCAAATTGAGTAGTATTTAATATAGTCCTATCCTTTTAACTCTTTTACTCTATCCTTGCCTGAAGCTCTGATTCCTTGCGTCGACTGCTCTGATTCTTGTGTTAACTGGTCCGGAGTGGCTGAACCCCGAGGGGCCGAGGTCTACCAACGAGGGACCGGGTCGACCAATGAGGGACCCAGGTCGACCGATGAGGGACCCGGATCTACCAACGAGGGGCCAGGTCGATCAATGAGGGGCCATGATCAACTCCCTTTGGTACCGGTTAACCGGTATCCTGATACTGATTTTCTTCGGCGGATCCTGCGGATTGTTCTCCACCAACGGTCGTTCCCCTTCGAGGCCCCTGTCTCTCTGGTCCCCTGTCCCTGACCCACGGCCTATGCTCCGAATCCAACTGGAGTCTGGGACCTCCACATCACTAAATTAGCACTTCACCACACTACCCCTAAGTTCAGAGTAATCGAAAAAATGGGTAGCATAGTCCCTGAGGTTCCGAAAGGTCGGACCTCAACCCTTTTGGTCTATAGCTCTCGATTACGAGGCTATGACCAATTGATGACCCTTCTCGTGGATTCGGGTGCATCACAAAACTTTTTGAAACTCGCGGCTCCGAAAAAGAGACCGGCGAGTTATAAGTCGCTTTGCCAGGATGGCAAGCGAGAAGAGGCGATCGTTCGTTTAGCGAACGGCGCGCTCGTTGTATTGGAGGGAGTTCAAGTTGAACTCGCCTTCAGCTTGAGTGACTTCTCTTGTAAAGAGAGGTTCACAGCGCTAGGTATGGAGAGTCCGTATGACCTCATCCTAGGCATGCCTTGGTTGGATAAACACCAACCATGTATAGACTGGCGTACACGCACAGTCGCTAGCTCTACGCAAGACACCGGAAATGATGTGCTCCTGCAAGAAGCTTATGCGATTTATGCTGTGTCCGACACAGTCGAGGGTGCGATGACGGTATGTCAATCGACACCAGGAACTACCCAGCTCGAAAGGAGTGGTGTAGTTGAAAGTGCCCTGGCAGAAAACTAGGTGACACATATTCCTCCCCAGGTCGAAAAGACTGGTGTAGTGAATGGGGCGATGACAGGTAGTCATGCGTCCAATAGTCCTGCACAGAGCCGAGGGCCTGTGGCAGTTGATGGTGGGCCGACAGGAAATCAAGCGCCACAAGAACCGGCACAGAGCCAAGAGCCTGGTGCGGTTGGAAGGAGTGCGTTAGCTGAAATAGCAACGACACCTTCTTCCAGGTCAAAGGTCGTGGTGACTCGAAGAACGAGCACCAGACGCATTAAGACGATAAAGGGCACGTCGAAATGAGTGACCCTTGGATCAGTATCGGTCCAAGAGGGCGGACCTACGAACGAGTTGTTCGAGGCCGTCGAAGACAAAATGCCGGAGGCATCCTCAATTGAGGTTCTCCAACTTGTCTTGGCATCTGCCGAGGAGATAGTAAATCTCTCGGAGATAACGAGTATTCTGTTCCTGTCCGAACTTAAGGAAGGAAATATCCACGAGATAGTCGCACCAGTTCCAGAAGAGAACGTGGTGGACTGTTGCTCTTCATCCAAAATGGATGAGAGCGTCTTGGAGACCGACAAAAGAAACGGTTCTCTGCTCAAGGCTGGGAAGCCTTGGAGGACAGCCCGTTCTATGATGTTCTGTGGAAACACCGTGATGTGTTTCCAGCAGAAGTGCCGAGCCGCCTACCGGCCGATAGGGGCATCAGGCACGAAATTGACCTGGAGCCTGGCACCAAGTATTGTGTGACCAGGCAATGGCTGTTGCCGAATAAACAAGTCGATTACATCGATGAGTTCTTCGACAAGCGAGCCAAGGCGGGACATGTACGTGAGAGAAAGTCGCCTCACTGCTGCCCGACCTTCTGTGTGCGTAAAGCCACGGGTGGATGGCGCGTGGTTCATGCTTATAATAAGCTGAACACGGCCACCATTCCAGCTCAAACGCCGATCCCGCGGAAAGATGTTTTGTTGAATTCCATGGGAAAGTCAACTATCTTTTCCGCGTTGGATATAAAGGATGGCTACTATCAGGTTCTCATGAGAGATACTGATGTAGCCAAAACGGTAGTAAGCATTTCGAGCGGTATGCTGTGGGAGTGGCTTGAGATGCCACGAGGACTGAAAAATGCTCCGGCAACATTCAACCGAGTGGTGGCTCACGTGATGCGTCAGCACTGTGCCTACGCGTCCCATTACTTTGACAATGTATTCGTGCATAGTAGGGTGGAGGACGGTCTGAGCGCAATAGAGTCGCACAAGCGTCATTTAGACGCTGTGTTGGAGACTCTAGGTGACGCCCAATTATACTTAAACTTTCAAAAGTGCGTAATAGGGGTCCCCGAGATACCTGTACTGGGCTGCATCGTAGGTGCACATGGTGTACGAGCAGATCCAGAAAAGGTCAAGGCTGTAAAGGAATGGCCAGTCCCACGTAATGTGAAGGATCTGCGCCAATTCCTTGGGCTCGCTAATTACTTGCATAAGTACAGCAAGAATTATGCGGAGCAGACTAAGCCATTATCTGACTTTTTGAAAAAGGATACAGAATGGACTTGGTCAAAGGAACAAGAAGATGCGTTCACTTCAGTGAAGCAATCTCTTGTAGAGGCACCGGTCTTGGCATTGCCAGACGCGGATAAGCCCTTTAGCGTCGTCTGCGATGCAAGCAATTTTGCAATCGGCAGCGCGCTCATGCAGAAGGATGACAACGGCGTTGACCGTGTCATTTCTTATCAGTCTCGGCTTTTAAAAGCTGCCGAGCTGAATTACCCTGTGCATGACAAGGAGCTACTTTCAATTAAGTATGCCCTTGTGAAGTTTCGGGTGCACCTCTTGGGCACCGAACCTTTTGTGGTTTATACGGATCACGCATCACTGCGGACCGCTATAAATTCACCGCACCTCTCGCCGAGAATGGCAAGATGGCTAACATTCTTCTCTGAATTTAATTGTGAAGTTGAATATAAGCCGGGTAAGTCGAATGTCTTGGCTGACGCGTTATCGCGCAGACCAGACTTCGAGGCAAGACACCAAGATAGTGTGTCTCGTGCGAAAGCACAAGTTGAGTCGTCAACATTGGCAGCCATGAAGGCCTACCATGTGACGAGCTCAATGGCCTCCGATATCAAGGAGTGTTACAGGCAGGACGAACATTGTCGCCTGCTGTTGGATCATTTTGGTGGACGAAAGGTTACCCTTTCGTCGCACCTCAAAGCGAAGTTCAATCGCTTTAGTTACAGTGATGGCCTGTTATGGCATCAGCTGTCACCTTGTGATCCTTTGAGAATCTATGTCCCTTGAGAATCTATGTCCCTCATGACACAGATCTTAAGCTGATGATACTCACGAGTGCCATGATGCGCCATCTAGTGGGCATCTGGGCCGTGAAAAGACATTCTTACGAGTGTCAGATGAATTTGGTGGCCCCACCTATATCGGTGGGTGGCCAACTATATTCGCTCTTGCGAAGAGTGTCAGCGCATACAACCTGCACCTTCAAACAGTGCGCCACTGAAGCCAATGCCGATTTTAAAGGAGTGTTGAAATTCGATCAGTTTGGACTTCATGTTTGGCTTACCGCCTGACCATAAAGGCAGGACGGGGCTCGTCGTCTTTGTAGACAGACTGAGCAAGATGGTGCATTTGGCACCATGTAGCACCAAGATCTCAGGAAAAGAGGCTGCCCTCTTGTTCCTGGATCACGTGTATCGACTACACGGGATGCCCGATTCCATAGTATCGGACCGGGATCCGCGTTTTACGTCGGTTTTTTGGCAACATGTGTTTGAGCTACTGGGTAGAAAGCTCCACATGTCAACCGCTGATCATCCCCAGACCGATGACCAAACAGAACGGGCCAATCGGGTCGTGGCGGATGTGTTGCGTACAGTAGCGACTCCCAAAGAATGAAGCAAGCAATTGCCATTCGTGGAGCTCGCTATTAAAACAGTGTTCACGCCAGTACGAGTGAAACATTGCTTTAAATAAACGGACTGCGTCATCCTCGAACGCCAGTCTCGTTTGTACGCAGCCCGAGTCTTAGTGGAGGAGGGCCCCTCATTGCGAATGCCAAAGAGGGCCAAGGTTTCCCTAGTGACACTGCTAATTGAGCAGTGGTCACGACACCTATAGGTGTCACAGAGGAGGCACGGTAAGAAATGCCAGTGCTCCTTGATGATGACACTATAGTGTTATCAACAGCGTCGACCCATGAACGAACTCTTGGAGGCTTCATAGGCGAGCTGGATGCTAAAAGCGTGAGCGAAGCTCAGCGCTTTGTGGATGAGCGATTAGCCATCACACGTAAAGTCCGTGACGCGATGGCAAGCGAACAGGACAAGCAAAAAGAATATGCAGACCAGCATGGTCGCAAAAACAATGAACACTTTATTGTGGGGGACAAAGTGCTATTAAGTACTGCTACCCTACCTAAACATGCAATTTCTGTACTACCTGGTGGTACTACTAAGCTATTGCCCCGATTCATTGGCCCTTTACAGTGATTGAAGAAGGTGGAGACCTAAAATATAGGCTCACTCTCCCACCGTATATGAAGACGCACCCCGTATTTTACGTGAGTCGTCTGAAACGATATATTGATCCAGAAGAGATCACATATCCACATGGGTCTAACGATACCGCTGCTGATGTCGACTGTGAGTCGAGCGTCGCGGCCGATCAGGCGACGAGGAAGCCGAGAGGCTCCCCGTATACGAACGAGGCGATAGAGGACTCGGGGATCGAGGAAGACTCCGCGCTTGACGCGGGTCTCTCATCACCAGTCGCTCTAGGATGTCCAAACGGGTCTTCAGGCGGTCATACCCCTGACGGTCCCTTGTCCTCACATCGCGTAGATCTGAGTTCAGTCGCGAGACTTGACTCTCGAGATCTGCCACCTGCCTCTTCAGCGCAGCGGACTCAGCCTGCGACTGAACAGCAGCAGGGTAGTAGGTAAGCGTAATCGCCACTCCTATCAAGCGCCACCTGTGTTGGTGGACACGGAAGGGACTACGCGCTTCCTTGTTGGAAGGCTGTTGGCCCACCGGTTTGTAAAGAGAAAGCTCCAAATCCTGGTCCAGTGGAAGGGTTACCCAACGAGCTTTGACTCGTGGGTGCCTGTGGACGCTTTTCGCGTTGACGTGCCTGGGCTGGTGGCTGCTTATGTGAAGCATCACCACCTGTCTTCTTTCTGCTAGGTCCGGAAGGACTAGCAGAAGAAGCGTGGCGAGAATTAATTGGGGGTCGCTTACCGAATATAATTTCATGCGCACGCTTCATGGCGAAGCTGATTCGCTGCGACCGCTGTTTCGTTGCATCTTCATGCAAGGTAACACGGCGCCGAAGTTCAGCTTAATAGTAGTCGGCTGTTTCGTTAGAACGCAGTACGACTGGAATTGGGAAAGCACGACCAAGTGCTTTGCCCTGCTTTTTCCACAAAGGAAAGACGCTATAGAATCTATGAGCGTCTATAGTGGCACGCTGCAAAAGCGATGCGCTAGACCCATCTGAGTTTATCCACTCAGATAGAGGTGGCATTGGTGGTAAGTCATTACTCACGTAGCCGACCTCGCGACGGCGGGCTAGTGAGGCCGAAGGTGTACTTGTTGGAGCTTTAAGCTCACACTCACCTGAGTCTAACTCTCCATTAGGGATTGTTAAGACATCAGCTTGAGAACTTACATCTGACTGAGTCGCGACTACTCCTTTCGAAGTAGCGCGCTCAGTCTTAGTCGCTGCGCTCGTAGGCGCAGACGACTGGGTTTTACCTTCGCTTGTAGGAAGCTTAGACGCTCCCTCAAGGACGGGTGCCTCAAATGATAGGGCACATGTCCCATCAATGCACTTTGCTCATCGCCACTTTGGGGTGATGGCAATGGTGTAGTCTCATTGTAATCTACAATGAGATATGGATCTTCAACCACATTATAGTGAGATGGAAGATTCACCTCAGTGCCTGAAGCACTTTGCGACGGCTGCGATAACTCGCGGCGCGTGCGCTTAGTGCTGGACTGCATGGGTGCCTTTGCAGTCGACCCATCAGCCTTACCACGTTTCGGTGGCATGAGAATTGAGCAGACTAAAGCGGCGCGTTTATAACGGCTGCAAGTCTCTCTGTCTCCTAGGCGATGTTTTACAAAATGTAAACATCGTTCTAAAACGGGGGATGGTGTAACAGGGCATCTAGTTACACGTAAACACTTAGTAATATACTTAATGTTTGGTCTAAAAGTATCCATGATTACTTTTGACCTGTCACTTGGGTGCGATACACAAAGGTGATTCACCCTCGTGAATGTGATATCCATTTATGGATTCACATGAGAAGGGATGACGCTAGTTGAAGCTAGGCATCACGACGTCTCAGAAAGACGTCAGTTGCGAACTTAAATCTAGGTTTAAGTTCATGCGACAGGATAATCTTCTAAAGAGTCGCGTATCCGATCTATATATATATATATATATATATATAGCCAATCATTAGTTAAGTATATATTTAGTTATAATTCATTAAATATAGCTCAGTCTTGAATTTGCTAAATCAAAAGCATCGCGCACGAGAAGCTCTAAAAAGCTTCTGCGTGACGTCGGTGACTTCTTGTTTTAGAGGTTCGTTGCACTCTCGCTTAAGCGAGAGGCAACTGGTGGTACGACTGCGTAAGCAGTCGACCAACCTCCTAACCAACCTCCTAACCAACCTCCTAACCACCCTCGCACGCGAAGGTAAGACGGTCTAACGGCTTCCTCGCTTGTGCATAAGGTGTGTGCTAGTAGTACGAGGCAACTTCGTAGAAGTGCCCGTCTACATGCCCCGTCACACTGCTCGACCGGTGGTTAATGAATGTCACAGTATTACTTCAAGTGACACAATGTGCCATATAATGAAGATCGTCAACACGGTAGCGCAGAGCAAACCTCTTCTGGGATGAAGCTATTTGGCTTTTGTGATCCTTGTACAGCGCGTCAAAATTAAGGACATCTTGCGCAAGGTATGCTTGCGATGTGCTCGGCTCAAAACATAAAACAGAATTCGCGGGATTTCTTGTTGCACGACGCGTTCAATGTTGGAAGGTAGTCCACATAATAATGAACGAACTGGGACATTACTTGACGTCCGTGCTGTGGCCACTATGACCAATTTTTCTTGGAAATGAATGGATAGGAAAGGTCAGGCAATGCATATATATAAAAATTAGTAGCAGTTTCACATTTGCACATTGGCATTCAAGGGAATAGGCGGGTTCGTTACGCCGTATCGTCGCGTGCAATTACACAAGGGCAAGCCGTGGTCGTCTTCTTAGCGAAATTTAATGACATTCTTTACTGCAGCTCGATTGTAAGTAGAGACGAGGGCAACGTGGCATGATGCCACTTAACCTTTTGAAGCAGCGTATCACGTGATCAATGTCTGTAACTCATATGATTGGTGGAAACAAGTTCACATGTCATCTTTGCTCACACCTTGAAGGCCATCAGCGCTAGCAACACATACGAAACACCGCCACTAGAAGCAAGCACTCTGTAGTTTGCAGCCAAGATGGAGGACATCAAACACAAGCCCACACAATATATGAACAGAGAGCGCCTAACGCGCTGGGCGTACCTGGCATTCGCCGTGTCCACGCTGTATGTCATTGAGCGCGCAAAAAACAACAAGATCCCGCGCGAGGTGAGTACAGACAGTACTGACTGAAACCGGTGAGTGCATTGTCTAAACTGTTTGATATTCGTCTTGATGTGTAGAACTTTTTGGGAATGATGGCGTCGCTGCTGCCCACAGAACTCTCACACAATATTGCAGTCATGCACACGTGTCTCGTAACTTTTCTATTGAAGAAGAAGATGCCGATTTTCTCGCACTGGAGCGGCGCCATTGCGGGACTCGTGCAGTGTCTTATAGCTGCAAATCTTGTCAAGTCGTACCGACGAAACCTCTCGTCGAAGGAGATCATGCGCAATGCGTTAAGCACTTCTGACATTGTAACGGAGAAGTTGAAGGATATTGGCCAAATGACGTTAAAGCGATGGTTAGGCGTGTTACTACCATTGCCACAGCCCATGGCCATATCACTGAGCTATCCCGGCGTCAGCAAGATTCGCACACTTGCTTACGCGCATGTCGGGAAAATGAAAACCCGGAAGTTGCTCATGGACGTGTACAAACACCGAGATACACCATCCAATGCACCCATTTTCCTGTACATCCATGGAGGAGGCTGGGTCATCGGCGATCGTCGGATCCCACCGTTTCCTTGCGTTTACCTGGTCGCCTCGATGGGGTGGGTGGTATGCGTAATCGACTATCGGCTTTCCCCCGGAGTGGCGTTCCCCACTCACTTGATCGACTCGAAGCGTGCTGTTGCTTATCTTCGTCGAAATGCGCGCACTGAGTTTGATGCCAACCCGGAGTTTATTGCTGTAGGCGGTGAGTCTGCCGGTGGGCACTTGGCAAGTTTAATAGGTCTTACAGCGGATGACAAGTCTTTACAGCCTGGCTTCGAGGATGTGGACACTAGTGTGCGCGCAGTTGTCGATAACTATGGTGTTCATGACTTTACAGACCGGCATGGTATATACTACTCTCGTGACAAAACCCACGGTCTGATACGCTACCTCGAGTTTCTGGTAATGCAGAAGAAGCTCAAGAACAACAACGAAGACTTTCAGCGCGCGTCACCTATCGCCTACTTGGATGATGAGCGCGCAGCACGTCGCCATAGCATTATTCCACCTTTCATGATTACGCACGGTACTCATGATAACATCGTGTCGTTCGAAGACTCACGTCTGTTCTTCGATCGCTTACTCCAATACCGCCAAAACCTTCCCCAGAATATTCAAGTCTACCAGGATAAGCAACTCGGCGGTGTGCAGGATGTCTTCATCAAGGTGCCCTTCGCAAGTCACATGTTCAACTTCCTCCTTTCACCACGAGCCTTGGCTCATGGCGACGCTGTCTGTGTCTTCCTTGATAATGTGTTCAGTAAGACCAAGGAGGTACGGCTTGACGCTCGAATATTCCCCAGCTGCGTCGAGGACAACGCAGCAGTCCCAATGACCGTCGAGAATGTCGTTGAAGGCAGTGTTACGGAGACATTGCCTTCTGTTGCATTAGCAAGGTTGTAGGATTACCACGAATATATCGTACAGTTAGTGAGAATACAGTCACGCCAACTTGCTTATCATTGCATCAGCTCTGAGGCGCGCATGATAGACGAATAATTCGTCAGAGTGCTTGAACCTGGCAAAGACTGGTGCGTTGTCTTTACGAGAGACCTCTTCAACATCGAAATTTTTCCCAATTTCCAGCAAGAAATTAGCTTCAATCGTTGCATTTCGTGTCTCAAAGCTGAAGAACACATCAGTGGATGGGGACACCAATTCATGCAGCGTTTTAATCAGCCGCACGTATGCTGAAGCATGGTAGAGCACGTCCGAAAAAAGCACTACGTCAGTGCTCTTCGTCCACGACATTAACGAGCCACCAGATCGGAATGATTCTCCCCACTGACACTTCTCCACCGTCGGTATAGCAATTGCCAGCGATCTGTTACTGGTTGTATCGAGAAAATTCACGGCCACGTTCTTGGTCAACAGAGGCAGCGCGTACTCCTGATCCGTGAGCACTACTCGAGCTCCCAGCACCGCCAGTGTCATGCCCACCAGTCCCACCCCAGCACCGAGTTCCACCACTTTCTTTTCCTGAAATTTGAATCGGTCATCACATTCAATCCTCGCTGCTGAATGACAGACATCGTTCGCTTTGGTCTGCAAAAAGTCTGCTAGCAGCAGCGCGGCGTCCCAAACACAGTGACCATGTGACGGGAACGCCGGCGTACCAGAGCAAACTTTTCGATCCTGTACTGCCATTATAGAGACGTGTTGATTGAAGCTGGGAATTGTCACCACGTACGTGAACTCGCTTTTCTCCGTTCGTCCCCATAGATTCTCGCCAGAGTCGTCAATGTCGCTCATACGTTATTGGGAGGTGTTATAAATCTCAAATTATTAAAATTTGATTAGATAAAAATGTTACATCGAAACATCTCCATTCATCGAAATTCAATTTTTATGAATTGTAAAATTATGATTTCCAATCAAACCTCATTGTTGAAGTTTTTACTGTATTATCACAGATCAACAAAATTGGGGTGTGTGATGGTTAGCAGCTGAACGTTTCGAACATTCTTCATCCAAATTGGCGTTCTCAACGCGTTCGTCACTCGTGGTTAAGCTGCAAAAGTGACTTAAGTAAGATTCACGAACGCTTTGAAGAAGGAAAAGCTGGTGTACGTGGTGAAAGATCAAGCGCCTTTTTCTGTCAGCTTGGTAATACTTGAACAGCCACCTCGACGGTGGCGTAGCTAGAAAATAGAGTACGGCAGCGCCATCAGGAATGCTGCTGCCTTGCTAGGGCATCTAGCTTCACTACATTCATTTGAGCCATAGCAAACTTACGCTCCAAAATTGTTTAGAATGACGTTACCACCCCTCATCGCTGTTCTCAATCTCATCATCCACCACGTCCTGGAGTGAAAGTAAATTAATCGCAAAGGAGTTTCCAACCTCAATCTGCCTACTCGCGCGTCCATTGACTTTGTCCATGATTGTCAGAAAGGGCTCCACTTCGAACGCAAACGTATCGCCCGTACACGCGTATTGAAGCCCATAGTCGCCTCCTCGAGTGACCAGTTCCATTTCCTCACGCCGTGACACAATGCGCTGCTTCGCAGTGTATGTTCGAGGCCGAGTGATCGGACGAAACGCCTTTGGGGTGGGATTTTCATTTGTGATTGCTACGGTTCGCAGCAAAATGGCTTGAGCAACTTCCCTTGAACGCTTGAAAGCCTTAAGTGCAAATCCGAATCAAGATATAATTAAACATTGATGATACGCACAACAGACACGAAACCATCTCATCATATCGTACCTCCGAATTGCTAGCACCATTGTATGAGTTAGTCACCATTACTTCACACAAGCTCATTAAGCCTAAAGCGTCGGATAAATTTTCCACTTGCGAAAAATATGCAATACTGTTCTCATGGACGAGTCCTAGCACTCGATCCAGTGGTATTGCAGTTGCATCCAAAATCTGGTCAGTTGCATCCAAAATCCGGACGCAATCAGCATCATTCGCATCACTTTTCACGTCACTCTCATCATCACACTTGCGTTGTAACATTTTTCCATGCAGCAGCTTTCCCACAACGCGGAAGTCCGAAAGAAAGGAATCGCGAGCGCTGGAACTAGTCGACGATGATATCTTCACGCGAGCAGAAACATCGATCTTCTTGCGTTTCTTGCTTGCAAGTGTCAGAGCCATTCTAGGCTTTTTGCTCACGCTGAGACTTTGTAAAACTTGTAGCATATTCAGCGCATGCCGAATATCGCCATTGCTACTGTCTATTATCTTCTGGATATCTGCCGACTGACAAGCATAGTTTTCTTGAGCACAAATACGAGAAAGGTGTTTCTTCAGCTGGACAGAAGTCACCGCGTTAATATTAATGACCGAAGTCAGCGGTGAATGCATCACTTCGCGCGAAAACTTTCGGCTCAAATGCTCTAGATCGATCTTGTTTCCTTGGACGTCACTGTAAATGCATACGACAGGATAATGGCAGCTACCAGCCGGGTCTACCACGTGCTGATAGATTCGCTGAAGCTTCTCTTCATAAATCGCTTGCTCTTTTGACCATGACTGTGGCCAGCTCTCTAACAAAATCAACTCACCAGAGCTCTTCGGTGACGCCTGTAAATAACTGGGTTCTACTTGGCTGCTTGGTAGCCGTCGCTTCCGACCAACATAAGGCAAACGTCTGGAAGTAGCAACAGGAAGTGCCGTGTAGGTTGACGAACGATGGATAAAGTCCGAGAAATCATCTACTCCTGATACCTGTGGCGTCCAAAACTCTTTTCGTAGCATCCCTTCGTATTTGATTTTTCCAGCAGCTGAGTTGTCTTTCCACTCTTTTACAAACAACCTCTTTTGCCGAGCAATGCATCGTACTGCTGTCGACTTGCCCGATCCTGGAGGTCCACACAAGAATAGCAACCGTTTCTGGAGTATACCCGAGTGCGGCAACGCATTCCATTGTAGCCATTCCGAAATTTCCTGCACTTTTTTCTTGTTCATACAAAGCTCTTCCACTGTCTTCGGGGCGTATAAATCCACCCAAAGTCTTCGATTCGACTTTGCTGTCATCAATTTGCCATTGTTGTCATTACTCCACCGCAAGTTAGTAGCCCCACTACAGATACCAGCAGCGTCATCGCTCTCACTACTGTCAATAACCTCAACAGGCTTTGCCGGAGCACCTGAAACTTCCCTCGCGTTGCATAGTTTCTCCTTCGTCTTGTCCGCTGGTTGTGAGAGCCACTGCGACAGTTTTCGCGTCTTCCTTGTCAAACCAGGCCGCTTGCTCTCACACACTTTGCATCTGGACGCACTGATGTCTTCATTAAAGAACGTGCACATTGGACACTCCCACGTTTTGATATTGATCACGTCGCGTCGTATTTTGTCCTCCGATTTAGTCACCATCACCACGTCCGAGTCACTGCTGCTGTTCATTGACGCTCACTCTCGCTTTGCCCTGTATCGTGTCAACCCATCAGCATCATAATCATTCCTGCCTGTCACTCATTTAGCTGTCAAAAGCTCACTTACCGTTGGTTGCTGAAATTCAAAAAGTATCCATTTGTACCAGTTGCACCATTTCTATTACAGCATTTTCATTTAGAAATGAAGACGGAATCGCAGCCGGAAACGAAGGCGCCTGCCAAAGAAACGCAGACTGAAGAGTGGAAGAAGAGTTTTAATGAACGAGAGCAAGAGGAGATAGAAATGTCAATCATGAGGTGAGGTAACTGAACATGGCGGATGAGAATCTATCAAAATAACTGATTTTCTGTGACGACCTGCAAGTGTGAACAAGTTTTCACAAGAGCTGCAGCGAGTGCGAATGGTAATGAACAATTGGCGCAAGTAGGTGCCACATGGAAACAGATTTGGCTATTGAAGTATTAGTCCTCTCAGTATTTCATGTACCTGTAATGAATGTCAATCAATGCAGCTGCAACGACTTGCTAACTGATGTCGCTTCAATGACTTTAGTGGCAGTTGACTGGTATCATAGCTTCAAGTAGCACTTTAATGCGGTTTCGAACCATGACATGCAGCATGCTCTTCGTAGCGATGTAGGTATTGGTAGCAAATCCGCGCACTTCATCGTTGGGACTTGAGGTAAGCAGACGGTAGACTGGAAGCTGGAACTTCTGCTTGCCCTGCATCTCGAGGAATCGGCGCACAACCGGCAATTTACGGATGACGACATTTTTGATCAGGATCAATGCCCATCGAAATAGAATCTCCGAATTACGCGAGTCCCATAGCGAAAGCGTGTCGCCCAAAGCAATCACCACTTCCTCACACAAGAAGTTTGTCTCGAGGAAACAGTCTAAGAAATATAGAATCGGTCGAGCCTCCCACTGTTTGACCTCTTTCGACAGATCAAGCACACTTGGCTGTACTGGAATGCATGACGACTGCCAATATGACGCCAATGACTCGCACTTCTGTATGATTTCTTGTGCGTCTGAGAAGTCTGGCGTAAATTGCGGATAACCCGGTTCATTTAGCCAAATGTTGAATGAGATGTCACCCTTGAGATCAGTCCCTGAAGCGTTTGCAAGCTCTGGAAAGCTCTTCAAGAAAAATGTCATCATGCTTTCTGCTGGGATCGACTGGAAACAAAACTCGGCGCAGTACTGTTTGAGAAAATTATCAAACACCTGCAAGTTTATTTTACACAAGTCAGCACATGATATCTACTTTACATAAATTCAAGAGTCAAACTCGATAACAGAAAATTGTCGCTTACCTGGTCGGACCCGACGAGGTGTCGGAGGTAACATACGAACGCATAACCTTTTTCATACGCACACATGTTGTAGCAATCACCGGGATCAATTCCTTCGTCAAGAGGTACACGCAGACGCGTCAGAGGCGAATGCTCTCCAAGAGAGGATATCTCCTCACGCAGCAAAGCTTCCCCAAGTTTAGCGTCGAGGCAGCTCAACGCCCTAAGGTCAGGTCACAGCATGCTAGTAAATTGAAGCCCACAGCTATAGAATCTACCGAGTCATCTTACCGACCGTGCGATACCTCAGTAATGCGTCGCTCGGCATACATCGTAAAGCCTTCATTGAGGAAGAAGTCGCTCCACGTTGCATTTGTAACGAGATTACCAAACCACGAGTGAGAAAGTTCATGCGCCACAACTACAACAAGCAAGTAAAGAAGAGCCAGTAAGCAAACAACTTCAGTAGCAATAAAAGCATATATGTAAAAATGGATAATGCATATCGATGACTCACTCGACACAAGCGACTTATCGCCAGCAATTGTGCAAGGTGACACGAACGTGAGGCGTGGGTTCTCCATTCCACCATATGGAAATGAGGGTGGCATGACTAACATGTCGTAGCGTTCCCACAGATAATTTCCAAAAAGCCGTTCTCCAATAGTCAAGTACTCCTCCAGCACATCATCAAACTCCTTCGTAGCAGCTTCAATCATACACGGGTCCGTCCAGATACTTGATCGTGGACCCACTTTTGCTTCGACCAAGTCCCCCACTGCCATCGCCACCAAATACACTGGAATGGATTGTTTCATCTCGAATGTGAATTTCTTCTTGGTAATAGCCATTTCTCTCTCTCCTTCTTCAGTGATATAGTCTTCAATACCACACATCTTGGCACTCATGACACACACCAATTCCTTCGGCACGATCACCGAGGCGGTGTACGTAAGACGCACCGATGGCGAGTCCTGACACGGAAAGAAGCTACGGTTCAGCACTTCCTGTCCTTGGGTGTACATGAAAGGCAGCTTCTTGCCAGCAGTTTGCTCTTTTGTGAGCCAGCACACGCCAGGGCTTTCCGTCTCCGTCTCGTAGCAGATCGTGAGCTCAAAGATGGTCTCTCGCGCCAATTCCTCCGAAATCTCAACTTCCAATGCTTCTCCAAAGGACGTAAAGGGCTTGACACTCCATTGAGCGGCAATTGTGTCTTCCTCGGGCAGAGCGACACACACTGAGCGGATTACCAGGTGAAACACGTCCAGGCGAAGAATCGAAGCTTTTTCGCTTAGGCGCTTCACAGAAAGCATGGCCACACCTAATATGCGCTTCTTTTCCATCTCCACTTCCAGCTCCAGGTCCACATGATGCGTCTGGAACTCGCTTAGCACCGTGCACGTCGCGGGATCTTGACTGATAATGGTCATTTCTAAATGTTATGCTTCAACTATCAGTCGGCTGGATATCTACCAATGACAAAGCAGCGGATATGGATTCCGTCACTCGCACAAGGGAGGTCATAGTGACTACTCGGATTCCAAAAGGATGCATGCGACGCTATGGGACGAAGTACAGGGCTCTTGCGACCCAGTCAAGCTACAAAAAGCGCTTAATAATGGAGTAGACCCCTCTGTGGTGCTAGATGGATGGACACCGCTCCATTTTCTCTGCGAAAACCCCTCCGTTGATTCTGCAGCGCGTGCTGAAGGGCTGCGACTGCTGCTTCAAACGAACTTTGACTCGAACGCAGTGGACGAGGTATGGACAACAGTTGCACTTATAGGAACAATAGACACCACGTTATGAACTTTGCTGTCTTTGTATTGCTAGAACGGGTGGAGCGCTCTGCATTTGTTGTGCAAGAACAAGAGCGGGGGTGACGGAGACCTTGTCCAGAGTATCCAGCAGCTCCTGACGGCCAACGTTAATGTGAATCTGCAGACCACGGTGCGTACTAATCAAGTTTTTGTGTATTGATATGACGTTAAGGTATTGTGCTTTGTTGAAATGGAGGACATCTGACTTGTTTTTTTCATTTGCAGGACAACAAAAAATCAGCGATGCATTTTCTGTGTGAGAACGAAGCAGTGTCGAAAGAGGCATTGGAGGCTCTTCTCAAGGCTAGACCAGATACGAACTTGGTGGATAAGGTACATGACTAAGGAAGCGCTGGTGATGTTCTTGATATGATTACACTATTTGTTGATGACTTTGCTTGTAGGACGGTAACGCTCCACTGCATTATCTAGCGGAGAATAACTACGTCTCAGATGAAACGTTCAGTCTCATGCTGGCGGCCCAAACGAACGTCAATATCCAGAACAATGTTCGTTGATTTTGCTATTTACCTGCCCTGTAGTCGTTGGTTGATCCTTACGATGTGGTCTACGTGTAGTTTCAATCCACACCAGCCCACTACATCTGTCAAAACAGTCGCGCCACCCATCTTATGATTCGTGAGTTGTTGAAGCACAAAGTCAATTTCAACATCAAGAATAATGTAAGTGATCGATGCGACCAGTCGGACCTGTTCCCAAATTTCTGTTTGATCCTTTCACGTTGATCACTGACAGATCGGAAATACGCCCGTTCATTACCTGTGTGAAAACGACGTAGTAACGGTGGATATGCTCAAGGAGCTCATGAATGACAAGCATGTAAATGTCACTATCCCCAACTCGGTGCGTGGATCAACATATTTGTAAATAACCACTTTTGCGCTCGACGGGCTAACTACTTGCCATGTTGGATCTGCTGTCATACTCAGCTCGGGAAGCTTGCCAGTGTCTACATTCCGTCTCAAAAGGAAGACTGCCTTGCGTTCCTTCAAAAGTTTGCGGCACCAAACCTACTTTCAACGAGCGGCAACACTATAGCGACTGCAGAAATTGGCGGCGAAGACCCAAGTGAATTGCCAGAGCCTTTGAAGTCGGCACTCGCAGCTTGGAATACGTCACTCCCACCATTTGATGCCGCCTTTTACAACGCTGTTTCCTGCGAAGCTGCCTTTGGACCGATCTACGACGAAGTTCAAGAGGTTTCACGGCGTGCATGCGAAAATCTCGGAGAGTCTGCGACATTCGCTGCCTGGGAAAAGAGCTTGTGCAAGTGGCGAGCGTGTGTTTTGCTGTCCTATGCGGCACTCGTTCCTCCAAATATTTGGCACCAATATGCGGAGCAATTTCAGCGCCCAGTACCATCGGATCTCACGAAATCGCTGGAAAATGTAGAGGCAGCGTGGAAGCAATTTCCAGAGCAGACTCAGCGTCGCGGCCGCTTTCAAGCTCTAGCTGATGTGTTTACACCATAAATAGTGGAATCTTGTGCTGCTGCATGATGCGGTGCATCATGTCTGGAATTGCGACGGTGAATAATGCCGGTTCTGCTATGAATTTCGGCACTTCGTTCCGATGAGTACGAGCTTGTGTTCACACCGACTTGTGAACATTTTATAGAGCACGTGACGTAAACTTTATCCATTTCCGTTGCCGTGGGCTTCCTAGCGGGTTCTTTTACTACAATAGGAATATGTACTGCTTGCGACCGCCACAGTGCGCGGTCACAGAATAAGCACATGAACGAATAAACGAGCTTCATGACAAAACGGAGCTAAATGCGGTCCAACATTTTACCAAAACAACAAAACCTATAAAATACCGTAGTCACGACAAGGCACATGAAAACTTTGTGGCGAATGTGTGTGTACCCGTATCTCCCAAACGCTGCATACTTGGAGCGCAAATATGAACACTACATTATGGATTTACATAGATATTTTCGATACTATATTGAAATAGGCAAGTCACAATAATACATGCCATAATAATAATCAAGATTATTATGATAGCATGTATTATTGTGATCAGGTGTACCAGCATAAGCACTATCAATTTTTGAGCTAGAACCGGTAGTATCATACCGGCAGGCATACATTATTTAATATACGGATCATTAGATAAGGACAAGTTTGTAGTCACCACAACCGACTTCGTCCTTGTACCTGTCAAACATGTCTTGAAGCACGGAAAAGTATTTAGCGTGGACTTTGTCGATGTCATCCTGTGTGGGCATCTCAATGTAAGGCACCTCAAGAGGCTCGCCAACTACAATTGGAGTATCAACCTTGCGCGGGATCGGCAGCAGCGCGCGGCCGTACGGAAAGTGCGGAAACGGGAAAGCAAGTTTCTTGACGAACCAACGCTGTAGCATAGGGGCCTGAACGTTGTCCATCGTCTCGCCTTCTTTGAAGCTTAGTACAGGCACCAGCGGCACACCGTGTTCAATGGCAAGGCGGATGAAGCCCTTGTGGCGGGTGTACACACGCACCTCGTTTTTTGCTGACCGTTGCTCCAACATCTCAGTTTGGCCGCCAGGCACGAGCAGCACGCTCTCTTTTTGCTGCAGTGTATAGGCAAAAGCCTGTCGAGTAACTTCACGCGAACCATAAAAATGGAGCAGGTCTCGGGCAAGCGGAAGTTGATGCAGTATACTCGCCGTCAAAATGTGCGCGTAAAAGTTAGGAAACAGTTTTCTCCATTGTGCCGTGGACTGGAGCCACGTCAGCGACATAGGCATGATGCCATGAGGGTGGAAGCTCAAGATGTATTGCTTCTCTGGGTCCAAGGGAGCCATCCGGATTATGGTTCCACTGAAATATCTCTTGATCGTATCAACAAAGAAGCTGCTACCAGTAACCCAGCTAGCACGCTCACGGCAGCCCGTCAGCTGTGGGTTACCACGGTACGTGAGTTCGTACACGTAGATGAAGATGGTGAGGGTCAATACTGGCACAAAGGCGTCCATGTCGTAGATGTAGTGGCGGTACGTGATTATGGCCGGAATACAGGCGGTAATGATCTGGGGCAGCACATATTTTACATGGTAACGGTTAACTTCTTTCAGCAGACCATTGTGAGAGTCTTTTAAGTACAAGTGAGTTGCGATTGAACGAGACACCACCATGATAAACTCCACACATACCACCATCATGCCGTAGAAGACAACACCAGCAGAACTCAAGTTTGTAGTAGCAGCAAAGAAGACGAAACAAAAAGCACTTGGAAGAAATTGGATGTTGGCCAGACCTCCGACCACAATGACTCCAAGACACTCATCGGCAAAGTCCCGCAAACGACCATGTAGACCCATAAAGTACGCGCGGAACGACAATGAAGCTGGCACATTCGTTTCGTCAGCCTTCTTTTCTAATATAGCATTGGGCTCTGCGTGTTTCGTGTCGCCATCAAAAGAGGTAGCTTCAGAAAACGTAGCAATCGACGCATTTGTCGATCGTCCAGCCTTTCTGAACACCAACAACGACATCATCATGCCAATCTCCGCCACTACAAATAGCGAACCTGCCACTGCCATTGCACCCACGAACAGTTCCAACTCCACGACCACTAACGAAAGCAGATACAACACCTGCAGCGCTGCGCCAGCGCCAAAGCACGTCCACGACACCATCTGAAATAGCACAAACCGCGCGCCACCCATAAAAGGCTGATAGAAATTCCAGCCGTCCTTCGTCGACAGCACACCACCCAATCCATACGTGTTGAACAGCGCTGTGACGAAGAGAGCTAGCGATTCCAGGCCTGTCGCCATCGGGTACCCCACACTCATGCCCGACGGGTTTGGGAACACGCGAGTATACTCGGACGCCAATGCAAGCAAAGTAGCGCCTACTAGCAATAACATGTTGTTGAAGTTGTTAAGCTGCACCACGAATCGGTCCTTTCTTCGTTGGCGATTACGGTCCCGACGCTTGTCCAGCGTCAGCACGGACGAGATCATGAGCACCTCGGCAATGAACGTTACTGCCGCTTGCACGGAGCGGCTACCGGGCCTACAGAACGGCAAGTCACGCACGCTGTCAGATCCATAGCAAATGAGCTGCAACACCACAAACAGTCCGTAGAGCGTCCATCCCACGCTCTGGTAGATGGCAAACATGTGATTGCAACGATAAAGCCGAGCAAACTTCGCGAGCAGCGACGACGGAAGTGACAGCGTGGGTGAGTCGGGCGACGGCGGCGGCACTGCCGACGTGATACGTAGCACGCCGGTCGGCGCGTGCGAGATGGAGATTGGAAACCACGCGGCGGCGCTGGTGAAAGGCACGGCCAGCAGCAACGCCCATTGTGCCGCGGCGTGGGTATCGCCCTGCAAGACGTTGGTCAGCAGAAATTTTGGGTGGTGGTGGGTAAACTCTGCTAGTGCAAAGAGCGTGAAGGCGGCGAAGGAGGTGACGGCCATGGTAAGCAGAAACACGCCACGAGCACTCATCTGCTCGACGGGGACAGCAGCGAAGGCCGCGTCTTCGTCCACACGCTCAATAATGAGCCGCGGTAGCACTTTCGGTTTACGATGGGTGACCTGCGGTGTCTCCATTGATAATTTGTTACTTGATCACTAGACTGCAATTTGCAAAGTGGACAGTTTGATAAAAGTTTTGGTCAGGCAGAGGTTTCACCTTGAACCGTAATCGCAAGCCACAGCGGAATAAAGTTATGCGTAATCGGCAGGTTGGATACGGAAGATGAAAGCCGTGACACAAAAGGTGGGACCAAACCGACAGAAAACAGCTTCAAATATACGCAAATACAAATGTTTCACAAAATTTGTGCAGCACCAATTTTGACCGTTTCTCAGCATTTCTGATAATGCTATTTGTTAAAGTATACGCTTGAAGAGACTATTTGGTGTAGAAGGCAAGTTCAAGTAACAAAGTCCGATAGATTACCAACCTATAGCGACATGTTCTGCGCTTACAGAACATGTACTTGCTCTAATCCCTAACAGATCCGCGGCGTATTAACATTAATTGAAACATAGCTACAACCACATATTCGTCAACGTCGCAGTTTGGACACCAAGTCGTTCAGGACTGCCTTACTCTCCTCGGGCTTCGCGACGAACGCAATGACGGCCGCAAAAGCGGTCAAGCCGATTACGCCAATGCCAGTCTTTCGGCCCGGCAGCCAGATCCCTGATGACTTGGAGCGGGCATTCTTCGGCCTGCACAGCGCACATCATACACCACACACAGACTCACTTTAGCAAAGCTATGTACACCCAAAAAACAGCAAACCACGGCACGCACGGTCGCAAGGCAGTGGCTACGAGGACACGAGCGACCTCTTCCTTCACGCAGTGACCTTTGTAGCACTTGAGTGACGTCGAGTACTGCTTCAGCAGTGCGTCAATCGCAAAATCAACGGGCTCTTCTTTTACCAAAACGCTGCTTTCATCACTGTTCTCCATGACATTCTCCACGCATTCTTCGTGTGTTTCCGGCTTATAGCTAATCACCACACGCGGGATCGATGCAGGCAACTTCTTGTCCAGCTCTTCCACAAACACTTTACTCAGCTCATCCTCAGGGTTCAGCACCAACAGCAAAACATCCGCTTTCATTTCAATCTCGTCGTCTGACAACGCTTCTGTGATCTGCCCATAGCACCCAAGTATTCATATCTCATTAGTTGCAGTATTTTTCAGGCATGATATGAGTAAGTAGCAACATACAAAAAGATACTTCGTCGTGTCCCGGTCTGGAACAGCACCGATACTACGTAGAATAAGCTGTTCGTCATCTGCATAAGCTTTATCTTCCCCACCAGCAAATGTGCGAACAAAGTCTTTCTTTCTCGAGCTCGGTGAACCAAATATGTAGCACGAGACCACGTTACGGTCGATCCTTGCTGCATTGCGCGTCAGACTACGACCCCTGTGTCAGAACCAAAACAGTAGAAAGTTAGACAATGTCGTGTCCAGGATTTCCATAAGCAGAGCACATACTTCACAAACTCAATTGCTGGGGAAAGCTTGTCGTTGTAACCCAAATAGAATAGTGTCTCAAGAAGCTTTTGCGGGTTTTCTTGAGCCACGAAGCTCCAGCAAGCCAGCCACACTGCGAGTGAAAGCGTGGATTTGCCGTCCACCATGTTTTTTTCATACAACGGCGGCGACAAAGTAGATGTGCATGTTGCCCAGGGCGCACACTCATCCTCACAGATGGAGAATATTGCTTCAACCTCATTCTCTGCAATGTTATTATCCTTATTCGCATCAAACTGACGAAATAGGTTCGTCAGGAACTCGACCGCTTGGGAAGTGAGCTGCGCAGATTGATCCTTTTCGTACGAGGGTAGCTGCAGACGTTCGGGAGGAATTTCCAGGTGCAGATCATTGTTGTATCCTAAACTTCGCAGCACTTGCCAGCCTGATTCCGGCCGATTGCGATCGATAAAAAGCCACCATAGATAAGTGAATCCCTCTACAAGAAGTCCACTGCGGTCAGGAGCTACTCCGGACGGCACTTCAGATGAAAGATATTCCATCAATGTATCAATCTCCGTGGAGAGAAGGCGTACACCAAAGCAGTCATACTGGTACTCATTGAGCTCCTCTCGACTGAGGATACCGCTGCGATCGCGGTTATACAGACGAAACGCTCGCTTGATCGCCTTAAGACACTTGGGCTGCAATTGCTACACAAGCGTAAATGTACAGGTAGACCCTTAAGAATTAATCCACACCAACTTTTCCAGTCCTACCGTACTCGTTTCTTTTCATTGTAAAGTGGCGCAACAGGATAAAGCACTGCCTTCTGTGCCAAGAAAAACGCTTGTGCCACTTGTGTAAAGTTTTTCGCCGAGCATTCCACCTCTGACACTACAAACTACAGCACGACAACACCATCAACACGACAAAAAAGCCAGCGCCATAACCTCTTCCAGCTCATCACAATATGACAACGACCAAACAATAAATGCTTACCGGGTACGTATTGACCAGGTGTCGCACTTGGCTCGCGTATGAGCCGTCTGTAGTGGGTGTGACAGCATTAATGTCCACTTTATTGGCAACCAGTACGACTGGTATCTCCTTATTCTTGGCGATAAAGTCCAACCAACGTCGCAGCCGCTGAAACGTCTCGGGTCTCGTCAGGTCGTACACCAATAAAATGGCGTCGCTACGCTTGGTTGCGTTCGTCACGCGCATCAAGTCCGACACGCGGGCTATCAAGTCATTTACAGTCAATATATATCTACGAGTCAAGTGTAAAATGGTGTGACGTACATGAAGTGTCAGTGATTGAAATGATGACGTTCTCGTCGCTCTCTTCGGCTGGGATCTGAACGTCGAGGAGCACGCTCGGTACCCTCTCGCTAAAGTGGCGTGACACCAGTGAGCAAATAAGAGACGTCTTGCCCACCTTCTCATCACCCAGTACTTCAATGCGTACCACCTGTGGCTTTAATGGCAGCTTTGGACGCGCCGGCTCCGCTTCATCACCTCGTATTGTCTTGGTCGCCATCTTTTGCTCTTGTTGACTACCAATTGACACACAAGTGACACCTGAATGTTATTTTCTCTACGAATCAGAATCTTGTTGATTCATTGGTTGAAATCTGTCCTTCGTCGGATTGCAGTCCTGAAGCGTCGTTTAAAGTCATTTAGAAACGGACAAAAAAGCTTTTAGTGCGGAGCTTCCGCACTCAAGAGTGCAACTAAAGCTGTAAGCTTTGTTAGGGTGCAAGACGTGTCGCTTACTAGCGAGAGATCAAATGAGAGATTTTAACCAGTCACAGTCGTCCGCAATGGTTCAGGAAGACTCACCCACCGACTCGGTTGCCATCTCTTCATTGGAATCTCATTCGCTTTTTCTTTCGCGTATCAGATGCGACGGCCATTCAAACTGTGATCTGTGTGAAACAAGCAGCCTCATGTCGCAACAGATGGGATCTTATTCGACGACCGAAAAGAAGCGCCAGCTGTTTTGGCGCAATGTGATGAAGCAGTTCAACTTTACGGACCAATCGGAGCGCGAGCTGCTGCTGTCGCTTACAGAAGGCGTCTGCTGGATGCACATGCAAGGACTTCCACGACACTTTATACGTCGCCATCGAGAGATCTATTACCTCTTATGTGCGTCCGAGTACGAGCGCTCGGACGCCATTCGACGTGACGTGACACGTACTTTTAGTATCTTTGAGAGAAATGACGAGCATCAACTCGAAACACAACAGAGTGCATTATTTCGAGTCCTAAACGCAATCGCAGAAGCTGAGGATGTCTACTGTCAGGGTATGAATTTCATTGCGGCGCTCTTCTTGGTGGAAGGCCTGTCAGAAGCTGACGCCTACGCACTGTTCCTTTACATGCTCAAAAAGCGTCATCTGGCGGGGATTTACCATCGCAGCTCCATCTTCTTGGACGAGTATCTTCAGCATTTTGAACAAATGTTTATTCGAGACTTGCCGATGCTGCACGCACATCTTTTAGTGCAAGGCTTTGTCATCCCCATGTACGGCATCGAATGGTTTACAACACTCTTTTCGTTGTCGACCAAGACAGACCTCGCGTGCGCAATATTTGATCTCTTCTTTGTCGGCGTGCAGGACATTTTCTTGCGAGCAGGACTAGCGATGCTTAAGCTTCTCGAGTCCAAGCTCATGTGCATGACGTTTGAAGACTTTTTGCGCGAGTTCAAACCTCTTGTACGAGAACTGGATCCGTACCAGGTTATTTTACAAGCCCTTATATTCCGACCAAACCACAAAATGCACCGTGAAGACACGACTGCGTATGTATCTCGTGAGCACTTTATCCGAGCAACGGGCACTACAACTCCTTCTTGCAGCAAAACGGGTGCCTCAAGCAGCGACAGCATTTCTGCAGATGGCGATGAAGAATCTGCCTCTATAGGCGGCTTCGGATTGCATCGGACGCTACCACCCGAGATGGCAGAGGCAATCCGTTTGGGACACGGGTCACTCGTACGTCGATTGTGGGAAGCACACGTAATTCGCCGTCACCACAGCACTGCCGCTAGTATCGTACTAGCCAACGAAATTCTTCACTTTGCTATCTGGAATGGGCGGGTGTCGGTTGCGTGCTTTGCGATTGAACATTGTAACGCTGACGTTGACAATTTGGATGACGCTGGTCTTAGGCCTTTGCATTTTAGTGTGATTCGAAATCAGCCCGATATGATACGGCTACTGCTTGCTCACGGTGCGTGTATGCAAGAGACCAGCATGCGGAGGATTTCGCCGCTAGAGTTAGCACATCGCTGGAATCGATGTGACACGACGGCGGCACGCCTTGTATTGGAAAAAGAAGAGGTGTGTTTGTACTGCAACACAAAGTTTGGCATCCTGGCTCTTGAGACAGCAGTGTGTGGTCACTGCGAATTCCGCTTTTGCTGTAAACCGCAGCATGCTCTTTGTATCTTTAAGCACCAGTGCCCGAGAGCTACCTGCGGTCGACGAGTTCGAGGATTTGATATCGACTGTCAGCTGTTCGAACAAACGATGGCGACGCTTAACATTAGTGGTGAAGAGGTGGAAGGCAACCATGAAGCGGAGACAGCCCTATATCTACCTAGTCGGTGCGAGGGCCGATCCAGAGGGTCAAGCACGTCAAGCGCGACATCTACATGTACATCAACAGCGTCTCTTGGGGCTGGAAGTAGTAGTGCTACACGAAGTCGCAGTATGCTCGAGCTGTCTTTCATCAAGGATTTCAGCCCCCAAGCGTTTTTCGGCTCACCGGCAGGGATGTATTGGCTAGAGTCACCTCGCTTTGACGACACTGCTCCAACGTCCGTCGACCCAGCGCACACTGACCAAGAGACTGTTACAATTGGAGCTCTGGAGACTGACATAGTATCGCTTCGTCCAACCTGGCAAGCCGCACGTCCTTTGATCGAGTTTCCCGATCGTCCAGAATGGTACTGTAATGCCCGTGACTGCCGCTTTGTCTTCACACTATTCTCGCAAGCCGCCAAGTGTTTGCGGTGCGACGGCTACTTTTGCTCCGAGCATGTCAATAGTAGAACCAGACACTGCTTCGCCTGTCGGTGACGTGTTGTGTGTTCTGCTCCCTTGCTACTACTAGACGTTAGATGTTATCAAATATCAATACCACAAGAATCATGTTCCAACTTTCTTTATTCGTACACAACGAGCGATTGCTCGTCTACCTCCAATTCGCTACTATTACTACTACTACTGCTAATACTGCTCGACCTTGAACGGGTTGACTTCCGAGACTTTTCCGCCGCCACAAGAACGCTAGATCGGACACTAAGCTCACCATCTAAACTTGCCTCGGCATTTTCAATATTGCTACCATCCTCCGGTATAGTGCGGAACGAGTTAAACTTCGCTGGATTATGTCTAGCAAGTCCCGGTACCGCCACACCCTCGTATTCGCAGCCGCACATAGAATTACGACGTGCCATCCTATCATGAGTCTCCTGTTCTTCGTACTGTCGCTCCTGCTCATCACTCTGCTCTCCTGCCTGATCAGCGTTCAGGTCCACCTCAGAGCGTGCATCCTGAAGGCGCTGCAGCTCCTGCTCGTAATGAGCAACATTCGATCTCAAATTCAGCATGCACTCGTCAATATCCGGAAACATAATGTACATGAGGTCCCAAAGTGGTGACACGATCTTCTGCGCGAAGAAGAGCTGCCCTTCAACCATTTTCAGTGGATCATCGATGTTTCTATACGAGATCGGTATGTTTTCAGCCTGCTCCATCAGCGCTTGATATGCGAACTCTTTTGAGATCATATTGCTCCACTTCAAAGCGATAGGTTTCGGAAAGACTTGGCCTGATAGGTCACTCGCGTGTACAAGCGTTTTCACGAGGAATAGACGGTCTTCCACAGTACCGTTGTACATCCAGCCGCCCTTAGTCAATTGCCCACTTGACGAACGACTAGGAGTGCATTTTGCACCAGCGGTCAAGTAGAAACTAGTTGGGGAACCAACAGTGTTTCCAAGCGAAGTCACCACCGTATTTACTTCAGGCTGCATTACAGCGTCACGCAACACGTTTAGAATCTCGGAGCCTTGTTTTTCTTGATCGTTAGCTGTCGTGATATCAAGCCTTGGCTTCGCTCCGCTACTCACCGCAATTATGGCAGTGACACTCGAGTTGTCACGCTTGGCGGCTGAGATCGCAGTCGTGTCAACATGATGGCTGGGAGGGCGTATTACTTTTTTAATCTTCTCTAGGAACTTGAAATGATGCGCCATATCCGTGCCCAGAATCGCGGTTATCACCATCTTACGAAAGTGGCGGTAGTCGGCGGAATTTAGATTCTGCAAGATGTTTGCGTTTTTTTCCTTGGAAATCAAGCGAAAAGTCGTGTAGGCATGATGATGCTCGAGAACAGACTCGTCGCTATAAAGCATCGCTAGCTGTGATCCAGACTTCACTTCAAAGTCGTTCGTGTGTCCCGGGTGGTCTACATCATGGCCAAGCGAAGCAACGAGACAGGCTGCGATGTCCAACGGCTGAAGCAATTGGCCGGCATCAGTTGTGCTAAGTAGAAGATACGATGCATGGACGACGGAAAACGCGTGCAGGAAGTTGTGAAATGGATTCGGGTGGTAATGTTCTTTCATTGCCACAATAAAGTTTTGCAGCCGGTGCTTTGTCGTATGCAGTACTTCATCCACCTTGAAATCCACGTACATCTCTTCTAGTAGCCTCGGGAGAACCACCGGGTCCGTGGCAAAAACACTAAAATTCCACGACGGAAATCGTGATTCTTGCGGCGCGCTAAACAATAACTGAAGGGGGAGCTGTTCATTAATATCGAAACATTCGTAGCCCAACCGACCAGAGTATTGCTTCCTGTGGCGAATCACCTTGCTAAGACGCTGCTCAACGTGATCGCTCACTTCGTTTAACGCAGATGAAGTGGTGGTCGAAGCAGGCTCCTTAGCTTGATCCTTAAGCTTAGCAGTAGCTGCACACTCGAGGTAGTCTACGTGTCGATTACTTGGATCGAATGAATTGCGTGAACAAGCTTCAGGATGTGCATGTGCTGCGGAGGCATAACTCGTATAGCACTCGAGCAGATTTACTTGGCTTCGAGCACGTTTTGCCAAGACATGCTCCGCACGCGTGTCGGCTAATAACTTGATGTACTCAATCTCGTTACTGCGTCGACGTAAAATTACCGCAACCTCGCACGCAAACGCTTCAAGAGCGCACTCGTCATCAAATGTAAATCCTGGACGATACCCAGCAGCCAATCCACCAGCTTCTTCTTCTTCTTCCACCTTATTTATGATCTCTAAGACGGCGATTGGTCGACTACTACCAGATTCATCGACTTGTGAAGATCTCTGATTGCCCACCGGAACGTACAGCACGCAGCGCGTTTGAACGCCATGACGTTGGTCTGTCAACCAATTGTAACGATGGTCTGTCTTTGGGTTCTGAACGTTCAACGTCTGCTGTGTAGTAGCAGCGAGGCCTAGCATGCTTGCTCGAAGAGGAACTCGAAGTGTCTCACCGTAGTAGCTAGACGAAAGCGACCAAATCTCGTCCGTTTCCCAGTCAATCATAAACAGTGATACACGTTCCGCTTTTGTGATGTGACACACTCCGTCGATCACACCGTCCACAAGGTTTAACACTGTATCCTCTGTATCGGACGAGCTAATAGTGCGAAGCAAGGCCTTCTGTGTACGTTCAGACAGCAGTATATCGTGAAACTCGATACATTTACGCATGCAGGAGCTCAAAATCGGTCCCAACCACGTTAACAACTTTAAATGAAGCTCATCCATTACACGCCGCGTAGAATGGGCAGTCGTAGCTTCAATAATCGCATACACTGCGTCATGTTCCATCAACGGCACGCAGTACAGTTTCTGTTCCGGAAATTCATGTGCCAAGTCCACCTCGGGGTCATATCCTTCTTCGGAACTAAAGTTTACTAGATACCGTGCTAACCGTGAGTTCAGCGTCTCACCTACTAGTCCTCGTGACGGTGCTAGTCCCGATTGCGTCGGTGCACCTCGAGTGATGCGAGACATACTCTGCGAGTTCTGATCGACCAAGAAAACGGCAGCCGCAGCCGCTTCAAGATCATTCTGTAGAAAGTCCAGCAGCAAACGGATCATAAGCACCACGTCGTAAAGATTCAGAATGTGTTGCACTAGTTCCCAGAAAGCTCGATGCTTCTGCTCGATCAGGGAGCAATCGTCCATGTCCAGCTTGTTATCCCTATGATCGGAGGTCACTGGGGTACCAGTGCACGGCATGAATCTTGATAGTACACCGCTTACCACCGATAGCGATGTGGAGGCTCCTGTTGTAGGAATTTTCCTGTGCTTAGTGTCATTGTTACAGCGAATTCCCATCGGATTCAGCGTCGAGTTGTCATTAACAGAACTCCCGGCACTCTCTCGTCGTCTACGTCGACCTGCAGTCTGCTGCATAAGCTCTTCATCGTCACCGTCAAGGGACGACGAAACTGTTGAATCCGAAAGCGAGTACGGTTTACCCGTGGGCTGCTTCACAGGTGGCATTGACTGTGTTGTGTTCGTAGCGGTCCCGGTAGTAGTAAGGGCGTTCCCCAATACTACTCGACGTGCACTGCTAGTGCTAAGGGTGTTCCCCATTACTACTCTATGTGTGTTTTTCTATCTCTTTTTCTGACCTCTTTTCGTTTTGCAGGCGCGTTTTAGTTCGTTTCTGGTCGTCAGAAGTTCCACGTTAATTGTCGTCGGTGGCGTGTCGCGAACTGAAGTCGAAATATCGAACAATGTTATAATATTAGGCGTTCACTTGACCTCTCTGCGATACGATTGAAAGTGGAGACTACCGCAAAAACTGACCTTTTGGGGCGTCGCATGGCGGAAACTACTTAACGCTTATTTGTGTTTTGTATTGCAAAAGTGTCATAAAAACCGTGTAATTGTAAGGGAATACATTTGATAGATTGAGTTATTTGCTAATATAAAAATAGATACGTCGAAAAAGAAGACTCCATTTGAGGATTGTTAAAACGATTTTATTTAACACATATAGAGACGTCTCTCTCACTCATGTCCTCCCTAGTGACTACTTGTATAATCCTTTTTCATGCATGTGTAAAAGTCTACTTAAGCGTAAGAGACTCGATCTAAGAGCTCTGCTGAGACAATTTTTCTTGGATCTTTGGATTGCGTTGAGACGTGACTACCAAATCAATCAAACCAAGTCAATCGTACATTCCCTGCCGCATCAAGATCAGACCGACTATGCATTGAATGGTCCTCGGCTGTCAATCTAGTAACTTGATATCTACGTCAACAGTGTAAGAGACGACCCTGCAATTTTATGACAACCGAGCTACCATTGCAAATAAAGTATTACGTCCACAGCCATGTCAGCAAAAAGACAGCAGTTGTCGCTGGCGATGGGAGGAAGTCCACGATGCCGTCCTTCCAGTGACATGATTCATCGTAAAGGAATTGCATGCTCTTGAGCAGTGATGGGTGCAGTGTGTCAGGTTCGTTCTCATAGAGCCACATGATACCCGCCCAGACCACGGTGGCCAGCAGCGGGTACACGTGCTTGAACCGGTGCTGTGCGAACGGCTGGTAGCCCTTGTCCGCCAGTACACGCACCAAACTGATGAGTGCGCGCGACATTAAGTACATGATGATCTGATAGTTGACGCCTGAATAGCGACCCCAGATCAAGTAACCGCCGACACCGCCGGCCACAGCTGCGTGCCAGTGCGCACCAGGCTTCCCAATGTCCGTGGCCACATGCTGTCCCAATGCATGTTGCTGATGAGCACGTAGCACTGCTAGCACAGATTTGTATACGCCTACGAATAGCGCCAGATTCTTACTGTGCTCAAATGTCAAACGTAGTATACCACGGAGTTTCTGACGAATGGAGCCATTTTGGAAGAGACATATCATCACCATTGCTAAACAAGCACAAGAACTTTCGTCATTTTATTATACAAGCATAAGGAGAAAAGCCTATGGTGAGCAACATACCGTGCGGGGCGCGCACCTTGGTGCCGTAGAATGAACCATTACGGACGCCACGGAGAATCGCGAGCAGTGCCTTCTGCATTGATATAGATACAATGCCATCATACGGTGCGATTGGCTCGTTTAATTAACTTAGGTCAGTTGATTTGTTGTGCCCTCCTGAAGTAACATAATTATTCATGTAATGCCGTCAAGAACAGCGTCATTGTGCGCGGCTTCTTGTTCCTATAGCTGATACATCTGCCGCTCGTCACGAACACGTATCCGCATTGTGCTTCTTCTTGACCCGATGCTGCTATCCCGGCCTGTATCCGGCTAGCTAACCATATGAATTGAGCCAGCTTCGTTGCAAAGCGACACGTCACATATTGTGCTGGGCGCCGTGACTCAGTTTGACGACAAATCATCACTAAATGACATGAACTTTTACTTTCCGCATTCACGACATTTCGCTGCAAGTGTGTGCAAATGCTGCAGCGCATCGGACTTGTCGTTGGCACAGCTTCACCCTGACAGCGCTTTTAACCTGCGGGTCTACTAGACATCTTCTAGGTACGTCTGACATTTATTGCTCACGAACAGGAACAGCAGCTACAGATGAGACAATCGTGCGGCCGGTAGTGTCCTTGCATACGATGTCTGTCATGTTGGTCCATTTGACGAAGCTCTATAGGCTTCCAAGAAACACGGCTTGAGCCAGGTTCCAGCATCATTGGTGAGTGACAGTGCCGAGGGCAACGCGTTTTCTTTCGAGCGCCGAGGCACACTCTCCCATTGCTAGCGGATTTGTGGTATCCTTCGAAGCTAGAGAGCACCCACTTTCAGATCAGACATCACTTCTGAAAAGGTGCAGTTCGCTCACACGTTGCTTAAGGACTTACTTGGCCTCCAGCCCGTTTCAAACTGCCATAGCAAGCTGGCGCGTCGTGAGTACCTTGCTTGCAAATGGTTTTGCTTATCTGAATGGCTTGCAGAACTAATTGCTCTTGATTTGATTGTGTAATCGATCTTGCACAATTTGGGTACTTGACCTACCGGCCATTGATACTAGCAGCTCCTAATGCAAGAGAGAACACAGAAGAGTGAGAACTACCAATAACTTCAGATCGCTTAGCTTAGCTTATCTCCTCTCTTCACGTCCAAATTTTGCAGCTGCTATTCAATAACGGACAGTTATACAGGTGACACGACTCCATGGACTCCTGTAAAAAGATGCTGACCATTCATCAGCTTCCTCGTGTTTGCACTATTCGTTCTGTACGGTTGTGGATGTCGACCTTCATTGACTCTCAGTAAGCGCTGGGGACAAGTCGCTAAAATATGGGTGTATCATAGCGTCAGCAGCAGTGATTCGCTTTGCAGGGTCGTACTGCAACATCTGCTCAAGCAAATCCACGCCGTCCTCGTCCAGCGTCGGCACAAGGTGAGCCAAGGTGTCCGGTGTTGGATAAACAGGAAAGTCTCGCTGTATACACATTGGGATGACACAATTAGATAACCGAGGACGAAATGGTGTGCAGTAATGTTCTTACTCTATAGTCTGGGAGGTCCACGATGGCCGGGTAAATCTCGACCGTAGGTGTGCCCATCAGGCGGAAGATGCGGTCAAGCTGGTCGGCCTCCGACGTGCCTGCAAACAGTGGTCCACCATTGGCCATTTCAGCAAAAATGCAGCCCACGCTCCAGATATCAACAGGTGTCGAGTATTTCCTAACAAGATGAACACAAATATGATCAGTACAAAGGAGGAATGCCATTGCGTCTGCACACATGAGCAGCGACACGTACCGTGATCCCATGAGCACGTCAGGCGCACGATACCAAAGCGTCACGACCTCGTGCGTATAGCTTCTCACAGGGATGCCAAATGCACGTGCCAGTCCAAAATCACCAAGCTTGAGCTCTCCTTCGCGGTTAATAAGCAGGTTCTGCGGTTTCAGATCACTATTGACAAGTGCGTGGTAATCAGCATTCTCATTTCCATTGCTCATGGCCTAAGAGGACAACAAGAGTACAAAAAGCAAAAGACGCACCGATGTAACACTCGATGCTGGTGGCAGTAGGCGATGCCACGCAGTAGCTGGTACAGGAAAGACTTGAGAATTGGCTTTTCCAGCCCCTTCTCGCACACGTCCAGATACTTCTTCAGGTCTTGATCCAAATACTCGAATACGAGGGTAAGCTTCCGGTCCGTGTGTACAATGTTGTACAGGCGTACGATGTTGCAATGCTGCAGCTCCTTAAGCAGCGAAATCTCACGGATGGCTGTGCTAGGAATGCCCTCGTCTTCGGCTTCCAATCGAATCTTCTTGAGCGCGATCACCTCACCCGTTACGCGGTCCTTTGCCTTGTACACCACGCCATATGTGCCTTCACCAACCTTCTCCAGCTTCTGGTACCGCTCCATGGGCTCGGCTTTGAAACGAAAAAAAATATCTGATAGGCTCTGAGTCACCACGCGTACTGTTTTGGGTTTTTCTTCCTGGGTTTTTTTCACTTTTGATAGTATCATTTGGGAAAAAGTACATTTCGTACTGAAATATCGCAAATTGCTCACACTCTAGTATCTAAGCTGAGACTAATCCTTCAGCGCTTCGGATGTAAAGTTGAACTCCACGGGCGTTGCCGCAGGTTCCCGATCCGCCGTGATGGAAAGCACGAGGCGCGGAATTGTGGCTAAATAAGATGAAGAGTGCTTTGGATCGGTGTACAGCTTCTTGAGGTATGTTTTGTATGCTGGCATGAAACGATCGACAAAGTCGCGCACTTCATTGGGTGTCATGGCTGGTTTATTGGCTTCCCGCAGTAGCTGCTCAGGCTGCTCGCGCCATCTATTCATACAGTGCATGTGTCAGTGATAAATATAATACTAACACATACATAATATCGAAATATGCTGTAAAAAAGAGAACGTACTCGTAGATCCAGTCCAAGTCGTCAATCTTGATAAGAATGAGGCCGTCTAGTTCCTTGTAGATTTTGTCAAAGACGCGCAGCTCCATGTTCACGACCTTCATGTGCTCACTGCAACATGATCGTCAGTCCACAGTAGGCTACGGTGTCAACTACAACTGCAACTACAGCTTCGAGCGCCTTTACCTCAGTTTGGAGCACGAATCGTCAATCGCTTGGAATCCCATGCACCAGCCTTCGAGAAGCAGCACATCTAACGGCCCTGTATGCAGCAAACAAATGTGATAAAAGGAGTCTTGGACCAAATTTAGTTAGTTCTGTTGCGCACCTTGTTTGCGATCCCACTCAGACAGAGGAGCACGGTCGCCACGGCCGTTGTGCTTTGATTTGTCGTAGCGAGGCAGTACAATCTCTCCAGTGGAGGTTTTACACTGCTGAATCAACGTCATCAGAAAAGCTACGTCTATCGTACCAGGATTGCCGCGATACTACCGCGTCGTATTGCAAAATCGTAGCCTTGTCAGTTCGTTCCTAGGTGTACACAATCAACTATGACACCCAATGCACCTGAAGCAGCGGGTTGTCTGGGTTAGCTTTCGCGAGGGCCATTTGTTGTTCGTATTTCCAGTACACGTCATCCAACGACATGACGGCGCATTTCTTTCCCATGAGAGACAGTGCACTTTGCATGTACATGGAAGTCGTGGTCTTTCCTCCGCCCTGTGGGCAGCTCAGACCAATGCAGACGCAGCGTTTAATGCCACCTTTCTTTTTCTGCACTGCTTCCACAACTTCCGTCGTCCAGCGGAACATTGGCAGATAATAATCATCCACTCGACGACGCAGAGCACGTTCTTCCACGGCCTGCGAACGTTTGGCAGCATCACGGCGGAGAAGGACCTCGATGTGATGACGCAGCTTTTGGGTGCAATTTGGCATGTTAAACAATGTCAAAATACTCAAAGGTTGTCTGTCCTACGTATATTGCTAATTTATAACACTTCACAGCAACCTTTACTTAAGAATGTTGTTGATGTAGCACTAAATATTCTTGACCAGATCAAAAATTGATCCCAATGTCAACACTTCATCGTTCCCGAGCCTATTTGCTAGTGATTTGCTCACTTAAATGTAGGCTCAAAATTAGGTCATTTGACGTTGAAGTTCATTAAATTTGGTTTTCGTGTCAATCCAAAATTTAGTCTTTGTATCCCATCCCGTAATCAATTCTCATTTACATTTTACAATCAAAAGCCCCATGGACTCGCCAAATTCAGCTTCTTCCTCATCTACCGCTCTATACGACGAGTGGGCGCTCGTGGACGATGCAGCAGAGTACATTTTATGTGAACAATATTGCATATAGCGTGTTCATTATAAACTGAGACTAAGACGTAAAGTGTTTGTTACGTTGAACTCGCAGAATCGTCGCGTCGATAAATAGCGAAGCGGTTCGATAACTGAATTTTGTATTGATTGATCACCTGTTAAATTTGACTTGTGGACTCATGTGTGTGCTTAGAAGCTAGAAGGTTTGGAGAACGAGGACAAAGCGACTGAAGCAACAAGCCACGAGGTTCCTCAAGGTTTCCTTCCCATTCGTTTACGACAAGGCGAAGAGATTCGGCCGGCGTGGTTCAAGGCCACGCAACAAGTTGATGATTTTGCTAGCAAGGTGAGTGAAATCTTGCTCGGATATGTCAGTCGTTTTGTCTAAACACTTGGAGGTTGTTATCGTTGCAGTTCTTCGCGGAGGAGCTCGCTCGTGGCAAGAAGATTAGACTCATTTACATGGGCATGCTGCTGCTTCCCAGTCGTACCATGGGTGAGTACGGCATTGAGGAAAATGGAGTGATCCATAGTATTATCACGGATGCGGGTAAGTGCTCAGCTGGCGCAACTTTTTTCTCGTTTTGATTCCAAGCGGAATGTAATGGCTTTGAATATTATGGAATGGTGAATGCAGTGCCAGCGCCCCACCCGCATGCAGTGCTACAGGCGAACCTAAAGACCTTGAGTCCGCAGAACTCGCTGCTAGTTCTCACAGGTGTCTTTCTCTACGGTCTATGGACGGTATTATACTACTTTCCGCAGTTCTTTTCATGGACATCGATCGTGGTGCTGTCACTCTTCAGTGCGATGCATATTTCGGCTACGGTCTCACGTATCACGTCTTAAAGCGTTTTCCGTACACTCCAATCAGTCGTGGCAGATGCAGCACTCGCTTCGATGTCGCGATGTCGTGGTGCTCGGTTTTGATTAATTTATTCAGGGCGGATTTTGTTCAATTAATAAAACTTCATTGATTCATGCGAACTGGTCAATCTGGAAACTCAATCAATAACTGCCGCTTGTTGCATACCGATACAAAAACTCTGACTCACGTCTTCCGTCATTTTCGCCTGCTCAAGAAGAACGATGCGCCAGCGACTGCAGCCACAGCAGCGGCGTATACGACCATACCGATCGCCGTATCTGAGTTGTGGGCTAGCGCTTGACGTACGGCAAGGCGGTAATGGGGGATCATTAAGCGGATGTACTTGTTGCCCCAGGTGCGTGCTCGATTCACAGCATCCTTCAAGTCTGAATCCTTCGATAGCAGTATCTATCAGCACACATCGACAGTTAGACAAAGTACATAATAGTAAGGAGTCCCCTGAAACACATACATGGTCGCCTTCGTCGTCGACATATAGGACTCTGCAAATAGTATTATCGCCTAGTCGGTTTTGCACGTCCACAAGAAGCTCCTTTACGGACACAGCAGAGCTCGTAAATCGGTGGTTGTTACCGTAGCAATCAGCAAGCTTGTAAACAAATGCATCCGGTGCATGCTCCGTCTCATTCAGTGGACTCTCATCCTGTATTGTCGGGTCGCCTGTGCCGTTAATACCGTTCGACGACTGAAAATCATTCCAGGACTGGCGCCCTACTAGAGATGCAATGTCGACACCATCTGCGTCCGCATCAGCGACGCCTACGTTTGTTTCATTATCCTCGACATCCACATCATGATTGGTCGCGTCGTTTACGCTTTTCAAGCTGCTACGAAACTGATCCCACAACGGCTGCACACTATCACTTTTCACACTCTGAAACGTGCCCATTTGCTGAACGACGCCGTGCGTTACTTGCAGCACGTCAACAATACCTACCAACTTTGTACCACAGTCAAACACGGGTACATGTAGAAACTGTCCATTGTGCATTGAATGAAGCGTCTCCAAGATCGTCGTTCCCAGTGTAGCTGTTTGAGGATTTGGCGTCATCACGTCGGAAAGCAAGCAATGACTGGGCTCCAGCGACACAGCAACCACACGGCGCATCAAATCCTTCGACGTAAAAATACCCACAGACTCAGCTGCTTCATTGCAAATCATAACAGCGCTCGTTTTTTGTATTAGCATCAGGCGTGCTGCATCCATAGCTGATGACATCGGACCCAGAATCGGCACCTCGGAGCCTTCCATGATAATTGCTGAGAGTGTCGGCAAAAAGAGCTGCAACAAATCACAAAAAGGCACCAGTCGTCAAGACAACACTTCAAAGTACAGAAAAACATAGTCAATCCTCTACCTTCTGTCGCAAGGACTCAAATAAATTAGCTTCCGTCGATCTGGATAGACTGTCTTGCAGCTACATGTAGCACCACCCACGCGAACAGCATCAGTAACCTTTATCACTTCAACCCACTTTACGCCAGCTATGATAATCTTACCTTTTTCACCGTCTCTTCAAGACGGTCGGATGATTTCCGGTACGCGTCCTCCAGCTTTGCAATGGCTTCGTATAAACACCTGGCGATATCCAGAATACCCACCACTACAACAAAAACAAAAATGCACGCATCAGTGAGACCACAGTTCCCATTTCATTTTGCTCTTTCAGACTCCCAACCTTTTCCATTGTCTGTCACCGGCAAGTGGCGGAATTGCCCTGAAATCATGGTCTTCAGTGCGTCGATAGCACTAGCATTAGCTGGTACGCACGATGGGTCAGGGGTCATGACTTCGTGCGCCAGTGTCGTATTAGGATCTCTGCCGACTGCCACTACCTTCACCGCAACGTCTCTGTCCGTGAGAATACCCGTAAGTAGACCGTTCCTATCCATCAGCAGAGCGGCATCCGTCTTTCGCTCCACCATTGTCCGCACGCACTGCGCCACCGTCACGTGGTCACTCTGCAGAAGCGCACGTGACGGCCGCATGTGCTTCACCGAGTGACTACAGCCATGGCTACGACCTGAACGGTGTCGCGCTGGTTCATGAGACGGGGCGTTGGTCTCGCTTTGGTGTTGCTGCACAGCAGGTTTTGCCGTTTCCTTAGACGACGGCTGTGGTTGTTGACGCGCCTTTGACTTACGTCCCACCTTCTTCGTGGAGAATACGAGCTGCTGTGGTCGTGGCTTGCGCACGTCCTTCTCCTTGCGTTGCATCGTCTAATGGATTAACTATCTTACTTGTGCCTTACTTTGCAAATCCTTCTTTTCGACCTTGCAAAGGCGTAATTTGGACTTCGATTCAGTTTCAAAGGGGTTTCTCTTCCTGTACTTTTGAAGAGCACTATTTCTTAATGCATATTGATTGCAGTTCCATCTTTTGTCAGCAATTACAATAACGGTAGCAACAATTATATTTGGGCCTATTTCCCACTTTTTAAGTCTCTCCCCAATTTCTGACAATCTGATTGGTCCGAACGTTTCGTGCCCAGGACGTCGATAATAATAAGAACTTTCAGCTCCATGAAAACCACAATGAACAGCCTTGCACCACCTCCGCAGCTTGCTTATGCTTCCTTGGAACACGCTAGAGCCGCATTAATGCCCATGCAAAGCGCGAAGGTTATGCTGTTGTGATTAAGCACACAAGAAGGATCGGCAAGAAGAAAGACGGTGACATCAAAGCTTTAATTCTTGTCTGCTCCCAGTCAAACCCCCCAGTCATACGTACAGATGCAAGACCTCGCCAACGTATTCGGTCCAGCCGTAGTACTGGATGCTTGCTCAAGCTAAGTATACGGCAACTAGAAGATGGAGACTGGCAGGTACAAGTTGCCAACGGAGAACACAACCATGAGCCCTTCGTCTACCAGTCTGCACCAGTTGGAATTGAAATGGCATTGAAGAGAATCGCAAACGCATACGACAATGCCCCAAACTATCGCAAGCGTGTGCTACTTGACCATGTCTTGGCTGTCCCAGATGCCAGTATTCGCAACGATCCTATGCAAGTTCAGACACAAGACCGCCCATCGGGGTCGACACAGCGACTTCTATCCCAATATGAGCAGGTTGCCGCTGCTTCGAAAGCTCCTGTGCGGCGCCGGCAATGTCGGATTTGCCAACAGACAGGCCACAATGCCCGAACCTGTCATCGTCAAGCAGCAGCACCAACAGCAGCACCAACAGCAGCACCAACAGCAGCACCAACAGCAGCACCCCGGCAGCACCGTAGGAGTTTTAGAAGCAGTAGATTTGACAGTCCAAATTTCATAAAAAGAAGTCAACTGGTCTACATTGACGTCATGCCGATCAACTAGAAATCCCAAGAGTAATTTTATTGAGATGTTCCGATTTGGCATTCTAACCAATCAGATTTTTATAATTCTGCCTACACTACAACGCTCCATGATTGGTGTAAATTAATATTTGAGGTTCAAAAGAAAATAGAAAGTCTACAGGAAGCCCAAGCTATGGTGTCTGGTACTGATGAAGGCGTGTTCCTCGTGGACGACGCGATCTTCTCGGCCCACGAGGCACATTTGATGACACAGAAAGAGCAGGCATCTACGATTCAGCTACTCTCAATGGATGAGATCCTGTATATCGCGTCCGTCATAGCGCAGCTCCAATTCCCAGTGGACGTGATCAACAGCATTCTCGAATTTGCAGGAGTACTGCTAACGTTCCAGACTGAGACATCAGAGTTTCGACGTGGACACAGCAATATGAATGAAGACTATTTGCAGCTGCAGTTATCGACTGTAGAACAACTGGAAGTTCCTCCCGGAGTGGACGTGACCAAATGTTCGTTACTGGTAGCAGACTGCGTGTCGAAGGACCAAGGATGGGCTACAGACCGTCGAGAATACAATGGAACATATTGCCACGCAAGCTCGTGGTGTGAAGTGGCAGTAGTGTCGATGAGTGCAGAGGGAGAAAGCAGAGAGACGGCGCGTGTGCCATTCTGCCCGAATCTCCGTGCCGGCAGGAACTTCCGTCACCACCGTAAATACTTCGATAGCTCCACTAACCTGCTGCAGAACATTAAGCTCGGTGATTGTGTGTCCATTGTGCTTCGATCAGAATATGCTGGGTGGACAAACTCCGCGAAGTATGGTCGACTTGCCGCCTGCTTTGCTGTGGAGCTCAACGACGATTTTTCATTCGCTGGGATCTCGTTCCCAAGTCGCTCTTGCAGTACAGAAGAAAATGCAAGTCAATCTTCTATTCCGTGCTGTCTTCAGTAGAAGATGCCGGTCCTAGCCGCGCAGACAGCACGTTATATTTTGCTAGTGGCTTTACCTATTTGTCTGAGAGAAAATTGAATGGATGTTCGCAAACTCTATTGTGTCAGCAAACCTGACTCAGAAGCATCTTGAAATGAACAGCCATGGAGACGCCTTTCGATACTTTAAATTAAACCATACGCACGTGTGATGAGTGTTTTCGCTGAGTGTGCTTTCATGACGCCGATTTGGCAGCGCTGTGAAGAGCTACCAAATCGCTTAGATGTTGGTCAGCTGCTAGAGCAGGTGGATATAGTCGCGATTGAGACAGATAACTTGACGCGGGGTAGACTATAGCGATATGCTACTGCTTGTAGTTGCAAACTTCCGCGAACGACGTTGTACCGATTCGTGACAAAGCTGCAGTCTCCACTGCGATTGGCCCCATGCAACTCAGACATTATGTCCGTGTTTGCAGTTTGCTGCACTCACGCCCATTTTTGGTCTTGCTGACCAACGCGGTGTCGATAGTCTAAGGAATGCAGCGACTTAAACTGCCAATGCGACCAGGCATCGCCTTATTGTCGACGCTAACACTGGCTGCAGTGCACGCACAAACACTTCGAACTGAGTCAACGTCCACGCTGTCGCCGGCAGGGGAGGCTGTCATTCCAAAAATCGATGCGTCCGTCAGCTTGGTGCAGCGAGAGGTCTTTGGCATGGCGTTGGCAGCGCTGGTCATTTTTGTCGCCGCTGGAGGAGGTACTGGGGGCGGAGGCGTGCTGGACCCCATCTTCATACTTGTCATGGGTCTAAGTGCAAAGGTACCGTCACTATCATAGCAGCATGTTATTAACTGACACTACTTGACGTTGTCCCTTGTTGAACACACTCAGACTGCCATCCCCCTTTCCAGCATCACAATTTTCGGAGGGGGTACGTAAGTAGTGAGTTTTGTTTCTTACTTTCATCCGATTGTCTTATGATCATACTGTTTCCCAGCGATTGGGAACTTCTTCTTGAATCTGCGCCGCACTCGGGATAACTCAACCAAGCCGCTCATTGATTGGGATATTATCCTGGTTATGCAGCCGCTACTCTTGTGTGAGTCGCCAAATGTGCAGAGGAAGAATGATATACCAGGTTTTGACTGATACTTGTTGGTGTGAGTCACAGTGGGAGCGACCTGCGGCACCTTCCTCAACACGATCATACCCGCATGGCTCCTGTCTGTACTGTTGGCGCTCGTGCTCATCGTCACCGGCATCCGGACTCTGCAGAAAGCTATCAGTGCCCGTCAAAATGAGCGTTGGCAGTGTGACGTCCCGCCTGAGTCGACATCTCTTCTTGGTGTTGACGCTTCCTCTGTCGACTCCATAAATTCCCACCGCACACCGGAGTTGGTAGCACGTGTCGATATACCGTGGCGAAAGCTTGCCAATCTCGGTGGCTTGTTCGTGGTCATAGCCGCGATGAGAACACTTCGAGGAGGAAAGAACTTTGATAGTCCGGTGGGCCTCGATTCATCATCAGCGCTGTACCCAGTACTTGTGGCACTACCTTATGTATTCCTCATTGGTATTAGCTACTTCTCGTTGAAAACCCTACGAATGCAGTTTGAGAAACAGCAGAGTCTCGGATACAAGTTTGAACCTCATGAGATTAAGGTAAGTTTTGAAAACAACGATGACATCACCCCGGCTCAAAATAGTCTCACTTGCCATTTGTCGTGGTTGCAGTGGACATTGTCATCAATCCGATTGTTCCTCATGTTTTCGTTTATGGCGGGGGCACTCTCCGGCATGTTTGGTATCGGTGGAGGTATCATCAATGGACCGCTACTCCTCGAGATGGGTTTCAATTCTTCAGCTGCTTCAGCTATGACTGCTACGACTGTGCTCTTCTCTAGTGGAAGTAAGTTTACTTTTACTCAATCTTTTGCATGCATTGCTATTTACTGACGATTTGTCTGTATAGTGTCATCATTCAACTACCTCATGTTGGGGAAAATGGATCTCCACCTCGCCCAACTTATGCTTCCAATGGGATGTTGTACCACCTATGTCGGCCACTTATGTCTGCTGAAAGTCGTTCGATATTATCAGTGTCCCTCACTTGTAATCTTCTCGATGGCTTTAATTGTCCTCATCAGCGCCGTTGTCATGAGTATTGCAAGCATTCAAGCACTCCTCACTTGAAGTGCTATCTCGACTTTTCAAAAGTAACAAATACTATCCGATCATTTATAGGACTTTTGTCCAATCACAATGTACGATTTTATTGTCATTTTTACTTCAAGGAAACGCCATGTGCGATCAAGGACCTCTTGTGCGCAGTCTTGCAGTACTGATGTTCACTGTGACGTTGGTATCAGCATATCATGTTGAAGGTGATGAGGAACCTGTTAAGTTTAGTCCCACAATCTCGACATTCCCACCAGTGGACGTGCCCTATGAGCCGCGTAAATTGTTGCACTCTCTGGAGAGTCTCCATCAGATACTTGGAATTCTATTGGCTGCCTTGGTAATCCTCATTGTATCTGGATCCAAGGCCAGTGGTGCCGCTGTGCTGAATGCAGTCTATATATTGGTGCTCAAGATGGGACCAGATGTACGTGACTATCGAGTGTTCATCCATCTACGAAGGACTTTGCTCTTACAATTGTTTGCTGTGACTAAATCACATGTAGGCGGCTATTCCGCTAACGAGTGTGTCCATTTTCGGGGGAGGTGGGTTTCTTATTGGTGATGCTACTTGTGTGCAGCTTGTTTGTAACAATGTTTTGCTGTCTGAAGCTGTTTGTGACTTTATGCTGAACCTATGGAAGAAATCGATCAATTCGAATTCCTCGCTGATTGACTGGGATTTTATCCTAATTATGCAGCCAATGTTACTCCGTAAGGAACCAATTTGAGGATCAACTTGTCTTCTCATCATTGATTCAACCATTAACGTTTTCGCTTATGTAGTTGGAGCTAGCTTTGGAGCATCGTTAATCACGTGGTTCTCTGCTTGGCTGCTTATTATTGCGCTGATCATGTACCTAGCATATATTGGCAAGGAAGCGCTAAAGAAAATACGTGCAGTAAGCCATGATGAGGGATGGCGGTGGTGCAGCAGCGGTGAATCGATGTCGTTACTAGGTGCACCATCAATGAGCTTTCAGGTACGTTACTTGAAGCTGAAGAAGTAGTACATCAAGGCCTGATCATCAATTTTGTCAAAATGATAGGAAGATGACGGTAACTTCCAGTACAAGGCCAGTCTCCCTTGGCGTAAGTTGGGACTTAACTTCGGCGTCTTCGCTGTCACGGTGCTGCTTACAGCACTACAGGGTGGACAAAACTTTCCGAGCCCGCTCGGTATTCCTCCGACGTCCTTCTTCTTCTTGTTCGTCTCCATGTTGCCATTTATTTTTCTCTCGGTCGTCTCGCACTACCAGATGAAAGAAGTTGTGGCGACGCACCAGAGACAGCAAAATCCACGATTCGTCCTTGCGCCGAATGAAGTCCAGGTAAGGTTTGTACGGTCCGTTTTGTCGGCAATTCAATCACATTTGACCACAGTATCTATAATTGTTTGCACAGTGGTCACCGGACTCCATCAGGAAGTTTCCTCTTCGTCTACTAGGAATTGGAGCGCTTGGAGGAGCATTTGGCGTCGGAGGTGAAGAGGCGACGTGGGATTTGTTGCGTAAAGTCAATTTTACTCCAGCTGCGGTGTCGGCCATGTCAGCTACTGCTGTGTTCTTTGTCAGTGGCAGTAAGTACAGGGATTACATGGATTGCGTTCACGTTGATGTCACTCACTTGGTTTAAATTGTCTGCGTGTTTGCAGTGGCGTCATTCGACTTTTTCCTTTGGGGCAAATTGGACCTGCACTTGGCCAAGCTATTGATGCCTCTAGGTTTCATGATGACTCTTTTCGGCCGTTTGTGTCTGGCAAAACTCGTTCACAAGGCCAAATCCCGCACTCTGCTGCTTTTTGCCATTACCGCGGCGATGTTTATCAGCATCGTTCCCCTCAGTTTAATGGTGCTCCGAGCACTTTTTGGCTTGTAAGAGAGAGAGAATAAGAGTCAAAAGTTAATTGAATGATTTTACCGTAAAAACCGTTGTTTTACGTGATCACGAAGTACAATACTATTGGTACAAGGAGAGGGGGAGCGAAGATCAAGTGGACGGTGAGGGACGTACAAGACTCGAACTGGTGCTAGCTATGGCGGATACTGAAGCCCACACGCAGGAGAATGGCGTGAGCCACAGGAAGCGGCGCGAGACGCTGTTGGAGAGCGAATCTGCGCCTAAGAAGATTAAACTGGAAGACGACACGCCTCCTGAAGCCAACCCCAATACTATTGAGGCCGTACGAGAGAAAAACAAAGCGTTAGAGATTGACAGGAACGAGAAAAACCGACGTATTGCTTACTTGACCAAGAAATGTGAGGCGTTGTATCGCTCTCGTGAGATAAAAAGCGCGTCCTTCCGCTGCTTACGGAGACAGTGGTTTCAGCTACAGGACGAGCTGCTAGCTGCCGTAAAGACAGTAGATCCTTCTACTGTATCCGATGAGACGTCAAAGGAGAGCTGGCTTGCCGCTTTGAATGCTGTGGACGACTTTGGAAAGGTCCGCGTGCGTGCGGAGGAGCTGGTGTTAAATTTGCCAGAGTGGTTTGTTACTGTGGCTAAATACACAGAGGAGGAGGAAGAACCGGACGCTGATGTGTCATTGCCCACAGATGACGATGTGAATGACGACGCGTTAGTGAAGATGGATGATTTATCACATATGGAGAAAGAGGTGCACGATCAACTTAAGCAGAAAAGTCAGAACATGAAAGAGTTGTTGCAAAAGTTGCTTGCTCTAGTTGGGAGCATTGCTCAAGACAAGACGAAACCTATTGAATATGCGCATATTGTGCAAGAGAAACGAGCAGCAATCGCGGAAACACTGGACCTTAAGGGTCAGCTACAGACGGTACGTTTTTCAGCGGACACATAAGGTCATGTGGATTACAAAGCTAATTGATGATGCGTCTCATGTTACAGTGCAAACGTCGGATAGCTGAACTCGAACGCGACGTGGAATACAAGGAAACGGAGCGCCATCGAGCTTGTCGAGACTATGACCGTTTAAGTGCATTTGTCAAGCAACAGGGTGGTGTAAATACGGATCGTATCGATGACAGTGATACCAAAAGTGAACAAGTCATAGATACTGAGAAACCTAGTGAGAAAACTATGTCAGGACCATCGAGTGCTGAAATAGTGAAACAGGAAGCACTTGCGGAAAAAGTGAAGGAGCACAACAAAATTGTTGCAACTTTGAGGGAGAATATGGGAATATTGAGTACGAAGTTGTACCAAGAGCGTCAGAAGTTTGATTCTATGCGACGGGAACTGGAAAAATTCAAGGCATTAGAAGTGGCGGTACGCCATTGCATCGTTTAGTTTTGATACATTTGACGTTTTGTTATCTTACAATTGCTTGGATATATTGTGTCTGGACAGTGGAAAAACGATGAAACTGCGTTGGTGCAGGATCACGAAGAGAAACTTAAACAGCTTCGGGACGAGAAAGCTCACATCGATGAAGAGTACAAAAAACTTCTTCACAAATCAAAGGTAGCTTGTTCTATGAAAAATCTTACCTGTTTGACAGGTTATTGACTTTTGCTTGCATGATTCGTGATCGTGCTTTTTGCGTGGTTCAGGATCTGGAGCACCATATGACCGAGAAATGGGAAAAGAAGATTACAAAAATTCAGGCGGAAATGAGCACAATAAAATCACAGATGGACGGGTTGAATCTGAAGAACGTATCCCTACGAGAAAAGATCTCCAACGCATCGACCTACAGAGATCAGGTGAGTGCTTACTATGAGTCATTTGGAAATCTATTATTCCCTGACGCTAGTGCTTGTGAAGTTATCGGAAGTGAAACCGGAACTGGAATCAGTAAAGCGTGAAAATGCGAAATTGAAAGCACAAATTAAGTGCGCGCGGAGCCGAGAGGATCGAGCTCAAATGTCGGCAGATAATCACGAGATCCAGATACTGACGCAGAAGGTAGGTTTCGTATTCTGTGTCCTGGACTCTCTGTGTTTTCTTACCACTGACGTGCACTTTGTGTTACTTTGTAGGTAAATCTGTTGACCAAGGAGAAACTTGAGTTACAGCAGACGTACGACATGCTGAAAAATGCCGAGATGTACGAAAGTTCGTTAAGATGGCTGGTTTTTGGAGGTCTGACTAGTTTGCTGTCTTTGAACAGGAAGAATGCATGTGAGAAGCTGTCAGAAGCATTTGAGCGGTTATCAGAAGTGCAGCATAAACTCGAACAAGAGAGGAAAAAGCATCACGAGTGCAGTACTGACCGAGAGAAGCTACGTGCTAAGATTGAGGATATGAAGGCTTGGAGTGAAGCCTCACGAGAAGAAAATGACGCTTTGCTGCTGGAGATTGATACGATAACAAAAGATGTGAACTCGTTGCGCCATGGCCGGAAGAAGTTTATCCAGCAGATTGAGGAAAAGCGCAATGCCAATAAGAAGCTTCACACATTGCTTGCAAGGGAGGAGCAAGCAAAATCGCACTGTTTCGAAGAACTGGCTGCTGTTCGTCTACAGGTCTCATCTCTGAGTACCGTACACAAGCACCAAAAGACATTCATCGAGTCATCTAAGGTACGCTTTGCAAGACTTGTTAGTGAGCTTGTAACAATGATGTAACTTATAAGTGCTTACGTATTGCAACTTCCTTCCCTACAGGAGTCTCTGCAAGCAAAGGAGTTGGAACTTGAGAAGATGAAGAAGTACGTCAAGACCATTGAAGAAGAGCGTGAGGCTTCCGATGTTGAAAAGCGAAAGGTATTGCGAGATGCCGAAGTAGCAAAGAAGATTTGCGAGACTGCAGAAAAGTCGCAGCGTGAGCAGCAATTGCAGCAGGAGAAACAGAAACACTGTGAAAAGTGTGAGTCGTTCCGCAAGAAGATTGAGGACATCGAACGTCAGCTGCAGCATTCCAAGATGGCAACTTCTACCGGTGAGCTTACCGATCTAGAGCGGTTTGAGCTGCGCGACTTGCAGAAACTCGTGAATTGCTCGGTTTGCCAGGACGGACGCAAGGACGTGATCATCTCCAAGTGCTTTCACATGTTTTGCAAGGAGTGCATTGAAAACAACCTCAAATCGCGCAACCGCAAGTGTCCTACATGCAAAAAGATGTTTGGCCAAGATGATGTCAAGACTGTATGGTTCACGTAGCCCCCCCCCCCCCTTAGTAGTATGAGGCAGGAAGGTCTAATCTTGTAGCAACTTAATTTCTAATTGCGCAACTTCCATTAGATTCCTTCATTCTTTTGACTGGCAAGAATGGCACGGAAGAAGAATGACATCTCGTCACAGAAGCGTCGGCTTACTGGCAGCCGCTTGGGCAGCAATACGAAGAGACAACGCCAGGATATACAGAAGAAGACACTCACCCAAGTTTATGCACCTGATGATGCCGTATTAGTACTGGGGGACGGCGATTTCTCCTTTTCTCGTGGTCTCATCAAACACCGCGGCACTGGCCGTGGAGTGCTCGCGACGTCTCTTGACTCGGAGAATGAGGTCCGCAGGAAATATCCAAACGCTCAGGAGTGCATTGCAGCTGTGCAATCTGCGCACGGTCTTGTGTTGCACGATGTGGACGCTACGAAGCTGCTTGAGTTGCCTCGACACTTGAAGATTGGCACGGGCATGAAGACAGTCCCAGACTTTTTCCAGTACATTATCTTCAATTTCCCACACAGTGGACAGCAACGTGTACATATCAATCGAGCGCTGTTGCTAAACTTCTTTGAAAGTGCACGGGATCGACTTTTAGTGCATGGAGAAGCTCACGTGACGCTCAAGACGCGACCCCCTTACTCCAACTGGTTCATTGAGGATCAAGCCAAGAAAGCTGGGTTTGTAATGAAAGACCGACGGAAGTTTGATGTTCGCCTATTTCCTGGCTATCGTCATCGTACGACGGACCCACAAGCCAAAACATTTGAGCCAAATCTTTGCGTCACATATGTATTTGTCGTTCATCGGTCTAAAGTATGATGCTCATTGTTAATGTCTTTGTTGAGGCTCAGCTGCATTCACGGCTAACTTGTTGCGCGTTGTGCTGGACGATGTGATAGTACCCCTTTCAGAATAGTCGAGCAGCTTTAACCGCGGCAAGTGCTGAGATTGCAGCTACTCAAGCGAGTGAGCAGCACGACCTGGCGACTGCAATTGTCAACATTGCAAATGCTCAGGCGGCTCTTAACAAGAACAAGAACGTCAAGACTCGTGGCGTTGCTGTACGTACTGAAGAGCCGACAATGCCAAGGAAGAGACCTATCGCCATTGTGGTCTGTCCCGAAAAACAGGCAACGAAGACTCGACGTATTGCTCAGGTCACGCCGCACGTTTCGTGGAAACCTTTGCACAGGCATTTAGGAGGAACCTGTTTCTGGTGATTACCTCGCTAGAATTATTGACGCGTGTTGAAGGTAGCTATGCTCCAAAATAGCTGACGTCACTTGAGAAGCTCTCAGGTAGTAACGGGAAAGTTGGTGCACTAGGTTGTACATTCAAGATTGAACAAACTAGACAATGTACGACATTGAAATCTTCTTAACTGACACTATTGGTGCTCAATGTCACAGCTTACGACACACGGAAGTAGCTCTTGGACAGCATCGTATGAAGATATGGTAGCGTCACATCAGTTCAGTACAGATGAAGGTTTTCTGACGAAATCAGTACGACATGTCCCCATCGATCTATTCCACCAAGGTATAGCTGATGGTGATTAAGTCGAATGAGGAGAACGTGCTGAACATCGACTTGCGGCTGGTATGACCTAAGTCATCGCAAGAGTCTAAGATTCCAAGAGGACAACGGTCGCGTCTGAACTTGAGTGGAGAACAAACTGCTGCAGGACTTGCGCACCTTATATCACTCTCATGTTTCACAACCATCAACCTTTGGTATTGCACGAAGTTGACTCGAGCTGCTAGTTCGATCGGTGATCACTAGGCGAGCTCTCTGTCTGTCGCATTGTACACCGTTTTCATACAAGCAGTAAACCCAACGAAGGAACGAGAGAATAACCTTTCCAAAATTTCGCTAGATCATTGCTTTGGTACTTGCTGCCTTCTTCTTCTCAACCAGTTGCTACGTGCATCGCCAGTTGCACCGACTTGCATTCGCTTTTCGACCTGCTTAATCAACTTGTTTATGCCCCCCTGCGACGCGCAAGTATGGCAGCCAATTCGCTGTTGGCTCCAACACCGCTTCCGTTTGTAGCGGTGCTTTGAACGTTTTCGCCAAACTTGCGGGCTGATTCCATGGATGCCTTGGTAGACTTTTTTAACGTCAATGCATGCTTCCGTGCCTCCTTTTCGGCCTGCTTTTTGGCTTTCTTTTCAGCGACGCGGCGCAAACGCTCCGCCTCGCGTTCGCGGCCGCGCTGCTCTTGACGCTGCGCTCGAATTGCCAGTTCTTCTTCACGCTGCTTTTCAAGTTTTTTGCGACGTGCTTTCTCTCGTTTCCGACGCTTGCGAATGTACTCGTCAGGCACACCTGGTGCGACGTGGATCTGCATACTGTTTGCATCCCCTTTGATTATGTCGTGTCCTGATGAGACAAATTGTATGTGCTGGAAGGGTGTTTTTGACAGCCCGGCACTCGCTGCCCGGCGGAGACGAGTGGAATCACTGAAACTGATCGGCGTCGCGACATTTGCCAAAGAGCGTATTGCATCTACAAGCGTGACTGCAATTTCAGTTTTCTTCTCAGACAAGAGTAGCTGGTCTTCAGGCATCTCGGTGCACATTAGCCCAAGTACCTTGTCGTAGACGCGCACTGGCGTGTAAAATCCCAGATCTGGCACCACTTCGAGTTGTTTGCAAACATCGCTGCAGTATATCTTACCGGTGAACCGACAATGATGTCGTCGATTAAACAGCCCAAACTTTTTTCCTGTAGCCATGCACACCATCGTAGACTTATTGTCCACCCAGTTGCTCTTGTTCGGCTCGACAAGGAGCGGTTCTTGACGCACTTTCAGGACAAAGTACGGGTCTGCTAATGTACTCATCGTAATCTCTTCAATAGCTGTCAACTGTAGGCGACGACGAAGGTACACCAACGGTGGCACCCATGTACTCTTCGGGTCCAGGATGGGGTGCCACGTACGTTTCTCCATCAGGTATACGAATTGATCCGTGATGACGAAAATTCGTCCCATCACTGCAACAGGAGATCCTTCAGGCGAAATTCCAGCCATCGGGCAAACCTTCTCAATCTCATCCATAAACACAATCTTTTCAGAATCTTTGTAGTGCTGGATAATCGCCATAACCGCCTCACGAATAGTATTATCGCGTAGATAATCTCCATCAAACGGACGGTAGATACTCACGCGCTGCCGTTGCTTGTTATTGGATGTGTATAGTTTCGTGATGTCATGGCTGAGTTGCAGCAAATGCCGGCGGCCAAAGTATTTCTTCCACGCCTTTTGAATTCGCATCGCGAACGACCCCAGCTTTTTCTCGCGCAATTTTTCGAGCTCAAAGAAGATTTCTGGCGTTTGAATAAACACCATCGTTTTGCCAAGTTGAACCTCATTTTCAAGCTGCGGAAGTAACTTTGTGGCTGCACGCAACACTGCTTGGGTGCCCTTCTTATCCGACCCACGGAACTCCGGGTAGGTCTCCTTGCTTAGTAGTCGGAAGCGATCGACAAAACGACCGTAATCTCCACGGTAAGCGTAACCAGCGCGACGAACTTTAACGTTTTCAAGAAGTCCCAAATACTTGATCTGGTGAATTACACGACGGTCATCTATCTTGTTCGCCTGCTTCTGGTCGTTGGACTTGATGCACCGCACGTAGTGCGGCGTGCAATCCATCAATGCAGTCACAAGCGCGTCACATTGTGTTCGTATTTTATACCCGGCCGTATTGGCCATGCGCTTATCGTTGAGGTCGATTTCTTCGGGAAAAATGTAACGCATGAGCTTGTTGGAACTCTCGCTTATGATGAGCGCGATGTCCTTGCTCAAAAAGTCTTTGTTGGAATCTCCAAAGCCTTCAGTACTATACTGCACGTCACCTGCATAATGCTTGATTTCGAAAGTCTTACCACGTTTCGAGAAATGTGGGTGCGACCCGTGGATTCCCGCCACCTTTTCCAGAAAATTTGCGTCCACACTGTCTCCTTGGCGAGAGTGCATCGTTTTGACAGTGTCATCCAGAATAAGAAAAATGCCAGGCGTAGGACGACGTGCTTCAATCAAATCGCACACGACCTTGTTGTTGAAGAACGGAATCGGTGCCCATGCAATGCCCTCGCGTGCATATTCTTCCTGCTCGCTCTTTAGCGTAAGTTCAATGAAGATTTGCTGCAGTTTTTCGTTCACATAGTTGATACAAAACTGCTCAAATCCATTCTTGTCAAAGATTTCGAAACCGTAGATGTCAAGGATGCCAATCTTAGTCATGTCGTCAATGTCTAGATTCTCACCGTGTTTCTCCGCCTTCTTCTCAATATCGAGCGCATGATTCACGCGTTCCACCAAAAAGTCAAATAGACGGTCGTACACTGCCTTTGCGATCGAGTCGCGCTGCGCCTTCGCTTGGCTCATATTTTGAGGTACCTCGTACGACTCAATTTTGCCTCCGGGTGCCATTGTCTGCAGCAGCTTATAGCACAGAGCGTGCTCCAAACGCACGGCATCTAGCCCAAGTAGCTCACATGCAATTTTCAAACTCTCACGATCGCGCACAGAAGACCCCTCTGCATCTCCCACTGTCTCGGACTGAAACTGCACGTTTCCAATTTGCAATACCGCCGCCAAGGTCTGGATCACCAGCTCAATCTGTTTGCGCTTGATACCGACATGTTGCATCGCCGCCATGGTCTCTTCAAAATCCTGTGCATCGTTTACATCGTCTACATCATAGCATCCACTAGCTTTTAGATACTGAAAACTGTCAGGTCCACCTCGATCCAAGTACATTTTCTGCTTTGCAGTTGGGGGTAGACCAGCCAACACTTGATAGAAAATATGAAAGTTCCTCTCTCCTTTGCCTGGTTTGACAACTCGTGATTTCTCTAAAAGATAATTTGTTACTTTACCACCTTGTGGTCGCCCCGCCGAGTCAAAAAAGAGCTCGAAATACTTTCCAAAGCGACTGGAATTGTTATTCCGTAGTGTCTTTGCATTGCCAAAAGCTTCCAGCAATGGATTGCTTTCTAAAAAAGTACGCTTGACTTTATCCACACCAGCACCGCTGCCACTGACCCCTGCAATATAATTCTGAATCTGCTTCGAAGCTTCCGTCTTTCCAGCGCCACTTTCTCCACTGATAATGACACACTGATTATCCTCTTCACTTAGCATTGTACGGTACGTTTCTTCGGCCGTAGCAAACACGTGTGGTGCCACATCAATACGTGCCTTGTGCATATACGACCGCATACTTTCTTCACCATAAATATCTAGCCATTTATATGGATTTACGACTACAAGTACGTGGCCAATGTACGAGTAAATAACATCGGCAGCATGACGCATCTTTAAATTCTCGAGGATCGACGTTTCACTCACGGATGATAATAACACAAGATCATCGACACCTACAATAACACGTTCATCAGTAAAAAGTATTGCGTGTTTAGAAAGAGTTGGCTTGCGTCGGCCCATGATATGACGGGAATGATGGCACTAATAGGGTGAAATGGGAATAAATGTCCCCCTTCGAAACGTACGCACTACGACTTGCGTACGTCACATAATATGTGGATTTTCTTGCGATAATTAGAATCAGATTTGAAAAATACTGCATGTCTGTCCAAACTTCTAAATAGTTAAATTTAAACATTTAGACTAACCTTAATAAATTACAAAATCATTAGCTAGATACGTATGTTGGCCACATCAAGGAGCTTGTGTCTACACTCCAGTCAAAATCTACTGGAAGCGCGCATACAGGCAGTCAGTCAACCATCTTCCCTTCTACAGTTAGGCGACTATGGGCAGTTCTGTAGATTCGACGCAAGTTTCAGCCGGTGTATCCGGTAGTTACTCAACCCGTTCGGGTTTATCGAAAAGCTGGCGTGCCGTCAAGTCGCATACAGGTGTGTATACAGGTGGAAAAGTCGAGCTTTTCAATGGTCGCATTAGCGCCGATGCGGCGCCTCGGGCGCTCATAGCCTGTATGCTACACGATGACGTAGCTATCATTGATGCAGAGACTGGAGAGCTTCAACGCACATTGCAGCAAGACGTGGAAGAAGAGGATGCCAAAGAGTCGTTCGTGGTGTTTGCCGTGCGTCCAGGCAAGAAGAAGAACCAGCTTGTGACGGCTGGACGTAATCTTTTGCTTCGTATATGGGACCTTGATACCTTTAAATGTGTCCGAACGATCAAGGCTCATGACACGCCTGTGCTGGCAATGGGATTTGACCCGTCGGGCACGTTACTGGCCACAGGAGGCAGCGATCGCATCGTAAAGGTCTTTGATGTGGACAAGGGCTTTTGCACGCACAGTTTTCGTGGTCATTCAGGTATTGTGACACTCGTGCAGTTCCATCCAGATGCCAAACGACTTTCACTTGTGTCAGCCAGTGATGACGCTACAGTGCGTGTTTGGGACTTGTATACACAGAAGCAAATGGCGTGTATACAGGACCATATGAGTCTAGTGACAAGTGTTGCGTTCTCAGAAGATGGATACACGATGTTATCAGCTGGACGTGATAAGGTCGTCAACTTTTGGGACTTGCGTGACCAGAAACTTAGCAAGACGGTAGTGGTTCATGAAGCTGTCGAAGGACTTGTGGTCGTGCCATTAACTTACAAGTGCGTCACGAATGCTGCTGCTGGAAAGTCTCAGGATACGAAAGCAATCTACTTTTTAATTGCTGGAGAGAAAGGTGTGCTGCGTCTATGGCGTAGCAGCGGCAATGCTTGTGAGACGCTGTTCACGCAAAAGTCAGACGCCTCGTCAGCAGTAACATATACGGATATGCTGCTGAGTGCTACTCGCCGTGAGGTAGTGGTCGTGTCATCCGAGCAGAACTTTGTGATTTTCGATGAAAATCTGACTCGTCGCACACAGATTATCGGCTTCAATGATGACATTCTCAATCTTAAGTATATTCCGAAGGCTGATGCAAGCGGTGCACCTTCTGATATCCTGGCAGTGGCCACAAACAGCGAGCAGATCCGTCTTTTGAACCGTAACACGCTGTCCTGCGAGCTTCTTTCAGGTCACACGGATATTGTCATGGCCCTAGCGGTCTCTCCTGACGGTCGATGGCTTGTAAGTGCCTCGAAGGATCGAACGGCTAGGCTTTGGGATTTGCGGCCTACTGGAGGCAAGAAGATGGGAAAAACTTTACCGCGTTGTGTGGCGAAATGTGCGGGTCATACTGAGGCTCTTGGTGCCATTGCCATTTCGCAGCGAGCTACCAGCTTTGCCACTGGTGCTGCTTTTTTTGTGACTGGCAGCTCGGACAAGACGCTCAAGATGTGGAGCCTTCAGCCGCTTGCTGGATCGTATGCTACACCTGCGAAGCCTGCACCGACAGAGCTGACAATTTCTTCGCTTGGTGCCATCAAGGCCCACGACAAGGACGTAAACGCACTCGCCGTGTCACCGAACGACCGCTTCATTGCCAGCGTGTCGCAGGATAAGCTCATTAAGGTCTGGCACACGCAGCAGGCAGGCGCTGGCCGTCTTTTGACACTGGCTGGTGTCTGCAGAGGCCACAAACGTGGTGTCTGGGCTGTCGAGTTCTCTCCTGTGGACCAGTGTCTTGCATCTGCCAGTGGTGACAAGACGGTAAAGGTGTGGTCCGTTAAGGATTTTTCGTGCCTGAAGACGTTTGAGGGTCACACGGCTTCTGTACTGAACGTGCAGTTCGCCTGTGCTGGCATGCAGATTTTGTCTGCAGGTGCCGACGGACTTGTGAAACTGTGGACCATCAAGAGCAACGAGTGCGAGGCCACCCTCGACAATCACGAGGACAAGATCTGGGCTCTTGCGGTGTCCAAGGATAGCTCCGAAATGGTCAGCGGTGGTGCAGACTCGACCATCAATCTTTGGCGCGATTTCACGGAAGAGGAAGAGCGTGTACAGCAGGATGATCGTGATGCCAAGCTATTGAAGGAACAGGAGCTCTTCAACTGCCTTCGTAATAACAAACTGTTGGATGCTTTGCGGCTCGCGTTTGAGCTCAACCACCCGAACCGTATGCTGCAAATTCTGCGCGACCTGCTTGAAGGCCCTCGACACAAGGACCAGCCAGTGCTGCCTGGCGGCAAGCCCATTGACCCGGACAACTTTTCTCCCGAGGATATTTTTGCGCCTGTGGTGCAGAGCCTAGAAGACGAGCAGCTAACGACACTTATGAAGTGGTTGCGTGACTGGAACACAAACGCGCGCAACTCGAGTGTCTGCCAAGTGCTTATGAGCACAATCTTGCGTACACTGCCTCCAAGCCGTCTGAAATCGCTGGATGATGTCTCCAAGACTGTGGAAGCACTTATTGCCTACAGTGAGCGTCACTTCCAGCGCATTGACCGTATGCTGCAGAAGTCATACCTCGTGGACTTTAGTGTTGTGACGATGAAGAATTTATTGCCGGTTGGTGAAAGCGAGTCGGCTGTCGAAAAGACGGACAGTGACGGCGTAGCCGAGGAAGAACATGTGAAGCCTAAGCAGAAGCCACGGAAGCGTGGCAAGGCTGCAGCTGCTGGAAAGATCAAGAAGCAAAGAGTGTAAGTAAATACCTTATAGAGCCATCGATTATCATGTTTCAGTCTTTGTCCTGTTGCGGATGCCTTCTTTGTTGCTACTTGTGGCATCCCTCATGGATTCTACGTCCATGTCGCTCTCCTTGTCCTCTGATCGACCATAGATTTTCATAGTGGTGAGGAAAAGTTCCTCCAGTCCCACTGCTCGACACGCTGCTGCCAAATCCGACATGCCATTCTCGGGAAATTCCTGAAAACTCCGTGGTAGCCGCCGCAGTGAGTTTATATCTCCTGAATGTCCCTCTCCTAACTCCTCCGTTTGCTCACCACGCACTGTCATTTGCTTCCAGCGCAAATGTTGTAGTCGACGCACATATTCCTGAACGTCGTCTTCAATGCCTTCGACAAGCACGACGCCAGGCCACCCGATCTTGCTAAATCCTCCAAGCTGTAATTCCAATGCCCATTCCTTCACCACTCGTCGTTTCGTGAGCGCAATGATATGATGAAAGTAAATAGCACGTCGACCCAGTACCATCGGCGTTGCGATGTTTTCAACATTAGCACCAGCAATGTCTCGATCTCGCTTGTCATCAACGCTCTGTACTTGAGATAGAAATTCGTGCATATGCTGGTACAGTTGAAAGCCCACCACTTCCTGAGTTGCACAAGCTGCAGTAGCCAATTCTCCCAGCTCAGAATGTAGCTTTTCCATTTCCATGCGCGAGAGCTGCGGGCATTTCACCTCGAACAATAGCGACTTGGTTATTGGATAGCTACGAGGGCATATGAGGGTCAAACTTGGCGTCTCACGACCAAATGGTTGATCCTGTGCTGCCATGAACACATCTTGTCACGTATAAATCAACAAGACAATTCTCGTTAGCAATACATTACCTTGTAGTACAGAGTGTATTGGATCCGAGGTATCGTAGCAGTTCTATCGCCGTCAATAACGAATTCTTCTACTGCTGCTTTAGCTGCCAAGTCGACAATCAGCTCATTCTCATTGGGAAACATACTAAGCATACACTCGAGCTCCTCAAGCTGCTGCTTTACCGCTAATTGTTCCCCATCTTTTGGCTCGATTGCTACCATGAATTCTTCATTTGTCTCATATCGACCCATTAATTGAATTTGAATTCAAAAAGACGCGCCTGTTCAACAAACGCCATGGCCAGTTCGACGTCATCTTTATCACCTTATCCACCTTCTAGGAACTTATCAGGATCAACACAAAGACTGCAAGATGAATGCACTGCCCTTCGTGTTGAAGTCGACGAGCTGATGCATCGCCTAGCACAGGAACGAGCCGCGCGAACTACACTGGAAAACGAGGCACAATTGCGTGAACTGGAACTGCAGAACGTTCAGCAACGCAGCGCCCATGCAGACCAACAGACTCGCAACAAGCAAATGGCTCTAGAGAAGGAGTTGGAGGACGAGGTAGCAATGCACAGAATGACGGTACTGGGCAGGAATGCGGCTACACAAAAGAACACGACGCTGGCAGCGGAACTTAAGACAATGGAGACAAAATGGAAGAAAGAGCTAGAGATGAAGGAGGCTGCAATTGCCAAAGCAGAACTAGCTGTGAACGAGATTCAGAGACTCAAATTTGACAAGGATCAGATTGTGCGACGAACAGAGAGTGGTGCGAAACGTTTGCGCGAGCTATATCATCAAATTGCACGAGAACACGAGGTGAAGATGGAAGCACTCGAACAGAAGCTGCTAAGTGCTCAACAGTTGTCATCAGGTGCAGAGGTTACAGTAGCAGAATGTCACGAGAAGATTGCTAAGCTAGAGAAAGAGCTGCGAGCGACGTGGAAGGAGAAGACTGCGTTGCAGGAACAGCTCTCCGCTGCAACGAGATCGCGTTCTCCGGAACAACAGGAGCTTGACCGGCCGAAGGAGACAAGTTGGGGGAATGAGCGGCATCAAACCGCGCTAGTGCTACAGAGTTTGAAGAGTAAGTGTAAATCGCACGCACAACAAGAAGAGGCAGCTGTGAAGGAGCGAGACGTGGCAGTGCTAGCAGCTCACAAAGCCGAGGAAGCATTGGACAGAAAAAATGAAGAGCTATTGGCCCTCAAAACCGAGTTCACCGACCTGCTTGGGAAACATACAACATTGGCAGCTCAGTTTAAGCAACTGGATCGAGAACGCGAAGTACAGCTCATTAAATGCACTCAGAAACTTCGCGATGATAAGCGCTACGCTGAAGAGCTAGCAATGCTACGAAGAAAAGAGATATCAGGGTACAAGAGGGTTATTGATTCGGTGAACAACCGCCTAACAGAGGCGCAAGAGCTCAGTGAATCTGCTCAGAGTATTGCCTGGTCATTGCCACAGGACGCTCGCAAAGCAAAAACATCATTATGCATTTATCGCCATTAGAAACATAGACTTTATGCGACTATATGTAGTACTGCAAAAGATTGCAAAAGGGAAAACGTCGTGGTTGTTGCTATAGCATTCATCTACACGATTCCCTGCTCTAGGAATGGCTTGTTGGCACGTACACGACTAAAGCTGAAGCGCGAGCAATCGATCGTCTGAAAAACTCCGTGGAGAACCAGCTCTGAAATCGCACGACCAGCAGCAGGGGACTGCTGCAGACCGTGGCCACTAAATCCGTTGATGAGGTACATGTTAGGGACGTCAGGGTGCAGATCGATGATCGCATTTTGGTCGAGGGTATTGTAGTCATAGAAACCGGCCCATGCACCCGAGACCTTGATAGCTTCAAAGTGCTTGACGCGGTGTGCAATAGTCGGCCAAACCTGCTCCTCGAAATGCTCATGGTCCGGGAAGTCTAGCTCATCCGTAGACTGTCCGTCGTAGTCATTCTCGGGTTCAGGTGACCAGCCACAGATAAAGCGACCACCTGAACCTTCACGTCGGAAGTAGACTCCGTTGGTATCCACCACGAGCGGAGTGGCAGCATCGCCCTTCCAGACTTCTTCCGTGTCGCAGTGGAAAGCAAACACGGAGCGCTTGCGAGGCTTTATCGGATAGTCAAAGACACCGCAAGCCTCTAGCAACTTGCTCGACCAACATCCCGCAGCATTCACCACGACACCAGCACGAACCGAATGAAAACGCATGTCTTCACATTCAGGCGAGTTTTTGGCTTCAATGTGCACCTTTTCAATCTGGTTCTGTCCGCCAAGATCGAAGTGCTTGACCTCGCCTTCCAGTACGTCCACACCCAGAGACACACTCTTTCGCTTCATTGCATTGAGGAATGCCCAGGGATCGAACCATCCCTGGTCCTTCATACCCAGGATGGCTTGCTCGACACCTTCTGCGTTGATCCACGGGAAGCGCTTTTTCAGTGCCACTGGGTCCAACAGCTGCACGTCAGCGCCCGTGGCTTTTTGTGTAATGTAGTTCTTTTTCAGGATATCCGCACCTTCCTCGCTTGCCAGGAACATGTATCCACCTTCCACGAACTGCACATCTGGAGCGTCATGTCCGTTCACCTTCATGTTCGTGCCGATGTTGCGGAGGAATTCTGTGCCGTAGAGACTCATCTCAATGTTCTCCGTCTCTGAGAACTGATGACGAATGCCGCCCGCCGAGAGAATAGCAGACGCGTACTTGTACTGTAAATCACCAAAAAACAACCATACACAGTTAAAACTTAGTTGCCTCTTTTAGATCCAAGCAGCATAGAGGGGTCGACACCGACGTACGCAAGGGTCCTTCTCCACTACAGCAATTTTCAAGTTGGGAGCTTCAACGGCGAGGTGGTAAGCCGTTGAAAACCCCATGACGCTTCCACCAGCCACCACCACATCGTAATACGGTGCTGTGTCGATTGAAACGGAGCTTGCAAAGCGTAGGCCGTTCGTCAGCGTACGCGTCAGTCCAGCAGTCTGTAGCCTGTCACGAATGGAAAAGGGCACAACAGTTCGTCAGAATTAAAGGCACAATCAAATCCGAGGAGACAAAAGAATCTCGACACACGTTTTGGCTGCGAACATTGTGGTGAATTGGAAAATGAGCGTCCTGAGACGAGAGTCTTGTTAAATAGGAATATCACTATTGTGTATACGTATACATCACTGCAAGTAGGATATAATCCGTACAGAATACAAAGAAAAGACGTACATGTCGGCACTTCAACACTAAACCACTTGATGTTTGTAAGGAAGATTATTATACGAGAAGGGATGAGTTTAAAATCGTAATCCGGTGATAGGACGTCAAGCAGTCAGTCAGTGCTGGATAATTGGGTATTGCGTTGGTGTAATTAGCACCAGGTCGGTCTCTGTGCATTTTTATCAACGATCCATGAGTGTGTTCTGGTCTTAAGCTAGGATATTTTAACAGATCAATGAAAATATTGATTGGGACTTCATTACTATGAAGAAGTTAGGCATGTGTCTCTCAGAGGAGATTTGAAGCTTTTGCCACCTACTCCATCACAAATCGAGATACTTTGTCGTGATGGATGATATCCTTGAGACTGTCCACCTTGTCATACATACCGAATTGACCGCCCGTGTGCACGAACAAGATGGTCTTCCCCACAAATTTCTACAGGTAAGAACGGCAATGGCAATTAGTCACAGAACCACATTCACCCACATTCCCTAAAGTTGTCTTACCTCTGGTGACTTGTTCAGCTCTTCAATGAGATGGAAAAGCGCCTTGCCCGAGTAGACAGGATCCACCAGCACCCCGGTTTTGCGACTCACGCTGTAGATGAACTCGAGCTCCTTCTTGGTGCTACGAGCGTAGCCCGTGCCTTGGGCGTTGGTAATCTGAAGAAACTGGCGTGACGAGATCTTGGATGGTGCCCCCATCGCGGGAAGGATTTGACCGTCGATGTGGTCGTGGAAGTACTCGTCATTATCACACACGATATATGCGTGCGCTGCATTGACATAACGTGTATAAGAAGTTAGAGTGGGTACATACGTCGAAGAAGCACATCGTACCGGGAATTTTGTCATCGAAGTTCAGAGCTGCGTCTGGATGAGCTTTGGCATAGAGATACGATCCGACACCAATTCCAGCAGCAGTTCCTCCGCTTCCACAAGCAAAAGCAATGTCTGTGATCGGTAACTCGTGCTCCTAGTCACAAACAAACATTAGTTCCTGGCCACTCTAAAAGCTGCCACTTCTTCTACGCAGACCTTCAGTTGTTTGTTTATCTCGTTCATGGCATGAACGTATCCCCACGTGCCCAGACCATTGCTTCCACCAACTGGGATACCATAAGGACGACGACCTTCCTCCCTCAAACGATCACAAGTGCGCTACAAAGCGCAGAATATCCCGCTTAGGCTTTTTCTCGATAAGTAAACCCGGCAACACATCTGTAGACCGTATCGCACCTTGATCATCGCTTCACTGCCATATTTACCGTATTCTTGACGAGACATTTGTATAAGGTTGGCATCCAACATTCTACCACGAAACACATGAGCCTTTTATCCCTTCCCATCACTGTCTTAAAGACTATTTACCGGTCAAACAGCACGTTCCCAATCAGTCCTGGGTCCTCGTCTGGCTTATTCGTGCGCAATAGTAAATACGAGTCCAGCTCAAGCATCCTAGCGACAGCAGCTGTAGCTCTACAGTGATTGCTCTGAACACCACCACTCGTGACGATACAGTCAGCCTTCTGTGCTAAAGCATCAGCCATAATAAACTCGAGCTTGCGGATCTTGTTTCCAGACGTCTCCATTCCACTGAAATCGTCGCGCTTGATGAACATACGCACATCCTTGGGGAGACCTGGTGGTGAAAAAGAATGAATCGGGGTTGGAAAATGACCCAAGCACAGCTTTTGCACCGGCGGCTGACGCAGTGCCGATGCCCATACGGGCAATACGAACGGGACAGACTTGAGCATAGCAAAATGCTACCATTTCTAAATCTACGTTTCTAAATCTACATGACTAGATTAAGTCATATCTAAATCTAGCAATTTAGTTTACTCCCATTATTTTTTACACTCTGCTCACATTTTCAATCAAAATAATATTGCCAGAAGTAGTAGTTTTCTTGTACTTAGTAAAATTCGTGGAGAGTAGACGACATGAAAGAATTATGGCTGCTCTCGCTCACGACAACGCTATGGTCTGTTTCTTCCTTCACTACTGCTGCACTGTCACGCTTTAGCGCTTTCTCGAGCGACCGCTATGTTCGCCAGAGTCGCGCTGATCCCGAGCAAATTGTGCCGCTAGTCATTGGACTAGTCCCCAACGACTTTAATACACTTGAACGAGAGCTTTACCTTGTCTCTAATCCATCGTGTGTATTGCAATTACTATGATGAATCATTTCTAAGCTGTTGTAAGCGGTAAAAACAATAGTCTGACATTGGAATTCGTGCTTGTTCTTTTTTCAATTGTAGCCATACGCAGTACGGTCAATATCTCGCCCAAGAACAAGTAAATCACCTCTCGCGACCATGTGATGGTGCGCTTGAGGCGGTGCGCACTTGGGTCTCAAATTTCTCATACGAAAATAGCATGGGGACCTTTTCGGCCACGTCAAATTTGTTCAAGGTCCAGATACAGGTGAAACACATTGAAAGAATGCTAGAAACGGAGCTTTACAATTACGATGTGAAAAAGACAGAGAGTGTAGCATCGTCAAGTCGGCGGAAATTGATTCGAGCGTCGACTGATGTATCAGTGCCGGAACATCTAAAGGATGTTGTGTCGTTTTTGAGCACGAATACGCACCCGCTGGGACTGCGAGCGCTTGGAGCTGCAACTTCGCAAGTAGAAGATAAGATAGGCAGTCCAGGTACTACGCTGGAAATGATTCGCCAAACATACGGTATCCCTGCTGACCTCGTGGTGACAAATCCAGCCAACACGCAGTGCGTGACATCCTTCTTTAACGAGTCGTACAAATCGTCCGACTTGGATGTCTTTTTTACTCGGTTTTTACCAGGAGATAGCCCACCACATATTATCGAGAAAGGTGATCGAGTGGACCCCCATCAATGGGCCACCACGGAGGCATCGCTGGACACGCAATATGTCACAGGTGTTGGTCGTAACGCCACGACATTTGTTTGGACTATGAACGGAAGCAATCCGTACTCATCGGAAGATGAACCGTTTGTTGAGTTTGCTGAAGACGTGCTAGCACTGGAAAACCCTCCACTCGTTATCTCCATTAGCTATTCAGATGACGAAGAACACATTTTTGATGTCTCGGCGGGCTACGCACGTACCTTGGACACTCTTCTTATTAAAATGGGACTGCGTGGAATGACAGTGGTCATTGCCGGTGGCGATGACGGTGTGACTGGCTTGCGCACTGAATTTGAAAAGATACCCTTCGAGGACACGTGTTTGCAAAGTGGTCCGCAGTGGCCGTCCTCGAGTCCATACATCACCACGGTGGGTGCCACAATGTTTTTAAGCAACGCGCAGCAAGTGGCAAAGCCATTCTTCCGTACGAAGGAGGAAGTGGCTTGCAGTGTCGAGAACGGTGGAATCATTACAACTGGTGGTGGGTTCTCTAACATTTACTCGATGCCGGAATACCAGGTCACAGCGGTTGAAAGATATTTGAGAACTCGGGATATTCCGACCACCCCCGGATTCTTCAATGCCAGTGGACGTGCCTATCCCGATGTATCGGTACTGGGCTCACAATTTATTGTGTATATAAATGACCGTCTCTTGTCGGCGTCTGGAACATCAGCATCTACGCCTGTGTTTGGCGCAATGGTAACGCTATGGAACGACATGCGGTTAAACGCCGGTAAAAGCCCGCTAGGATTCATTAACCCCCTACTCTACTATCTTGCAGAGACACAGCCCGACGCATTTCACGATGTGGTCGTAGGGAATATTGGGGCCCCGCGTGGTAAACATGATCCGTGTGAAGATTCATTTAGTGCTGCAGCTGGATGGGATGCAGTCTCTGGAGTCGGCACGCCCAATTTTTCAGTGATCTCCACGTTCATTGAAACCCTCGAAGATCACTTCAATATTTCTCAGCTGGACAACTCGAAACGCTCCGCCATGGGCGATGTGAGCAACAATTTGGTAAGCTTAACAACTGGAGTCGGTGAAATGAGTACATTTACGATGGTGCTGCTGATAGCAGCCGTAGCGGCAAACGTCACAATCGGCATCGTTGTAGTGGTCGCACTGGCAAAGCGGTGGAGAAACCAGTATACACCACTTGATGATGTTATCAGTGGAAACGCCGCTTCTGTTTCGACAACTTCTTCCGCATCTCGCATCGAGCAATTAAATTCGGAAGCTGATAATAGTGAAGATGATGTGGAGCTGAGTGAGATCAACCTGAAATAATGGCAGACGGTATCATCGAAGTAACGAAGAATAGCTTTGGTGTGTACTTCGCAGCTTATATCTATGTGTGAGGTTGACTATATTTCCTTCAAACAACGTATAGGTATCAGCAGGTGCACTCGAGCAACTTGTGTTCAAAAGCTGTCGCTCTGACGGGCCCATCGCTAGCACTCAAGTCACAACCACATGAAGCGCAAAAACAGGTGCAAAACATCATGAAAGTTGTCCACCATTTAGCAGACCGGTGTTAAGCTTCTACGAGACAATACGTGAATTTAATCACGTTAGATGAACGTATTGTCTCGTGACTTGGAAGAAAGTTTCATTTACCAGCTAAGATTTACCAGATTGGAGCCATCGTACATCACACAAAGCAACGAAGATACCCATCGTAACGTGTGTAATTCATCCAAGATATCATAAAAATGCTTGCGTTATGTCATCCTACGCAAAGCTCTGGGTGTCTAAAATCTTCTAGTTCCTAACATTAGGTCGTGCCATACTGTACGGGTGTCTTTGCTCACAACCGACGGGATGCCGACCAGCGCTCGTTTAAAGACGCGAACCGCGCAGTTCTGCCAACTGTGCTCGGGACAACCGCAAATCCAGATTGTTATCCCAGCTGCACATTTGCTCGAACGAGTCGTGTGTAAGTTCCACCTGCTGCAGTACCTCCTCGGCAGTTGGATGTTCCACAAACTTGAGCGTCTTGGCAAACGTACGACACACGTTCTCTACCGCGGCAAAGCACGCATCCCGTTCTGCCATCGAGTCTCCGACCGAGAGAAAGTTAAAGTAGGCGTCCCGTGGGGCACTGGCTGGCCGAAATGACCGATTACCGTTTACACTCGTCTCCTCAGCAGCTGCGGCTGCAAAACATTTGCGGGCAATAAGCTGCATGACCTCCTGCTTCCAAGTCGCCGAGTCTCCGTCAAGTCCAAACGTCTGTTCGTACCAGCTCCGGGCTGATACAATGTGTACATCTGCAAGTGCTAACACACTCTGCACGTCCGGCAAGTACAAAGCGGACGACATTTCGACCCAGCCGTACTCGGCGGCGGTCACGACAAACACGGGACCGTAGGCCACAGCTTTCTGTAAAAGCCGCGCGACGTGCGCGCTAATGAGGTTAAGCACCTCACGCTGATCAGGCGTCACAGAAATCTGGTGACCACGGTACTTGGGTAGCAGGTCGTGCGCGTGTAACCACGAGCTCGGGCACAGCGTATCGTCCCAGTCAAAGACGACAACGGTGCGATCTCGGACCGAGTTTGTGTGAGTACCAGATCGTCTCTTAGGATGTGGGGTCGATACAGGCGGCGAGACGGGGAAGGGGTTCATTGGCCGCAGGGTTTCAACTGCAGAACAGGATGCAAACGCCATAGTGATCAAGCTTTCAAGTTGGTTTTACTATGAGAGTGCGCGTGCGGCGTCAGATTGGAGTATGCGGGTGTCTGAAGTGGTCCATAGAGAAAGGGAGGAAACAGAGACATTTTTCAGCATTGTACAAAGCCGATCCTTACAACTACACACAGAGTAGGTAATCTGGCAAGAGACAGCCATGGAAAGCGGTCCATACAACTTGACATTGAGATTTTGCAGCTGTCGTTGCGAGATTGGAGTGACTGATCGGCTAGTCAGAGGGTCGGAGCACAGTTTCCAGAAGACTTCCGACGATCACACATCGCCGCTGAGCTTGTCAAGATGGCGGCACAAAAGCCCTTACTCCATAAACAGGCCTTGGTATGAACACGCAACTGTAGATTAACCAGCCGATTTCTTACCGGCATATGGACAACCAGAGACTTCATTATAAAGCACTGGACGTCTAAGTCAACCCAACATCGTTTCAGTATGTTGCGAGCACGTGTTACTGTTAATTTCCTGACAAACACACTGACGCGGTCTCTTTTTTACGAGTAATTGATAGGGCAAACCCATTTACAAACGTCTGCCACATGAACCTTAGAGTGGCTGAAGCACCCAAACATTTGGTAGTACAATGCGGCTGGTAGGATACCATACCGCCAGTTGCGCCGAACTGACAAGAGTTACTTGTTTGTGATTGCCATTGGAGTAAGCTCACATGATTTGCAAGGCTGCGCTGTCCAGATTGAGCGCTAAGCCTACCTAGTGTAGAGAATGCTCGTGGTCATCTTAGCCGAGCCTACCTACTTACCTAAGCAACGAATGCGCCCGCACAGATGTTGAAGAAGCGACGCCAGATGGCAAGTCGCTGGCAGTAACGTCGTCAAGCATCTCGATATTTTTCAACACTCCAAACTCAGGTCTCGAAACATATGCGACACGGACTGACGACAGTCTTCGAATATTTGCACTTATCAAATAGCATAAATGGACCTTTTCTGTAGCTTGCAGTAACAATTGCGAGAAAAAAACGCGCCTATTGGCGGAAAAATTGACGAGCGATGGATGGAAGGCCGAGCACGGCTGGTATTCAGTGACAGCCGCCGATCAGATCGCGAGTTCTCCTCCTCTTCTGTCGCACTATTTTGCTGTTGTGAATGACTTTACCGACCCGTGCGCTCCAGTCGCTCGTGCTGCATCGGTACTGCCGGAAGGACCATGTTTGCGCTCATCATGTCCAATTTTGGCGCTCAGTCCTTTGGTAGAGCCTGGTATGACATGAGTAATGTCAAGCTGCGTATAATCATTGAAGCACTTGAAGGCATTGCTGCAATCGTGGTGCCTTTGTGGTTTCTTCGTTGTGCCTTCGTGGTGCTCTTTTTATGCATGTACGATGCTTTACCAACTGGGCGTCATTACACAGTAGACCCATTACAGTGCAATGGCAATGCTGCCGCTACAAGGGCAGAGTCGGGAGCAGGCTCTCTGGTAAGCTTCATTTTCAAGCGCAGTCGAGCAACATCAGCAGATGAGTCTTTGAAATACAAGCTGTCAGCTGAGACATAGACAGTCTTATTGACGTCTTCGAGAACGGTATATCGGTTTATGATCAGCAAGTGATCTGATGGATATTTTCTAGATCGATCTGATACGACGATATCTACATTGACAATGGAGACAAACAACTAGTATAACACATTGAGCGGTCTCCCTTCGTAACGAACGAGCAAAAAATGATATTAGTGATATAGGTCCACCTGACACTACGCGACCAAGATTATATTAGAAGGGGAGTGGTTTTTGCCGTTTCAGGCTGAGACGGCGAGTATTCCTCCATTTATCACTAGTTGCGTGAAAACATCCGTGCAACCGTCACGTTTTTCCCGGTATCCCAACGATTTTACTGCTCATTGGCAAAGAACGCTGGCTTACTAAGTTCGCACCACGTTCTTGCCGATATGTTGACGATAATGCGCCAGTCATTACGATCACTCTTCTAGGTCAAAAGTACTTTACTAGATTTTAGTCTGCAAGTTATGATCATTGCTTCGCCATTCTTATCGAGACCTTACGTAATGATGCCGGAAGTTAGCAAGTGCATAAACTATGGCCTCCACTCGAAAGACATCCGTATCTTTAACTCGCAGTCGAAAGTTGCGTTTGTCATGTCATTCCATACGATGGTGTAGGACGGAAAGGAGCTGGGCGTATAAGACACCGGCCCATTAGTTTTTTAGCACGTCGAGGTGTTTTATATATGAGAAAAGGAAATAGCTCCTTTGTGGTTTTTTATACAGGTTACTCTGTAGTTACATTCATGGCTATGGGTACACTCCTCTCACTTCACTAAAGTGCGTTTCGTATCATTGGTGGACTCTGCTCATTCTTAGAATAGAAGCTTCTTGATCTCATTTGTATCGACTAAGGAAGGACCAAGACTGTAGCAAAACATGGCTGTCCGTTGCCAATTCGAGAACAGCAACGAGATTGGTGTCTTCTCCAAGCTCACCAATTCTTACTGTCTTGTGTGTGTGGGTGGGTCTGAGAATTTCTACAGTACATTCGAGTCGGAACTGGCCGACCATATCCCCGTGGTCCACGCGAGTATCGCTGGCTGCCGCTTTGTTGGCCGCGTAGCCGTGGGTAATAAGCGCGGCTTATTGCTGCCCAGTACCACCACAGACCAAGAAATGCAGCATATTCGGAACGCTTTGCCCGATTCAGTCGTGGTGCAGCGTGTGGAGGAACGACTTTCGGCTTTGGGAAATTGTATTGCCACGAATGACCACGTGGCGCTCGTGCACACGGATTTGGACCGTGAGACAGAGGAAATTGTGGCTGATACACTCGGTGTCGAGGTCTTCCGTCAGACGGTGGCAGGCAACGCTCTCGTGGGCAGCTACAGTGCGCTGTCCAATCAGGGATGCCTTGTGCACCCGCGCACGAGCGTTGAGGACCAGGAGGAGCTGAGTTCATTGCTGCAGGTGCCTGTCGTGGCCGGTACAGTGAACCGTGGTAGCGACGTCATTGGTGCTGGTCTTGTCGTGAATGACTGGACCGCTTTTTGCGGTCTCGACACTACGTCTACTGAGATCTCAGTGGTCGAGAGCATCTTCAAGCTTCAGAACGCTCAGCCGACTTCCATTGCGACGACCATGCGCAGCGCGCTTATCGACTCTATGACCTAAGGCAGCAGAAAGTAACGATGCAGGGAAGACAAGGGTTGGAGGGATCTATTTTTAAGTCAAGCAGGCAGATGCAGGGTCAAGAATGCTCCAGAAGCTCCTGAGAATAGCAGACATATAGGCTTAAATGATCTGCGTTTAGCCTTGTCCGTTCAGGGCTCTGATGGTGCAGGAGACTTGGACAGCTTCAATCCCCCGTGCTTTTGCTATTTAACTGTACGCTCCAATAGAAGCTTTGCCAAGAGAAACGCCTCCGCTTTTGATGCATACCATGGCACATATTTTTCGTCTTCCTCAGGTTGCTTGGATGTCTTTGCAGGCGACTGAAGAGGCCGAGATGATGGTGGCTGTCGAAGTTGTGCTAGTTCGCCTAGGACTTTTTCTAGCTGACGCTCAAATGGACAATGTCAGCGTTCTTGGCTGCTATTGCCGCTCGATGAACACGTTTGAGAACCTTGAGCTCAGCTTCGCGCGACATGTGCTTTTACTCCAAAGTTTCGCGACCTAAAGCTCTGTGGCTTCGACTAGCGACGCAAACAGAACACCTTTTCTTCGAGTTCAGGCATACGCTTACCAGTACCTGCAACGACTGATTGTGTTGCTCGGCTTCAATTCCCCGTTTCTGTGGACTTAGCATGTTGCGTTGGTTCTGGGCTTTCAGCACTACTCTCTTTTCTCTCTCAATGTGCTTGGCATTTTCCTGTCCCAACTGTCCGACCACATACTCCTCTAGTGTTTGCATTCGCCAACTCCTGCCGCAACAGCGCTAACTCGCTTTCAGTTTTCTGCAACATAACAGAGTCGTTTACTGATATAGCCCCTGTCGCTTTGAGGTTGACTTTGGTGTCTGTAATGAGTGCATGAGCAAAGCCACGAGATTGAGCAGTAGTCAGCGTGTATGCGAGCCGAGCTCGAGCATTCTCACATCTTCCAACTTGTACCTTCAACTCAGCAGCATATGCATTTAACTTAGCAGCTTGTGCCTCCAACTCAGAAGTTGTGCCTCCGACTCTGCTTGCTTTTCTTGTCACTTGTCTTAAACTTTGTGCTTCCGTTAAGGATGGCAATTACTCCTAGACGAAATTCACCTTCGAACTGTTCCACTTTATTTGCTCTTGCTTCAACTCCAGCTCTTGCTCTCGAAGATGGCATTGGAATTTTGCAATTACTGCAGCGAAATCGGCATAGGTAAGACATTCTTGTCTGCTGGTTGCAGGCCAATTCAAAATATTGTTGTCTACGCAGAGACCAAGTTGGCCTTCCGTTTGCGCTTCAGCTCTTCAATCTTGTCGGTGAAGAGCCGCTGACTTTTGCCAGCTCCGTGTCCGATGTAGTATGTGCTCCTGGATTTCCTGATCGTTGGTCTGTACGAAAACAGTAATTCACTGTTGAGCTGCCTTATCTGCTTTTCTTGCTCCTCGATCTTACGTCTGTACTGCAAGAGCAGCTTCTTCTCCTGTTGACAACCGCTCGCTAGTATAACTTCACTTGCTTCGTGTGCTTTGTTCCGGATCGCACGATTGCGCTGTAAATTTTACGTCGTAATCACCATGTAGTACAAGTGTCTTAGATTCGTCATTGATACGGCGAGAAGCCAAACTAAGATTCGAGAAAGTATCAGGATGCCGCCATCGCATAGCTTCTCCTAGTTCAGCAAGTCGGCCATCAACTCGCTGGATACGTCGGATATCTATCGACAAAGGAAGGAGCGGTAGGTTGGAATATGGCCCACACGGTTCTGCATTGGCTCGTTGATTCATCGATGAGGTTCCTGTCTGAAAGTCGAGAGATTGCGGAGCGGCTTGGCGACGAAGCCGTCGTAATTCTTCGTTTTGATCATCAAGAAGTCTTTGCTTTTCCAAGTACCAGCTCAGACTCTTTTGAAGCGCAACCAGAGCATGGGCGCGTTCCTTCTCGCATAGTTCCAACTCACTCAGTTCCAACTCACCTTGCGGTTCGAAAGCATGCTTCATTTCCTGTGCCGCCTGGGTCAGGTCCACACCTTCATAGCAGCATTCAAGCTCAATCTTATCTTTCTTCACTCGGTCTAGCTCCAGTACAACCTCGTTGAGTTTCTGCTGGTACGACAATTGGGTAGTAACAAGGTCTTTTTGCGACGCCAAAGCACAAGTCTTTTCCTCTGACCGTGCTTTTACAGCGACGCGGTACTGCGGTTTACTGGTCAAGCCACTATTACCTCCTAGTGTTCCTGTCTCGCTGACTTTGTCTCGTAGCATTTTCATCTGTAGACGCAGCCTTTCAATCGCTTCGCTTACATTGTAACGATCATCTTGTCGGACCTGCTTTAACTGCTGCTTGAGTCGCCCATTTTCCTCTCGAGATGCTGCAATTACGGTACTTTGTGTCTTGATCTCTTTCTGAAAATTGTAGTATGTAGCCTGCGACACCTTAGAAGTCTTGCGTTTTGTAGCGTTAACTTTCGTAGTGTCACACTTGTCTTTGACGCCCTCTAGCAGATTCGATGTGGCTGTGACGATAGAGCCACCTCCCAACTCAGCAGGATTACTCATTGTTGTTGCCTGTATATACTCCTTCATCTGACGCTGAGTCTGTTGAAGACGCAACACTAGCCTATTTCTCTTGCAACAATGGATCGTTGCATTGCTAATCGCTTTTCTTGTCGGTCGATCTGACAGCTTTGTACAGAGCCTTTAATCTGACATTGTGCATCTTCGACCTCAGACACAAGACCCACGTCAAATGTAAGCGAAAAGGGTTCGAGACAAGGCGGAAGAACAACCGAGCTAGCATCTAGAATTCCAGCCGTCGCTCTGCGGAAAACCGGACGCACACTCTTAGTTGATGGAGAGTTGGCAACAGGATTTGATGTCTTCGCACGCGTAACAGAGCGCAAGGAAGCAATGTGCTTCTCAATCCGTCGAAACCTGTCAACATTTGAATACATGTGTATATGGCTTTCCCGTGCAGTCACCGTTGATGCCAAATGCGGCAGTGCGAAAGACAACACTCGAGTCGTGGTGTTCATGCCGGAGGCATTTTGCGTAAACTGTCGCAAGTCTTGACTATCCGCTTCATCATCATTCGCTAGTGGAGGAGGAGGTGGAGGACTCTGAATGAAAGTGTTAGGCAAGTACTTACAAATTATAAGCTATTGATATGTACGAGCGACGTACCAACGGAGTTAGACCTGTAGACTCGCTTAGTGCTGTCATAATTGTGGTTGAACCTTTAGTAAGCGTAGTAGCATATCGGCTCGAATATATTATGGTCTGCTTAGAGACGTCATGAATCTCAAGCTGTTGCTGTAATTCCCCATTCCAGATATCGAACGTAGTTGTCCCGTCTTCATATTCTAGCATGCTCAAATCACCGCTTTTTGCAACCAAGGTATCCTCGTAAAAGTTGTTGTCAGCAACCGCATCTTTATCTATCGCGTCGACAGGATGACCTTTAGCCACTGCATTGTAACAAGTGTTTTGCTCCATTACAACGCTAATGAACACTTTGCTTGAGATGGCTTAATCAGCTTCAATTGCAGCATCATTGATTTTTGTGCTGTAGTCCACGTCTCCACCATCATACTGTCCACAAAGTACGCTCAGAGAGCAATTAGAGCGTGGCTATCGTAGCAATTAATCCGTACATTTGTGTATGCAATCCGATCTTACAATCCGACGAGTGGAGATTCGTCATATACACACCGAAAGTCCGAGCCGATCTTACAGTTTTACAGCAATGCTACACTTTATTTTAAATTGAAGTCAACATGTAAAATTTATAACAGCTACACGTAAGTTATCTCCGGTAAGTACGAATTGGTGTAAAAATAGCAAAAATTAATAGTAGGGTCGCCTACCGAACCAAACAAGTCGCCCATAAGTGGATGCACGCACGACGCCATGGGGGAAGACAAGCACAACGGTACATCAGTTTTCTTATATGATATCCGCTAGCTTCCATTGAGCGTTAGTTGTAGACTTGAGTCTTCACACATGAATGGTTTACAAATTGACACGTAGAGTCTCAATACTTTAATGAAATAGGTGATACTAACATTAATTTTTGTAAACGATATGGAATTGCAATATTACATTATTACCAGATGAAAATATAATTGTGGAAAAAGAAGAAGATACGCCGATCCAAAACATGTACAGCTTTTGGTACATTAAACGCACTACGGGCAACAAAGCCGTTAGTGTGCGTATATATATTGTATTCTGAATAACAAGACAATCATTTTGTAAGGTTTACGCTGACAATATGATGATTTGAATGTCATTTGTAGGAGAGTTACGAGAAAAGTATCAAGGGACTCGGCGAGTTCAAGACGGTATGTGCTTTCTTTGTAAGTGTGGTAGGAGTTATTTGCTCAAGTGGATTCACTTTTACTTGCATTTGTACAGGTCCAGGACTTTTGGAGGATCTACAATCATTTGATGAGGCCGAATGACCTTCCAAATACTATGGACTATCACCTTTTCAAGACGGGTATTAAACCCATGTGGGAGGACTCAGCTAATCGACGAGGTGGCAAGTGGATGGTACGTCTTCGCAAGGGCATTGCATCGCGCTACTGGGAAGATCTGGTGCGTTTTTTTGGATCGGTGAAGTAGCTTTGTGCGTGCTTCATGTGTGGGAGTGCTGACAGGACGCTCTGTTGTGAAGGTTTTGGCAATCATTGGTGAGCAATTTGACGTGGGAAACGAAATCTGCGGCGCTGTCATTTCGGTGCGATACAATGAGGATATTATCTCGCTCTGGAACCGCAACGCTGACAACAATGAAGCGTGCTATCGCATTCGGTAAGAGTGGGCAAGAAGGAGCATATGGAAAGTGTGTTTTGCCGACTAACGCAGCATGTTGAACGCTTGCTTTTTGCTTCATCTTTGTTTTCTCCGACAGTGATACGATGCGGAAAGTGCTAAACCTGCCACAGTTTGTGGCATTGGAGTACAAACGCCATGACATGTCGCTGAACGACAACTCTAGCTTTCGTAACACGACGCTGTGGCGGTCCGACAAGAACGATGGCAGCAACCGTGAAGGGTCTTCGGGTGGGGAGCGCACGTCCACAGGCTCTCGCTTCCCCCGTGACAAATCCTCTAGCTACCAACGATCTGCCTGGAATCGTGAAAGTAAGCGCTCCTTTCTCAAGTCGGACAGCAATGATGGTGGCCACCATCGTAACAGTCGGTCGAACGACGACAAAGCTGAAGTTGAGCAGTAGGTAGAAAACAGCTTACCGACAGAACGTAGTTGCATGAACAGTCGCAGCTTTTCCACAGGCAAGACGTCATCGTGATTCGACGCAATTGCTTAGTTGCTGAGGACTACGCCATTTGAAGTATGTCCAGGAAAACTGAATAAAACGAGTCTGAAAAATGCGTGTGATGATATTAAGGCCATTCTCCATTTCTTCCTGTGCTCCCATCATTGCACCACTATAGAATCCACAACAGATAAAGAGACTCGCAAGAATGGTGTTGCTATCATTAGATCGTACGCAAATTGTCTGTGGACATTTTTGCTCCTTGGTTTAAAAATGACGAATGCAGAGGTAAAGGTGGCAACGTTTGCTTCTGGACTGTCATCCCACTTAAGGCCCCCAAAGGCGCTATTGACGTCGGCTGTAATGGTCTTGACGTATTTGGTTATGATGGACTCGTCAACAAATTTAGCAAGTGGATTGGAAACGTATCCATGTGCGTCGACGGTATTAAAGGCAAATGCAGCCATGGTCACAGTTGTGCAAGCGGCGGAGAAAGCTCGTTGCATTGTTGCGATGTGGAAAATGTAGCTCTGGATAAATCGATGGCAAATTGAGTAATGGTTGAGATCCACGATCTCACTAGTTTGGCTTCGCAGTGATAAGAAACAGCGTGCTATTGTCCTTTGATTCATACGTCAAGTCTTAGTACCACATGTAAATTTATTTGGTGGTGTTGAACGACGCACGATCAAACATTTCGCTAGGAGTCAAGCAAACTCAACCTATGGGGTAAGTTCCACGCCAATCGGAAGAGATGGGGGGCCAGAACACGAGGCTCAAGGTTTAACATCCTCAACAGTTTTACGGGTTCGTCAGTCAGGATAGATAGCACTACTTGGTGTTCTTAGAGCAAGGATACATGACCTCCATCTTAACGCTGCCTACATAAAAGTTTATCGGTGCATAACAACGACATTCGACTCCCTGTTGACCAATGCGCAAGGTGTGAGTTGTCATCCTGACTAAACATCCGACGTTTTCGCAAATGCAGTCCAAGCTAATCTCCAGCCTCCATCCAATGCTTTTTGCACTACACTTTTGCGCACAGATTACAGATTGTCTTATGGAAATGCTACACATGACCATGGCACTTGCTTTTGTGTAGTTATGATCGTGGCACTTACTTTTGTGTAGTTATTGTCGTCACAGTTGAAAAACATCATGTCCGATAAATCGTGTCACCGTCACCTACGACTGCGTCATTTCCCGACTTTTTGGCACGTGAACATCAAGTTACAATTGAATCTCAAGCCGTCCAACTAGAAGGCATCGACACCAGCCTGCCTTAAATCATCACATGCATCCTGTGGTCTAGTTAGTAAACAGAGACTTACGTATATGTTGTAGGCCTGCAATGCGGTGGATTTTATAAGCAGCTAGTTCGAAAACCTAGTGCTTGTTCTCTAACAGGTAGAGCAGGAAAGATGCACTGGAGAGTTTGACGGCACAATTCACGCGGTCCAGATCATGACCACCCTCCACAAGCCCCCAATTGTTAATCTGAAACTCCTCCTCCACGCGGCAAATGTCGATCGCCTCCTTCGCCGTGATGTGGCGCTTAAAGACTGCTAACGCTGTTATCAGAGACTGATGCAATAACTCATTAGTATTTACAGTCATAAATGCATCAAATGCATCAAATGCATCAATGCACCACAATACTTCAAAACGTACCTTGCACTCCTTTGTCAGCGTCCTCATGGCCGTCAGTTCAAAGTCGTTCAGCTATAACAACAAACCCACTCTCAGCCATCGCAATATCTCTCACACCAACTATTGGCTACACCACAAACCTCTTCTAAGTATGCACGGACGTTAGCTATAAGCTGCTGATCGTGTGCCAGTCCGTCAATGCTTCCATGGCTCACATCGACTTCTCCTTCAAACGTATCGCTAAACCACTTGCGAATGGGCTTCCACTTCTTCTGCTGCAGTACCACGAGCTTCTCCTGTTGATCAGCTGTGACCTGGTAGCACACTGTGTCCGTGTGAAAATAGTGCATGATCTCATCGATGGTCTCTTGGCTACTGGACGTAAAAAAGAGATCCAGTGCCGTGGACACCAACGTCATGATGGGCATCGTAGCTGGACGGATATCATGTCTCTGTGCATCCCATTCATGAGCCACTGCATATGCCATGGCACGTGTAGGAAGCCGTACAGGATGCTGTCTCGGTGTCTTGACTGTCTTGCCATCTAGCGTCACGGCAAAGAACTTGCGCGGCTCAGAACCGTTCTCCTCCACCTCGACGTCCTTAACATCCACGTCCTTGTAAAAGCGCAGCACACCCGCAATCTTTGGTCCAGCGACACCTCCAAATCCAGCATTGGCAGAAAAGGTACGCTGTGAGACTGCCGTAAGGTCCCTCAGTCGCGATCGGGAGCTACGTAACATGGTGTCGGCCGAATTGTTAATGACAAAACACGGCTAAAAGATAAAACCTTCTGAATCGAATGTGATGAACTGAAGTAGGTTCGTGTGAATTTGGTGTGCCTTAATTCAGGTACAGTACATGTTGTAGTGTACTGTATTATTACTATAATCACTTTTGATTAAAGGAGCCAAAACATGTCGTCCAACCCACAGCATGTGGTAGACACGGAGGACGCGGCGGAGCTGAATTTAGGAGGTGATTTTCGTAATGAAACTTGTCTATCAAATGCTGAGGTGGCTGTGATTTTGGAAAAGCAAAAATCTGATTATGAGACACAGGAGAAGCAGCTCACCAAGTGCGTTATCTTGTGCAATTGTCCTGCTTCTAAGCTCTTTCTTGTTTGTTTACGCACTAATTGACTATGAGTTAAGAGATCATGTACTTATTGTTTCTATACTGAATTCTCTCTTCTTGCAGTGTGTTTCAGAAGACGTACTCGTATGTACAACGTTTTAGTGGCACAAAGGACCCCGTAGCCAACCAAGCTTCGGTCACTGAGCTTCGCGAGTACGTTGCTACTATTGATACTCGAGTCAGATCTTTCTCGTGGTCTAAATCTTTGTGCTTATCATCTCTTGTTAATGTAGAGCCTTGATGTCGCTGGCTTTTCAACGCGAGGAGGATGGAGAGACGGTGGAATATCGACTTGAGGAGTTTGAGATTGCGTGTCTGTCAAATTTAAATCCAGAAGAAGTGGAAGAAGCAGTAGCTTTGATCCCTAGTCTACAAAAGCGGTTCGCTGAGGACGAAATTGAAGAGATCCTGGGCATTGTGTCCCGTACTGCAGCACGAATGTTCGGCTAGATTTGCCCCACTTGCTATGAATTGGGTATCTCATAGATAATGGGTAACATTCATACACTTTTCAAGTGCACAAATTGGGTCCAATAGTCCACACTAAACTTGTCACACGCCTATGAATCGTGATGATGAAGGTCGTGCGTATGTGCCACGGCGAAAGCGACGGCGTGAACAGCCTCCACCTCCTTCTACAGAATCGCATGACACCAAGTCATTAACAGACTCATTGTACGAAGTTTCAGCAACGCAGGAGACATCTTGGGCGCGTCAGGAGCGAGGAATCGTGGTCGATGGAGAGGGTTCAATCCCACCTCCAATCCTCAGTTTTTCAGAGTTTCCATTGTCCTCAGATGCCATTTTAGTGTTACAGTCACGTGGAGTAACGAATCCGTCAGCTGTACAGGCTCAGGCTCTTCCTTGTATCTCCCAAGGTCGCGATGTGGTCGTTTTGGCCCCTACTGGCAGCGGAAAAACATTGTGCTACATTCTCCCGATGCTTGAATTATTGCAACGACTGTCTTACAGATCTACTGAATTGGAGCAGTACGCTGCAATACCACAGATACCAACAGCACCTTGTGCACTGGTAGTCGTGCCGACTAGAGAGCTTGCGGATCAGGTGGTGCAGGACTTTTCCGAGTTCTTCCGTGACCGGACAATTCCACCAGTCGTTGGAATTTACGGAGGTATTGCAGTTGCTGAGCAACTTTTGCGACTTGGCCAACATGCTTATGATGCAATGGTGGTGGTGGCAACACCTGGGAGACTTTTACATCTTTTGTTGCATCATCGAGCATCGCTGTCGCTTGAACAGATTTCTCTACTAGTCGTCGACGAAGTGGACCGCGTGCTGGAATCTCCAGAAATGGAGACGCAATTACGCGAGATTCTGCAGCTTGCAAACCCTGCTGGACGGCAAACGTTGTTGCTTTCAGCAACTCTGCCTGTCTTCTTGCCACGAATGGCACGGTCAGCGGTACTCCGACCTGTTACGATACGTGTCGACGAAGCAAGTATGCTGAGCCACAATGCATCAGTATGGAGCTCTGGAACAAGGAATACTTCAGCAGTAAAGCTAGCACTCTCCACAACGTCCAATGTCGTTCATGATGTGCAGTTCATGCGTCCTGCAGAGAAACCCTCTCGTCTATTACGCGTATTGCGTACCACTAAGCAACCGCCAGTATTAGTGTTTTGCAATTCCCGCTCAAGTGTCGAGCGTGTAGCTCGTCTACTACGCAATGAGCAATTTCACGCCGCACCACTACACGGTGGCCAATCCCAAGGATATCGTACCCAAGCATTGCGTGCTTTTCGAGCAGGCTACGTTGATGTCCTCGTGGCAACAGATTTGGCCTCTCGAGGACTTGATTTTCCTGGCGTGATGAACGTTGTGCTATTCGACATTCCAAGCACTATTGAAGACTACATACACCGCTGCGGCCGTACAGGAAGGCATCCTGGGGGCGACACTGGAGGTTCCAATGTCACGGGAAAAGCGACGTCTTTTCTGACACGCGAGTGCACCATTGCTATGGAGTTAAAGCAGGTGCTTCGAGCAGCTTTGCAGTCTGTACCACGTGAGCTGGACATTCCAAGGAATTTCGGTGCAAGTGACACTCAAGCTTCATCCTCGAATAATCATTAGCTGCTCGACACACAATGTAAGAAATGCAGCACGAAGCTAAAGCCAAAAATCGGAGCATTCATGAAGATGGCGATATCTGGTTTGTCATTTCTTGGAATCAAGAAAACGCAGGAGATCTGAACTTGGGCGATATTTCAAGCATTATACTTGCCTGTCAACACCGAGGTGGCTGTTGTCTTGGTATCAAAACAAGATAAACTACGTTGAGCGGGTCTGCAAAGTCCTTCGGTAGGCTTGAATATTAGAACCTCAACCTGTTCAACTTCTTTCGGATACAATTTGAATAACTTGCGGTCTCAAAACCTCCAGCTGATGTTTTCTTCTTGATTGATAATAACATGAAATCATAGTTTAGGCCCGCAAATTCGAAGACACGCACATTATACACTTCGATCAGGTTGACGACGACTTCTTTCGTCTGTGAAGTAAAAAGAAATGCTAGGACCAAAAAGCTCAACAACGGTTTTGATAAGCTCATCTCTTGCCGCGCCCTTTTTCTCGTAAATTGCAACCTATACTTCGTATTCGCGGAAGCTTTTAACGAGCTTCATGACCTGGTCACCGGCAAAACGACCAAGGGCACCACGTGCAACAGCCAGTTCAGAGAATCGAGTTACCATGTCCGTCAATGGGCTGGATGATAGATTGTCACCACTCGTCTGCACCCCAGAATTATTAAAGAGCTGCAATCTATCGTGCGCGGCCCCAACACGTGTAATAGCAAACGGTACTGGTTCAAACGTATGGTCTCCGTATTTGACAGGCGTTGTGTGGTCACCGGTAACAACGATAGTCACCTCCTTGTCCTCATCGCCGCAGTCAGCGTGGATACCTTCCAGAAGTAAGGAAATCATTTCATCCGCTCGCTCAATAAAGTGCACCTTCTTCTCCACATCACGGTCATGACCAGCATCGTCGACTGCCTTGACGTGAACAAAGCCAAAGTCAAACTCACCGCCCCGTAAAACTTTCAATGCCGTTTCAGCCTTGGAGCGTAAGTTCGTGTGGTAGTCTCCTGTGGCACCAGGGGCAGTAACAATTTCAATGTCCAATGACATCCCCAAACCAGCGATAATGCACGTCGGAGCGATCATGAAGGGGGTCAGTCCATGCTTTTCAGCAAACGGTAACACATCAATACGTTCACCCGGTCCGCGTAGCAGCACTACATTTGCTGGTGGCTTGTTTTCAGCTTCACGTGCCTTGTTGATTGGGTGATTTGACAGTCGCTCATGAATAGCGTCAGAGACCGCGTTCAGCACCTTACTAGAGTATGCAGCTTCCGGGGTGTCGTTCTGTGGTTTAGATTCCAGCAGAGGGAGGCTTCATAGCAGCAAGAGGGGTACAATCGATTAAGTTAACACCGTCGATCAGAAGTCAGTCAAAGGCATCAATTACGTACTTGTCTGTCAGTGGGTCAGTGCCTGTGATTTTGTCACAAAGCCCTGGACCCTTGAAAACAATTCCGCAGCGGTGTTCCGTAGCATATTTCGTAGACACCACCAGGTCAGGGAATTCCGGTAAGGTCAGTCCATCCAGGAAACTGCAGAGTTCAGTGCCCCACGCCATAAAGTTGCGATCCACACGTCGCCTTTCGACAACTATTTGGCCATCTTCGTTTTTCTTGACAGTGGCAAAGTTACACTTGAAAGCGACGTCACCTTTTCTCATCTTAAGTCCAGCACCCATGGCTTCAAATGATCCACGGCCACGATAGTGACTATAATAGTAAACACCAACGATTTGTCTTTAATCAGCAAGTATTGCAGCGATAACAGCAAAAAATCCCATATCTATAGCCCACCTACATGATAGGATTGTAGCCTAGAATGGACATGTGCGCTGTATCACTTCCACACGCATAGCCAGGCTCCACAGGATCCATGAGACCCGTTAAACCGCCATCTAGAATGACAAGATTAGAAAAAAAGAAAACGGAAATACTATACGGCTTAAACGACAAGATTATACGGGCAATGGCATCCATGGCAGGTGTATACGCTGATTCTAGTGGTGTATTCTGTTCCAGTTCTTGAAGTGACACATCTGCTAGCCCGTCGATGAGCACAAACACCACTGATCTCTTCTTCATTCCCGACGTACGAAGCTTTTTCCTGACTAGTAAACGTACTTAATGATACATATCTTTATTTGGATATCTAAATTCCTTATAAAGATTTAGCAAAATTGAATATCGAAAACCTGTTTCTTTTTAGGATTTAGATATCCAGAATTTTGCAGGAATATTCCTTGTAAATTCTGACGATACTCTCCGCCATGCCTATTGGTATATATATAGAGGGACGAAAATGTGACAGACGGTAAACATATTGCAGTCTCTTTTACCCCGTTGCAGCAATTGACGGATTGTCGACGATGGACGTTACTGTAGAACGAAGCAAGATAGACACGATCTCAGGATCTGCATCACTATTGACACTAACAGTCAGAGACGCCGGTCGACCCTACGTCGATCATCTGATTTGCGTCGCTTGGCTATCATAGGCTTTTCTTCATTCCTCATGGACGAAAACTTGCAGTGCCCAGTCTTCTTTGATTTTTAATTGCGTGTCTATCTGTGCTTGAGTCTTCTCCACTTTCAACTTTCTTCTTGTTAATAAGTGATTTGCCAGTAGAAAACCATGTACCTGCCAATCATTGCATACGAGTAGAAGATAGATGGAAATAACCAAGGAGACATGCTACGTAGCTTCCATGCACTTGTCGGGGCCAGTCGCTAATACGCCGGCGATATTTCATTGGAGACAGCGGCGGAGACTTTGTGGATCGGTCGCTCCTTTGTAGGTGATGCTTCATTCACCAGTTGGATATGGAAACCCATTCACCCACTCGAAGCAGAGCCATGATCTTAGTCCCGGCCACTTGAGCGACGGGGAGATCCCGACGGCGAACGGCAACGGCCTTCGTCTCGTCGAGGAGATGCCGACAAAGAACGGTCCTTATTGCAGTGATGCGACAGTGACGGCGATCGAGCAGCTGGGGGCACTGAAAGGCGAGGGGATACTGACCGACGTGGCGACCTCGGCACACGAGGAGAAGCCGATCTTCGTAGCGAAGGTGAACGAGCAGCTGGCGATCGCACGAGAGACCGAGACCGAGAACGAGAGCGCGAACGGCACTTTACAGGAGATCGCGAACGAGACGAGCGACGAGCTGGAGCCCGACGATCTCGAGAGCGAGAGCGAGACCGGTGACGCAGAACACGACGGCGTGGCGATCTTGAGCGTGAGCGGCGGCCTCTTCCACGTTTCTCCGTCCTAGAAAACACAAAACAAGTGCACAATCAACATGTCAGAGCGAGAGAAAATAGCAACTTAAAGGTAATCATCTTCATCAGGACACAAACCTTTCGCGGTCGCGCATCTGATCCGTCGATTTGCGACGCTCCTGAGCAAACACGACGCGGATGTCACGGCCATCGATGCGTACGCCATCTAAACTGCGGCGCGCATCATCTGCCTCGCGCTCGCTACGGAACTCGACAAACGCAAAGCCCTTAGGTTCCCTGTGTCATACAAGCCACGTTGTTAGCTACATGCAAGAGCCTTTAGCTAGCTCAGCAGCTTCACACACTTTGTATAAAAGTCCTTGGGAATGTAAACGTCGCGAACTTCGCCATAGCTCTCGAACTCTTTACGGATATCCTCCGGTCTGCAAATGTAACAAAGCAAGCAGCATGAGTTACGTGCAATGTAACATTAAACGTCACAATGACACAAGAATCAAAAGCACAAGATGATCAAGAGAACTACCTTAAACGGCGGCTAATGTTACGCACAAGCAGCGATATTCCTCCGCGATCACCCATACTTTACTAGTTGCTTACTTCGAGAATTTTCAATATGGCGGGTCCACCCATTTGTATTGGCGAATCGTGTTCTTTTCTATAAGCCAATCAGCGCACTTCTTATTTTTCATTGGATAATAAAAATAAACCTTCAATTTCAATGAAAAAATATGTGACGAGGTGCCAAAAAACATTTTCCTACATTTTCGACAGTACAACCCACCAGAGCGTAAAGCAGACGCAACCGGCAATCACTAGAGCGAGAATGGTGTTGTTGCGCATCTTCTTACGACGGACTTGTGCCACAAGCGTGTTGATACCTGAGAATGAACTGCCCAGTGTGGCCACTTTGCCGTGCGACGACGTGAACTGCCGACGCTGGTTCTCCAGGGCGTTGCTGGTTGCCATCGCTTGCTCAATGATGCTGCTAGTAAGAGAGCGCGACGAGTCTACTGCACGGCGCTCATTCAGCAGCGAGTCCATTTCCACATCGTCCGAGTGACCAGTGTGAGCTCTACATATTGCATTCAAGTAAAACCGTAAGCATACATTCAAGACTATGCAGCCAAGAATGCAAACTAATTGCAACACACACCTATTGCCAAACAGCTTCTGAGCATCACGTTTTTCTTGCAGCGCACTCTGTCGAATTACAAAAGAGTAAGCAATAGGATTATTCAAACTAAGTAGGATACAATCTGCCCCAACTCACCATTGAACGACGAAATTCCGTGTTGAAGTCAAAGTAGAGCTCACGATAGCGTTGTAACATGGCATCCTGTGTCTTCACTGACGTCTTATCTACGACGACATTCATCTCATCGATTGTATCTGAAAGCTATGCACACAACAGCAAGCGACCGATCGTCAAGATCAATCTCCTCTTCATCTCTATGAAACACTATACAATGCACCCACCAATGCTAATGCATTCTCAATATCAACCGCCAACTCTTTTTCATCTGCAGTCTCTTCTCGAGGGTTCTCTAGACATTTACAAAGGCACAAATAGTCTCAACAAACGTCGTTCTTTTCTCTTTCTTTCCACGTTTCTCACACCTTCGTCATACACCGCCACTGAATTACGTGTCTGAGCTCTACTTAACTCTGTATAAGCGGCAATCTTGTCTTCAAGCACACGCTCAGCCATCCGAGCGCTACTTCGCAGCTCCTCCCATGTCCGTGTCGTTCTTTGCATCATTTTTAACTCGTGTCTCTTTACTTAAGTATCCACGCTCGCTGTCTGAATTATACCCCCCCCCCCCCCGGGGCTACTACACCTGACCATCACTCTTAGCCTCCCAAAAGTAAACTGATATGGAAGATGCGGCGCGGCGACTGGCAGCCGCGGTGGAGGCTCTACGAGTCAGTGGAGGCCCCGCGACAGAGATTCAAATGCAGAGGAAGAATCTGGTACAAGCACTTATTACTTTGCAGCGTCTGTGGAAGCCAGAGTTGCTGATGAACCCTGCATCTGCCATAAAACTGACCAGCACGAGCAACGCGACGCTTTTCAAGATTCTACTGGCCACGCTGACCGTGTACAGCGGAAGTCACACAAGTGGATCTAGTACGGGGACTGTAGGTAGTGGACCAGGCGGCATGGGCGTCTCGCTGTCCTCTTTTGGCGCCACCACGTCCGAATGCGTGCATCGTCTCGTGTGTGACTTGCTGGTGCGATCCTTTGACTTCTCAGTGTCCACGATCATTAATGAAAAGCTCTCGGGGAAAACTGCATCGCTTTATGTGAAAGTGTCGCTGATTATGGTGGTCTGTCGACTGCCACGGCAAGAGGCGCTGCAGTTTCTGCCGGATGCGGTCGTGCTCGCAAACAAGCTCATCCGAGCTGCAGATTATTATATGAAGCAGTGTCTTATTGAAAGCGTGGCACACGCATTGGAAGGAGATTCGGTCAGATTGATGCCGCTTCATGCTGAGGCGATGAAGATCGTAAACAAGACGTTCCAGGATAAAGCGCCGGAAATTAGGATTGCAGCTGCGAGATTGCTACAAGTGGTAGCGGAACGGACATCAGCGTTGACGACGTCATCATTCAGTGCCGGAGCTGGAGCAGCTGGAGGAGGTTCAGGAAGTGGAAATAGCAATGGAAGCGGATTTGGCGGAGCTATCAGTGGTAATGGGTCTGCTGCTGGAACCAGTAGTGCCAGTACACAAGGTGTGTTCCTTGATGCGATCTTTCATATCGCAGCCAAGGCTATGGACGATGATGCACCTGAAGCAAGAAGAGCGTATTCGGTGGTGGTTGGTGTTGTTCTTGCCAAGTACGCGACGTCTTCGTCACGAGAAACGGAAGTGCAGCCGGGTGGGAGTGAAATGAGTGGAGCGAACGCAGCTTCTTTGCGAAACAACGACGAGGATGCTGGTGGAAGAAGCTCAGCTGAACAGGGTGCCCCCCCTCCAGTCGGTGGAAGTGGGGCTGCAAAATGCAAGACAGGGTTTAAGCTGCACGTTCCTGGGCTTAACTTGCCGTCATCACTGTCTCGCCGGAAAGCAGCTACGGTCAATTTCTCGACTATTGCAAACGTACTTCTTTACTTCAAGGACATTGTAACCAGCAAACATTTATCAAGTAAGCCAAACCAGAGTCATGGAGGTATTCTGGCCTCGTTCTCTATTGCTCTGTGTGGCATGTTCGAGCGTCTCCCACCTGACTCGATCGCTGAGACACAGCTTCGCGAGGTCATGGACGCCACGTTATCCATCCTCGATCATCCCTTTGGTCTTGGAGACATGACGCGAGCACGTAACGCTGTGGGCTTTGTGCTGCGTAATGGACTTAATGGATGTCTAACAGAGCGTCAGCAAGAGGCCCTGCTAGGCGCCTATATACAAAGACTTCAAGATGAAGCTCAAGCCTCAAAGCCAAACCATCACAAGATACTGTCGGCCTTAGTTGAGATGAGCCATTTGTTCCATTCAATGGGCGAGGCTTCTATAGCGCATGCGCACGACGCCAGCGACGTACTCCAAGGTCTTACTTGCCACGAAAAGCAAAGTGTTCGTTTTCAAGCTGCTGTCGCGCTTGCATCACTCGTCACTGCAATTCCGTACCGACTTAAAAGCGTGCTGACGAGTTGTCTGAACGGACTTCGGGACACTGCCGAATACCTGATGCGTGGAGGTTCAGATGTCGAAGAGACGAGAAAGTCTGGATCAGCTATAAAGGCAGATGATGATCAAAGTGAAGAAAGCGAAATGCAAAGCAAGTCTTACCTGTATGCGATTCAAGGTAGATCTGTAGCTATTGCTCACATCCTTCGCGCCTTTACGCTTGCTGCCAAAGGAGGGATATCTCAAACGATCACGAACGAAATCTATGCCATTTCCGAGGAGCTTGTCGAGAGTCAGTTTCTTAATGAATGCGCGGATAGTATTTGGCTCACGTGCACGCGCGCTGGCTGGACGCTGGTGGGAAGCCTCGTCACCATGAATGGTGAGCAGTGGCTAAAGGCCAATATGGAAAATCTTCTAAATTTGTGGCTCAAGTCGAGTGTGTTGCATAGTCGCGAATCGTCCCTTGAGCTCCTGCGCATTGAAGCTGCTGTGATTGCACTCAGCAGTTTTTTGTCCGTTTGCCAAAAATTTGCAATGAACTGCGATAACGATGTTAACGTTCTTACGAATCACGTATTGCATGTGTATTTGACGGCGACGCAAGGCAAACTGAGCAAACCTCTCAAGCGTCGCGGCCAAATCGCTCGGTACCGTCTAATGGGGTGGATCATCCACTGTTTTTGGATGCTCCCACCGATTTACAGTGATTCATACATCCCACTTTTGGACATGATTGCCGAGTTTACCACAGCTCAGGCATTGACAAATCTCCGGCATTCCTCACTGGTACCGGCGAAATCCACTTACCTGCAAAGTGTTTTGTCTCCAGAGGACAATACGCTTGACACTATAACTCTCTCTCGGTTGGAACCAGGAGATTGCCCGTCTCCGCTGTACTCAAGGGAGCTGAACCATGTGCTTGGTTTGCAGCAACAGGAAAACGCTTTAACAGATACCGAGCTTGAAGTACAATATCTGGACACGTTTTGGAGGTCACTTGCTGAGAAAGATCCTGCATATGGTGCTACGAAAAAAGTATCCTGTAGCCCATTCACTTATGTTCGGCTCGTCGACGCAAGTGTGGTTCTATTTGGTCGACTTTTTCACTTCATTCCGGAAGATCTACAGCTGCGATGTCTCCAGCACTATGCAGGAGCCCTGGCCGATGTTCGTGCCAATTATGAAGTCAACGTGTGCTCGTTGTTGTTTGCTGTGATTGCCGAAGCGAGACATCTCAAAAGATCTGGTGGTGCACCAACTTCATCTACGTCGCTTCCAGCAACATCATGGCCTCTTCAAATGCAAACCATGCTATATGAAATGATTTCAAGTAAGCACGTAGAAGTCCGTCGTGGTGCAGGCGAGTCATTGGGAACGCTAGCATTGCTTCTTGGGGAATACCATTGCAAGGGGCTAATTATTGAGCTAGAGAAACGACTGGTGGTGGATAAACTCCCACAGGGGGCCTCAAGCGTTACATTCGGCTCTAGTATTGAGCTGGACGTATCCGTCCTTTCAGCTGGAGCAGCTTTCTCGTTGGCCTGCATTAAGCGCGTTTGTGGTTCTCGCATTTCCATTGACACAGGCCTCATTTTTTGGTTTGCAGGTGAATGTTCTCAACCTTTACGCACGTGGATCTTACACTCATGGGGCATTATCTTGGAGTCTGTTAGCTCTTCAGTAGGCGACTACGAGCAGTTTGTTGTATCGACGCTGTCATTGATGGAAGCCCACGTATTGGCAGGTTTTGTGTATTCAAAGGTCAACAAACGCGGATTAAGGTGGCAATCTAGCACAAAAGTGGCACTGGGACGGATTATTAACGATGTGGTTGCAACACTCGGTCCAGAGCTTGGCGGTTCAAGTGATCGTGTAGATCATTTTTACTCTTTCTGGATGCTTCTTCGCCAAGATGGTGATGCACGGGTAGAGTTGGAGTTTTTGCGATTCCTACAGCAAGTGGTCGTATTCGCGCCACATCGCTTCCAATCTGCAGATATGAGATACATTTTGCGCATCGTATCTGACACTGCTTTACTAAACACGGCCACACCGTTATCGTCAGCGACACAACTGAGTACAGGGCACCCAGATTCATCGCCACCACCCCTGACTTCTGGAGCCTCAAGGGAGCCATATGAGGAAACTGGTCTCGTCAATGTTGGTGCGTTTACAAATGGGCTGAGTCGGAGTATACTGCGAAATGTCGGGTTATCGTGCATTCAGACACTCCTGGAAAGAGACCCATCATTAATTCGCCGCCACAACCTTTTGTGTCTTCTCTTTTCAGCTCTTCATGTTGAGTACAGCGCGCTTCTGTGGGGTTACTTACCTGGGCTGCATGGCATGTGGGACGTTCTCTCCTTTGTTTTTGTCAATTACTCAGCCATGCAACGAAACAGTATTAGTATGCTGCAGAGCACGACGCTGGCGCTACTCGATGTTGAAAGCAGAGACCACAAAGGCGCTGAACCGTGCCTGTGGGCTCTGTTGTGTCGTAGTATTGCCATTGGCGAATCTGCTGGTACCTTTAGTCGTGCTGGTGCAGGGCAGCTCATGATGAGCCCGAAAGGAATGAACCATGTGTTGCAAACTACAGCAAGTGTTGACGCGTCAGGAAATTTGGACACAATGTCGTGGTCACAAAATCAAGTTTTGGATATACCCAAAACTGATGCAAACTCCCTTGTGCTAGTGGCTGTTGCCGCCCAAGTGGACATTTGGCGGACAACAAAGGCAAGCGTTGGCGACCTCGTTGCTTTAATGCCACCGCTTGCACGTCAAGTACGGCATTTTGCGGTGGAATGCGTTTTACGTGTGTTTGAGCTGATGGCAGCAATCCCGCCTCTGACCATCGGCGTCTGTCAGAATAAGCAGCTACATTTTGACCTCGTTGCAGCGCGCCGCTATTTCTGCAAGATGCTCTCTACTGGAGCAGAGTTGCCAGTATCCGCCAAGCCCAACATTGGAAATTTCTTGTGTATGTATTTGGACGAGTTTGTAACCCTCGCTTGCCACGTCACTACGACTTCAGCAGAAGGAAACGAGCTGCTTATGTTCCAATGTGTGGGTCTTCGTCTGCTGAACGTCCTGGTGAAAAACTTTGCGTCTGCCCGTGATCCCGAAGTAGCAGCAGGCGATGCTTATTTATTAGACCCGTACCGTGCCCAGCTTTTGTCTGCTATCCGCCATGCTCTCAAACAAGTACAAGTGGAGCCGACCGTGTTGACCCGTACTATGCCTGGTACGGAAAGTGACAAAGGTGACCAAAGCTACTTTTACGCGCCCCTACTTCTCGAAGCGCATGATCTCGCAGGTATCTGCATTTCAGCTCATCTAATACAAGATAATGTGGGTTTGGGGCGCATTCTGAAAGCAGTTGTAGCTCAAGATTATGGTCACGCGCATTTCATTGGAGATGAACTTACCCGCACTTCTCTTTCGCTCGCCAACTTGGCATCTGTCGGAGAACTCGTGACGTCAAGTATTACGGAAGCAATTGCTTTAAAGGATGCACGTGACGATGAACGCACAGCAATCGTAACATCTCCACTTGTCAAAGCGATGAAAAGCGGTTTGTCTGGAACCACGGAGTATTTGTTCAAGTGCTGGATGGACGCTACCATTGGGTACGGCGTCGTAATGCAAGGTTGTGCACAATGGGCACAGTTGGATGCAACTTTAAGTGCCGTGTTACTGACTGACGAATCAATCGTTATGCCAGCTCTTCAAATGCCGCTCCCATCGACGGGTGCTGCTGCAAATACTCCAGCATCTGTTCTGTCAACCTCTAAAAAGATCGGCGCGCTATACAAGCGGTACTGGCCAAAGATTGTCAATGCAATGGCAATTTCGGAGGTCTTCATGCCGCAGTCGATTTCTGGGTGCAGCTCCCCGGAAGGCAACGTACCAAAATGGTCGCCAGTGCTGTTGTCTTGCGCAATCTGCCACGTCAACGCGAACGCTTGCGACCGAATGGAGGACGAGGGGGAGCTACCTGCTGTTCTTCGTAGCATTCCGTTGCTGCTGAAAGCTATGGTGGAAAATCCACCTACACAAGGTGGCTCTTCGTCCAGCAATTTTCCATTGCTTTTAACAGCTTCACTGGACACGCTCGTGCTTGCAAGTAAGCGATGTTCTGGTCCTGCTCAAGTCGCTGCCTTAAGCGCGATATTCTCGTGCTTATCGCGTGAAACTTTAGCTTTTGCTAGACAAATTTGTCGCTCCCGAGAAGATGGTGAGCAACTTTGTGCAACTCTTTTCGATACCGTGGTGCAGGCCGGGTTGTGTCCAACAAAAGTTGTTTGTCAACTTATCGATGCAACGGAGCAGAATCGACATGCTCGTGCAGTAAGCATCGGAAGTAGAACTGCTGGACCTCGTCGCAGCTCCGTTGCAAGTGATGAAGATGCCAAGTACATGACTGAAATCGTGCAGTTTGCTACGACTGGTATCGTTCTTCTACACACGACCGAAGAAGCGCGAAGTGAAGTGGTGCGCTCGGTGGCTATGGTGCAGCAGATCATTTGCTTCGTTGCTACTGGTTACTATCTTTCCTCTGTGAAAGAAGCTGTGGTGACGCTTAGTCGTGCCTCCGCCGAGTCAGTGTTGGCGCTGGCACGCACGCTTGAAGAGAACGACGATTCGTCTGATGATGTCTTGAACCGCGTCAACTCAAGTGTACGCAGTTTTTTCGAATATCTCTCCGGGTGGCTCAAATCCGATTGCCACGCCGCTCCAGGTTATTGGATGCAAATTGTGGCAAATTATGCTGCAAGTTTTCCGGCCAGCCTCCAAGCTGATGCAGAATGCTTTCATGCTGAGACTGCAGACACAATCTCGGCAATTTTCGAGCTATTTTTTGGAGTTGTAGATGATGGTGATCAAAAGCAGCAACATGCAGCTACATGTACAGATCTTCTGCGAGGTTTGCACACAGTTGTGAAAAGGCTTATCGATGTGCACCAAACAGCCATTTTGAATCGATATCTCGTAGCGTTCGGTCCTTATCTCGTTGAGATTGTAGGAACAACCAATGGATACCCTGAGACAGCTGCAGAGCTTACTCAATTGGATGAGGCCGAGAAACTTCTTCGTGTATTGACGACGCAGTTAGATGACCAGCATGGCTCCACATTTGTACACATGCTCCTTCCGAGGATTGCGGCAGTACTCAGCCAACCAACACCGTCCACCACTGACAATATGGTATTGAAACAAGTGCCCGGTATCCTAGCGCGGCTACTTTTATGCTTCGCGCAGACCCACGCTAGTGCGTTTAAAAAAGCTGTGGCAGCCATGACCCCTTCGCTACGTGGTGTGCTGGAGTCTACGCTACGGCTTGCTCTTACAGACTCCGTTAAAGGTGCAGGAATACGCCCGTCGTCGTCACTTCCGCAGGGTAGTGGCCCTAACACTACGAAGCTTGATTTAAGTCGGTACGCTTAAGCTGTGTCAAGGCTGTTTACAATGATTGAGTTGCATGATCAATGCTATGTGGCTGGCACCTTACGCTACTGAACTGGAAGTGCTGCCATGTCTCGATTAACGGTGGTTCGGCGTGTGACAGTGATTCTGTACTCAGAGTGTCGTCTCCAGACGTGAAGCCGTTATAACATCCTGAAGTGCTAGCAGCTCCAGCAGACTGAACAGTACAGTGTGCACAAGGTCCATGCTGTAAAGCTGGTGCAAGAATCAAAGCGTATGATCAAAGTTAGACAACACAATCTAAACCAAGCAATTTGAGTCAGCTCGACACAACTCACTTCCACGCCTCCGTCCAGGTCAATGGCCACTTCTTGCAACTCAATTCGCTCGATCTCGTAAGTAGACAGATCAAATGGCAACGTATCAACGTACAGACGTTCTGTTAACTCAATAAGCTCTGGATACGCACAACAACAAAAGATGTCAGCAATACACTTCATCACAATTTTTAGCCAGGGTAGTCGTGTACCTGGCACGTAAGTCGACGGACGATTATCTCCTGGTGCGTTTTTCGTATGATGAAAGAGTCGACGCAGAGTTGCCCAGGGCACTGTAAGTGTGTACGTGCGCACGACATCCTCTGCTTTTGTCGCACGATACTTCAGTAGTAGTGGTGCTCGCAGTGGTTCTTGCGCGGTCATGAAGCTGCCGCGAGAAAATTCCTCTTCCTGGTTATTCATGTCATGTCGAGCCCTTGACAGTCTTTCTCCTTCTGCCACTAAACTCGCCACGACCCAATTGCGCGCCAAGCGCTTGAGGTTCAGCTGCTGGATACGCACGACGTGTGCACTCACCACACACTGGAAGCGCCGTTGCAACCACGAACAGACCCATCGCAAGAGCTCTTCGTCTCCTCTTAATAGTAGCACCTGTTGTTTCTCACGTCCTTTACGAGGTACTTGCTGTTCCTCTTCCGTTGGGAAGTACAGCACAAACCCCCCAGAGCGTTCTGACGCCTCTCTCTCTGGCGTCGAAACCCCCGTCGTGGCTGCTCTACTACAACGTTGTTCGCGCTCCTCTCGGATCTGAAAAGCTACGAATGTATCGGTAGTGCGAATGTTCACACTGTAGCCAAATTGCTGGCCGCATGCTCGAAGTGCCGCCGCCCGCAGAGTCTTGACCAGATCGTGTGCATATGCGCTGAGTTTATCGCGGTGGAAATAGAACAACGGCGACGCACAGTGGAAGACCCAGCGACGATTTAGTAGCACCGTCTCCATGCTCACGCGCTCGTGCTCGCGACGAACGGCGGCTTGACGCGGCGTCTCCTTCTCGCTCTTATCGTTGTCTGCATCTGCTCGCTCATTGTCCACGCGGTCTTCAGTCCCCCGCGTGTATTGCGATGGACGCATGGGTGAACTATAAGCCTCACGCAACCTTTGCTGCTGGTCAGGCGTGATCCTGATTGAGGGCTCCGCTGGACATGAGTTTTCCATGAGGAGCTCCGTTTCGTGGCTGCAACAACAAATTGTCATGACGGTCTTTGTAACGAGTTAAGGTGGACGGACACATGCAATCAAGGTGGACGAGTTATATATCTCGAGAAATAGGACATTGTATGGACTGGACAGCGAGGACTAATTCTGACGTCAGCGGACATCGGGTACCCGGAATGAATGACTCGACTACTACATGAACAACAATCATCCACCAGCTAAGAGCAAGAAGATGAGAATCACCACGAGCACCAGGATGACGATATACAACTTGGTGTTGTTGCTTTGTTTGGCTACCTGAAGTAAGCGACGTACAACAGCACTTGGCATATGAGCTATCTAAGCACAGTGCAAGGAAACCCACACTTGAAAACATACCCGTGCTGCACGCGCACCCTCAGACTCAAGTCCGTCCGTGACACGAGTCACGTCATCGTCAATCTCATTCAGCAGTCGCACATGCAGCTCCGTCTCGTCCTTGACGGTCAGACTGTAATTGCGTAAATTAGAGACACCCTGACCAATCAAGTCCAGCTGCTGGTCCTGATCCTTCATAATTTCGTTTTGCATCCCCAGCAGCCGTGCCGGCGCATCAGCCTCTCCCGGACTACAGCACAGCAGTGAAACAACACGTCAGAAAAAAGCAGCAGCAGCGCCTCTTCTAGTCAGCCTTCCAAGTGCGACGCACCTCACAGCAGCCCGTGATGTCTTCCGACTATTGTATATATCCAAGTCCTCTTGCTACAGACGTAGCATCCACATAATATTAGACCAACACGCGCTTCTCTCTCTCTCTCTCTCTTTGTCCATCCTTTAACACATTCGTCTGTCTACCTGATCACGTGCTAATTGATTCAATAATCGTTCCCGTCGCTTGATTTCCGCCATGGTCCTATAGACGACATAATTATTACAATAATGACCTCATCATACAATTTTCAACATATCGCCACCATCCGTACACTGAACTGGACGAACGTTTGAGTTGATCAAAGTCGCGTTTAAGTCGTGAGACGCTCTGCTGCAGTGCAAAGACGCTAGTATCGATAGATCCTGCATTTCCCGTACGAATCTTGCTGGACAACACCTGTTCCTGGCTGCGCGCATGCTCCAGTCGGTCCAGCCACGACGCCCACGCTGTCGCGCTCATCGTGCTACTTTTGATAATTGATACAAATCTTTTCTAATTATTGATACCGATGGATGTACTGAGAATACCGGTTGGAAACAAGTATAGCAGTATAATGCCCATCCAATTTTCCACAGACCAACCAGCAAGACAGTGGAGACCATGAGCCAGCGAGAGTTCGAGCGTAAGATGGAGGAGCATATTGAGGAGATGCGCGTGACGCAGACGATTGCGTATTTTAGTCGTACGGTCGAGTTATGCTTCTCAGACTGTGTGCACGCTTTCCGTAGCAAGAAGATGGACGACAAGGAGACGTCATGTGTCAACAACTGCGCCGAGAAGTTCCTGCGCCACACGATGCGCTCGTCTGTGCGTTTGCAGGAGAGTTATGCGGAGATTATGGAGAAGCAGCAGGAACAGAAGAACTAGACGACATCAGTAAAGACCTGGAGCCGTCGACAACACACGTCGGAGAGCGGTATAAAGGAAGGATCCAGACGTCAGCGCAGTCAATAAACACCTAACAAAAGAGTCTTGCATATGTATTGATTATTGATCTCGGTTTGTATCGGTATACCGATTTCTGACCCAAAATTCATAGAAATGCCCCATTTCGACGGGATCTCCCCAAAAAATGGCGTCATCTCCTACTTCTGCACGTCCTGGCGCTTTGTCTGAGGATGGCGAGCCGATATCAAGTCGTGGGTTTTCCAAGCGTGGCGACGGCTTTTCCGTCCAAGAGACCGATGGTCTGCTTCAAGTGGTACGTGAGCACTGGCAAGAAGGTTGGGACATGATTGCCGATGCTCACAATGCACAGTTCCCGGGTCACAAACGGACTGCTGGCTCACTTAAGCGCAAATTTGCCAAGCTTTACCGCACTAAAGTCGACTCTACTACGAAAGAAAAACATGCACGAGCAGCAGCTATTGCCAAGAAAGTGCGCGACGAGATGCGCGGCCAGCGACGAGGTCTTGCAGGCGTCCGAGGGCTCAGTGTCGACCTCGTGACTGAGACTGAAGGCAGTGTAGGCGTACAGGAGGTCCATGAGGACCTGCATGATGTGGATATGATGGCTCACCAACAGGTGATGCAACACCAGCTTTTACCGGAGGCTACAGTGACGGCTAGTGAGCACGAGGTGCGACAGACGCTGAGCCAGAGCGTGCAGCCATTAACGCAAGAGACACCACTACGAGAAGATGCGTGGCAAACTCTTATTCGGTGGCCTATTGCCGGGGAGCGACTGCGTATGCTGCGGTCACAAATTGAAAGTAATGAGTCGATATCGAGTCAAGATTTACTGCAGACAGTGTTGCTAGTGTTGCTCGAGTCACAGCGCCAACGTGACTTGGAGCGGGATCAGGAACGGGAAGAGCGTCGAGTGGAAAAGCAGCGCTGGCAGGCAGAAATGCGCGAACAACGTCGTCGATTCGAGCAGGAACGAGCTGAGGACAGACGCAGGAATGAACAGTTCATGCAGGTAATGACGACACTTGTGGCACAGATTGCAGCTGGGCAGCAACAGCGAGGTGTTTGAATTGACGATCCGCATGCAGATCGTAGCAGGTTGGAATTGTGTAGCGATGTGGCTGCCTGCGAATATGTTGCGTGCCATTGGTAATAAAGTGGACTCTAGGCGCTTGTCATTAACAAGTATACTACTTCGAGGTGCTTGGAAGTATCTATTGATTCCATTTTGTCGAGTGTTGGATGATAAAGACAACGTTAACTCAAAACATTACGGTTGTACTTCGAACTGAAGGTGGCAAAAACTACATGGATGAGTGGTGTTAACCTCATTGATAATTGTTTCGAGCTCGATGCAATGGCGAGTGCGTTTGCACTTCAATTTCGCAGACACCATACCTACCTATTGAAAAGGAAAAACGACACACGGTAGACCACTCGGGCGCTTAACTTTCGGAGTCACGCTCTTCGGCAGTGTCTTTTTTCCTACGAGCAGCATCATCATCTGCATGAACTGCTCGTGTCTACGACGGTTCTCATCGCGTTCTTCAGCACGTTCTTCATTGCGTCGACGCCACTCTTCACGTTCTTCATTACGTCGATGTTCTTCTTCCTGTCTCCGCTGTTCATCCTCTTCTCTACGACGTTGACGTTCTTCTTCCCGACGGATACGCTCTTCTTCTCTATCCAAGTCACGTTGGTACTGTGAACGGAGAACGACTTTAAGTACTGAAGTGAGCAAGTCGTCGCTTGGCAATGGAGTCGCCTCCGGTGGAAAAATAGCTGCTGGGTTATGCCACTCAGGCGTCGGACGTGGTGGCCGCATACGCGGACGTGGACGCGGCACAGTAGCAGCCGACGGCACGGCAACCGAATCAGCAACTGGAGTCGTGACGAGACCAGTCGCTGTAGTAGACGAAAGCACCTCCGACGGTGTTTCCACCCAACTATGCTCTGACTCGGTAGCTCCAACATCTTGTTCTCGTTCATCACCTTGTGGCGTCTGAAACGATAAATCGTTCTGCTCCGTTTGCTCGTCCCCATCGATACTTGGCGGGGCAGACGGGACCCCTTCGACCATCTCCTTATGCACCACGTGAGCAAAAGTAATAGCTTGATGATTCTTGGCGCCACGCACTGGGACATTGGATCGATACAAGCGTGAAAACTTTTTCTTGAGTGAATCGGCAGAGCGATTGTGTTTAGAGAATTGCTGGTTGTGTAGCTGTGCAATGACGTCCCATCCTTCACGCCAATGAGCACGCACGAGATGCAGCATTCCAATGGACTCTGCTTCCGCAAAACCGTCACCTCGACGCTGCACATGAGGCCCAAGACGTCGCTTCACTTCAGTCTCCATGACATCCGGTGGAGAAAAACGTGCAGCCATTTGCTGGGATTTTTTGTTACGGTTTTTTATTTTTGTTAAAAAGAGGGGAGAGAATATGCGAATGGAATGGGTGGATCAAAAAATGTGCAACATTCTGACGTTATCTTTATACAATCGAGTAACAAATCTGATTTTGTCACGCTTTTAGAAATCAGGAACCGTACAAATTACAGCTACTTCACGTCAGAGGTAGAATTTCTTGCTATGCAGTGAATATCAGCGACAAAATGATAGACTTTTGGGGCGTACGACTTTACCTTCTCGACGTGATCGCACGTAATAATCCAGTCTTTTCCATTCTGCTGTGCAAGCTGACGCATTGAGTCCAATACGCGCTCTTTCCAAGCTTTTTGATCCTCAATTGCTACGTTATCATGCACATGGAACCACCCACCATTTGGTTTTAGCACTTGTACGGCGAGTGGCCACGCCTTCTTACTTGTGGGTAATAGACCCAAATTGACACGGTCAGCGACTGCACCGATTGTAGGAACAGATACGCGGTTGTCACCGAGATAGACCTTGCATCTATCTGCAACGTGGTTGCGCTCCAAGTTAAAGCGTAGTGCTGCAACCGAGTCGGGATTCCACTCGCAAGCGTGAACGAACGCAGCCCCACCATGCACGAGGAAGGGGAGCACGTAGTAACCGATGCCACAAAAGAGGTCAACGATGATCTCACCACGACATCCGATGTTTGCCATGCGGGCCTTCTCAGTGACATTACCCGACGAGAACATTACACGAGTGAGGTCCCAGCCGTAGATGATACCATTTTCACGAATTTCCACCCAACCGGGAGCTTCTTTGCTACGCTGTGTGGTGAGTGCCTTGTTGTTTACGTACAATAGCTCGACACGACTCTGGCGTTTCTCACTTGCATCAATAAAGGCTTTTCGTGCAACACGAGAGAAAGCGGGAGTAGTAGATGAACAAACATGCGCCCACATCTTGTCAGCAAACGGTGCCCATTCTTGCTCAAGGAAGGAATCTCGTGGCACCAGTAAAACATCACCTACATACTCATACTTTTCCGGAATGGCATTTTTGAGCTCAATCGAGAGTTGGTGCTTACTAGCAAAAGCACAAATCGTACTGCGAATCACTTCATTGCGGTTCAGTCCACTACTCTTGCCAAATTTGTTTATGTAGGCATCATCGTCCGGTACAATCTCGAGCTTTTGAACTTCGGAGTCTGTTGTCGAAGCAATAAGGTCACGAATAGAGGCTGTCACAGGAATCAAAAACATTGTCGTTTGCGTTTTGTCAGTCGAAGCCTCATGTGGCTGCACACCATTTACTACGTGGACACGCCGGGACTTGTCGTAAACGTGCGCCTTCTCAAGCAATGTCTTTACTTTCTTCACTTCCAATTTTTTGACAAGAACACCAAGCGGCGCTTCATTCGATGAGGCCGACATACTTGTAGACAGTGGGCAAACTGGGTTGCTTTTGGAGGCAATGACAGGGGCTGTCTGCAGGGTCTTCAATGACAGGTGGCATTGATACGTCGCCGAATAAAACTGCCCAAAGCCAAAGCACTGGAATCCACCGCCCAGAACGTACAGAGAATTATTTGTCGGCATCCACGTCGCAGTGTGCCCAACAAAAGCTGCATTTTCATGCTTCACTTCGCCGATTTCCGTCCATTGCAAAGTATGGACGTTTAGCACGTACATTATTCGGGTCGCCTTATCTCCACTCGCCAGAAAAGCAGACGTCATGCCACCCACCACAAGTACCTGATGATCGTTGATCGAACAAGCACTGGCAGCAAAAAGTGCAAGAGGCTGGCTCTTGTTCCGGGTGTCTTCAAGGCTTTTGTATTCCCAAGTCTCTTCCACAGTATCAAAGAGCAAGCAGACGCCAGTATCATCGTTATCGCTGGAATCAATGCACTCCAACGATGACATACCTCCCCAAAAAGCAAGCTTTTTTGATTTGACAACCGTACCAATGTGATCAAATCGGCGTGGAATGATGAACGATGAATTCTCTGTATCAGCACACGACATCAGTATAAGAAAATATAGCAAGCATCAGTGTCTAGATGTTGACGCACCAGTTCGATGCCACTGTGGCGAGTTTTCGCTAAGATCTAGGGCAAACAGGTCACCAAAAACTTGCTCGGCATCGCGACCACCGTACACGTATACAACAGAACCAACTGCAGCCACACCAGAACGAGTAATTAGTACTCTTCAAGCCGTCCAGTTCAACCAACAATTATGACAGCAAAACTCACCAGCGCAGCTGCAATGCTTCCAGCGTGGAGAGGGGCCAACTCCTTGGGCGATAATCTTCGTCCACTGCTTCGTTTCAAGATCCATTGTGTAGAGATCTCCCAGAGGTTTTGTAGGACTAGTGCGACCACCAAACACAACCATACGTGATCCCACAACAACAGAAGAGTGATACATCCTAGCTGACGGGCCATTAACCCCGGCTATCGTATGGTATGTCTGCCGAAGCGAACCGTCTTTGGAAGGGACTAAAAAAGTCACATCGGCAACGCGTGTTGTTGTTCCCACAGCAGTAGTCCCCTGACCACCAAATACTACAATTGAGTCTCGGTACCGCACGCTCGAATGCCCCACAAGCTTCACGCCATTCTCGGTAATCACCTCCGCCCAGGAGCTCAGTTCGACCCCAGAACCAAGTCCAGTTTGCCATTTCGCTGCTGGCTGGCAAAATGTGGCACGAAAGGTTTCAAAAAGTCGATCAATCTTTTGCTTGTTGACCTCAAACTTTTGATTCGCGATGTCCACGATCCATCGGAGGTACTCGTCATCGATCAGCAGGTGCTCTGCACTCCGTCCAAGTGGGATTTCCAAACCATTGGCCGACGTACGTATGGCACACATGATTTTTCGATTGCCAAGGACAACACCTGATTCCCGGAACCCGTTGGCAATACCCCATTGCAACAATGCTTTTGCCGAGTCGAGATCACGACACACAACGTGCATGATGAATGGCTCGTGTTTGAAGAGAATCTACCAAAACACACCCACCCATCAATTACCATCTAGTACCCAAAATAAAAGTACAGCTACCCATCAGTTCACGCACCATGTTACTGGTACTTTTATGGGCATCAGAAGAGCGCAGCGCCGTGACTAATTGATCAAATGTGATTGTAGCATGTTCAGCAAACAACCATTTGCCACCTTTTGTGATCAAATCAGAGCCACTTGGAGTTCCATTTTCTTCTTCTACTGCTGCGGTGGCTACTGCATTTTTCCCACAAAAGAGCGCAATGCGACCAGAACAGGAGCTGCTCGTTATCTGTATCACAAGCACATTCAGATTAGTATTTAAACATGAGTATTTCCTACTCCACCAGAATTAAAACTCACATAATCCGGATGAGCATTAATAGTCTTGATCATCGTGACAATAGGTTCATCAATACACCCCTTGGGACTCTTGTCTTCCATCGCCTGTAGCTTCCGCAGACTCTCACGCTTGAGTTGCGCGAACATTGTCCGTCTCCAGTCGTCGCAAAATATAGACCAATACTCAAATTTTTAGTCCCGCTTTCATAAATAGTCGTCTCAAATAACCTTATAGTCTTTTTTTGGCTCCCATTCTTGAAGCTCAACATGGTCACCGATGCCGTACCAAGTCTCCGCATACGCTGCGCCGGCGTGCGCTCCAATAAGCGCGCTTTACTACCACCTGATAACGGTCGTATATTCTTTAGTGAATCGCAGTATTCCAAGTCGCCTTTTCTCGTACGTGTGAGCTTTGATAGCGTGAGCTTTGTACACCGCGGAACACACGTCGTGGAGCGGCGTTTTGTCTTCCCTGGGCGCGTTCTGCACGCTGTACTGGCGGATTTCTCTTCAAAAGTCTTGACAAATACAAGACATGATATAGATGAGTCAAGGAGGGGTCAGAGACAGCGAAAACTGCCGCGACGGTCCCAAAACCACCCTCATTTGTGTGTTTTGGTGCGTTCTGACTGCTTAAATGTATACTCTGCAGCTGGAGAAGTATTTGAAGTAGCACTGCCTTTTCAAGCCAATCGTCTCTTTCCAATGGAAAGACGAGGTCTGCTGTTGCAACGCAGTCCAGCGGTCCAGATCCCAGCCACCCCATCGAAACGACCGAGAGATGCTGCAGCTGTGGCTCTCGCCAGGAAAAACCGACGAGCAAGCACGAGTAATCGAGGAGATGGAGACAAGTACAAGTATGGCTTGATGGAGACGGGTGTACCGGCGAGACCGCGGTATTTTACGCTCAGACATCCACTTGATGAAGTTAAACCAGTGGCGCTGCGTTCGAACAAGAGAAATACAACAGGGGCGAGAAAGGAGACATTTTTATCCGACTCGGCATTGGATGTTGTGGCTGTACTAGAGGATGGAATATCGTCTCTGTTGGTGGCTTTTCATTGCTGGGAGCAGAGATATCATGTGTTTCAGATGAATATAGTGGAGACGAAATCCAAGAGCTGCTCGATACCAACTGTTAAAGTGGTTGATGGACCGACGTGGACGAGATACCGAGCAAAGAGTGATTTGGAGGAGCTGCGAGTACGCATTGAGCCTGAGTGGCTGGCTGTGCTGCTGTGGAAGTCTCCTCGAGTTGGACCAGCGCCTTTACAGCCGACGCATCTGTCACCGATTCTTTCGTCTCCTCTAATGACTACTTCTTCTATCCCGCCGTCGCCCTTAACTTCCAATGCATCATCAATATCGTCAGGAAATCTTATGAAGGGGGCGTTTATTGCTTCAGATATTGATGGCTTTCCGCTGCTGTGCATCATGGACAAAGATTCGGGAACTCTACTCCTGAAGCCTCTTTCACAGCAAGACAGTCCTACAGCGGAAAATGACCACGAAACTAATGGCGTTCGTATCTTGCATTGTCGTGATGCTGTTCCCATCCGGCAGAATGATGACAGAAGATCGTGTGAAGGTGAAGTGGACATCAAAGGCCACGGCTTTGAGGGATTCATCGATATCGTAGTGCTTGAAAAGACTGGTGTGCTCATGTTGTATAGGGCATACCATCCGATTTGTCGCCTGACTCTTCCTGGCATGGAGCGTGATGATCTCGCTATAGACATTCCAAATGAGGATGGCTCAGATAGAATGCGGCTAGTAGGCAATGTCCAGCTACACTCTGTTGGCATGTGTGATGCCTATGAAATTGTGTTTCCAAATTTGTGTGGTAGCTTGAGTGGAACGATATGGCGATGCAAGCATCCGCTAACGATTGTGGGCTCTCCATTGCTACAACAAGTTTTTGAGGTGCTGGACTGCATAATCCCACCTACGATATTGTGCGCGTTTAAAGCACAAGTAGTTTACAGAGCACAGCTGAAAACTCAACGTGCTTCTGATGATGACGAACTTGTGGATGGTGGAATTGAGTGGCAGACATTCTGTGAACACGTCATCAGTCTGCTGCCGAGGCAGGGCAGCAATAACAATGAAATGTTGTCATCCGTAGTAGATGGATTGGCCTCGGATGATGGAGAGAGAACTGGTGCTCCTTCGTGCTCATCATCTTTTGATGCGCTTAGCCAGAGTGAATATCATGACATGTACCAATATGAGCATGCTATGCTTTTTGCCACAATGGAGCTGCCAGTCGCGAAGTCCTTCGGGCGCAGCCCCAGCGACGATCGTGAGAGTAGCAACAAAAATGCCAACAATAATGCCCAAACTAATGAGAAGCGGGTGTGCTCCAGAATCGAAGATTATGTGAAGACCATTTTTGTGGGACTTCACTTACTTAGCGAAGAATTCAAGTTGTCAATTGCGCTCTTTCAGCAGCGATTGCATCTTGTGAGCCTGTTGTTGGATATGGGATTGCTGCTGGGTTTCGGTCATTTTGTCACCTACTATCGAGAGGACAATTGCATCCTTAAACAAAGAGTAAGGTCGCCAGCGTTGGAATTTCAGTCCAAAAAGCAAACAGAAGGGTTACTCTCTTTTACTATGTACGGGTGTGTCCCTGATGTAACAGTGTGGCTTCAAACTAAGATGACAGCACGGACAGACAAGTTAATGGATTTTCCCACACTTTTGGATGATTCAGAACACCATCCGCTTCCTAGTGGTTGCTTGTTTCGACGTCCTGACAATCCGCTTCGGCGCACTCGAGCGATGTGTCGTGCATACGAGCTCATGTATCCAATCTCAGAAGAAGGTGCTCCTCACTTACCCACCGCGCAATCGAATGCATTCAAGCTGATTGTTTACCTCACTCAAGATCCCGTTGGTAGTGCTCTTTTGCTGGACGATCTCCCAGTTGGTCTAAGCTTTCCTATTCTTCAAAGCATTCGCCAAGTGAAGCATCATCCGCCACCTTTCATTACTGAAGACATCTGTGCATTCGTGGGACGGGAAGATCTCAGTATTGCAAGCGCAGAAAATATGGCTGTTGATTACTCTGGAATCAACCAACAGCATGATCTTGCAAGTAGCTCATGCGATCACAGTGTTCAATCACAAGATGATATTCGCGATGACTGTGACGGTTTGAAATACATCATAGGTCGCAGTCAACCGCTCTTCCCTGCTGATCAGAGGATGAAGGAAGTTGCTCGACTTCTTCGCTCAAGTCAACCTCTCTGTTTGAGATTAGAGAAGACGCCAGATTTGTCCGAACTAGATTATGCACAGCAACAGCAAGCTCGATTGCTGCTACTCTGCAAACGATCTATGGCGCTGTCTGTAGCACGCGGTATGGTTACGCTTGGTAGCTTTGATGTTTCTGCTGCTCAAACACAAATATGGCGGCTTCATATTCCTGCGTTGCCTCTTGCTGGACGAAAGCCGCCTGCAAATGCGATTGCGGAACTTGATCTATCCGGCTACGCGAAAGAGTTAGCATATTGGCCTCAATTTCACAATGGATGCGCCACAGGCCTTCGGCTTCCGGCTCATGACCTGTCTGGAGTTATTAATCGTCACTGGATAAAATACCATCGGCCCTCGGTCAATGAATCTTTGCAACAAAACTCAGGTGTAACTACTACGAACGGACAGGCAGCAGCAACCCGGTCAGGTGATACTACCACTCGCAATCTGGAAGAGGCTTATGCAGCCCATGCGGGGTTATTGTTGGGAATAGGTCTACGCGGTCATCTCAAGTGCTTGTCCATGGCTGACGTATACAACTACTTGTCGCTGTCAAATGAGTTCGTGACTGTCGCAATCATGCTCGGTATGGCTACCACGGCTGCGCACTGTCGACGCAAGCGTAAGCAGCAAGCCGCAACAGCGAGCCCTGTCACGAATAATGATGGCGACCAATCTCTACCATTAGCAAACGAAGGCGCAGATGCACCGTCGCTAGACGCAGACCATCTCTTCTCCGGTTTCCCTGAGCTTTCATCGTCGGACAACACTCCGCTACTTGGGACAGGATTAGAGCTAGCGTTGGAGCGGTCGGTATCCAAGATGCTGTGTCTTCATGTTCCGTCATTGCTACCACCACCATTCGGAGGGTTTTCAGTACCTGCGTCCACTCAGACAGCAGCATTACTGGGACTGGGCATTTTGTACCAAGGAACGGGTTACCGTTTGATGACAGAGCTGTTGCTCACCGAGATAGCACGTTCTCCATCGAGCTCGCAATTTGTGGGAAGCAACGGTAATGTAGGACTATCGACGGCTTCATTTGATCAGCTGGAGGGGTATGCTTTAGCGGCAGGTATGGCGCTTGGCCTTGTCGTACTCGGGCGCGGCCAGACCACAACAGGAGACCCTGGACTAGCCGACTTGAAGCTGGAAGAAAAGCTTCACCAGTACATTGTCGGAGGTGCGATAAACTACCGGGATCTAAATGCGGCTGGAAGTTGCCTTTATCGTGGACGTCGCTGGCAAGCGTTTGCCAGTGGAAGTAATGGTTTTAACTTTGCGGTTAATAGTAGCGTCGCTAGTAATGAATCGCCAAATGTCAACACAGAGGCCTCTCCTGGCGCTGGACGTGATACAAAACATTCCAATGATCGGAATGGGGCTCGTGGTGGCGGCGAACATGTAAATATTGGGGTGACTGGCTGCGCAAGCGCTTTAGCACTTGCATTCATGTACATGCAGAGCGACAACAAGACTGTGGCTGCGCAATTGGCGGTTCCTGATACTCTTACTCTCCTGGATTATGTTCGTCCCGACATCTTGTTGGTGCGTACACTGGCAAAAAATCTAGTGATGTGGAATAGCATACTACCAACGACAGAATGGATAGATCAACACGAAGTCCCGGCACAGCTTTATCAAGCGTACAAATGTATTCAGGATACAAAAGGAGATGCTAACCAAGCGCATTTGAGTGGATCACCATCACGTTCTGATCTCCGCTCAATCTGTGAGGCTTATGCAAACATTGTTGCGGGAGCGTGCATGAGTATCGGATTGCGGTATGCTGGAACATGCAATACATCAGCTCGTGCCACACTTCGCAAGTACGTTTTACACTTTCGTGAGCTAAGATCGAAGGTGTCTTCATCGTTATCCTCAATGCTTCTGCGTGGAAGTAGCAGTATTGTTGCTGCAGCGACGGAACGAGCGACCGTCGAGCGGTGCTTAGCAGTGTGTGCGCAGGCACTAGCTTTGGTTGATGCTGGAACAGGTCATATAGAAACACTCGCACTTCTGCGCTCGATCACGCTGCGGCAACGAGTTGACGCAGCAATAAGCTACGGAAATCATATGGCTCTGAGTATGGCAATCGGATTGCTTTTCATAGGTGGTGGGCGCGCAACTGTTTCTCGATCCAAGGAGGCTATTGCAGCACTTGTGGTCTCACTCTACCCGATGCCTGCAATGAATACTGCTGACAACAAGTTCCATCTGCAAGCTTTCCGTCACCTCTACGTACTGGCTGTTGATACTTCACGATTACTGGAAACCGTGGATGTGAGTACCAAGTCTACCACTGCTGTTACAGTACGAGTTGACTTTTTTCCTATCGAAAATGGTTCTTTAGACGAGACTCAACCTTCGTATCAAGTGCTGCGCAGTCCATGCCTTCTTCCCGATATTACAACTATTAAGCGCCTCATCATCTCTGATCCTGAATTTTATCCGATTGAAATTCTTACGTCGCCAGTATCTGATGAACGAACAGGGAAAGTAAGAACAGCTAACTCTCTGCGGCTTGATCTTTTGCGGAACAAGAATGTGGTTTTTCTTAAACGTCGACCACGAAAAGGTTTCGGAAGTTTTGCTAGTTTTACCGAGGAGCTTGAGCTGCTGCATGAAGTGCACGTGGGAGATCACAATGGCGTTAGCAACAGTGACGATCGTTTGTGTAGAATTTTTCGGTCATACTTTATGACGGGTACTTTCGGTTATGCGGACGACTGTGACGCTAGCGAGGACGATGGATACCAGCTAGATGTCGCAGATTGGGGAAGCAGTTGGTGGTCCACTCAGTTGAGTCCACGATCGTCGCTGGAACAAGTCTACGACGAGGATCAGTTGTTGCTACCATCACATTTAAATGTGTTGTATGCGCTCTTCCGGCTGCAGCAAGTGCCACAATTGGCATGTGCCACCGAGGTCGTGAATTTGAGCCTGTTTCGTGAATACTGTCGTCTGGATTTGTGTTCATCACCAACGAGTGATGACAAAGAGGGTTCTGAAGGCATAAACGGATCAGGATTTATTGTGAAGAGAACTTTGCTTCTTGAGTTCGGTGTGTGGTTGTCACATCAAACGGAGGAAGCTCTAGGTGCGCTGTGGCACCGAACCTCGTTGGATATTACTTCGATGGCTTCAGCACGAGTCCATCTGCTGGTAGAGGCTACACCGTCGATGTCGCCCCCAAAACGAGCTCAATCCGAAATGGATGCGTTTTTCGTAAACATCCTAGTCCGATACTTTGCTGGTCCTTCGGTGTCGTCGTTACCGATCGTAAAGCAGCCTCGACCTGCTGATAAAGATTGGAAAGCCAAGTTCCAACGAGTCCTGGCCGCGTGTTCACTAGTCCAACCCCAACTGGCGGGCACAACTTCGCCAGCACGATTCCAATTGTGTGCTTTTCTCGATCAGGATGAGCTTACACAAGCTGAGAAGACATTTTGGCTAAGACTGGTGTCATTTTTCCTCTTTTCCAGTCAGCATGATGACGGATGAATGACAAGACGCTGTTGCGGGTTTGCTAGTTTTATTTGAATTTTATTGTCCGCCATTTTTGATCGTACGACTGGCTGCATGGAGATGACAGCTTTCGCCTGATCTACCTGCAAATACGTTTGTTTTTTTCTATCTATCATCCCGAATCAAGAATGAGAATGGAACCTTCGTCAAGAATTGGGGACGGCTTGTCCAACTGGTGTCTTCGTCATTGTCTTCCGTCAACCTGAAAAATCATGCATACGTACGCACATGAGGCTCACTCCTGCGCAATCAGAAAGGTTATTGACGTGCCTTGCATGCTTCGTCCTGGTTGTCGAAGCATCCGCGCTCCTGCTGCTACTACTACTACCACCTTTTTTTGGGAACCAACATCTCTTTTTTTCCATGGCATGCATGGTATTCCTCTTTTCTTTTTTGCCATACTCACCCACGCCACTATTGCCCTGGGCACAACCTCCTCAATTCAGTTTGGCAAAAGTGATTTTCATTTTACGTCTTTTGCGCGGCGACGCGACGGCAGAAGCCGCCGCCAACTCCAAAGGCTTCTTCACCGCCATCACGGGAGGTGAAGTGATCCCTCGAGCTGCCGCACAGTTAGTCGACGCATTGGCAGAGATCAGGACAGTATCCGACAGATTCCCGTCCAAACTACCCTTTCCACCCACAATACTGCCATTATGGCTACGCTTACCTGTTATTTCCGGCGATTCTGGCGACCCCACCTTTTTCGCCTTTAGTGCGGTGGCCTTCTTAGCCGGATCAGTGTCGTCCGCAACCTCGCCTCCGTCTACCGCAGGATCAGGACTTCCTGGCTGTGAAATGCTACCCTTGCCGATAGCCATCTCAGCTGCAAGTGACTCAGTCTTCTGACTGCATGTCAAATCCTCGCTATCTTCTTGCGAGTGCATTCCCTCATCACCTGAAGGCAAAGGACTTGGTGCTGCAGCCTCTTCTGTCTTCTTTTCCTCTTCCTTCTTCTTCTTCATAAACTCACGGCGAGTGGCGCGCGCGACAGTCCGTCCGCCCATTTCTTCGAAAACACTTTCAGGCAAAAATTTCCAAATAACTGGAGTGACCCTCACATCCATCGTAGCGGTTCGCTTGTTCCAGCGGTAAAGGTCATTGTTTTTAAAGTACTCCACCGAGTTGTCAATGCTCACTTCGCGACTGCGCAGTTGGCGACGGTCAATATCAAAGCCCACATAAAAGCACGCACCAAACTTGCGGGGCTGCGTGGAACTTTCACCACTAGGCTGCTTGCCCGCTGCTACATCATCACCTGTCACAAAGCTCAGAGGGAACTTCGTTGGAAACGCGCGTAAGCGACAGAGCGCCGGGTTGTACGCCAAAGACTCGACCAGTTTTCGCAATCGAGACTCACAAAACCCGCACCATGCTTGCTCTTCCTCTTCCTTCTCCGTGTACACCTCGACCGCTAGGTAGTGTTGGTGGACGGCGAAAAAGTCAGAAGGCTCAAACAGCGGCCCCCATTCCGATCCACCTTTGCTGAGCACGTCCTGCACAATTTTCAAGCCACGTTTGAACTCCTCTTTCATCACCATCAGACTATGCGTCGATACATTAAACGACGAGTTCATCGACGGGTACGCCGGCGTCAAAATTGGCATCACTTGGTATCTAAAACAAGTCACCATCAACGGGAATTATACACCATTCACAACGCAAAACGAATAGAAAAAACTATACAATAACTCTCGAACGCACCGATTATGGCCCGCATTTGCGTTCCATACCTCCAGTCCAAGTTTCGCATCGTGCGTCTTGCACAGTTGAATAGCAAGAGGCCATTTCCAGTTGTTCAGTACCATAAAAAAACGCAATAGTAATGTCGAAGGCGCTGCAGTCGGGTACAATTGATTAATGAAACACACCAAGATGCACCAATTCACACCTCCAAGATATCCCATCTTGTTCGAGTAAAGTCCGCGTCGTTTAGCCCATCGTCTTACAATTCGTAGCACACTAATGAAACTCTCTCGATTCGGCGTCAACTTGATCATAAGTTCCGTGACTCTTGGGCCATTGAGACTCTTTTCCGTAGCTGGATCCACTCCTACAAGCACATGATTATCCAAGATATTGAGATTCTCAGGAATGGAGTTTCGTGGCAGAATAGCAATCTGTAGATCGATATTAATCTCCTCGTAGTCAAATGTAAGAATAGGCACAACAGCGCCTTCAATAGCCACCAAATGTGACACCTTGGGATGTTGCAAAAAAATGTCTTTAAGTGACGAAAAAAAGTCGTCACGTGTCACGTGGCGTGGTGCGACACAGATCGTGTCAATATCAGCTCCTGGTTCATTGACACCAAGACGATAGGAACCTGAGACTAAAATCTGACCACCAGCATCAGCTGCCATCTCCTCAGGAACACCCTTATCCATGCACACTTTCTTTACCCATTGACGAAAGATTGTACGTAACTCAGCCAGGATCAATGAACGTCGTGTAATATTCAGGTCCGATTCAGTCGGAAAGTTCTTGTCCATAAACGTCTGAAGCTTTGTTGATTGTTCAAGATCTTTCGGTTCTGGAAGTGACGTTCGAATAGCTTTGTACGCCTGTTCCAGTACATGTGGGGCCACGGTAAACGTTGAGCTCTGCATCGAATCAAGTGACGGTTTATTCGCTTGCGACGGCGCCAATTTACTTCTGTCGTAGGGTAAGACGCTGTCTCTGTGCTGTTGATTGGTCAAAAATGATTTGTCAAGTAGTATACTCTGTGATTGATGAATAGTTTCTTTTTTTTACTATTTGAAATAGTAATACTATTTTTGTTTCAAAGTTTGAAAATGGACTATGATGATATTGAGACGCTTATGCCACGCACCAAGTGCGTCTTTTACCCTACGCTTACGATAGTGCATCGATAACAAACTGTCTAATATGTACATTTATCTACTACTATATTGATTTAGGGCCGCCAATGACCGTGCACGGGTTGACAAAACCAAGCTGAAGCGATTCATGGCTATACAAAAGACGTCACGCAGTAGTGTCGCTGCGTATGAAATGGCTACATTTCTATTATACTTTTTTATGTAAGAAAATGTAGTAATGATTAGTATTGTCTGCTGTTATGTAGCCACTCGGTCGTTGTGGTTCGAGGTGACGTACGTAAAGATGCAGAAGGATTTGAAGATATTGATGACTTTTGGGTCGATGAGGAATCAATGCAAGACGATTCAGTGGACGACGATGATGACTGTGTGTACTGTTAGACGTACAATATATGGATGGAGAATGTCATGTGCTGACACTGGTTGACTGTGGACAGCGCTGACTGTGTCGGACAAAGAGTCGGCGGACACGTCTGGGGACGTTTCAGAGCCGAGTGAGCATGAGGTAGAGCTGCCAGAGATTGAGAGTCCTCCATCTAGTGATCGTGAGAGCATGGATGTCGAGACAGGACCAATCCTGTCTCGAACGCAGAGAAGTAGCGCCAGTAGTACAGTGGGGCGTGAGAAGAAGAAGAAGGACACCTCGCTTTCACCTATGCGAAGTGATGTCTCGTTTGATTTTGGCGGCTCGCCACATGGATCAGTGGATATGAAGGATGATAAGAACGTCACTATTCGTAAACGACGCAGTACGAAGTCTACTGGGAAGGATACTGAGAAAACAAAAGCGAAAGAAAAGGTGAAGGCGAAGGCTCGTCGACGAGAATCGTCTGGTGGACATGGCTTTGACGAGGAAACAGTTAGCCCGTTTTCCATGAATGATGGCCCAGTTACTCCACTGTCGAATGGTTCGTTGTGGTTTTCTGCATATTGGGGTGGAACTGATATGTTCAACATACTCAGCTTCTCTTTGAATGACTGACGTGATGCATTACTTGATTTTGTGTTGTAGCAAGTGATCGCATGCTGAAGCCGATACCGTCATTTTCTGATAAGAACTCGCTCTCACCGAATATTAGCAAGGAATTATTCAAGAAAGGTGGATACGGTAGCGATGCCAGCGACGACAACCCTAAGGGGCAGCAGGAGAAAAAGAAAGTCAAAAAGGCAACTACCGGCAAGCGATCAACTGGTGAAGCTAAGAAGACGCCTCGACTGCGGCCAACAGGCAAATATGGCTACCGGTCGACCCCGCCGGCGACAGATACGTCGATTCGGTCCGTGCAGACGGATGAAGATAACGACGAATCCTTCGAGGCGCAGAACGATTCAGGCGGTGAGACAGGAGACGACAGTTTCTACAACGAGCCAGAAGCGCCCAGTGGCCCGGTTCGAGATAAGTTGCCTGATGCTTCGAAGATTTTAGACGACGACGGAAATGACGATGCGTGGGACGGCAGCGGATTGCGTCGATCGAAGCGAAGGCGTTTTAAACCGCTTGCCTGGTTCAAGAGTGAGCATATGGTGTATGAGCGCACCTTTGTTGGTGTGGGCACGGTGATGCCTACAGTAGTCGGTGTTGAGCGTCTTGGCCTTGATTCTCCAACGTCAAAGCGTACAAAGGCGAAGCCCCCGTCGAAGAGGACTAACAACAGCAGAGCATTGGCTCTCAAAGATCTCCCGAAGGACGTACAAAAGAGGATCGTCGACAGTGAGTGGGCGACGCTCTACGACGGCCAAGCGGGTTGCATGAACGACCTGAACATCATCTGCCGCTCTAGCGAGATCCGTCTACGCAAACTTCCAACTGAGGAGAGGGGTGGCGCTGTGGTACACGCATACGCTGGGCAGAGCTTCAACCTGTTCAGCCCGTCTCCATTTGCTCGGTGGATTTCTGGACGTGTCGTTCTGCCTCCCGGTGCGTGGAAGGAGCCGGAGGGCGTTGGTCAAGCGGTGCAGTTATTTTATGTTACAGGATGCCAGCCCAAGGCGCTGGAGCTGGCACTGGCGCCAGAGACGGACGATGACTTTTTCACTAGCAAGCACACGACCCACTTTCTGCTCAGTCCCGGTGACGAGTTCTACGTGCCGGCAGGTAATGTGTATTATGTGAAGAATCACTCAAGCTCGGCGGATTGCGACTTGCGTTTCACAATCTTGAAGCCCGAGGCCCCGCAGATGGATGACAACGATTCGGACGCAGAAAAGGACAATGAACCGACGACCGAGTCCAAGCCGGAAGCTGCTGGAACAACAACTAGCCCTCTTAAGCGTAAGCGAGAAGAGGGTGTGGATGCAGATGCTGACTCTGACACAGTGTAGAAACCGAGCATATTCTAGCAGCAGTCTCAGTACTTCGTTTCGTGTACCAGCAAGGCTCTCTGTGAATTGTGGTGAACCGTCATGCATCATGACCTCGCTATCATACTGAAGTGCCGGAATAGTGTATGGTGTCTGCTATAGCCCCGGCAATCAGTTGTATACTCGTTAACAAGTCGGTGTTTAGCTGGTGCAGCACAATACACGGTGATTTCCACTTGACGTAGGAAGTTCCTGACCTAACGAACCTTGGCCAAAAACGATCGGCCAAAACGTTGCTAGTCTTACAAGTCAGCGCGAAAATGACACGCTAATAGCATCGTCAACTTGAGAGACGATCTGCCCGCATTCGCATGGACAGCATCTCTGATATGAAAGCAGATGGAGGTCCGATACAAAGCCGCCCCTGCATAACATGGCTGCAGTCTAAAGAAGGTTTTAGGTGAGCTCGTCCAGCTGCTGGAACGAAGTCGATTCCGTTTTTGGTCAACAGGCTGAAAATCGGACAGTCAAAAAACCAGCAGGAAGGAGATGACTGTCTGCTCTATACTGTCAGCTTATTCGTGCTGCAGACTGCAGTGTATAGTTATGTCTAATCCTGTAGCAAGCTGTTTAATAATACACGTCAATGGTTGTGGTGATACCGTTATCATCCAAGTATGTTTGGCAATATGTTCTACAGTATGTTCTGTAGTTTCTTGCAGTGTCCTGATGTCACGTTGCTGACAAATTGTCTTTTGTAAAAGGATGGATGAGATGCTTGAGATTATTAAAGAAGGTAGTGTTGCAGTACGCGGCCACTTCATGGTACGAAATGAATTCACGTCGCCTTAGACGCATTGTGTTTGGCCGTACTAATTGTTGCATTGGTTTCTCCAGTGGCGCAATCGATACGTGACGATCAAGTCAGGAGAAATGGCGATTCATCGTCGACGAGAAGGACCAATTAAGGCCAAGGTTGGTTTGTTTCTACGTGTTCGTGGATTCCGACGTCTAATTCACCTGCATCCTTTTGTGTATTATCTGCTAGATTGACTTGTGTGATACCAACATGAAGCTCACATTTCTCGGCGGTCAGTCTCTGCTTACAATTTCCATGCACGGTCAGAATATCGTGTGTGACCTTCGCTCGACCGTCACGCGGGACGAGTGGATTAGTGCCATTGTGAGTGCCCAGGAACGCCCAAGCTCACAAGTAGAGTGCGACGAAAATGGCACGAAGCTTATCTCCGACGATGAAACGGACAATCACGACAGCTCGATGACAAGCATGGAAACTGATGAGAGCGATACGATGGACAAAGAAAGCGAAGGATATAACGATTCCCTGTTGGCGTTACGCAGTGCGCGCGACTCTGCAATACAGTGTAATCTATCGATAGAGGAATCTGAAATCGATAGCGTTAACTACCCTCACGACAATCCTGCCACTCCTGCATTCACGAAGGCTGCTGTATCACTTCGACGGGTACAGAGTGCACAGCGTATTGAAGAGGAATTACGACAGAAGCGGCTTCGAGCTCTTTTGGGGATGATTGAGAGCTCACCGCATGGTGGGCGTGTTGCGCTATTACATCTTGGAGTGGTGGCATCTGCGGGTATTACGGTCGGCGATATGCTGCTGGCGCTTGGAGAGAAATATAGGAATGATTCACGTCGAGGGTCGGTAAGCCCACGCACTCAGAGCATGCAGAAGCACAACGTCGTGGCGTTTGTTTGTGATATACTGCTCCACCCCATTTACTCTAAACGCAAAGAGGTGAACACCGAAATAGTACAGGGGCTTATCGACTTGTTTTTCCCTGATTGCCGCTCAAGGCGGTTTAGCGACGACACGGACTTGCAGCATGTTGAACCGATTGAGTCAGCTTTTGTAGACAACGAAGACAGAGTCACGGCAAAGAGTGCAAACGATGCTGATGTTGGCACGTTGAAAAGTGATGCACCTTCAACCTTCACCTCAATACTACCAACTCCAGCAGTACGGTCTCCGCAAAGAAAAAAGCGACGCATCCACTCGTTTCCAAACTTAGGTGGAATTACCCAGCATGCTAGAAACAAAGGACTGCTACTACTCTCAGCCGACGACAATGAAAGAATCATCAAGTCAAGTAAGCGTGAGGAGGGTGGTCATCGACTGCGTGATAACATGCCGATGTTGCCGTTTTCGGACAGCAAATGTCTTGACGGAGAAGAAGATGGTGGCATTGCAGTCTCTGACTCTAGCTCATCCGAGGAACTTGACGTAGTTTGTGAAGCTGTCCTGCTTCCAGTCCCATTACGAAGTATACTCTCTGAGATGTCATGTCTGGAGTTGGCTGAACAGCTCACACTTTTTCATCACTCACAGCTGACACATGTGCATCCGTGGGAATTTTTGCATCATCCTAAAGAAGCTGCCAAAAACCTGACAGATCACTTCAATCACTTAGTGGCGTTTTTCGTCTGGTCTGTGCTGGTAGAAGAGTCTCCGAAGGAGCGTGCCGAGGTCATCGAAGATATCATCACAATTGCCATAGCTGCTAGTGCTCCACCTTTCAACAATTTTCACTTAGTCATGGCTTGCGTGGGGTGTCTTGGTGACACTCCATTAATATCTTCGCGAATGCCAACAACGTGGAAAAAGGTCCGTGCCAAGTACAAGACACGACTCGGTGAGTTGCGACAATTATGTGATCACACCGGTGGCTTCGAGAAACTACGACGCAAGCAAAGTGTTGAAAGTGCTCAGCTCACACTATCCAACGACAAGCCGACGACGTCAGTTATTCCTTTTATCGGCGTTATTGGGGTCATGTTGGAACGGTTGCGCTCAACGAGCTACTTTACTGCAAACAAAATGTTTGATCTCAAAAAACTGGAGCGGCAATACAAGGTCCTTAGTGTGCTGGAAAATGCACTCCTTAAGCATGCTCCAAGACCAGGTTCCCAACGCGGAAAGACATCACCAACGGAGGCCGCAGCTGAAATGACCACCCGTTTGCAACATTTCTTCCAAACTCTCAGTATGGACTTTGCCACGTCTCGATTGCATCAACTGCGCTCACAACAAATTCTGGTAAATGAAACGAGTACAACGATCGCGCAAGGGGCACTTGTGAACTCGAGTAACAAAGGAGAAAATCCTTTTGCAACGAATCTCCCAGTCAGCAGGTTTCACTCAAATGGACTAATTGGTCCCAATGAAGACTCTGGATTGGCATTCGTGTCGTTTCGAGATATCTGCGTTCTGTTGGTATCAGTGCCTGATAAACAAGAACGGATGCAAATGGCGCTCGAGGCTCTGTTCTTGGATGGGTGTCAGCCTGCTACGCAGTACTTGCGCAAGTTTTGGCTTGCCTTCAAGCAAAACGTGTGGATATCGGGCATTGGCCCCACCCTCCAAAGTCTGCGGCTTTGTGTGTCTGCTTTGTATCAAGAAGTCATGACGCAAAAGATCACCGAGGTCATGCAGGTCAGCGGATTGAATGAAAATTCGGGTGATCTGTACGACATGGTGTACGCGAAGATCGTGATTTTGACCGTACAGCCCGTGTATCTACACATCGTGTCAAAGGTCAAGCGCAATTACATTAAGGACGATGTGAATGCAGCAGCACGACTGCTGCAGAGTACACCTCAGATTGTAATTGATACCAGCAAGCCGACGATGCCGTGGAGCAGCTGTAGCTGTAGCTCCCCCGTGGAGTTGTTGGATCTTGTTTGTCAATTAGTCGCGCTGCCTTGTGCTAGCACCACTACTGCCACTGCCGCCGCAAGTGATCACCAACTGGCAGTGGTCGACTTGCTTGGAGCGCTACAGCACCAAGCCCGTCACACATTTCTCGCCACCAACCCTGTGAGCAGCATGTACCTAATGAAACAAATCCTGGATCCGATGTATCTACCACTTGCAAGACGGCAAGCGCTCGAAGTGTTTGTCGTTGCAGTGACATGGCTGCGAAAGAAGCAGTAGCTTTTCTCGGACGAGTTTTATTGACATTTCTGGCATCCAAAGGCATGAAGATGTCAGCTTTTACCCTGCACTAAATCGTGAAGAAACAGATCGCGACGCAATCAGGTATACCTTGTAGTGATCACCTATTATTATCATTGTTCCACCAAAGTTTGATAAAGGTGTGTAGAATATATCATCTCGCGCCACTCATTACATCACGTGCAAGTTACATGTACATTGCAATCCATATTTCTTTGCTTGGTGCCACCAAATTGGCTAACGGAGCTTTCCAAAAAAAGTATCTTCGACATAGCGTAGAGACGGGGCAAACATCCTTTCATCCACCAATAGAAGCGCTACTTTTGACACGAGAGCTGGACCGTCTAATTAGGGTTTCGTCACGTTGTCAGTGCGGAACAAGCGCGCACTCGTCCGCGAACCGCTTGATTGTATACGGTCCTTTGACTACTTACGGTAGCATTATAGTATACTCCCCCCTCCTCTTCTTCTATAAAAAGAGTCTTTACTTAGTATACTAGCTAAGAGAAAGGTGTAGCCATTTTCAGTCAAGTATCTTCCTTCACCTCGTTTGTTGATCAGAAACTCATCCCGTCTGCCATTGACCATCCGTAGGTATATATTCGATACAGTAGTGCACCCCAATTGCAGCAGGTCTTGGATATGCACACGTGGACTCTGGTGCTCGGCGTCTCGGCTTTGCTGCACACAGCATATACCGCCAGCTCGTCAGGTTCCAGCAAGCCAAACGGCGTACTTAACACTTTAACTACGAGCTGCAATGGTGGCTGTGGCATCAACGGTGCCTGCATTATCGTGGGTCAATCCTCGATTAACTATATCAATTGTGTCAATGACACCAATTGCGTCACGTTGTCGTCGGGACAGTCGGCGCGTTGTCTTGCCGTCTTTGACTCAACAGCTACCGAGTGGATCTTTCGACCGGCGGAGAGCAACGACAAAGCAGGCACTGGACCTTTTGAACGCTTGGGGTTATTGCAACTGGCTGACCATGTTACAGATCTGACCTTTAGTAAGGCAGAAGAGGGAGAGGAACCAATTTCCGGGTCGCTGGAACTCGCCTCGATGACTATCCATCCGGATACCACGCTAGACAAAGTGACGTTTCGAAATTTGACGCTGAACGGATTGGAAAACGCTTTGCCACTCAATAACATCAAGAGAATGTGCGTCACTGTGTTGGTGCTGAAGAGAAGCAGGAACTTTACACGTACATGTAGAATGGAGACTGACATGACGTTGCATTTATGTTTCGTGCACAGATATTTCAACAATTGCTCGCTTCGTGAGATCCCCACAACTACAGTGGCTGGAGACTCCGTCACTGTCATGTATGCTGCCTTACTGCTACACCTTTGTAAGAATGGTTTTATCATTCGTAACATTGTTTAATGCTGCAGTGACCTATCCAGTAATGCTATCGCTAATATCGGCTTCGACTTTCAGAGCGAGTCGTTTCCAAGACTAACTATTCTGTACGTGGAATCATGTGCATTCCAGTTACCTGTTGAGGCGTTATTGTTGACTATATCTATGCTGTTCTGCGTACAGTAATTTATCGTCAAATGCGTTGACTGACTTTAATCTTGTAGCAAACAACTTTCCAGCCATCACAACCCTGTGAGTGCAAGTGCCATTTCTGTTTGTCTTCTTTATTCCTACACCGGATCTGACAATTTGTTGTTATTCATTTTCGTGCGGGAGTCTAGCAATCTTCATGACAACTCGCTGACATCCATCCCCAAAGTAATCTTCAGTCTCTCGACGCTGCAATTCTTGACGCTGGCTGACAACCCTATCAATGCGTCGGATCTGACAGTGCAACAGTTCGCGTTCCTTGCCAATTTGCGTACGTTTACGATTGATGGCATCACCAGCACGCGCGTATGTCCGACGACTGTAATACAGAGTGCGCTAAATAATTCCTTTACGTTCTGTGTGGGGGCTGGCGACGATACTCCGGTAAATGCTAGGGTTTCCGAGGAGACTACGACAGACGCACCTGTAACCTCTGACGGCAATTCTTCGCCATCGCACAAGACATGGGGAGTTATAGGTGCGTGTCTTGGGGCTTTCGTATTGGCATTGGCCATCAGCATTATTTGGTGGTGTTGCCGTCGACGAAGAAATGAACAACCGAAGCTCACAAACAGTACCATTCCAATAATTGCAATCGGCATGGGCGACCTGTCGGAACATTCGTATATGGAGCTAGGTGTTTCCTGTTCCACCAACGCCTCCAGCCGGATGACATCGGACTTCCAATTACTTGCGTCTGTGGCAGATGGCTACATCGGGCTGACTCGGCTGTCCTATCGTGATGTTTTTCTGCACAAAATGTTGCGTGTTAGCAGCCGCTCGGAGCTTTGGCTTGGCGAGTACAGGCATGAGTCTGTGCTCATCAAGAAAATCAAGACAAACACTGCTTCAAAGGCATTGCTACGGGACTTTGTGACAGAGATCGAGCTAATGTTCGAACTCAAGCACCCTCGCATTGCTGCCTTCCGAGGCGCTATGTGGGATGCAGATGGTACGGAGCTCTGCGCTGTCGTCGAATACGTTGAAAGGGGTGCTTTGCGAGACTGTACGATAAGCAATGCCGTCAAGGTGCCCGTATCAAAGCAGCACTCCATCGCCCAACAGATCTCGGAGGCTATGGCATTTTTGCACAAGCAGGGCATCGTGCACGGGCGATTAAATGCGTTCAACATCCTGCTGGACAAAGAGTACTCTGCCAAGCTGAGTCTTTTCAGTATCTTTCATTACGTCAAATTTTCACCTTTGGACAATGAATGTAAAATCTTCGTAGCTCCCGAAGTTCTGCGCGGTGAGCAGCCAACGGAAAGATCAGATGTTTACGCATTCGGCGTGGTACTTGTGGAGATCGATACTGGCGAGACCCCTGTGATGAACGCTCGAAGACTGTCAATGGAGAGGCCGAGCTTTGATTACGGTCTTTCTCCGACTGCAAAGAAGACTGGATTCCACTTGAGTCGTCTCTGCTCCGGAATAATGAAGAAAACGATTGCTGCATGTCTGGAAAAGGATCCCACACGACGACCGTCAATGGCTGACGTGGCGTTAGCGCTCAAGAATAGCGCGATAAAGCTGTAAATTCTTACTCGGCAAAGTTTTACAAAGAGAGGCAAGCATCGCATGTACATTGTCAGCTTCGACGCCATCCTTTTAGTTTCTATGCCCTGCTCGATACAAATGCACTTTTCAATGTAAAAAAGTAAAATCATGCGATATCTAGTACGCTTTGGTTAACTCCTCTGCTTTCCTATCAAACGTGACACGACACGACTGCACAAACAGACGAAATCATTACAGACAGCGTACACCTGTTTGATTTTCGTGATGCAACTAACTCTTGGTAAGACAAAGTTTACGATGCGTAAGGTGGAGTGGGTGGGCAAAATCTAACGTTGTTCAAGCATCGAAGCCGTGATAGAAGGAATGCTTGACAAAAAAGTTGTTGGCCTGTCTGGTGGACAGGCCAAGATGCAATAATAACAACAGGTAATCGATCCTTCCGGTTATGTACAGCATTTCTCACGCCCTATAAGTAATGACTGACTGTTCAGAGTTACGAGAACATTTTCTTCATGTGTTGCTATGGGTTGATTATGGTTGTTTCTAATCCTGTTTGGCTTATTGAAACGTTGTGAAATGGTAGACAACACCTCTGTTTGCCTTCCTTCCTCATTCTTTTGTACCGAGTAGAGAGAGAGTTTCAGTCTCCAGTCTACCTGGAAGGCAGATGAAAAGCCTGTTATGCTGAACTGGGCATCTGCTGCGATCGCCAAAGACGAGCCCGGTCCTGCTATCACTTTGCTTTTTGTATCGATGGACAGGGCCATCCGTCGGGCCCCCTTATACAAAGTCAAGACGAACAGTACTGTATCACACGCGATAGCAGATCCCTGCCAGTGAATCAAGTTAACGCAGTTGTGCAGGGCTTTTTTCTGCTGCGCTATACAGACACGCTCTAAAGTATCGACGAGGCCCGCTTCATTATTCGGCTATAAAAATGCGGCTGCTCCTGGCTGTCGGACCAGGCGGCCTTAGAATATAACGGTCTCGCACTCGAGTACTGTATTAGGGTTTGTTTATCTGTCCTCCTCGTCCCCCTTTGGTCCCTATCTCAGCCCGTGGATGCTCCTCGTCTCCCTGCATGAAAAACAACTCGTTAACCAACGACGCCAACGTCGACATGAACGCAACATGGCTGCAGCAAGTGGTATCGACAGACGAGTCCAAGCGGGAACCCGTACCAACACCAACGCTGGAGATCGCTGCAAGCAGACACCGACTGACAGCCATTATGAATACGGACGACGTTGCGGCTGCTACAGCTGCGGCGCTTGTAGGGCGAACTGCTGCTGCCAGCAAGAGTTCGCTCGCCTTCATCTTGGGTGGCAATACGGTCGAAGATCAGGCCCATTCGACTGGCGGAACTTTTGGTACGTTATGCTGAACATTGCAGACGAAGACCTGGATTTGCAAATGGAGATATCAGCATTTGCACCGACTGATCACATGTTTGCTGGCTTCATTCATCTTGATGTGTTCGCAGCTAATCTCCAGGTTAGTTCAAGTGTCTCCACGATGGAAAACAGGTCTAGAAACGTACCAGCTCCTACTGCAGGAGCGAAAGCTGCTATGAAAAAGTCGCGTATTTGCAAGTTTGACAATTGCACGCGTTACGTGGTAAACCGTGGACTTTGTATTGGTCACGGTGTAAGTTGATTTGTTATAGTCTCTATCTAGCAATTCATCTGCACGTTTGGGCCGAGTTCATAAGCATGTGCTATGTAATACACATCCTGATAACAGGGTGGTAAGCAATGTGCTGTCGTTGGGTGCACGAGCAGTGCCAAAAATTTGGGCGTGTGCTGGAAGCATGGTAAGCATAACCCGATCTCGGAAAGATGGTTTCATGATTTGCTCAAATATTGCTCATTAACATGTGTAGGTGGTTCGACAAAGTGCACGATGGCTGGATGTGAGAACCGTGCTAAGTCTCGCGGAGTTTGCTGGTCTCATGGTGGAGGTATAGGAGTTGTTGTGGATTCCGTTTTAGGTGAGATGATAATTCTAACTCAAGTTTCATTCGCCAGGCCGCAAATGCAGTGAAGAAAACTGTATCAAGACGGCAGTCTCTCATGGTCTTTGCTGGGCTCACGGAGGAGGTGAGCTGGATTTTCTAGACATTTTTGACGGCTTAGAGCTGTATGTACTTGTCTTTTTATCACACGCTTGTATGCAGGCAAACGATGTGTCGTCGAAGGCTGCCGTAAACCTGCGTACGAGCGCAACGGCAACGTGTGCTCTCTGCATCAAGTTCCCGATGCTAGTGCTTTGCAAAAACCAGAAGAACGATGATGGTGGCCTTCGCTTGAATTGTGAGCTTGCGCATAGAGAAATATAGGAGACATACGCCAGCTCCATACACACTGAAGGCTCGTGACGGGGACAGATTGAAGGAGTAGGGAAGCGCGTTGAATATTTATTGTCACGATAACTTTGACGCACTCACGAGCTTGTAGAAAAAGGCGGCCATTCAAATTTTCTTGTAATTTGCTGCGTTTGCACTGAAAGACGGGACTTGAGAGGAGAAGGACATGGCGCTTCTTCAGTGGCGAAATGGTGTTGCCATCACTATAATGCAATATCCGATACAAGCATTGATGAAACAAACGCCACTGCTTTCCGTATTGTTGTGGAACCAATTTTCTCTCTAGACAAACGCACGCATTGTATCTACTGGTAGAGCCAACGTTACACGTAGAGTGCCTTGTTTTTGAGTGCGATCATGCAACGTTGTGCGTTAACCTCAGCACCACTTTGCCGCGAGTGTTCAAGATGACGGTTCAGAGCACGAAACAAGAGAAGGCTCCAGCGAAGGTGACTACTTCTAGGCAATAGGGACAAAGAAATATACATTGAGATAATAGATAACTGTCAGAACCAACTCGTTCACACAATTCTAGACTCTCATGTTCCTATTGTATTCAGACACTTTGGATTCATAGACGCTAAATAAAGGTCCTTGGAATCGAGATATATCATAAGCGTCTAATCGTAGACTGGGTAATGAATTAGACCTCGTGACACCTTCCCGTCTCTAACACATTATTGCATGCATCTGGATTTTCTACAAGAAATTTCTTGCATCGTGAGGGTTAACCTAACTAACATATTGGATATTTTTTCAAATCAGGTACTATTGTTAATCCCACATATTTTTTGTATCTAAATAGCGTAAGGTCCGGGTTTACAGTCTCGCTACACAATACAGCGCTCTGGAGATCACTACCAACTGGATCTTCAAACGTCGTAACGTTGAGCGTGGCAATGATGTTGTGTCAATCGATCACCAACATCACTCATGGCTACATGGCAGCTATGTCGCTGACAGCAAGACCTGACTCCAGCTGTGGTTATCAACTCAAGAGCGATGTGCTTCATCTCGGTCCACTGGCATACGCAGCTTGGGCAGCAAATACGCTGGTGTTCTCGTATCTTCTCTAGCATCCGGTTAGCAGTCGTGTAAACTTTACGCTCAAACTCGGCGTTCGCCTGCTTCGTTTCCTTGCACCTGGCGTAGCTGATGGTTGCTGGACAAGCATTGAAAATGTTAGAAGATACACACTCAGCACGACAAGTCTACACCGCTTTGAGAAAGAGATTACCGATTCGTTGCGATCTCCTCAACTTTGCATTTGCCCTGTCCAATTCCTGCTCAATATGCTGCATCTGTTGCTTGGTCTGGTCTTGCTGCTGTCGAAGGCGCACCAACTTGTTCTCCAATCTGAACGAATGGCTTGAAGTCATACGCTGAATCTCTTTCACATGATCAAGTTCAACTTTCATTTCTCTCATACGCTCGGAAAGACGCGAGACAGTTTGAGTTGGCCCGTTACAATTTGTATTGAGTTCTGCTTTGAAGTTGCCGCCTCGCTTGTTGTGAAATGGAGTTTCGCTTGATGGGCTTTTTTTCTCCCTAGCTCCAATGGACAAGTACAAGCGAACTTGGCTACTAGCTTGACGTCGACAAACTGGACAAGCTGGACGCCTTACAAGAGACTGTGTGACACATGTGTGATGGAATACATGACCGCACACCAAGGCTGTCAAGTTTTCCTCCATCTCTTCGAGACAGATTGCACATGGGTTAACAATATCTTCAGTATTCTCGCTATTCTCGCCATTGCGTATATCTGAGCATTCAAATGACACCCCCATGGAAGAACTTTTGAAATGACTTTTTATTCAAAGTCGGGAACGTGTTGATGCCATCATATTGATGGGACCCGACGAAAACAGAGATGAACGTCGAGTCCCGTGCTAGTGCAGAATTGAAAACAATCAATCAACGTGTGATACGGTACTGTACATTTGTGGTTTTAGTGTTCCTAGGTATTCAGCATGGCCGCAATGTAAGACGCGCTAGGGCGTAGCGATGGATCGTACTGAAGACACGCAACTGCAAGTTCTCGAACCATCATGGGACAGCCGGGTGTGAATGCAAACATACTCATAAAGCTTGTGTTATCGTTGTTGTGGGCACCTAGCAAAGGAGTCGTTCGTCGTCGGGTTTCCTCCACATTGAGACTACGGGAGCTATGCTGTCCATGAATGCTGTTTGCGCTTGGCAAACCTTCAAGCTGGGTAGTGCGCCTTCGTGAGTTATCTGGATCACTCTCAGAAGTATTCGTGGATACAACCGTGCCGTCAGTGGAAAGAAGGGTGCCATTATCAGTATCGAAGTCACCAATGTGTGTACGCATTCTCCACGAACTTCGAATCATTTCATCCGCTGTCTGGCATGTGTCAAGATGTGCAAGTAGCACACCGAACGCGTACATATCCGATGATGGTCGAGAGGGCTCGCCAATCAAAATTTCAGGAGCAAAAAATGCTTTGTTGGTGGAGTCACATCGGCGGTAGTATGACTGGCTACTGTAAGGAGATGATCCGCCCGTAGGGAGTGCTGCCTGTACCGGGTTTAACTTACAGCCCTTCTTGGGGTCCACGAACACGCTTCTGCCATTAAGCCCGTCGTAAGTCACCGTGTGCTTGTTGTGCAGGTACGTGAGTCCACGCGCTATCTCAGCTGCTGCTTTCATCTTGAAATTCGTCCAGTTGAGTGCAAAGCCAGAACCTCGGAGGTAGGCTTCTAGCGTCCCCAGCGTCATATATTCACACACAGCAGTCATCGAAAGACGTTCGTCCCAAACAAGTCCAGTAATCGAGAGTAGCTGGGGGTGGCGCATCTGTGATAACATTGGAACCATTTCCAAACCTGCCTCCACATCGTCGTCGCTAGTCTGAAGTTTAGTCACAAGAACCAATTGTGTACGATGCTCTGCCAAGGACACGGTCACGGGGCCAGAAATTGACAACTGGTTCAGCATTACAATATCGGTGGCCGGGATTTCCCTGAATACGGCCTTGCGAAGTCCACCTCCAGTATTATACTCGTTCAGCGATGCCTCAAAGTCAGTAGACTGAGTCATTGTGGACATTTTCATCAGTGCACGAAAGCCCACAAAATTGCTTTTGCTTTTGCTGTCACCCAACACAAGCGAATCATGTTGCTCCATTGCTGTATTTTGCTTCCACCTTCGCAGGAGCACAACACCGCCAACCACAACCACAACTATGAAGAGCGTAAGCCCTAAAACAACAAATAGCACGACAGAGCTGCTATCGTTCTCGCTTGCCGTGGAAGTAGTGCTCTTTTCGCTGGAACCAGAGCTGTTAATACTGTCGAGGCCAGAACCATGTGTATAGCACACACTTTTGTCAGCCCATGATATAGCTTCGTAACCTTCGGAGCAACTTCCATGGACTGTCAAATTGGCTTCAAACACGGGCAGTTGCTGTAAATACTGAAGCTGAGGCAAAGTGACGTGGGCGTCCAAAATGGCGTTGCTTTGTAGATACAAAGCCGACAAGCTACGCATTTCATAAATAATACTGGGAATTTCTGACAGCTCATTTTCGCGTAAGTCTCTATATGATAAGCAGAATCTCAGCGTCAGGAACCTTATCATCGGTGCATTAAATACGTTTAAAGTGCTTACAAGATAGACACCGACGTGAATGCGTGCGGACCACGTGGATCGAACTGAGTAAGCTTTGCTCGTTGAATAATACTACGACAAAAACGAGTCACACATGTCAGATTGTTTCCATGATAGCGAAGAAGACACAAGAACTTACAGCGACTTAAGAGATTCCGGAAAGATATTCGTCAGCATGTCGCCAATGCTAACGTCTGAAATGACGCTGGAACAAAAGCAACAGAAGAATGTCAGCTTGCATTCATAAATGCCACAACTATGTCTCAAGGTATACGGACATTTGCTGCAGCGATGTGCCACTGCGAAAAGCATTCGACGAGAAAGAGAGCGGGACAGTGACCTGCGAGCTTGCAGTCGCACCAACGATTGTCCTACGAAAGACAACAGTATACCACAAAATCAGCGTCAAATGATCTGCCACGCGTAGTAAAAACACTCAATCCATCAAGCTCTTCGTACAAATTCTGCAAAGTCAAAGGCAGTTTCAAGTCGTCAATATTCTGGAAGACTGCAGTATCCGCCTTGTCGCTCTGTGGCTGTGCGATAGTCAGCGTCCAGTGTGGGTCATTCCATGCAGTCGGCTTATCCACGAGACACTGCATCTCACATTTTCCCGAGGTCACTTTTGTCTTGCATGTCGAAATACTGGCCGTCGAACAGCCCTTGGAAAAGAAGTTACCGTCGGTAATCGAATCGCCCCCGTTCTCTGTAGTCGACAAAGGAGCGTAATTCACACAGAGCGAGGACTTGCATGCTCCATAGCAGCTACTTGAGAGCGTATTCCGCTCTGGAAGGACACAGACGTCGTTTGCAAGACTCACAGCAAACAACGTTATCACAACCACTGCCAACGTCCAGAAAACCCTTTGCATTTCGCCAGTTTTCCCGTGTTTTTTCTGCTAATTGTACGAAAGCCTGTCGCGACGTTTGAGTCGTCACTAAGTAGTAAGAAAATTTGGCGGAATCAATGAGATATATACGACTAAAAGGCTTAATAGATCACGCTGGGGGACGCGTCGGCGGAGTGATGAATGGGAGCGACATTGGCGGCCGTCAAAGGCGACAAATGTCCCACCGTACCACGGCGGGGCGACTTGCGTGCATAGACAGGAGATCAAGAAAGTCGTTTCAAAAACTGTTGACTAGGGTAGAGTATGTGGTGTCAACACCATGTGTTTGGTGCCTTGACTATATACATACCTAAGACGTGTCTTTTTTGTTTATATACATGGATGGGGCTTGGTACGTTTCGTAACGTTAAAGCTTCCGAGGCTTAACGTTTCTTCAATTGCTGTATAAATGTAGCATGTTGTATAAGAAGACGATGCGTATTGGCGGTGCTTTCGGTTCAGCATTGACTTTCATAGACATAGTCGTCTGTTTTTTGAGCAAGGCAGTTGCAACAGCCGTATCGGCACGATCACTTTTAGCTGAACGCAATCGTGCGACTAGAACAAGTGGTTCTTCCAGCTGGTTTTGGCATATACGTTACTCTAAGATTCATAAGTGATCTCCAGTTCTGCAAAGGCCAGGTGTAAGGCTGACAAGATGATCTCTGACATCTGGCTGTAGTTTTCAAGGTCAAGCCAATCTACACCTCAGTCCCTCCTTCGGCGAAAACTCCTTTCTACGGCGGGAATCCTCCCGCAATTGCGGGAGACGAAGAGGGTGGGGTCATGTCTCGGGTATGCATCTTGTACGGCCACCAGTCGTACGGACAACAGACCAGGGGAAGATACGGGATGCGCAAGTGATTGTTAAGGGGAAGATACTACGACTGACAGCGTTTCCGTACCACGCGTCAATGCTTAGGCAATCGCACAATTAGCTCGACGGACTGCGGAAGCGGTCATAATATCCCACAACACGCGCCATCGCTCCGGCGACCGCGCACTTCAGACAAACGGGCCGCTTGAGTGGCCTATAAGGACATTGAGCACCGGCGTTGCTAATCAAGCTTAGGAACTACTAGAAATTTCTAACGGTTAATTAGACTCTCTGTAGTCAATAGTTGAAAATAGGCGTGTCTTTACAATCGCATGTTCAGTAATCGCGTCTACAAGGACACTTTTATGATGCGTGGTGTCTGCGAACTAAAGTTCGAACAGATTCTCTTTTTTTGCGTTGATGCCTGAGTTCGACATGGCTTTGCTATTGTAGTGCCCTATGGTGTCGACTACGCAACTGAAGCGGATTAAGCTGCGTTGCACATCGTGATGATGTACCATGAACACCCAGAGGCTGCGCAAAGCGACAAGACAACATCTTAGATTAGAGCTGCTGCATGGAGCTGTTGCATGGAGCTGTTGCATGGAGCTGCTGCAGGATCAAGCTGCCCATCAAGTGACTTACTTACGAGAAGACTTTGTCCGTACGTATGGCAACTAAGCGAGCACTTTGACCAAGTCATTGCTGCTCTACCAGCCGGAAAGTGTCGATCGCTTCGCATTGACGACATCGTCATCAACAGAAGACAATTGCTTCTTAGATCACATCACCTGAGGCTTACAACCACCACAAGATGGCGGATAATGTCTACTAGCGCTATTCCAGTTATGGACATGTTCACATCTTGTGCTTGCGACGCATGGGCTGCGGTAGGTGTTAACAAGTTGAAGTCGAGGATACAGCGCAGCTCTCCTTTTGCTATTGTACCGGTCGCTTCTTTGACTATGTTATTCATTATCGGCTGTCATCTAACGACATTCGGTGATCGGATTCGATTGCTGCCACATGTACAATGTGCTTCAAGCGCCGGCGAGTCCACGGCGCGAGTAGAAGACTTTGATGCGTGTTCTTCCGGCCAAGCGGCTAAACGTCTGACATTGAAGACGTGCACTTGCGCTGCTTGATCGATCCGTTCACTGCAACTGACTGCGGCGGCTCTAGACTCGGCTTTATCTTCTCACGAGCAGTTTCAAGCAAGAAATCGACAGTGGCACACGCATCGTGCATTGACCTAATGGCCCAGAAGCCACTTCTGGTCTATATGAACAAGCTGCGGGTGCAAGTGAGAAACGTTTGGGATTGCAACAGCAAGACCAAGGAGCCAAGGATCGGATGCAAGCAACATTGCTGAAGGAGCCGACCCCACTGGATCTACTGTTGCTATGCTGGAGCTTGCTAGGGATGTAAAACATGACCTTTTAAGCAAGACTTATGTGTAAAAGCAAGCGAAGAATGAGCCGTATCCACTGGAAGACGATCATGCTGATGCTACATGTGCCGTTCTTGTTCGGCGGTTGGTTGGTGTTGTTTTAGCAGTCGCACACTGCTCCTGCCATACAACATTCGACAGCATGTCCGATCGGCCTATGTACTCCAAGCAAAGTGCTTGGAGTAGGCGCGGACGATTGGAGGCATTCGTAGACAGACACAAACGTGGGAAAGACAAAGCCTTCACCCAGGGATAGTCCTGGATTTGCAAGATTGATGGCAATATCTGCCTAGCTCCTCCTTTGTCGATGATATATTCTATCTTCGTTTCTTGCCGCTCTTCTTACCTCGACTACGCTGGTTTTCCTCCTCTTCCTCCTTCTCCTTTTTCGAGCGCGCACTGCTCACAATATTCTCTACAGTCTCCTTCTTCTTGTTCTTACGCATCGCTTTACGTTCACGGCGCTTTTCGGCGGCCTTCTGCTCCTTTTCAAGTCGCACAAGATCAGTCTCTGCTTTTAAATGCACAGCTTCTTCATTTGCTTCCTGCTGCTCAGCATCGTTGTCCTTGACGTCATTCTCGGCATTATCGTCCTTTGCATCATCCTGCTTCACTTCTACGGCAAACTCGACGGACGTATCCTTTTCGCCACTTGCCTCACGCTTAACCTTACCGAGAGCAACAAGCTCCTCCTGTAGCTCTCTATCCATTTCATCGTCCAAAATACTGAGATCACTGAAAACACCGAGCTCCTTCTCTCTCTCACGGTGTTTCTTCGACGTGATGTGATTTCGCAACTGCTTTATAGACTTGAAAGTCTTACTGCACAAGTCACATACAAGCACATCGGCATCCAATTTTTTCCGGAGCTTTTCGAGCTCCTGCTCGATGTCTCTGTCAGCAACACGGCTAGTCTCCATGCTGTTATCAGCCCAGAGCTTCTCCTGTTGCTCCTGGAATGCTCGTCTCTCAGCATCATACGCCGCCTGCTTCTCGCGTTTCTTCACCTCTTCCTCAATGCGTTGTTGCTCCTTTTCTTGCTGCTTTTGCTTCTGGAATGCTCGCACACGCGGATCCCGACGACATACAAAATCCACGAGCTCGCGCACTTCGGTAGTAAACGACTTTTTAGCTGCATCCCGTAACTTCCTATTCTCCTTTTCCATTACTCGTCGCACCAATCTCGTTGGCGCATCAGTTGTTTTGTACTCGTCCATCCATGCAAAACTGCGCTGCGTTGTGTAGCTTTTCCAGTGCTGGTAAAAGAAATTGACATCTTCTGTCGACGTGTTAGCATCTCCAAGCTCCGGTGCAGCTTCAGATCGTGAGCCATCACCAGCATCCTTATCCAATCTATCAATCTATCCATATAATTATCATGAGTACACCAAAAGTATCGCATTCAATTGCATCTTAACACACCTTGGTAAAGAGTTCGCCATACACGCAATAGAAGCTCTTTTCATCCGTACCAAAGCCCGAATAAACCGACGCGCTGAAGTACCGAAACAGATTACATTCATCTTCATTCTCGTCATTATTTTCGTCTTCGCTACGCAGAATCTGCTCTCGGTGCTCGTCATACCATTTCTTCTCGTGTGGATCGCTGAGCACTTCGTAGGCGTTCTGAATGGTCTGAAACATCTCGGTTGCTTCCTCATTTGAGACCCCATTTTGATGGTGTTTGTCTGGATGCCATCGTAGTGCCTGCAATCGAAATGACTTTTTAATTTCCAAAGCCGAAGCGTCACGTGTGACGCCTAGCACCTCGTAATGGCATCGCATTATTACGACTGACTTACGAACCAGCAAAAAATATGGGTAAATAGGTATATGTAAAATATACATGGTTTAAAAAATAGGTACACTTAACGATTTATACAATAATCATTGAAATGGCCAAATTTAATAGTGTTATTTGTGAAAGATAGTATTACATATGTATTAATACATCACATACTTGAAAGTACTATCTAAGATATCTCACATATTTGAGTCAGACGCTGTAATGATGTTGCAGCGAAGTAAGGGGAAGGACGATGGAGCGGCCAAAGGCGCTACCATTGCGGCCTCCATCTGCGAGCTGTGCGACCTCTACACACGAAACGATCTGGAAGGAAGGTGGATGGAGCTCGCGGCAGTGTACGACGTACGTCTTGAGCCTTTTAGATCCGACGCAACCAATGATTGACAACGTCCATGTAGCAACGCTGCAATGATGACAATTTCCAGGAAATTCTGAACCTGAGCGCACCCGGCGCTCGGATGAGAAAATTAAAGGGCTGGCACTTGGAGCGTATGGCTGTAGGCGAGTTTGAGCCTGCAGCAGGAGCCAGTGCGAATGACTTGGCGGAGATCAAGCGTGAGAGTCGCATAATCAAGCAGGCGCTGACAAAGGTGTTGACGAATGGCCACAGCTATCGGACGAAGCGAGAAGAGCTCGAAGCAACTATGGCCAAGCAGCGTGAGGCACTGATGACTGAACTGACGGAAGCTAAGGAGTTTTTGGGTCAGGCACATTTGCTGAATGCTTGCGACTCGGCTGCTATCGAGGTTTGTGAGCCAGCACCTGTGGAAGAGCGGCTGCGCGCTACAGTGAAGCAGCCGGCACATACAACAGCACTTGACCTCAGTGAAGTGCCCTCGAACGAAATATGAAGGACAAGGTTGTTAAAGGAAAGGGTGAAAACGGGAGGGGGGGGGGGTCCTGAACGTTGTTACGCTCTATCTGTAACTTGCTTTGCCTCTTCTCGCCCTCCTGATTGTCTGTACTTGTCGGTCGAGTTGCAGCTACTGCTCTAGTCAACGTGAAGACGATCCTCAAGGTACTTGACGGCGTCCTTCGTGATAATCAGCAAGTCTTTCTGTAGAATCGAGTAGACATTGATCTTGTTCTGCGGCATCGTGTCCACGTGCGGGATGTTACGCGTAGCCAGCACAAAACGCGAATCTACTTTTTCACCACCAACAAACAAGGCGTGGTCCCATCCACGGCCACCCAACAACTTCTTCATATCTTTCGTCTTGGTAACCTGCTCACACCAATAAAGACACACCATTACCACCCACTCTGCAGCAACAGAGCAACAAACAGCAACAGCATTCGTACATCAATATCCAACGAGTCTACGACAGCAAGCTTTCCTTCACGTAGCTTGGTAGATAATGCCACGCGCAGGCCCATGGCGCGCACCTTCTTGGGCAGATTGTACGAGAAGTCGCGCAGCACAGGACCGTGCACACGGTAACCGCCGCGCCATTGTGGCGCACGAATGTCACCTACACGAGCACGGCCTGATCCTTTTTGCTTCCACGGCTTGCGCGTCGAGCCACTCACCTCGGAGCGCGTCTTGGTTTTGTTAGTGCCAGCACGACGGCACGCAAGCTGCCAGCGCACCACACGCTGCAGGATGTCAACGCGATCGGGCGCACCAAACACCTCACCATTCATAATAACAGTGCCTAGCTCCTGCGAGTCTTCGGACAGCGACAGCAGCTGCAGCTCCAGATCGCCGGACGGCAACACGTTAACGTCTTGCGCTGCAGGGATCACGCGCGGCGGTGGCATCGGCTTCTCCTTGGCCAGTGACAAGTTGACCGGCATGGCGGCAGTCTGCGTGCTTGCCGTACGCACGAGACTAGCGCGCGGAGCAGACACTGTCAGCGTCGCCACGCTGCGCAACAGTCGGTTCATCCCCACGGTTGCCATCGATCCAGTCAATTCAAAACACCCAAGGCAGGGTCTTTTTCACAGCTACACTTTGATCCCAAAACCCACGCCAGAAAACTATCGAATCGAATACAGCACGTTTTTCTAACATGTATACACCACTTTTTTCTAAGGGTATACACTATTTTTTTTGACAAAAAAGTCAGACACGCAAGTGACCTCCTCAGCATGGCGACACAGCGTAGAAGCTTGGCTTCACGTGGAGACAGCAGCTTGGCCGCCATCTGCATGCTCATTGAGCACAGTACTCTCGATCGAAAGTCTAAACTCGACAGCACCGGTCGCGTCTGCTACGTACGTGACTCTGAAGTTTTATCCGTTTTTTTTCACTCCCATTGGAGCCCATTAACTAACTAAAAACATACTGTTTGGTCTGAATAGGAGTTAAAAAATGACCCGCTGCTGCTCGATAGTTTCCCCATGGAACGGCTTATGAAAGCCATGCGTCGACTGGTGTGCGATTCCGACTCATCCACCCGCGCAGGGGCGTTGAGAGCCCTGCGCTATTCTATCAGTAGCAGCGGAAGCATTAAACACTTTGTGGACCTCAATGTACCGGTGTTTGTGGTGCGATCGTTGGAGCGTGAGCAGAAACATTTGGCGGAGCGGGTGCAAGCTCTAAAAGTGGTGCGGAGGGTGATGGAGATTGATGCTGCTCAGATGCCGACGGGTCTCGTGACGTCGTTGACGGCCATTGCAGGACACAAAGATGACAATATGCGACGAGTGTGTTTGGAGACACTGCGAGAGCTGGCACTGCTGAATGTGGAGATTGTAGCGGAGGCCAATGGCACCAAGATATTAGTGGATGCGATTTTGGAGCCGTCTTTCCAAGATCTTGCTGACTCACTGCTTATGACACTGCTGCTAATTTTGAATGAGCCGTCGACACGCAAGTTTATTGAGCCTTTTGTGGATTCACAAGTGCTTATGGCACCATTTACAGATACCGATCTACCAGCAGGCAATGAACGAAGACAACGATGGATGGCGAGTCGAAATGCCATCGTTACTATGATGCGGTCGTGGACAGGAATGGTGGTACTTACGAGCAATCCACAAGGTCTGCAGTCACTGATTCAACTGCTGGTACGACCGGTGGGCGAGGATGTACAGAAAGCAGTATTGTCTACTATTTGCGAGATCTTTTACAAGAAGACGAGCTTTGACAAGTCGCCAGCAGATGCAGCAGCAGACGCACCAGTTCTCCCTACAACCTTATCAAGTGCAGAGCAAATGCCGCTTGCAGTCAACCACAATCTATTGGACAACTACACGGTCATTGTCCTGCTAGCTATGATTCACTGTGGTATCTTGGAGGCACTAGTGACTCTAGGTACGGGTCCATCACGAACACTGGCTGAGCCAGCGATGGACCTGTTGGCCGATATCTTGAGAATGGCCTCGCGCTTGCTTCCAGACCAGCACTGTGCGTCTTTGCTTGCGCTTCCTCGACTAGTATCGTCGACTTCACTCACGACTACGACTACAATGTCTCTTGGAGACCATGCTAAGAGCCTTTTGGAGCGTTTACAACGCGAAAAATCGATTCGAGCTAGTGAGATGTTGGGCGAGCTGGCTAATGCAGTTGGCGCAAATTCTGGCAGTATTGCCACACGTGGTGTGTCTTTAGTCTCTTATGGTAGCAGCGGCATTAATGGTGTACAATTGGCATCTGAGCTCCTACGCGATACGAATCGGCCGTCAAGTTTACTTGCTCTGCAACAGATTGCAGGTGTAGTGCGTCTTCCATCATCTAGTGGTGGTGGCGGTATTGGCGGAACTGGCGGTGGCTCTGCAAATTACGCTGTAGCGGCTCCTTCAGCACAACGTGGCACAAAAAGTGCGACGGCACAACTAAAGGATAGCTTAACATCGCGAGAATTGATGGTCCTCGAGCTAAAACAATCGCTGGATGCACAGATGGATGACAGCACCTTTAAAGACATGCTACACAACCGTGCACGCGTTTTGACAGACAAAAATTACAAGAATTGGAACTGGGACATTATCTCCGAGATGCTCGAGGGTCCACTTACCAACCCGCAGCGGCTTTCGGAAGCTATGAAAACAAAGTTTTTCAAGCGTTTGTCAGGTTTCTTCCGTTGCGATCAAGGCAACAAGGGTTATTTCTCCAACCTGTATTGGATACCAGATCACGTGCCGTATCTGCGTCCGGCCTGTCAAATGTATACGCTACTATTGAACCACCCTGAAGGTTTGCTCTTCTTGAAAACTGACCGCCGCGGTCAACTGCTTACAGAGATTTCGTCAGCGCTAGAGCTGGAAGCGCGACCTGAAGCTGCTATAGTGGAGTCGCACATTGGTGTGCTTAAGGCGCGTATGTTTTCACCCGATTATGTGTCGCGGCGAATGCTGCGCGAGTACTTTACACTTCTGGGACTGATGAGTTCGAGCAAAGAAGGCCTGAAGATGATGGAGCAGTCGAACCTGTTCCAGCGGCTTTATGTCATGGGGACTACTAAGGGCCATGACTTCCTGTGTCGTCTTATTCTAGCTAATCTCGATTACTCGGTTGACGGGAGCTCCCGCAAGCTGCTTCAGTCTTGGATGATGGAGGGTTCCAAGGCGTTGCGTCTGTATGCGACCTGTTTATTGCGCGCATTGTTGCGCTCTGAGGTGGCGGATTTTGACAAGTGGGGTGTCGATGCATTGGTGACACAGCTTACACAGGAAGAGGAGGTTGCCAAAGCGGCACTGAGTGTACTGGAAGAGGCTGCCGAGACGCCTGCATGCCTTTTAGCAATGATTCTAAAGCGACCGATGAAGCTCATTCAACTCAAGGATAAGAGAGCCGAGTCGCTGCTTCTCAGGTCACTCTCGCTTGCTGAGGGACTAAACTTTCTCCGTGAGACTGGCGACTGGATTCCGCGCACACTTGCTGCCTGGCGTCGTGAAAAACACATTTCGTACGTGCATGCCGTAGAGCACGCGCTTTTCCGTGGCTTACATCGTGATGCGGCTGGACGTGAACGCGGATCAAATAGTAGCTCGACGAACTCTCGTCAAACATGTTCCCCTACGCCTATTCCTGTGAATGTACCAATGAAGAGAGGCGGTGGCGTTGGGCTTAAGCCTCCTAGTGGTGGAAGCAGCCAGCGTTCTCTATGGGGTCTGGATTGGCTTTATCGTATGCCGTGGAACATGGAAGTAAAGATCGTGGGCCCTCCAGGAAGTGGGCCCCCGTCAAGCCTCATTTTGGAAACGTATATTGATGGTGCAATGCGCGAAGAGGATGAAACGACTGGCATCGGGGACGAACTTCGCATGAACTCGATCCGTGTGAAAGGGATCGTTGTGGATGCGCGCAATATGCCACAACCAGTTGTGGTAAATTCACAACAGACATTGCAAGCTTGTTTGTTTTTGGGCACACAACCAGTTGACCGGCGCGGATTTACGAAGCCTCCTCCTCAGAGCAATGGAGGTTTTGTGTCCACGAGCGGATCTGCTAGCGGTGGTGGATCTACTCTTTCTAGCGATACGCAGCAGAAAATGTTGGGTGCGCGGTCGGCGTCAAACTCAGCTGGAGGAAGTATGGACCGCACGTCGGAGACGATGTCTTCGTCACTGGACTTTGCCGATACTGGATCGTCTCCGGCGGACGCTGCAAAGGACGAGAACAAGGATTGGAGCTCGTGTCAACCTGAACAGCGCTCACCTCAATACTTGTCGGCACCACTGTGTTCATTATGCGCCCCTGGTGAACGTGCGGTATGGAATTTCCGTGTAGAAATGGACTCTGCTGCGGGCAGCAACACTTCAAATGGCAGTGTAAAACGTCTTCTGCTCAAGTCTGTCGAATTTACGCTGCAGTTGCTGCCTCTTCGTCCGCGTACGGTGCCGCTGCCGGTACACTTGTACGGTGAGCTAGCAAAAACTAGTGCCGGCTGTCAGATCCTGCACGCATCTGGACATTTACCGGAATTTCTTGCATGTCTTCGAGACGCTGCGAGCGTTCCGCTTGAAAAGCGTGCTGCGCTGTGGGCGCTGGGTCACGTGTCCGCCACACTGCGCGGTTATAATCTGCTGAGCCACTATACACAAGACTTTGTGGAGATGATCGTGAAGCTGGCCACAGATTCACCGCTCGTATCCATTCGCGGAACATGCTTCTTCGTACTCGGCTTGCTAGCTCGGTCATCTGCAGGTCGCCGGCATCTGGCTCGTCTTGGATGGGATGCTCCGCGTGATGCGTCTCGTACTTCCATTGCTGTCCCCCAAAACTGCACTTCTCTCTTCATGTGGCCACCATGTAGATCATTGCATCCCTGTCCATTGACGCAGACGCCTGGCGCGTCGCCTCTGCAGCGACTGCTAATACGCCGGCGTGACAAGATGCCTAACGAGTGGCGTGAGGTACTGCGATTTGTTGCTGACCTGAGTAATCACATCACACAGAAGGAGGCACATGCTTCACTCAACAAGTTGCGTTCATCAAAGTCTGAGTTGTTCGAGGAACCGGTGCTGTTGATGTACGTACATGCACTATTGGAGAAGTACAGCTATCGGTTGGCTCTGCGGCAGTTTGTGCTTAACGCGTTCGACCGAGCGACGCTTACTGATGAAGTGCTCGATACCCTACGGATTGAGGATGAGAAGGAGCAGGGCAACCAAACGCATCAGCGTGTACCAACCGGACGAAAAATGCGGCGGCGTCGATCATCACCTTCGATCCCGTCATTTACGGCCTCGGTTCAGTCACTGAACTCAGCCATGCAGGCTACGTCTGGTGTCTCACGCATGTCGTCCATGCAGAATGCTCTAAGTTCCAGTGGCGATCAGCGTTCAACAATGCGGCTAAACGCACACAACGGCCCCATCGATCGCACTGTACTGCTTAAACGCAGCCGCAAGCGCTCAGCTTTTTCGGAAAAGACCATTGTTGTTGGTGCCCCTGAAGCTGCTGTGTAAGTCTTTCAGACTCGTAGAAACGAGCTTGACATTGGATACGTAAGTCACATGTCTGCCACGTTTGATCTCTATCGTTTTGACCCCCTACATCTACAAAAATCGTCCAGAAGCCATGTCCATGAGCGAGTCGCCCATGTGTAGAACCTCTAGCTTGCATAGCTTCCCGTTGATAGTTGTACACATGGTGATAGCACCTCGCAGAGTCTCCAGTCCACCACGCCGGACTCGAAACAATGCTGTAGTGGGTTCACTGCTATTTGCCGCCATCTTATTAAACGCCAAGACGTCAAACTCACTAGCCGATGCTCCCACGACACCAAACACTGTCTTGAGCGTGTTGTAAATGGCAAATTTTAGCTGCTTTACGTCGTCTACCGGCACAAAACCGTCCTCAGAGAAGCTGTAATAGAAGTCGCAATACACAACATTGTAAGATACAAGTGCCAGTCAGTTGCATACAGTATAAACGAGACATACATGGCGATCTTGACGTAGCTATGGTCACTATGGAGCGAAAACTTGTGGTGAGATGTCGCCATCATGTCTTTGTGTAGCATTATGTTACAAACTCTTTTTCATAAGTATACAGTATACTTTTGGACAAATGCTATTATGTAGACAATTGGTCAATTAGCAACTTACACAACTATATTTCTATCGAGGTGGAAGGCGATAATGTTGCTGATAAAGACAATCTTCTTTGTACAATATTGCACTCGAGATGTGCCACTTGCAGTATTGGAATGTCAAAAACAGCACATGTTACTGCTGGAACGACTGTATGCTCTAAAACATCAACGATTTCGAAATCGTCTCTGCCTTCCAATGTAATCTACTAATTAGACGGAGAACGCGGGCGGCGAGCGGTCTTGGGTCGGCGTGACAAATTTGACGATCGACGGGACTGGGGCTTGTTGTTTTGGGACACTGGCGTCTCTGAAGTTGTCGAGGCGCTCTCGCTTCCTTCTGCACTCAATAGAACTCGACGAGACATTTTACCTGGAACACCGTCCTGCAGACACTCAAACTCCATCTCTTGTCCTTCTGACACTACGTTCTGGATATTGCTGATCTTATCGCGCGAGAGCTCCGAGATATGCACAAAACCACGCTGGCCAGTAGAAGACTCGAGGATAGCGCCAAAATCCATGACCTGCGTCACACGCATCGTGTAGCGCTCACCTTTGCGGAAAAAGTTTGACCAGCTCTTGTTAGAGTCGCTATCGTTGTTGTTGTTGTTGTGGCTATTGCCACGAGGACCAGCTTTCGCAACTTCAGTCAGTTCAGTGCGCAGCCACTCGCGGGCTTTGTCAGCGTCTTCAGCTGACCCCACGACTTGCACAATGCCTTCACGGCGATCTACGATGCTTACAGAGACGTTGAATCGCGATTCCAGGTCACGGATGTTGCTACCTCCAACACCGATCAGCGCACCAATCAAGTTCGTGGCAATGACGCACTCGATGCTCACATTCGGCAACGAGCTGCCACTACTTTTTAGAGTCTTGCGTGGTTCAGCGAGTTCGATGCCCATTCGGCGCAGCACATGCAAACGCGCCTGCTTGGCTTCGCGCAGTCCCTCTTTCAACACATGAAGCGGAACGCCACCAGGAAGCTTTACATCCAGCTGCAATGCCGTCACACCAGATGTAGTGCCTGCCACTTTAAAGTCCATATCTCCATAGTGGTCCTCAGATCCTAGAATATCGGTCAACAACTGGTAATCGCCCTCTTCAATGCGCTTTTCCTGACCAGCAAACGGGTCGCCGGCAGTAACAAGACCTATGGCAATACCTGCGACTGCACGGCGAACAGGAACACCAGCGTCCATAAGCGCTAGCGACACGCCACATACTGTTGCCATAGACGACGATCCGTCCGAGCCTACCACCTCTGACGTCATGCGAATAGTATATGGAAACTCAGTGATAGACGGCAAAATAGGCAGAATTGCCTTCTCGGCCAGAGCGCCGTGGCCGATCATGCGTCGATTAGTGCCACCCACGCGACCGGTTTCATTTACACAAAACGGCGGGAACTCGTAGTGTAGCATGGCATTTTTTAGCGGCATAGGAGCATGAGGCTCAGCCTGTTCACGCGCTTCATGGAGTGCACCACGGAGACGAAGACCACGCTCTAGAGGTCCCAGCGTCACGGAACATAGAGTCTGCGTTTCGCCACGAGCGAACACAGACGACCCGTGGGCCATCGGCAGCGCGCCAGTGTCCATCTCAAGCGGACGAACGATTCGAACCGGACGACCATCGGCTCGCACGTGCCTGTTCTTCGAACCCTTCGTTTCCTTCGCAACTGTCAAGATACGTTCACGCAGCACACGCTGGAACGTGTCATGCGCAGCGCGTTGAATAGCAGCATCATTTACAGGAGGAGATGCGCTGGCAAAGTGTTGACGCATGCCATTCAGCATCTTGCCGTATACTTCACGTTCTCCTTGTTGGCGATCAAGTTTACCAACGCGACCACTTGCAATGAATGCCTCTGCGTCTTTACGACCGAGCTCCTCTGCCTTGGCCCAAACTTCCGGCGCAACAAACAGTGGTGAGTATACACGCTTCGGCTTTCCGTGCTCTCGAGCAAATTGCTTCTGCTCTTTAATTGCTAGTCGTACATGCACCTGCGCCAAATCTAGCGCCTCATCCAAGCGCATTTCATTCACCTCGTCACCCGAGGCTTCCACCATGATAACACGTTCGGCTGTACCGGCATAGAGCACATTAAGTGTAGCGGCATCGCGCTGCGGAGCAGTAGGGTTGACCACCAACTGGCCATCGACTTCAACGACACGCACGCAGCCAACTGGTCCATTCCACGGAATGTCCGACACGCTCAGCACTGCCGAGGCCGAGTTGACAGCCACCACCAGCGGGTCGTTGTTGGGGTCGTACGACTGCACTGTCGCCAGCAGCTGCGTTTCTTCACAGTAGTCACGTGGAAACAACGGGCGGATCGCACGATCCACGACACGCGATTGCAGCACTTCCTCCTCGCTTCCAGTAAACTCTCGACGTTTCTGATTGTCCGGAATAAGACCAACAGCGTGTGACTTGACTCGAAAGTCCACCGTGAGCGGCAAAAAATCACGCTGAGCAGCTGATCCATTGGCCAGTGGGTTGCCATTGGAATCACCACTTACGACCGTCGTGAGCAGTACAGTGCGACCACAAGACGCCAGCACGGCCCCGTCTGCAAGCTTGGCGAGCTTGCCTACACTATAAGACGTTGCGTCCAAGCTACCAGTCACAGGAATAGTGTCCTCCTTGTACTGCTTCGTCTGTTTCTCATGCGACTTGGACTCTGATGACTCTTGCGTCTGGAGCAATTTGCCAGTCTCTTCCTCTTCGGCTGACGGCTTCTTTACACCAAAGAGAAAATCACGAAGACCACCAAGGAACGTGCGAGATTGCAACGCAGAGCCTGCAACACGAGGAACTCGATGATGAACTGTAATAATAGCAGCGCGACGCGTGATAGCCGCAGCTGGTAATCGACGAGCTGCAATGGACAGCATTTAAATGACTGACACCAACAGTCAAGATGAAGTTGATGTACGGTACCTCACATTAATAATGCGGCAAAACCAATCGTCCCAGCAAAAAAAACGATGGATCCTAAATTAGGATCATCTAACGTACTATTTGTATATCCTCTCGTTTTCCCAGTCATTATCCAAAAAACCCTGTCCGTCGCAAAGCGCCGACAGACTCTTCCAAGACACCTTAAGACTAACTAGACTACCAACGATGGGCACTCGTGTATACGTGGGCGGCCTTCCACGTGACGCCACTTCACGCGAGATTCAAGACGGTTTTAACCGATACGGACACGTGTCCAACATTTGGGTGGCGCGGAACCCTCCAGGCTTCGCTTTCGTGGTGAGTTGAGCTGCTTCTTCCCCTACGGTGAAACGTCGTGCGCATGATGGCATTTCGTCCCTCTTTCTCTACTCTCTCCCCTCCTCTTTTCTGCCCTCTTTTGTCCGCTCTGCGGACTGTACCTTTTGAAGCTCGTCATCGATGATTCCAAGCTCTAGTGGTGGCAACTTGTGTGTCTTTTGTATATTTCTTGTACTTGTGCATATCTACATGTTGAACGTTGCCAATGTGCCCGTTGCCGTCGCCCACATGTAACGATTGTGGTCTTTGCCTCGTTGCAGTCTTTGGGGTGATGACGTCTTCGTCTGTTGCTTCTTTTATGGGCCGCCTCGCCGTCTTCGGTGCATTCTTCTTAGTGTTGGAGGGAGAGTTAGAGAATGAGCGTCAAGCCATCATGCTACGGTATCTTCTTCATCTTCGCCTGTCACCGATCCGTTCCATACCAACCAACGTCTCTTCATCGTCATCCTCCCCCTTCCTGCTCCTCTCCACCTCTTCTCTAGGATTTCGAAGACCCGCGGGACGCTGACGATGCTATTCGCTCTATGGATGGCCGCGACTTCTTGGGTGGACGGTAATTCTAGCTGTGATTTAGCAAGGATAGCACTCCAGCTGGTCTGACGTCTGATGTGTCTTGTGGTCTGGTGCTTGACTAGGATTCGTGTGGAGCTCGCCCGTGGTGGCAGTCGTCGTGATGGCGGCCGTCGCGATGGCGGGGGCCGTGATGGTGGCCGTCGTGGTGACGACGACCGAGGTGGCAACGGTCGTGGTGGCGGCGACCGTTTCGAACGTGGTATGCTCAGCTTTCATGATGTAGATTGTTTTGTGGTGTTTAATTCATTGATGCTATGCTTTTGTATTGGTATAGGTCGCAACCCACCCCAGCGCACTGACTTCCGAGTAAGAGTGACGGATTTGCCGCGTGATGTGGACTGGCGCAATGTCAAGGACTTTCTCCGCACGGGTGGCGAGGTCACTTACTGCAACATTGAGGCTGATGGCTCTGCGTAAGTGCTTCATACGGTCTGTAAGATGGACTGTTGGTAGTTATTCATTGCTGACGTGGATTATGATATTGGTTTGTGTGCTTCAGCGTCGCTGAGTTTCAAACAAAAGACGACATGGATGACGCCATTAAGAAGCTGGACGACACGGAGTTCCGTGGTAGCTACGTTCGCGTCGCTCCTGAGGGGGAGACTCAAGTCGTCGCTCACGCTCTCGTTCTCCTGCCCACGGTAATTCACCGAGCCGTCGCTCGCGTTCGCGCTCGCCTACTACGCGTAAGGACTCCCCGCGCCGCTCACGCTCCAGATCGGCTTCGCCTGCCGCCGCTGCCAACTCGCCCAGCCGTACGAATGCGGCTTAGCCACTTGAAGAAGTCTGGAGGTCTGTGCTGTGGCAGGTGACGAGTATCAAGTGATTCTTCGCTCAGTTGCAAATGCACAGTAGCTGGCAGCTCGTCCAGCTTTGTTTGTTGCTTAGCGTCGAAAGCATCGAGCACGTTAATTGAAGGCAACATACTTTCTGTCCTACCAGTTGTTCAGTGATACTTACTAGTCGACTTCATAGGAGTTTGGTAGTATGCCAGTATGTTTATATTGACAAGACACACGTAGAAGACTGCGATTTACGATCAGCTGGACTCAATCACCGACACTGACGCCACAACGCTTTTCACACGCTTCTGCAGTTCAAACTTGCAACAAACAACCTAAGGACGATCGCTATCAAGACGCAGGCGAAGCACAGGAACAAGATCAAACCATTCCGTATGACAAAAAAGAGCGATAGACCTAGAAAGGAAGGTGGTGATATTTGTGACTCTCTCGGCTTTATTCCCTCTGCATCCGTCCGTCCATCCAACGAGTGGAGTAGAAGGAAAGAGCGGTTACGAAAGACACTCCTGTCGTACTCTGCAGGCCAATCCCCTGCTGGTCTTCCCCTACATCGTGCCTACCACCTGCCCCCAACGCCGAAAAAGCTTAAGAAGACCGAGCTTTAATGCGCGTCACACTTGCATGTTGTCACATCCTAAATATCCTTGCGCTGAAGTCCTATTAATTCAGCAACAACAACCAGAAATCAGTCACAGCTTTGCAGACAACAAGCTTGCACATGCTGCAAATGACATACCAGGAGGCAGGGACTGCGTGAGCTTGTCAGCCTTCTCCGTGTCCGTCACACAAAGCGTGTACAGGTACTTGGAGCAGCGGATTTTAAACTTGACGACCTTGTCGCTCTTTTTAATCTTTACCGAACGCGCATCTTTTCGGCGCGCCTTCTGCAAAAAGTCACGGATGTCGGTGATCTGCTTCGGCTATGTATGATCATGACACAACGTACGGTAATTACGTTAGTTCTCTGTTTTGTATTGCTTCATCCTAAACGTGAAAAGCGCTCAAAACCCTTCGTACCATTTTGTTGCGTTGGTCTTCTAAACTTAACTAACAAACACTAGCACAGTTCTCTACACCAGGGCGCTTTGTCAGCCAACCAAAAGATGGCAGGAAGCTTTTAACCCGAACTTCTTACCAACCACATCTGTAATTACGTATTTGTGTGACGCACATGAACCCATTGAAAAGAAACCCCATTATTTCAATTCAGTATGGCACCGGGTTGTTTCAGTCGGAAAACGTCGCTAGGAAGAGCTGCATGGCGTTAAACCAGGAGTGTCACATCTGCCTGGAGGAGCTACGTCGTGATTTGGTAGCTTCACCATGCGGTCACGTCTTCCACCATGTCTGTATCCTACAAGCGCTCCAGGTCAAATCACAGTGCCCCATCTGTCGACGCCGCACGGATGACGCCGACCTCGTCACACTTTACTTTGATGTGCCGAGCGTTAATGAAGCATCTAATGGCAGTGAGACGCAAGATCTTCCTCCGTTACAGGCTTCGGGTGAAATTAATTCGCTTAGTTCACGCGTCAACATGCTCATGGAGCGCATCCAGTGGCAGAACAAGCAGCAGGAGCGACTTGTTGATGAACTGCGACGTCTACGGAATCAGAGCGAGCAATTAATAATGGACAAAAACACACTGGCTCATCGTGTTGGGTCTTTGCAAGCTACAAAAACGGATCTACTGAATAAAATAGCGAGATACCAGATAGAACTTACACGTCAAACGGAAGCTGCTCGTAGAGTGAGTGTGAATCAGAGCATTATCAACTATTTGGAGACATGTGACGCATCCGCAATGGAAGAGGAGATACAGAATCCAAGAGAACTTATTATGGCACTGAAGAAAGCGTGCAAGTTTCGTCATGATCAGTATCAAAAGGTGGTAAAGGAGAAAATGCGACTAAAGGAGATGCTGAACAATTCACTGACTCAAACTACACAGCATCAGGCATCAGGCAATGCAAGGGTGTTCAAGACAAAAGTTCGCACTGCATCTACTACGTCTGAGACCAAACGTGAGTATTCGACACCAACAGCGTTTGAAACGGGCGTTCAGCCCCAGGTTATGGAGACAAAGAAGCGGAAAATTGACTCGTCGTCGGTGACACCAAATTTGATGCCTTTTTACGAGCAGCAGAGCAACGACGCTGGCGTAGGATTTACCCCACGTTTAGATTTGGCGGGCTTTTGCTCGAATGCTTACTCGGACGTGCCGATCCGTCCGCCTTCGAACCCAAGGCAAACGTTTGGACGCAGCAACTTTAGCTCAAACCAGTACGGAGCGTTTGGTTTGATGCCGTCAGGTCAAACTCCGGTGCAAATGACGACATCACAGGCTACTGTGTGCCGTCGTGGCTACGATGAAACTGGTAAGCTTACCAACTTTTTCCTTCCAAAGGAGGATGATTTGAGGTCCATGCCTCGGAAAAAGACGATTCCGAGCATGCAAAATCTGCTGAACTCAGAGCCAAGAAATTCAGGTCAGCAACAGCGCGTGACAAACAACGATCGACAGGAGTACGCACTAACGAACTGGCTGCGCAATAACTAAGGAACAAGGGAGAGCAAGTGTGTGTGCACGTAGATCTCAGAGGGCTCTGAAATTTGCAGTCACGACACTGTGTACGATACTACAGTATTTGCAATGGGTAGTGAGTGGCTAGCACAGCTATCTACTAATTATATGATTCGTGTGACGTGACTTGATACTAACTTTGAAGAGTACACATGTATCCTACCGACATGCACAACCTTTTGCGGAAGCTGAGGAGTTAGAAAAGATCACAGTTTGATGCTAAGTGCTGCAACAAAGTCTAGAGTGTGAGCTCTCTTGGAGCGTCAAATCAATTCGCAACAATTCTATCTTCGCAAATCGAAAATGTCACATGCAGCACTTATTGTTCCTCTCATTGATGCAGTGACCACGGAATACCCCAACGCCATGGTTCTAATAAAAGTACCATCCACTGACAAGACTGTGGCGTCTTTGGCCGAGAGAGAAGGCTGTTACTCAGCAACACTACAATCAAAGTGACAGGACGATGCAATTTTCGTGTATTCCTCAGCTATAAAGTGTTTTCTGATCAGCTCTCTGCTGCCCCTGTTTTGGTCCTGTATTACCCAGCAGCAAGGATTGCGTCTGCAGCATGTTTTTCCTTTTTCTCCTTCTCATTTTCTTCTGCAATCTCTTTCTTTGCCACTTCTTCTCGTCCGACGAAATTGTTCGTCAATGACCGCTGCAGATCCTCAATTTCGTGGAACAGCTCAAGTGATTTCTCAACAATTTGGTTGGCAGACTCTAGTGTGTTCCTTGATGCCTCTAGAGTCATGTTAGTAAAGAGTGTGCTTTCTTCTATTGACCTCGCCAATATCGAGGTTCGAACACCGTGGATCTACATGCAGAACCAAATTAGCTAAATATAACGATTTGTCGAACTGCTACAGCAAATTTTTGTATTACCTGATTCGACAAATCGCGCACTCGGTTGGAGATATCCTCGTAGCGACATTTCATCTTGCCGCAGACCTCTGGCAACGACGCCTCTGCATCACTTATGTCAATCACACCAGGTGTATGAATCCCTCGTCCTGCAACACGGTCTTCCTTTGGAACATAGGTAAGCAGGGACGCTGTGAACATGCACATGCCTGATTTCTTCAGCCCAAATAGTTTCGTGTCTGAGTCCGGGTTACTGGAAGGAATCAGTTCTACGTGTATGGAATAGTGGTCATTGTCCATGCATTTGTCACCGTCGTCGTAAATCATGTACTTGTAAGCAAGCGTGATAGGATCGATGTGCCAGCCGCGAAAAATACTACAAGTACACAAACCTTGTCAGCACAATCCGCAATCCAGCATACGGATGAGTTAATCGTAACTTACCCCAGGACAAGAGGAATTTCCGGCTCCTCTTTCTCTTTGGTTGCTGGATCTTTTTTCATCGTTGCAGTGATATCATCTTCGTCCTTCGTCGCATCGGGACGCTCGGATAGACTACCACTCACATCCAGCTCCACATCCTCGATCTCTTCTACATCCTCTTCCGTTTTGGCTGTGAGTGTGACGTTTTCCAGAACGCACAAATCTAGGAAATAGCTGTCATAGCATTAAATTTGTTCGGTCCAGCATAAAAAGAGCGTAAAATACTCACGCTGTGCCCGGCTGAATTTCCCTCTCCTCTTGGACACACGGCATCGACTTCATATCATCAATAAATGGACCTAAAAGACATGCAACAGGACCACACCGTCACAATATGTTGCAGATATATAATAAAGCTGTATCCATCTTCACAACTAGCCTTGGAATGCCGGAAGTGGATCACGGGATGGAATGGGGCCCAGAATCGGTGCATCCACTTCTTCCTGCCGCGGACGAGAAATGACTTGGATCGCGACCCTAGGGGCACCTGCACATAGAGCACTGCTCAGCACCACAGCGGCCACTGTGCCGACGAATACTTGCATACTTTGTGGTGTACTTACAAAAATGTGAACCATGATAATACTTTTTTCAGTTTTAGTCATTAACAGAGTTTCAAGAGGAAGTTGAAGTAAGAGTGATTGGCAGCTTCAATGCGGAATTCACCGCGTCGAGAGCACGTGACCGAGCGAATATGCAGGAAGAAGGCGTGGCAATTATTCTGAAAGGAGTGGAGAAGGCGACACAGCTTCTCTCTGGTACAGGAGTAGCCATCACATCTTCAGATGACTTTCCCCGAGTTTCGTTGGCAGATGTCGAGGCCTTAAACCAAATAATGGAAGAGCTTCAACGTGTCGTCGCATCTTTCAGCTCACAACGTGTACTGGAGATATCAGAGTCACAGCTGATGCAAGCAGGAGTGGAGCTATACAACGCGCCTCGATCTGCTCTGCGAGTTTTGGCGCAGGTGGAGAAGAACAAGAAGCGAGAAGCCGGAGAATTGACGAGCTTTCCACGATATTTATTGGCAATCACGCGGTTTGTAGCTGCAAAGATCATGGGATTGTCGCTCATTTGCTGCAAAGATGGCGACCGAAAAAGTATGCAGTATATGGAGGAATGTGTCGACGTGTTACGCTCGCATGGTCGAGTTGGGATGTTAATGTTGGAGAGCGCTTCAGCTGACTGTGGGAAGTGCGAAGAGTATCTGGCGCTGGCGAATGAGTCATTTCGTTCTTCGATGCAGCTTTGGTCTCGCATTGGTCTCTCCCATCTTACGAAATTCAAGCAAGGTTTGGAGTTAGAGGATACTGTGGATGATTTGTGGGACTTTTGCGTGGACCATGTACGAGTGCTGCAGTTGCTTGCAGAGCGCTCTACCAATTCGTCGGAAGAATTTCGAGAAATCGTGTCTCTACTTCACGAGCTGAAGATGTTCGTCCCATACAAAATCTCGTACGCAAATAGCTTACTTGATCTCATGACGAGCGTGAGCGATGGATACAGTAAAGAAGCCCATCACAAGTTGCAGATTTCATTCGTGGAAGAAGCGCTTCGTGTTTGTGACTCACTCGAGAATGATGGAGATGAAAGTTTTCCGGAGCTAATTGTCGCGTTCAAAAAACATATACTGGTGAATTTGCTGCAGTCTCTTTGCGCGACCGGAGACATTGAGCGAGCAGAAGCATGCTACCTGCTCATTCCATCTAGCCGAGAGCCCAAAATATTGCTGCTTATGACCAAGCTCTACGTCGACAACAAGCAGTTTGATAAAGCACGCCGATTGCTTTTGCTTCTGTTTGAACAGGATAGTCTCGATGACTCCATTTTAGGAGCCCGTATTTATGCTCAAGGGCTGTCCTTCTCAGACAAAGGATTGGACATTTATCGGGTGCTAATCGACAACTACGGAGATGCCGAATTCGTCATCAATCTGGATATTGCATGCAGCCTTGCTTTTGATGAGAGTAAACGATACCAAGCAATGAGCGAGCTTAAGCGCATTGGGTGTGTGCTGCTGGAAAAGGAACGGTATGAATCTCCTGATTGTTTATTGAGCCATCGGTGCCTTATTTACAATGTATGATGCAGGGATGGAGTGGCTGTTGATACCAGACACATCCTGCGGGTTCGACAGACCATATTTGATGCTCTTCAGCATGCACTGAATTCCAGCCAGCATGAGGTATCATTATGATCTAGTTGACATCACAGCGTTGGGGTATGGTGATTACGACATTAAAGAAACTGATTGGACATACTGCAGGATTGCTTGAAATGGGCAGATGCTGGTCTCGCAGCGGCTTCAACAGCACAGGACAAAGCGACGTACTTGAGGTGACGACCGTTCCATTTGCTAGTTCATTTGTTTGTGTCGCAAGTAATTGTAACTTAGCCCCCTTTTGCCAGGATCACATCGCGCTCATGCCTCCAATTGGGCCGCAACTCTGAAGCACTCAAGTGGGCGGAGAAGGCTTTTGCTACAGAGCCTTCGAAGCAGTCGTTGTTTACTGTATTCCAAGTAACACTTGAAGCAAAACCAGAGGCCACAGAAGAAGAGCTGGTGCATTTTATACACCAGCTAAAGACCAGAGACGATTTCGAGATTGAGGACTTGCTAGCAATGGGAAAGCTGGCTAGTAATTTTGACTCATCGAGGCAAGATTTTGTAATGCACATTCTGGACGAGCTTTGTCATATTCTGCTGCAAGACAATGGCTACCCGGCAAAGATCTCGGTAGCAGTTGTCCTGCAAAATGCAGCGCAACTTGCATACAGCAAGTTTACTGAGCAACATGAGTCCAGCGACACTTCTGAAAGCTCATATGGCGAGAAATTTCTGTCATACGCCGGTGCGCTAATGCAAGCATCAAGACCGAACTCCGTCGATGAAAAAGGAAATGTAGGGCCTTCTTCCGTCTTTGAGTGGTTCTTCCGAATGAGGTAGGGCAGTCTCCGCGTGAATTCTTTTCCGTTTGCTTATTCTGATATTGACTCGATCTCGCCAAGTTTTGACATCGCCAAAAGTACCGAAGACTCCAGATATTTTATCGTAGCAGCCAATATCGCAGAACGGAGCGACGAGCTCTATTGCGAAAAATCTCCACTTAAGCAGCGATGTCAGCAATGTTTACTGGCTGCAGTCAGTTCTGACATGAAGAAATTCGAGACATTGGACAAGAGCCAGCTCTTGGATCTTCTTAAAGTGATCGATCGACTCGGAAGTATCGATGTTGCAGATACATCTATCGCGGACGACGTCATGCGCTACTTGGTATGGAGACCTCGTTGCTTGTACCTGGTATGAGATTAGCGCTCACATTAATTTGTTGCTGATAGGGGAGGGCGGTAATTGCGGTGAAATTGCGGTTGCTCGACGCAAACACAAAAGCGATTTTTGATCTCTGCATGACCACCCAGCACAGTACTCCGGAGCTCATGGAGATTGGAGGTGCGCCGTCCCAACTGATCGCAAAATAACGCAAACTTACTCACGCATCCGTTGCAATGTAGAGCTAGTTTTATACGCGGCAAAGTTCAACGAGGCGTTTGAGGTAAGAGCTACTGGCTGATATAACCACAATACTTTTATCATTTATCGGGTTGGTACAACCATCATACTCTTTATGTTTTGACCAGGTTCGAGATAGCTACCTGTCCCTGGGTCGAGACATTTTTAATTACGGGTGAAAGCTACTTCAGTGTTAACACAAGTGTACTTTGCCACCCCGCTAACGTATCTGCTAATGTGAAGACTCCAAATGCTGGTCCAAGCGGGCTCAATCGACCCGAGCAAACTGTGCTATCTGCTTCGACGGCTTGTTACGCTGGCAGAGTCAAAGACAAAGGCATACGAGTGCTTTGAGCAACTGCTTCAGTTTATTTACAATATGGACGTGGCGATGCCTGAACTTGACATGGAGTGGTTCGTCGCGAAAGCGTGGAATATCGTGAGTACATATTATTCATCGCTTCCAACTCGAAGCCTCTTGTTAAATCTGCGAGTCGAACACATTTTTAGGGTGTGCTTTGCCACCGCGGAAACGATACCGAAGATGCTCTCAAGTTTATGAAAATTGCTCAGGATGTAATGCGTAAGTTTTATACGAACGGACTTATCTCGAGATTTCTTACCTGTTTCTTGCTATGTAGAACACAGTGAATCACTCGTTGAAAAGCTAGGTAATGGGCTCAACTATCAGTATCAAGAGCTTCTAAGAATGAGAACCAGCTCGACATGCGACGGAAAACGGTAGACAACACCAACAGAACATGCAACATTACTCGATTGAGCATCACAAGATTCAATTTCAACAAGCATGATTTCCCCGAATTATGCCTCGTACACATTAGGTTGAAAGTGGTTGGATAGCCCATTCGTGTGTGCTTTTACAGCTTCCATGTAGGTTTGCAAAGTAGGCAATTCCATCGTCTCTTTCTTCTTCAGCACCTTCGAGGCCCATTTTCTCTCTGCATATTCACAAATCTACACGCATATCGTCAACTAGGAATACTCCAAAGAAAGAGTAGGTTGTTACGCTGCAATAGAAACCCCTCAGAGGTGAAAACCTACCTCTTTGATATCGCGGCACGAAAGTTGCGGTGAAACGGCAGCCAACTCCGTAAGTTCTTCGTCTGATAGCTGTTTAGCATATCTAAAGTACATGTCGAAAGAAATAATGATGCATACGTCAGTCGCACGTTTTACCACCCAAGCCTCCTGTACGTGTCATTGTGTCTTTGTGGACGTATAAGCTTACCGAGCAAACACTGCGCGGCGGGTCTTCTCGTCTGGAAGGTTGTAGCGAATTGAAAGATCGAAACGGCTGACCAATGCAGCATCCAAATCTTGCTTTCTACAAACACCAACAACATACATCACAATTACGCAACCTCAGACGGTGACTCGTACAAATCAAGAGACGTACCGGTTTGTGGCGCACACGACGGTGGTCTTCTTGGCAGAGGCAAAACCTTCCACCTTTTGCAGTAGAACCGACAGAATTCGTCGCGAAGCCTCGTGCATTGTACCACCGGATCGATCTCCAGCGAGGGCATCGATCTACGACATATATAGAAACATGCCCCATCAGTACCGAACCATTCGTCCACAGCGACAAACATTTGCGAAACACACCTCGTCAATGAAAATAATTGCACCATTCAATTTCTCGCATGCGTCAAAGATTGCCGACATTTTCTTCTCGCTATCACCATACCACTTGGATACTACGCTCTCGATCGGAATGTGAATCATGGGAATCCCTGCCTGTTGTGCAATGATTCGCGCACTTAATGTTTTGCCGGTACCCGGAGGACCTTCAAACAGCACAGCACGAGGACGATTGCTTTCGTAGCGGCAACGCGTTTTCTGCGCAATGCGCTCGTAGAGCTCTGGATTCTGTAGCGCCAGCACGACAGTGTCTTCGATTTCCAATTTCACGTTTTCATATCCAGCCTACATGTTGCGCAACAAACAAGTTGCAGCACATTGTAAGCTTCTCTTACCCCAGTAAAAGTACTGCATTACATTAATAACTAGCAAAGACGTACCAAACTATCCCAGGTCAAGCTGTTTTCGTTTGGAGTTGGCTCAAAAACATCAATTCCAAGGCTTTGTAGCTCCTGGATTGCCTCTTCCTGCAGCCACGATATATACGTAAAATTCTTATCATGATATATACCTCGCCGCACAAACATAACAAAAACCAACCTTGCTGTCAGTTGCAGTAGAAGTGGTCGGATTTCTACCGCGTCCAACGAGCGCGTTCTTACGACGCTGCTCAAGATTGTGACGAAAGAAGGCGGCTACATTCGCAGGTGAATAGATCTCCTTGTACGCACTAACGACTGCGTCAATCTCTCTTTGCGTCAGAAACTCATCTTTGTAAAAAACGAACTTCGAGGGTGCTTGAACCGAAGACGTATCGCGCAAGAAATGGAAAGATCCGGACCCGTTCGCGTACAAGTACGTTACAGCAGGTTGATCATTCGACTCCACGAGACTGGAGCTATCCAGTGGAACCGGCAGTACCTCGATAGTCTGACGAGAGTCAGGCACAAATGTCTTTTGTAATTGAAGAAGAAAACGACCAAGGATCGCCTCTTGGTCAACGAATGACGGACACGCAAACTCAATCCGGATCGTGGCCACGCCATTAGGCGCATAAATCCTTGACATTCCAATCTTTTTGATCGGAAAAGCCTTTGGGATTCGCGTCTCGGAGCTCTTCAGCGCCGTGCGAAACTCCGATACTTGCTGTCGGATTATATCCACCGCTTCGGCATACTTAAAATGCTACAAACGGAGCAACACACACTATTTAATCTCTCTACCAACACAGCACGTAATCTTCCTGAAAAAATGCATAACCTTTTCCTCTTTCTTGTCCGGCGTCATCTCCGAGTGCGTTTCATCTACAGTTAGACTCACTGCTCCAGCAAGAGCTGCCGTCACAGCATAAATTGCGAATCTATTGGGCGCAGAGTCGCTAGAGCTTGCGTCGACGGTTAGAGTTCGCAAAGCTTGACCGTTCTGCGTTTGTCTTAAGGATGCAGCAACGTTGCAGCACAGAGATCGATCAAGAGACACAGGGGTGCGAGTGATCTGCTCTTTTCTGGCTGCTACGGCGCGTGATAGAAGCTTGGTGGCGAGTCTATGCTGTATCATCACGTGATGCTCGATTATAACGGCAAAAATTAGGTTCAATGAATGTTGACCCAAGAGAGAACATGTAAATTTAAAATAGAGAATTCTCAGCTTTTTACAGTACCATAAACTTATAATTAGAAGCAATCTGGAAATAGTACTTGAAAGAATAGTAGTACTATTCTGTATACACTAAAAAATGCGACACTCAGAGTCGAATAACACCTGTTGATACCTTTTTCAGATTGAGTTATCGTATTTGAAATGAGCTTCTCAGAAACTCGGTAAAATATGGCGCGACCGACAACTGAGTCAACGCAGATTGAAGAGGCCATCGTGGCTGTGCAGAGCGGCTCTATGCCTCTTCGGGAGGCTGCTCGCATGTACGGCGTACCCCGTACGACGCTGCAACGTCGGGTGCAGCATCGGGTAAAGTGTCGAGCGTCAAAAGTTTTGGGTTGTGCTGCCTTCGAGCCAGTGATGGTCAAGCAAGAGGAAAATTCTCACGCAGTCACTGACATACACGGTCAAAGTGATACGAGCAGTGAAGAAATTACGGAAAACAAGGAGACGAGGCGTCGAGAAATTAATAAAATAGGTCACAAGCGATCGGCGAGTCATTTGGAATTACACGGCCAAGGTAGAGAGCAACCTTTTTGTATGTAAGCTGAGCGTATGTTTGACGGAGTTAAAGTGATGTTGTGTTGGTAGGGCCGCAGAAGGTCATCAACTGCAAGATTCGGATGCTTTGTACAGCTGCGGGGAGCGCATTGGATGAGCTGAGCAATGAAATGATTAGACAGGGAAATTGCATTTACAAATTAGGATTGGGGCAGTCGCCGTTCCCGATTCCGCAGTGCATTGTCGACGAATTACGGTGAGTTTATCAGCTCTTATTGGTGTCCGTGCAAGCTTTTTGCGACAACTAATGCAGATTTTTCGTCGTTGGTATTCGATTGTAGTGCCAATTCGCACCAGAGAGACTATTTACCGGTTGCAGGGTTACCCGAGCTGTGTGCTGATATTGCTGCATGGGGGACAGATCGACTGCACGTCAATTACTCGCGAGACGATGTTTTGGTAGGCCCTGGAACCAAAGAGTTACTATTTGTGCTGCAGACGGTGTATTATGGAGATCTGCTGCTTCCCAATCCGAGTTGTACAAGTTACGCGCCACAGGCCGCTATAGCTGGAAGGTACCTGCATCAGTGCATCAGAATTATGTGGGCTTATGGACTAAGCTGTGTTTTGTTGCACACGAAGAAACATGATGTGGTTACCAACACATGCCGAAGACCACTTCGTGCTTCGACCAGAAGTGCTCGAAGCGCATTGCGCCAAAGACCCGGGTAGATGCTGTTGAGACTATTCAACCCTCTACGCGACTGTTGTTTGCTGACTTTGCACCGTTATTGCCGGGGCTGTGTCCACAGACGCTCCTCGAATTCTCATTCTAAATAGTCCGTCAAACCCTACCGGATGCGCTTATCAGGCCGACGAGGTTTGTAATGTCGATATCGATTCCGAAAAATGAAAGCAAGATTAATGCTGTTTCTCGTGCTATTCCGCTATCATCATTTACCAGCTGAAGGCACTCGCAAAGGTCGCAAGGAAATACCGTGTTCTTGTTGTTTCGGACGAAATATACTCGGAGCTGCATCATTCTGGCACACATCTTTCACTTTCCAAGTACTATCCGGAAGGGACCATCGTTTCAGGAGGGTTGAGTAAGTGGTGTGGTGCTGGTGGCTGGCGAATGGGCTTTTGGCTGTTCCCACCCAGCATGGACTGGTTGCGCAGCAGCATGCTCGTGATGGCGTCCGAGACGTACACGTCGGTTGCTTCGCCCATCCAGTATGCCGCTCGACGAGCGTTCGTTCTCGGGTATGTAGTACAATTCGTCATACTACCCAAAAGAATTAAGCTAACGATTGACCCTTCCATACTTCTGTGCTCTGTGCAGTTGTGTGGAGCTCGCTTCGTACAAGCGCAAATGCCAAAAAACGCTGCAGCTCGTCGGTCGATGGTTCGCTTACCAGCTACAGAAGATAGACGTCGAGGTACAGGTCCCCGAGGCCGGCTTCTATCTATTCCCATGCTTCCGACGGCATCGCAAAGCGCTTGCATTACGAGGCATCGCCACTGACGAGCAGCTGTGCGCGCAGCTGTTGCAGGAAACGGGTGTGGCAATCTTACCGGGCTCGGCCTTCGGGCGTGCACCGGAGGAGCTCTTCGCACGGCTGGCAGTCGTGGACTTCAAGGGCGACCTCGCGCTCTACTTGATCGAAAGCATGGTAAGCTTTGTCTGGTACAAGTGATCCATGCCACCGAAACACTCACCGCACTCACCGCTATCTTTCTACTTGTACTTTTTGCAGCAAGATAACCCGTCTCTGGAGGCCATTGAAGGCTTTATCCAGTCAGTGTGCCCAAATCTTGACATCGCCATGCGCAAGCTAGCATGGTGGATTGCTCTTACCCGACCTTCTGCTGCGTCAGCAACAGGCAGTGGCTCAGGTGCTACCTTTTTAGGCTAGAATATCTAGCTACGATGGGATGTATACCAGTCATCACTCCTTTTCAACCAATTGGTACTCACTCGTATTTTGATAAAGCACCCACTATTTCGAGCAAAGGAGCGAAATAAAGGGATTTTACTGTATCGTTAAGGTCCCACGGCTTTCAAGGCGCGTCCGATGGTAGTGCTGCATCATAATGACCTGGATCGTACTCTGTGGGGGCCAGCGTCGACTAGCGGTCGATCACAAGTCACTGATGTTGCTATCTACATCCAATTTGTAAAACTACATGTCATTAATTGGGAATTACCAGGAATTCGTGGTCCAACACCGGCTTAATGCTGTTGTCTGCATTAGGCTGTGGTGGGATTACTTGGTGTGGTTTGTGCTCTAGACTACGAGAAGCCAGAATCAGTACGGTTGGCGGTAGCAGGAGTAACGCAGCTGATGTATTTTCGCAGCACTGCACTGGTAGGATGAAGTGACGAAACCTGTCTCGATTAATTCGGAACCTAACGTGACGCAGTTTGTCCGCGTAATGCTGTTTGTGTCTGCCATAGTGTTATACGGAGACGTTATTATTCCGATCAATCGCTTTGCCAGAAATGGAGAAGCTCTGATGCTGCCTACTGCCAAGCTGGTGCTGCACTGCATTTGGATGTGGAACACGGTAAGCACTCGCATGTGTATCGATGGCATCAATGCTTGCAACGTGTTGCTAACTTCAGTTGCGCATTGTGATGTCCAATGACGTACCAGCTACGCATCTTGTATGCAATTTTTCAGTCAGGAGCCCTCACATCAGGTGGGCAGAAGAAGCTTTTGGGGGTGCCAAGCGCATACAAAAGGCGCCCGAAAGTTGCGTAAGACGCGGTGACGTCAATCACTAGTCAACTGTATTATACAGGTACAAAAACATGCGCGATGCTAATCAACAGTAAACCTTATAGCTGCAACATTCGTGTCACATACCCGACGTTGCACTTTTAGTAACAGGAGCCATTCCGCATTCACAACAAAGTGCGCACTCGGCTAAGGAAGATGCGGGGCGGGCTTTTCCTCTTTCCATTGTACGTAGATCCGCAGGATGCAGCGGATGCAGATGCACGTGAGACGCTTCATCCTGTGGTGTCAGAGCCCATAGGAGATGAATCCTTCAATCCGCAGCGGTTGGCAACGCTCATTCGCTCCGCAACCACTAGCAGACTTGGGTGCGACACTTAACCATTAATTTTAGTGCCATTATGAAACTCTTTGACTAAGTTGAAGTGGCATTTTTTGTGGATTGATAATGGATACAAAAGATTAGCAGGTGAAACGACAGAGATCGACGCACACGTGTTAAACTCGCTGCCCAAATGGGCGCAGGCGGTCGTACAGACAGGATGCTTTAATGGTTAGCTAAAGAATTGCTGACTCTATGTTGCTGCTGCTGCAATAATGTATGGCAACTAACGGTTGCTCTAACCATTGTGCGTGATGCTAGGTAAAGCTGCTCATGGGGTAAAAAGAAATCTGGAACTGCAGCAGGAACCAGAGCGTGGGCAGATACAGAAGAGGCGATCAGTTGCTACTGTAGACAGGAACCAGTTGGTGACAAATGAAGGTGATAAGCTGCAGACTTGTGTGGATGAGCTGAATGCCGAACTAGAAGTGGACGTGGAGATGAAAGGCGAAGAAAAGCTTGCGACGCTTGTTACTCAGGCGGAGATCACTGCGGACAGCATTGAAAAGTATGCGGAGTTGTTGAAAAGATTGTTGGACATGGTGACATATCGCCAGCAGCAGGAGACTTTTGATCGGGACAACATCGATGTGTTTGAGTCTGAAGACGCGACAATGTTTCTCCAGTCTCTGAAAGCAATGGAAAAGAATGAGTGGATCATCAAATTGGAGCCAGAATTACTGATTTCATTGATGGCCGCATTCGATAGCCAGGTGAGGTTGGGTTTAGCAGTGGATGTGCTGGACGCCGACTTGCTGAACAAAGAGTGTGGGAAAACGATTGATAATCAACTCGTTGTGCGACTTTTAGCCTCACTTGACGTTGCAATTTGTGAGCTTATTGTGATGACAACGGCTGGCATTGACAGACGGGTTCTTTCGGAGGAGATAATTGATCATTGCTTCCGATTACTTCATCACATCATTCGCCGGCTGCTGCTTCCGTGTATCGACACCAGCTACGTCACGACAGCTTCTGCGCCGTCGGCAAAAGAAAGTATTCGGCGACAGTCATCCGGGCGCAGAACATCCAGCTCTTCTCGAGTAAATTTACGGGCGCACAAAGACACTCGTAAAGCTATTGACCGAATTTCTCACGTCGTCTGTGAGTATATGGATCGACTTGCTACACTTGTCTTGGGTGTAAAACTTTCAGACCGGTGGATACTCCCTCTATCTTCTTCGATGGTAGAGTTGTTTGCGTTAGAACATAGTCCGTATGCAACATCGCTGCAACAGAGTGCTCTCGCAATTCTGCGAAGCATCTTTTTACGGTATAAGCATCACCGAGAGTCATTGCTTGAAGAAATCGTGGACGTTATGTTAAAACTTCCTACGGCTAAACGAACACTTCGAACGGTGAAGTTGCTGAATTCAACGAATTTCGTACAGCAAATTTCAACAGTAATAGTGTCGCTGATACAGGCCTGCACGTCAATTTCTAAACCTAAGTTGGAAGATAGTGATACTGGTCCACTTCCTGACTCAGTCGAATCTTCGTCAACACCGGATACTGCCAGTGAAGAAAAAGATCTACAAAATATTGATGCAGTAGGGAGTGCACTAGTCGACGTACGAAATAGTGCGCGATCATTTGTTCGGAAGCTTCTAAAAGCATGCTGGAAAAAAATGAAGAACGTGATAATCGCGTGGTATTAGACAATTTTGCTGAAGATCTCCTCGTGATGTTCGTACGACCTGAATGGGTAGGAGCGGAAGACCTTCTTGAGGCATTGAGTTCCTCATTGGCGAGTATCCTACATGCAAATATATCGAAGAACGCGAAGAACCCGGACTCACACCAAAGCATAGCTGCACTCAACGTGATCGGAAAAATTTGTGCATCAATCAGGCGATACCAGAACAAGGCTAGCCAGAGTACGATGGAGGAGGACAGTGACTCAATTGCAGTCATTGAGGAGCATACAAACAGTTTGTGTGTCGCCATTTCCGGTGCGAAACCAGAATCTAAAGGCGCATTACCCAGTGTTGCCTGCAGTGTGTTTCACCAAATGGCGCTAAAGCATATTACTGTGATGTATCTTCAACGGAATAGCCTTAGTCAAGACGATTCAAAAAAGTTGCTTATCTCGAAATTCCTCTCGGAATTGAATGAGCATTGGAGCGAAGCTGAGTCGAAATGTAAGGAACGAGAAAGGAATTTGTGGGAGTCGTTGTGGGAGGTGCCTAAGGGGGGCATTAATCCGACGTTTAAGGTGGCTGTCCCTACAAGTGAGTTGGCGCTAAAGGCAAGTTTGCACCTTGCTGTGAAACGGGGGTTTTGTGGTCTGTTCGACAGTATGCTCGCGCACATCATGGCTTTGCTTTCTAAGGGAATGCCAAGCCTACGAGCTCGAGTTATGAAATGCTTGCGAGGTATTGTCGATGTCGATCCCATGCTGATGGCAGAAAGGGGAGTGCAATTAGCTGTTCAGAGGTGTTGTTCGGATGAAAAGCCATCAGTTCGCGAAGCAGCGGTGGAACTAATCGGGACTTACGTTCTACTACAGCCCCTCCTGGTACGCATAACCCTGATATACAAAGTTGTTGCGCTGAAAATACTGACTCGTGTTTTTGTTGACAGTTCGACAAATATTTCGACATACTTGCTGCAAGAGTTCGAGACAAAGGCAATAAAGTTCGGAAAAGTGTGTGCAAAGTCTTCAAGATAGTTTTGGCCCGCGATGTAACGACAAACAAAGAGCTGCGTCGTAAAAGTGCTTGCATGCGATGTCTGGTCGAACGGATTGGAGACGCGGCTGAAGATCAAGGCGTGAAGAATTTTATTATTGATACTTTCCAAGAGGTATGGTTTGGTGCTGAACTTTCGTCCTCGAGACTTTCGAACTCGTTCAGCGAGTTTTGTAGCGAAACTACTCTACCGCCTGGTTGGACTTCTGTTGCTGCGAATGTCGGTGAAAAAAGTGAAGCCACTTTACTTTCAGATGGAAGTACAAAGTTTGTTTCTGAAGACGGGATCGTTGCTAGCTCGGTCGGAGAAGCGTGGTCTTCGTATCGGACCCCTATGGTGACACCAGCCAGCGTAGCAAAGAGCAACGCTTCAAAGCTGGACAACACTTCTGACGTTGTTACAACCATCATTGAAGTCATTCACGGTATGTCAAACCTTACGTGGTTTGCTGAACTCCTAAAAAGGCTTTTAGGGACGCACAGTAACAGCACTGCATCACGACAAACTAAAAATCGGTTAGCTGAAGTCGCACTCGCTGAGGAGCGCTCTGAAAAGATCATTACTCGTCTTGTGGGCTGCCTTATTGAGATACAGGAAGGAACACTTCTTAATGCTGTTTCCTTTCAAGACGGACATCAACAGTTTGTGACATGTATGACAGCTTTGTCTGCGTTTTGCGAAGCAAAACCCAAGCTCCTGGTTCGCCACCTCGAGACTATTCGTGTATATCTGAAAGAGGAAGACGCCAAGATCCAAAGTTTATCAGTCTCCATGATTAACAGCATCTTGAGCGTAAAACGCGTTCCGCAGACCATAGCTGAAAGACTTGAAGAGGATCTAAAAGTTCTGGTGCTACGCTCTCCTCCGAGTGTTGTTGGTCCAAGTGTGAAGTGTCTGGCAACACTTTCGACAACACGATACAAGGCGCGAGTACTTTTGCTTCGGTTGCTGGAACGTTTTTATATCAGCATGCGCGACAACGAATCGAAAGCTTCTCTCTATAATTTTTCAGAGAAAGATTATGTACTTCAGCGTGCATTGTTTGCAGCGGGAAAAATTGTTGGTGCAACGGACATTGACCGATGTCAGGAACTCGCAAAGGAGACAAATGTGCTGTCAGTTGGAACGATAACAGAAAAGCTCTACGAGTTGTACAGCCAATTCGTTCGCATGCCAGGAAAGGATATATGCGCCGCTAAAGCTGTACAAGGCATGGGTTTTTTATTTCCCATACGGCCACGTCTATTTCTCCGGGCACAACAAGATGGATTGCTTCACTTTCTTTTGACGTCCAACTCCCTGAAGGCGAAGTTGCAATGTCTTGTCAGCATGAAGGAGCTATTGCTGATTGAAGAACAGCGTCTGGAAAATGGACAGGCAGCACGGACGATGAACCAATCAAAAAGTAAAGAGCAGCAGGTTCAAGGCGATCAGGAAGCCGACGCCTCGTTGATTGGCAACGTCATGCAAGCGGAACTTGGAAACATATTGCGGTTATCAATATACAAGGTGCCACAAATTCGAAAGCAGGCCATCGTATGCATCGGCGCCTTGCTCACGCAAGGTTTGGTGAACCCGTTGCAATGCATTCCAAATTTGGTGGCCTTAGAAACCGATCGCGTTCCAGATGTTCGGGATGCAGCATTCTCGCAACTGATGACACTATATGAAAGGTTTTGGAGTCAATTTCATACACCACTGATAAAGGGCATTCAAGCCTCGTATGCGTTCCAGCTCAGTGTCTACGGCAACTGCACCGCGCTGGGAATCGTCGATAACGAAAAGGAGTTTTGCCTGTTTGGACGATTATACACGAATTGCCTGAAGTCGACAAAGTCGCATGAATCACTTTTTCTTAAGGCACTTGTGAATCAGTTCACTGACCAGGGAAGCGTGCTCAAGCCTTTGGAGAGTAAGTCGGCTACCACTAAGAACAGCAAGGCCTTTGCGAGCGATTTGAAATATTTATGCTATTTAGCACAAATCATTTCGACGCTACCGTACGATGTGGAGGACAAACCGCTGTACATTATTTATTTGATCAACCGCTACGTGAGCCTTCGGCTCGGGTACGTTCCCATCGTTTTTGTGTACAGGAGTAGAGCACTTACGTTTCAGAGCGCTGACCACTTTGTCGTAGTTATGTACTAGAAGATCTCAAAGAGGCCTTTGCAAAGGCAGGCGTGGCACCTACACAACTGGAAGACGAAGACTCGGATCTCTCGATGGTTAGAATCAATGAGTTTCGCCCGTTTCGCCTGCAAGGGAGATCTACACTGTCAACGCTACAGAGCAACGGGCGTATTGCCTTCGCAATCGCGCTGTTGCTTCGTTTGAAATTTGCGCTCCAGCACAACTATCAACTAGACAACGAAAAATGTGCGACGTACAAACCATCCGCCACTGGGATTTCAGTTGAAGCGAAGGAACGGTCTCCCAAGAAACTTTTGTTACCTTCTATTGACGACTTGTGCCAAACTGACGATCCAATTGAGCTGAGTTGGAATCTTTTTCTGGTTGCCTGGCATTCCGCTCGTAAGGACCAAAAGCAATTGGATATTGATTTGGAAAAAGAGCTGAAGCCTAAAACCACACCAAAGCGACGACGTCGTTCGCGCAAATCCGTCACTAGTAAGCCGCAAAAGCGATCCGAGAACGATGACAGCGACAACGAAGACTGATACATGATGGTTTGCTTACATGTGCCTTTACCGTTCACTATTTTTGAATGCTATGTACGCGTGATTCACATTAGAACCGTCGTCTTCCATACTCTTCGTCATATCCGCTTTTAAGCAAATGCAAACTCGAGGTCGCTCCATCCGCAGTCAGTCGCCTCCGCTTGACATCCAGCGTTCGAAGAAATATTTCTTCAAAGTCAGAAAGTTGTGGATCATAAAGCATCTCCAAAGTCACCCTAGGATCCACAAGCTCAAGTCCATCATGAAATAACTCTAACAATCTCGTGAAACCCCAGAACCGTTCCGCTTCGTGTGTCAACACTTCACACACCACGCGAGCCACACTCAGTAAGAAGTTCTGGTCGTCCATCCCACACAAGAGCGGTGCATTAGAAGCCATAATGTCTTTGTAATACGTGCGATGCAAGTGCACTAATCGCTTCAGATCCTGCATCGACGTCTTCTTTTTCCGTCCATCTTCTTTCTTCTCCAGTAGTTCAATGAAATTGTAGTACTCTCCTTCATCGCCCTCCATCATATCTTTAATCTGTAAAACCTGTGCAGCACTTACAATATCCTCAAACATGACCCGCCGCTCCTCCAGCGCAAAACTCCATAATTCCGGGTAGGGTGGCAATACCTCCGCTAGCAGCAGCCAAAGCCTGGCTCGATATTGAGGCACAATGCCCAATTCCAGCGCCAGTTTCAGCAGCTGTGGCATGTTCACTGCTTTCTCGCCAAGTAACGCTGCAAACGAGGCCTCCGCATCTACAATATGCTGCACCACAGGCACACCTAGCGTCTTGTAATAAGTCGTCCGGAAATTCCGGTTCAGTGCCATCGTGCAAACCGAAATGATGATCATCAGTCAATTAAGTATACCATAATCTTCTTTAGATAAGTATCTATAACAAAATAGAAATGAATTTCTATCAACTTCATTCTATTTTTCTACTTTTCAAGATCCATTAATTTCCAGTCGAAAAAATTCGATCGGTATCCAGGACGCAACTCTATGGAGGCTGCTGGAGACGCTATGAATGTGGAAACAACACAGTAAGGAAGAACGCACCAAGATCCTGGTACAAGTGCAGAGGCTTCTGACGTGAAAGCGATAAGAGGGATGGTATAAAGTCGTGTCGGAAACGTTCGTCAGCGGTGCACATCGTTTCTGTCTCAAAGTTAATTTCAAATTGGAATCTGAACGAGATTCAGTACAAAGACCGTGTACCCTTGTGCACAGTAACTGTTTGTTGTCGCGACGCTCATCAAACTGGCTTACATGCGCCGTGTCTATCCTGCAGGTGGACACTACACATCGATTCCAGTGGAATTTGTATCGAATGGACAACAAGATCCATGAAATCGTAGTAATTGAATAGTGCATTCATCCGGATTGTTAAGGATACTGCACGACCCTTAGCGATGGTGTTGAGAACACCATCGACTCGAACTCGTAAGTTTTTTATATGAGTCGGAGATAATGTTACGTTTTGCTGTTCGCTTCGCGACTTGATGGTTGCACTGTGTGGTCAATAATTCCGAAGTGGAGAGTGCAAGAAGAAGATGCAGTAAGAAGCACTACGCAAGTGCGTTGCTCGAAACAATTAGTAGTACGCTTCCGCCGCAAAAACTCGCTTACGTGTGACAAGTCTCAGCAAAAACAACCGACCTACGGAGGAGACATCGACGCGTACTCCTTCTGCCAAAGTAACGTCAACAACGTCATGATGACAAAAACCTTTTGCTTGCTGTCACACCGTTTTATTTTGAAGTTTGGGATCCGATGCACAATTTTTCGCTAGTACGTTACAAAAAATCAAGTGGATTGGTATCAAGAATAGGTTGGAAACTTGGCTGAAAAGCTGAATATTCGAGAATTCAATTTTGCAAGTGTCATCACGATGCGCTTGCTACATTGCGCTACATCAAGACACCATTCTTATGGCGAAACGGAGCCCGATTTAGCTGCGGTGTTTGCAGCGATGATGACTTGTGTGGCGTGTGCAATGGTAGGGAACGCTGCGGAGTATGCTCGTTTTGGATTTGACTATCCGAGCTAACTCTTGCTGTGTTCCTAGCTTGAAGCAGCAGCACAGTCTGCGAGATCTCGCATCGCTATGCTAACGTCGACGGTATGTAACAGCGTGTGTCCAATTTTAGATAGCACAACTTTGCACACCATGCGCTACAGGCTGCCTGTTTTCGATAGATACGAGCAGCAGTGTTTTGCTAGCCGATGTTAATTGTCAATTCATGTAATCTTTAGTAGGTTCATTCATTTTCTTACAAAGTACTTTGCGTCTTCCAGCGACCAACTCGACTCCGATCTGCTCCACACCTGTATAAAAGTCTAAATTAGAAACAAAACATCATCGCAATTACTTAATCGATGATGATGCCCACCTGCCTTCCTCTTCCTTGTACTGGACATGGTGAGCGCATGAAACTTCGGATAGCTGGTCGAGCTCGACGCACTCTAGATACAGCCAGTATCGTAATCCGTGCTGTCGCGGGCGACGAGGCCAAATTCTGGATGCTGCTGATCTGCCGCTGACTCGCGCTCAATTCTGTGGCCCAACCCAGATGCAAGAAAGAAGAAGCAAGAATCAGGCATCTGACCCAGTACACCAGATCGACGTCCAACGCTGCTTCAATGCCTTCCTCGTACGTACCCTTCACTTGTTCGTTGCTCCGACCGTCGTCCCGACCTTCGCTTCTCCCGCTTGCTGCTTGAGTCACGCGACCCTGACGTTGGCTCCACTGTCCGAATGTAGGAGAACCCCTGAAACTCGTTCTTGGGCGACATGGGAAGACGTTTGTCTTGTTGCAAGAAACCGTGGTCAGGTAACTCTTTTGTGAATTCACGGTCAAAGTTTTGAATATCCGTTGGGCTGCGAACACGCGGCTTGAAAGGCGGTTTAATGCCACGCTTTTCCAGTAACGTCCAATCGATGCTGGCAAAAAACACGTGATTCTTAATGTCCTCTACACCGGCACCAGGACGCGAGCCGACTCGGTACATCGGATCTCGTTCTAGCAACGCAGAAATGAGACTCTTGACTTCTGAGCTCAGACCAAAATGCGCAGGGAACTTTAGCGGTGACTTCATGATCTTGGTACACATCTGCTCGATATTGCGGTCGAAGAAAGGCGGCCAGCCTGTGAGCATTTCGTACATGAGCGTGCCAAGACTCCACCAGTCGATGGCCTTGCCGTACTCAGTTTTCTTTTTGCGGCTAATGAGCATCTCTGGTGCCAAGTACTCGGGAGTACCGCAAAACGTCTTGGCTCCTGTAAAATCAGTGCAGTCCGTTTTAGAAAGACCAAAGTCAGTCAGACGCACGTGACCCATCTCGTCAAGAAGAATGTTCTCGGGTTTGAGGTCTCGGTATATAATATCACGCTCGTGCAAGTGACCAATGGCCGCTACTAGCTCCGCTGCGTAGAAACGCACCATTGCTTCCGAAAAGGAGCGAAACTTTTTCAGGTGAAAGAAAATCTCTCCACCACAGCAATAATCCGACACCATCACGAGCTTGCTGGCAGTCTGAAAAGAGTACTTTAGCCCAACGATGAAAGGGTGATCAATTGAGCTCATGATGCGACGCTCCATCATCGTGTGGCCCACCTGGTTCCGTTTGACCAGTTCTGATTTACGCAACACCTTCATCGCGTAGATCTTGCTATCCGCCCCACGTTCTTTAGCCATATAGACTTTCCCAAACGATCCCTTGCCAAGCATTTTAAGAATCTCAAAATCTTGCATGGTCACCATGTGTTCTCCTGCATCTTCCGAGGCGACGCTGTTGCTCCCACTGAGTCGCAACGATGTTCCAAGAGCTGTAGACACCGACTGCACGTGTTTCGGCGTCGTCACCATGTCCACTCCGCGTGTCGGCCCGCCAGTACTGTTGCCATCCTCATCTTCGTCATCCGCCGAGCTGCTTCCACTACTAAGGAATTCCACAATCTCAATCGGCCGTGGTCGTAACGTCAGGACTGCATTTATGTATGCCTCGATAGCTTCGCGACGCTGTTCAATCACACGCAGTGAGAGCGACATGAAGAATTTCTTTGGTGGGAAGTACAGTTTTCCGACCGCTGCATACTTTCTCCTCAACATCTTATGGAGCTCTCGAAAGTGGCTGTATCGCTTCTCCGACACGCGCACTGCTCCCGACTGAAAGTTCACATAGACTTGAAAGACCGTATAACGTTTTTTACTACCAGTATCCCGGTCTTTCCCAAGCACCAAAGCCCCCATGGATCCTCCATGTCCTCCACGTCCATCTTTCCCGTCCCATGTCGACGTTCTCACAGCTGGACCACCCACAGGTGAATTACCAGCACTATCTGCACCCACAGGAATATGCAATCTATCTGCTCTGTCCGTTGTAAGTTTAGACTTCCATTTAGGAATATCCACCTTGAGAATATCATCACCTGCTGGAGGTGCAGTTGTATACCCTGGATACAGCTGGTTCTGAGGACTCGCTCCTCTGTTTATAGTGTGCATATTAAAGTAATTGGACGCTCGATCAGGTGGAGACAAGGCCGAACCCGACGTAGACGACGCACTCGAGCGACCAGATCCTCGCGGCTCCGTCTGTACGTGCATAAGGGAGTGCCGCATGTGTGCATTCTTCTTGCTATTACTCTGACGTTTCTTGTTCGTCCGTGAGTCCTGATACGACGAGCGTAAGTTGCCAGCATCGACTTGTACCTGATGCTGGAACGTAGCACTGAGGTTACGACCGCTGACGCTACCGGCAGCCGAACGAGAATGAGACGTCACGTCCATAGGCGGTCGTTGTGAGCGCATATGCGAATGTGAAGGCTCGTCAACCGCAGGCATGGAATACAAAGCAGCGTTAAGCGACGGTCGGACGGTCGATTTACTTGGGGGGGAACGGGTTCCAAAGGGGTTCTGTGTGGGTAGCACCTTTGACTGTCTCTTGCCAAACTTTCGTAGCTTTGTGAAAATAAAGTAAGAATATCACGTTTTGAAAAAAGAATATTCTTTATTGATGAGTCGTTCGATAGAGTGTTTCCATTTGGTCCACTTACAAAACGCAAGTTGATTTGGTCCACTTACAAAACGCAAGTTGATTTGGTCCACTTACAAACCTCAAGTCTTTTTTTCTCTCGATCAGAAAATCCGTTCAAAAATCCTCCTCACTTGTTCGCTTGTCATTTCTATAAAGTAGCTCCTCGTAAAGCCTCTGTCTTCCCTCTTCTAGCTCGTCCATACGCTACATTATGTACTCATCATATGAGTCAGTACCTTCCTGTTATCAATCGACTGTTGCTGCTGCACCGCCACCGCCGATTTTTCAATCAACAAACGAGCTTCAGAAACTCATTTCACCTCATTTTTTATCTCGTGAAGCTCAATTGAGACCCATTCCAACTAATGAATGGTGGGGCAATTTGTTAGCGTGGGACGGACAACGTGAGAGTGACGCTGCATTTTCTGGGCCTTATACGTACAAGATCGTACAAGGCCAACGCGGTATCATTGGCTGTGGATTATCGGTCAGTTATTTGCTGCAATACCGAACGGACGGTCCTATTAATGACAATGGAGCTCCTCGCTTCTATTTCTACGCACCGACTATTAAGAATTGGATCTTTTCAGCCGTGGAACTTGCTGATCATATATGTACACCTCCTCTTAGTATCCAGAGTTGGGATGATATGGGGGTACACCTGAGTATGGCAGGAATAAACATGTACTTGGCATTGGGGTCTGCCTTTACGACGGTCGAGTACCATGATATGCAGGTACAACTTGGTACAGATCATGGCATTGTTGCAATTAATGGATCTCCTGCCAGAAATGGCCATCAAGTGAATGGAACGAGCTTTGTGATCTCACTTAACAACGGACAGCTGTGGGTACTCTACTTCTTTTCCAATGCATGTGGAAACACGTCGCTCGTATTTGAGGACAATAAACTCACGACCACATCGAAATTTACAGGAGTTGTCCAAGCGGCCTTTGTCTTGACAAGTGCAATGGAATCTCCGGTGCCTCAAAATGAACACAAGATTCTGCAACTTTATCACGCCTGCGCAGGTGTCTACCCAAAAGGAGTCACGGTGCAGACGCTAAACTCGGAGTCATTTGTCTTCCACTGGCAGCTTGCAACTGCTGCAGGCAGCAAGCCGGGATCTCGCTTCCTTCATTTTGCTCTGACACACTTAAAAGCGATGCTAGACCCATGTACGGTGGAAGAAAAGCATGAGCTAGTGCTGCATTCACATACACACGGACCGTTGTTTGCGTACACGTTGGTGACTTCGCCAAATTCCAGTCCGTCGTGGCTTTGCCGTGTGCCCCAAGCTGAAAGTCAGGGTGTTGAAACGTGCACAGCGTTTTACCCACCACGTGCTGGTTCCGTCACGCGAGAGGAAGTGGAGAAGCTGAACTTGTGTCACGTTGTCACCAAGGAAATCGACGAAAATTGGTCTCTACCGCATGAAGGAAGTTACTACTTCAAAGGCAAAGCCCTGCAGAAGTTTGGCACCATGTGTCTCGTTGCGCGGCACTTAGCAGACACGACTAACCCAGAAATAAGAGAAGTGGCGCAACGCGGCATTTGCAAGCTCCAGCAACTGCTGTCAGAGTTTGCGAACAACAGGTCGGCGTTTCCACTTGTCTACGACACAGTTTACAAGGGGATTGTCACAAGCGAGGCATTGGCCAGGAATGACATGAATGTCGACTTCGGCAACGGTGTCTACAGTGACCACCACTATCACTACGGCTACATCGTGACTGCTGCTGCCATGGCTCTTTACTTGGATCCGGTTTGGCGTCAGTCAGCCGATGCTGTTAAGGTTCGAACACTCGTCGACACTTTAATCCGGGATGTGGCTTCATCTTCTCCTCCTGGCAGTGACCCATATTTCCCGCGCTTTCGATACTTCAACTGGTGGCTTGGCCACTCATACTCACACGGAGTAACTCCAATGGCCGACGGGAAGGATGAGGAATCTACATCGGAAGAGGTCAACACTTTGTATGGTATTGCTCTGTACGGCCAAGTTACGGAGAACGCAGAACAACACGCGCTAGCAAAGCTGATGCTCAAGGTTTACGTGCGCGCAGTAAACACTTATTTCTTGCTCCAGAATAATGGCCCTCGTATCCACCCCGCAGGCTTCGCAAAGAACAAAGTCACAGGCGTCTTCTTTGACAACAAGTGCGACTATGCAACGTGGTTTAGCCCCAATAAGGAGTGCATTCATGGCATCCAAATGATCCCCGTGTCTCCGATCCTCGAAGTTTCTCGTTCACCACGTTTCGTACGAGAGGAATGGGACGAAGTGCTAAGCAAACTGCCCATTGTGTACGATTGGAAGGCAAATCAATCTGGCTGGACATCACTATTGTTTGCGAACTATAGCGTCGTGGACAGCGCAAAGGCCTTGGAAGTACTTGCCACATGCCTTATGGACGACGGCCTCAGTCGCGCCTGGGCACTGTTATATGCCGTTACTCGACCGCCGCCCTCCTGTTAGGCTAGGTTACGTCTCCCGTGCAGCTTAGTTCTGGATTCCGCGGCTTCTTTTAAGCAACTTTCTATTCGTCAACACGTTCATCCTTTCATTCCAAAACCCTCGTTGTTGTTTCGTTACGGAGGCGTCATCACTTGTAACACTGATTGAGCCAGCTCGCTTACGGCAGGTGATATCTGCCTATCGCGCACCTTGATCAAACATCTACAAAGTCAAGGTTCAAAGATGCGTTAATTCATGCAATCAACTGTTAGTTCGTAACTTTCGCCAAACATGTCGTACCCGTCGATGAGCCGCTGGAGATCAACTGGTGGCAATGTCGCAACAAAGCTTGGAAATTTTCCAATAAGAGCTCCAGCCACTCTGATCCCGCTCATCGCTATGGATTCACATCCCGTAGTCTCGAGACGAGCTACAGTGGCCTCAAAACAGATGCGAACGAGTTGCAGATCGCTGCTGTCTTCCATTGAAAAATGCTCGCTCGACTTGTACAAAAACGAAAACATGATCTACAGCAACAAATCGCGGTAGTAAGAGTATTAGCCAAGATCCTGATATCGCTAGCAGCAAGTTAACGTGTACCTGAAAGCCCCCAGCGACAACATCATCGTCAGAGCAACTCTTGGTTGCTAATGCAATGCGCAAAAGGAGCCCCTGCACTTTCCAGCTTGCGAGAACCTTATTCTCCGCTCGAGAGATGACACTACAAATTCAAGCCAACACACATCAGCATCAAGGTTTCTCGTGCTAATGACGTATCAAACGTACCTCAGTAAGATATTACAAAAGCAAATGCGAACTTGCGATGATAGCTTGTGGTGACAACTTCCACTCCACCTATCATCAAGCAATTCCCGCACTCGCGAGATGAGAGGGTCAGTGCTGCGATCAATATTGCTGTTTGTTCCAACCTTGTCGAATATCCATCCCATCAGAAGGTCCATTAGTGATGAAGCACTCACAATCGGCACTTTCGTGCCACTTGGTCCACTGTCGTTCGCTGACAGTCTGACGAGTATCAACGCGATGCAATCAATGCAACCACGTTGGAGATCGGTAAGGGCTGCATTATCCGATGCCAACCTTGGATCTTGGACGGACCGAACCTCCATAAGTTGTATCAGCACGACAAGTGCTTTTGAAACAGTCTCTTCATCCTTGTAAGCATGATCATCTTCGGAAAACGCTCGATTGAGATAGTAGACCATCAGCTTCGCAGTCACCAGCCCACACGAATTGGGAACGCTCTCTTCTTCCACAATAAGCGAGCTACCATATTCGCCGTGTGGAGTAGCTTCTCGTAAGAAAGCTACCAAGTATGAAAGAACGAACGGCAGTACCCAGGGTGAAGGAAACTTGGATAGGCACTCAGTAGCGACCATCTTCACCTCTTTGAATTCCAATGGGTCCACCACTGAGCGACCTAAAATGTGAAACAGTGTTTGGATCGTGGAACCCATCGAGCTTTTAGAGGCTGCCTCTGAATCGGGAAGAGCAAACTGAAGCTGGCACTTGATGTACTCGTTTAAATGATCCAAATCTTTACGTCCACACTACGACACACACAACCACGCAGCTTAATACATAATCCAGTAGAAGAAATATTGCGTTCATTTGTACTAATGACTACATCAGACTACGTACAGGCAATGACTTAATATGATTAGCTCCGAGAACATGTCGAGGAAGCATTCGTAGCACCAGTAGCGGTGCTAAACGAGAGAATAGCAATCCCTCAAGAGATTTTGCTGCCGAAAACGAGCTGTTGTTTAAGACGTCTTCACTTAAGCGTGGCAAACTCTGCAGCAATGATACACGGATTAGTATTGCCTACAATAACTCGACAAGGTACTTACCATCATTTGAGCGACGAGCTGTTTTCCCAGCATTTCAAATACTTCGTTGTCTACCCAGCCACACACCACAAATTCACGCAGCATCCGCAAAAGTGCTGCGTCGCGAGGAGACCCAAATATTTTACGAAGCAGGATTTGTAAAACAATGCTGCGTGTGTGAGCCGACTGAAGGTGTTTGCTCCATCTACACGTCCACGACAAAAACCAGTGCTGGTCAGAGAAAAGTCGAGTCTTATTATCACTGACGTATAATGGACGTACCCATTCGGACCGAAACAAAGTGAAAACAATTTTTCTTGCATCTCTTGCCTTTCATCTGCATCTGCAATGATTTTCTGCACGTCTTCTTCCAGCTGCGAGACGTAGTCATTCCAGTCGTGAGGAGATGCTAGGGGTTTCAAAACCGGGGCTTGAACGCTTCCAAACTGACACGCATTTATGAACCAGGATACCCCGACTTCAAAAGAATGTCGAGTCGAAGCTGTAAAAAGATATCCAAGCGCCGATGTAATTAGGTGGGTTCTCGTGCCATTACTATCGAGTGTACACAATCTGGCAATGCAAGACACAATGTCGAGTGACGACAAGCAAGAAATCGCCTGGAAAAAGTTCCAACGTCAGTTACGCAATACTAATAGTGTCGAGAAAAATTGCCATGCAGTCTTACACATCGGCAGATACGACCATTTTCATGGGCAACAAGGCTTACAACCTCTGATGTAAGCATCTTCCTGTTGACAAAGAAATGCAGTCCTTGTCAGAATTAACGTCGTTGTGTAACATCAGAAATACGCTTTATTTGTAACAGAATCTCACCGCCAATGCCCGTGTAGCTGGGATTGTGCAGCCGAATGATCCAGTTGATACAAGAATGTCCGCACTAGAGACAAAACATTCTACACAGCAGGATCAAACATACACAAAAGTAAGCATGCTAGCACAGCAACAAGATGGTGCGCGATCATATTAGCAACGCCCTGCTTACCTGGTTACTTTGTGTCCAGGCGTCTTGCACTCGCCATATAAACTCAGTAATGAACAGGTTTCGAGAAATGATGAAGTCTGCCACAAAAAACTCAAAATCTGCTTGACCTTGCGACACAGTGTCAGAGATCCCATACGAGTTGCTATGTAAATGAAGCAACTGCGAGAGAAGCTCTTGCTCTGCATCTCGTGAGTTTAACAGGTTCAGTACGTGGACGTCACTTGGCAAAAGAACGGCGCGCATGACCTTCAAAATTAAGAGCACCGTCTCCTCAGCCCTGTTTTTGGTTGCCAATGACAAACCTTGGATGAAGAAGAAAAAGAAGCGCGCCTTTACTTCTTCGTGGACGCCGTCAAGAGCCTTAGAGCATCCTTTCACTCCACCTAATAAATCCATCAACACGCAAACATAGCGTAGCTGAGCGTAAATTACCTCAGGATTGATAACGGTATTGTTAGAGCCATCCATTTCTTTAGGCTGAACAGTACTGAAAGCCCATTTCTCCAAAGCTGAAGTAAGAACCTCTGGTGGCTGAGTCTTTCGACTTTGAGAGGATACGTCAGTGCGCGTGCAAAGCAGTGGAACTATTGTTTCCCAGTGCCAGCACAGCACATCCAGCGCTGCTAAATCGTTTGTAATTGTGACATGCCCATTCTCATCACCCAATTCTTTCATGCTTGACAAGATGACACTGCAGGGTGTAACGTACGACTGCAGGTGTTGAAGTGCGTAGATGAGAAACTGGCGACGAACTGAGTGCAAGTGCCACTGCCGTAACACAGCCAAAATGAACCGCACGCACTTCACCGTCCTACACATAGTACCTTCATCAACAAGTCTTCTCTTTGCTGCTGTATTTGATGTCATGTATTGCGCCGCAACATCTCCACATAGCAATGTAAGTGCTTCCAAGGAGACTAGCGCAAGCTTTGACGGTTTTACACGATGCGAGTCAGCAACCCGGATTGTTCCTCGATCGACAATGATGCACAGGGCATCCAAGTACATCCCAGTTCGATCGCCTAACAAGCATGAGATCTCACTATCACCCGCGAATGTCTGCAGCTCACGACGACGTCGTTGCAGCAACTCAAAAAGCGTAAGACAAGCAGCAAGTTGATTCTGCTTCTCGGCTGCTGGCTGGATCCATTGCAATAGCAGCTGCCGTGCATAATCACAAGTCGATGATGCTACGCCACTTTCCCGCTTCATCATCCAGTCCAACAAAACGTGCAGTTTCTCTGCCTGTGGACCCCAAATACAGCAATTTGTTCGAGATGCCGTGCAATCTCGTAATGATTGCATCATTGCAGCTCCAGCCATAGTACAGACTACATTTCGGTGTGTATCCTTTACTTCAGTTGCTTCTTCTTCAGTTTGTACATTGTAAGCATTGATAACTGTAGTCAAAGCTGCTTGCAGTCGTGCAATCCACTTGTGGTCCAAGAGCGACAACACTCGACCCTGATGTAGTCAAAAGACCAATGAAGTAGCAACAATTGACTTATCAATAAGACAGATCACATCATATTGCACAAAAACAGACCTCAACAACGCGCTCCCGCTCGTCAACGTCATCTACGTTTTGCATCGACTCAGATCTGATTCCAATCGTTACATGGTCAAGATTAGCAATAGCTGCCTCTATCTACACAAATACAGCGCGTTAATCGCCCATAATTGCGTACAAAGAAGACACAGCACGTAAAGAATAACTGGAATATTACGTGAAACAGCTCACAATCTCTAAGCACGCGCAGTAGTCGCCCTACGCTGTCTCCGTCCCGAGTTCTTGCTACCATTTTATGGCTAATGATGAAACGGAGCAATTATTACGATACATACGGTAGCCATCGATGTAATACACATCACAAAAGTCAAATAGCTACACTTTACTACTGCATTTGTGAGCATTTGTTTCATGATACCAACTTCATTATACATTCACATTCGACTTTTGTAGTTGGTGACTGTTCTATCTCTCAGAATAAAGCATGGGTATACATACTACTATTATACCCTTTCATAGCGACAAAGTGTTTTGGTCGTCCCGTCGGACTTTATCGACATCGTAGTATCCCATACTATCATCAGAATGAGCACTCAGGAACGACTGGTTCGATGATGCACCTGAATGCCGATGATTGGACGGGTAATACCGACCATCTTCTCTTTCAATACGACTTTCGGCATTGAAATTGATACAGGATGTCGCAAAATTCGTCAGTGTCTGAGAGCCATACGAGTCGACCGAACCACGCTGGACAAAAGCTGATGGAGTCACACCAAATGGCCCAAGCTCGTAACTCTGACCTTCTGCATCAATCGGTTCGCTCTCTTCCTCATCCACACTGATCACGGTCTTTGACCGAGTCTTGAACCACCCACTGCTGTCACCATCAAAACTACTTCCAGAGTTGTTTGAAAAAATCGACATCTTGGCCTGAGGACTGCTACCGTAACCATTCGTCTTGCTCGTTTGGGGACCAGCAGCGCCTATAGCGGCTGAGAACGTATCGTTCGACTTTACGGATCCCTGCGACATATCCAACTGGCTGGTGACAGACGATACGCCAGAGTCCGAGAAATTTACGTAAGACTGGTCCATGTTAGCATGTGAGCTGGCCACTGAAGCTCCTGGGTTAAAGTTCTGACCCACATTCGACGCACCAGGAACAACCTTAGTCCGGGCCGATGAAGACGCAAGCAGCTTGTCCGTGTTTCCGTACACATCAATATCTATGTCGTCGATATCCACGTTCTTCTGCAGGTTACCCATGTTAAAGCTGCGTTTTTTTCGAGATGATGAGCTATTTGCGCCATAGGTGGAGAAACTGCTAACGTATGGTACGGTCGATGGACGCGAGCCGAGTCCAGAGCCCAGCATTCCCGTTGCAATCGCAGCTCCTTCTCTTAAAGAGTGAACTCCCGACGATGGCGGTCCTCGTGAGGATGCCAAATTCCTCGACAAATTCCGACCCCGAGATGAATGCTGTCCTCGAGATGAACTCTGTCCTCTCAACACAAGTTGGCTTCTAGAAGATTTTTCCCTAGATGAATTTGACACAGCCTCATCATTTTTCTGATTCGTGCCAAGGTAGGCTGCCAGCACGTCGTAAGTTGGGACTCGTTCGTCCTGAATAGGCTCAAGAGCGGGAGCTGGCGCAGTATGATGCACTTCAAAAGCGTTCGTGCTTCGTGTCGAGCTTCCAAATGAATACTCTCGGTTGCGGGAAACAGGTGGACGGTTCTTGCTTCTCGACCGATTAAAGACCGGGACAGGCTCTGGAGCCGGTTCCAACATGGGCACGGGGTCCGAATGACCACCATGCGAGCTCTCGGTACTGTAGCCAGATGACTTACTGCTTGTGTGGTGCTGATATTGTTGCTGTTGCGGCTGGTTATGCTGTTGCTGCTGCAGCTGACTATGCTGTTGCTGCTGCGGCTGACTATGCTGTTGCTGCTGCGGCTGACTATGCTGTTGCTGCTGCGGCTGACTATGCTGTTGCTGCTGCGGCTTATTTCCATACCAATCACGTCCTACTGGTGTAGTCTCCACTCCCTCGTAAGCGCGGCTATTGGTAGACGTGTTGTTGCCGAATTCGAGGTTAATGTCGGTGGCATGCAGGTCAGAACTGTTCTTGCCATTCTTGTGACGACAGGCGACGACCATCTTGTGAATAATCGTGTAGGCTTGGCGCACAAACAGCAACGAGAATATGAACATGTTCACACCAATGATACCGTAAGACACGTTGTCACGCACGGCCTGCGGAAAATAGTCGTCCCTTGCCACGATGAGCATAAGGCAGATAAGCACGACCTTCATGAACACCGACGCGATACCGATAAAATACAGAAACCGCAGCAAATTTGGCTGGCGGATGAGCAGCAACATCAAGTAAATCATTGTAATAGCCAGGATACACAATAGCTGCGCCGTCGCATCCCGAACAACTCCAACGATAGCACCGGTCATCACCGCTACCAATATGCGGGGGATAAAGAAAAAGCGATTGTCGAAATTGTACTCATCGTAGTAGGCGCTGTACTTGTTGCTAAATGGCCGCTGGTCGTGTTCGTAAGTGCCGACATCCTTCAGTTCGTCGGTATTGTTACCGATAACAATGACACCAAGTCCAAAGGCAAGGAGTACGACAGCTGCAAGAGCGGCAATACCCAACGCGTAGCGTAAGCTGGAGCCATGAGTGGAGCCGCTTAATGGTCCTAGCGAGATGAAGTAGCTTCCGGTCATCGCAAACATGTACTGCGCCAGCAGTAGAGCCAACACACCGGCCCAAATCACCTTGCGATACCACTTGCGTGCCACGTCACCAAACGACTCGTTCTTGGCTAGAGCACTCGTGATCAGAACAATCAGAACGAACAGTGCGTGTAGCACCGCCACTACCCCAGCAAACGTCACGAGTGTGTAGAAAAAGAGGTTGTCAGCATTAACACCGATCAAAGTAGCATATCTCGCCGGTCCAGACTCTACAGCTGCTGCAAAGACACCTGTAGCATCTTTAAGTCTACGGGTAGAATCGTCATGATCATCTCTTGCGTTGTCAGTGGCGCTAGATCCATCCTTGATTAAATTAAAGTTCGTCCACGAGAGTTCTTTTGAAAACTGCAACAGAAAAGCTGGTGCGCCTTTAATCCGTAGCTGACTGATCATGCCTACAAACTGAGCCTGTTCGACAATGTGAGTCATCTCGTAGAAGCCCCCGGAAAAGCTCAGTGCTGCTGCAGCACTAGGCATCACAGAAGCCCAGAGCATTGAGCCTGTACTGACCACTGCTGCACTAGCCAAAGACGTGGCAATGACGTTCGACGCAGTGTTTCCAGCCTTAGAGTCCAGAAAATGCCGTGTCCCGATCGTGTCAGTAGGCCACTGTGTGTTGCTGCCCAAGACGCATCCAGAGCAGCTATTGGCTTTGATGTAGCTAGCATTGAGGTCTCCAATATTGACATAGGACGCGAGATTGAGCGACTGACGGATCTGATCCTCTCCCCAAGGGATTGCGTACGTGAAAAAGAAAAGACCTAGCGCGGTCAAAAGGAGTAGCGGCAACAGGAGCGCGCAGAGGTGCGAGAGTGCAATGAAGCCGCAGCACTTGGTGGCGCAACATAGCAGCCCCATACTCGAACGAGGAATAAGCTAGAGATATTGGATACAAGGGCGGCGCTTGTGGTGGTGGACCTGCTAAAGCGGAACTGGCTTTGGCTTGGAGTTTTTGCGATGGTGATCGTAGTCGATTCGATGGGATTGAAGCCTAAAGGGGCATATACAGACACAGAAAAAACAGAAGGAGAAGACTTGGATGGGCATTATGAGCGAGAGACTGGAATAATTCAGAAAGGGAATGGCAGTTATTGGTAGAAACTGGACGCCGAATTAACGTTTGCTAACGTTATTTAGGCGAGCTATTTAACACGAAACAATAGGTGCTACAGTATCAATCATACAGTATGTACAGCTCTCAAGCACGCATTTTTTTTCTAACAGTATCCATTCGAGTGACGGTCGCGTAGAAAATGGTGTTTTTCCAATATTTTATAAATCTGGTTCTCTTTTTTGTTTTCTATGAGGTTTCTAATTGCCATCCCGTCATTTCTAACGTGCCATAGCAGCTATGACGCACCCATTTGAATGGTACACCCGACGCCACTACCTAGACGCGTTTGCTTCTAGCAGCAACATTACATCCGTAAACCATGACTAACCTCGTGTATAACGTCATATTTTCTACAGCGATATCAGTCTGAACTTTCCTACAAACATGGACGCCCAGTTCGTGTTGCAGACGCTCGAGGTCGACGACGAATTGCAGCCCATGAAAATTCACCGCAAGTTTATTGTTGAAGGCACGGAACTCCACGTGTATGTTTTACAATGCTGTGAGTGGTGATGGTGGTATCGTTGTCTCATGTACTAATTAATGTATTGGCACATATGCTTGTCATGACTGACATAGCCACTTTGAGGCCACGGAGATCCGACTATTGCGTGCGGCAGTGTCTTCCTTTTACGACATGAGTCTGCTGACCGCCAGGACGTTGTTGGAATTCAAAGAGTGAGTAGATTGAAATACAGTCTACATTTCACTCCATTGGTACTTTGCAAAAAAAACTAGACGATGTTTTGGCGATTGTACACATGCGAGCAAAAAGTGGCCGACTTGTTCCCCTCACCGCCTCGATGACTCGATGCAGCGCCCGGCACCACGGTGCTGTGTTGTCACAAGTCAAGCTTTGGATTTATCTCTGGATTTAAAGTCACACAAACTCGCGTGCGTTATCCGCGCAAACAACGACTGCGCTTTTGAGTTGCACATAGACACTGGTAGGGAGCAGTCTGAGCTGCAGAAGTGCTACTCTCTATTCGAGCAATTGCTGTTACACACAGAGAAGGGACCCAAGGGCCAATGTCTCAAGTAGCTGCAACGAGAAGACGATATCAAGACTGCGAGGAAACGACAGCTTAGCTACAGCATTTCGTCGAGTTGATGCTTGCGACGTATGGCATGGTGCTTAAGTGCCAGGCACGCTGTTGTGTCAATTCATAGTACCGCATTTTCAAATCCATTCAATATTTCTTGGGCAGCAACGACGTGGATGAAGATGAGCTTTTGGATTGGGATCGATCCGCAATAAGCTCCCCATACCGAATATCCCTCTGCCCTTAACATTAACCCATCACAAACTAGCAACAAGGTACCCGAAACGGCTCGAGTGAGTCGCCAACATCAAAGACGAAGTTGGACATATGTCTAACAGAACTTACACGATAGCGGAGGACAAGACGACGTCATGTTCTGTTCATCAGCTATGTTTTTTGTATCCAGTAAAAGCATCTACATTATCGGCTAGACTCTACCTGCAGTCAAGTAGTACCCGAAAATTTGGTGGCGTATCTTACATCTCCTGTGATACATGCAATGATAGCATGGTGCCACTCTCAGCATAGAATAATTCAGCAAGAGTTAACATTAGAATGCGTTGAGTGCCTTAATAACGGATGCACTGCTGACAGCCACCCGCTACTTGACAAAATTATTTCCTCAAGGTAATGGCCACCTGTGGATTGTCAAGACGTTGCTAATGTTGTCAGCGTAGCTAAAAATAGGCAAACAGATTTGCACACTCTTAACGCAATGACAGTGTCTTGATCACTCCTTACAAGCAGTGTCATTAAAAAACATATAGTTACTTCATGAATACGGAATGGCTTCGTCAAATGTAGCCATGTAAATTTGGCTACTTTTATTGTAGTGTGGGTCACATCATTCGATCTGTATATGCATAAAACACTTCGGTCACATTCAAACGACTCCCACCCACATTTGCTCAAAAAGGTTGGAACAGTGTCATGTCAATTGTCCATTCAAATTGCACTACGTCAACATCATTTAAACGTTGTGTGTTTTATCCTCATTTTTGTATAGACATTCATCCTCAATCATTATCAACTTTTTCTGCATAAAAACATTATGGATCCCGAAAACAAGAAAAAGTGTGTCGACATCTTAGAGCATTTTTTTAAGCTTGATAGCTGCGGTGAGAAGTTTTGTCGTGGTTTATATTTTGTTATTGATGGTAGCTTTACTCATCTTTTTTATTTTGCAAATGTAGAGCCTTTCCGTGAACGTGTTAACTGGGAAGAATGGGGTCTGTACGACTATCTGCAGGTGGTCAAGGAACCCATGGACCTGGGCACCATTCGGAGCAAACTGAGCAAGAATGAGTACAAGAAACCGGCAGAGCTTGCACGTGACATGCGTCTGGTTTGGAGCAACTGCAAACTTTACAATCAGGACGGCTCCGACCTGTATCTATTGGCTGATGAACTCGCCAAGAAGTTTGAGGATCGTGTTAAGACAATGAAGTTGGATGTAGGTCCAGTGCCTAAAGCTGACAAGAGCATTCCGTATGGTGTTGGTGATGATCACTGGTGGCAAATGTCTATTGTCTGCTAACGTGTTGTGCTGCTGAACAGAGCTCCAAGTCTAGAAGAGAAGATTTACTTTAGCCAGAACATATACAAGGTCGCACCTGAAGACATGGGCGCTATTGTGCAGCTACTGGAGGGACAGTGTCCGAAGGCATTAGACAAGAGCTCGCCGGATGAGCTGGATATAGTCATTGACCACATCGATAACAAGACGTTTCGTGACTTGGAGAAGTTCGTGCTGGAGAAGGTGCCTGAAGGAAGTCGCGAGCCGATTGCTACGCCCAAGTCCTCAAAGAAAAACCGACGACCACCTAGCAAGAAGACTAGAATCGAGGCATGAGTGTTGATACAATTGTTTGAGCGTAACGCTCAATGCGACCGAAGAGAGGGGAATAGCTCCTGTAGAAGCCGTATCTAGGCTCGCAGTGAACGTCGGTCTCACTTCTAACGGCTTGTTAGGGTATCCTCTTCCCTTTTGCTACTTATCTTTCTTTACCATCTACTTCTTTCGAGTAGCAGCAAGCTGTGTCTACCGTCTCACAGCTTTTCCGCTCTGAAAGCCACGATCTCCTCAAGCTCACCATGGTAACGTTGCTGATCCTCGCAAGCTATCAGCCGCTCTTTGCGTGTACACTGATGCATCGCTTTTTTTGCTTTCCAGTTAGTAAATTACATTTGTGGTGAATGGTGTTCTACCGATGAAGTAGAACATGTCTTTCGCTTTCGCTTTTGCACCTGCTAGTAGAAGAAATACAGAGCAATTAGCAAGCAGCAACAGAAATCTTGTGTCAAGCTGTTGCTGCACGAACGAATGCGTCTATTTTCATTTCCATGTAATGCTCGAACGGCATTAAATGGTGAACCGTCTAGTATCCTGCGTACGCTTTGCACTTAAATCTCGATGATGATACATTTGTTACGACTGAAGCCTTCTCATTAACGACACGGATTCAGCTTACATCTTTGAACAAATTTGTAGGACAGCTAAAGGCCAACGTAGTCGACTAGGAGTGTGCGTGCTTTCCTAATCTGTACAGCAATAAATAGGCGTAGCATGCTCACACGTCTGCGACAAACACGTCTTCATCCCCAACGAAAGCGTCAATGTTTCCGGTAGGTTGATCAGCTGGCAGCCAATAGTCGGCAAACTCGAGGCCGTCCCAGCACTCACCGACATCTACGGGCGAGGTTTTGCCTTCGGGTAGCGATACCAGCGCTTCCATTCCTAAGCTTGCACTATCCAATCCTTTGCAAACGTCTCCTTGTCCGTCTTGCAAGATACGATCCAGTGTCTCCTCATCTACCACGTCCGGAAGACGTGGCAGCTCGATGAAGGACGCAGGTGCTAAAGGCAGCTCATCCTTGACTTGAAATCCACCTCGATCGTAGGTGCCGTCCAGCAGCACGAGATCCTGAAAGAACCAGCTCGTAAGCCCTAAGACTTGACTGACTTCCTCCACCTGTTGCTTGGCGCGTGCCTCCTCTTTCATAGCCAAGTGGGCACTAAGAGGCGCACGACGTGCACGCTGACGAGTCTTCTTGTGCGTGCGGAGACGTTTGCCCGCAGGCTCTGAGTCCATGAACGCTTGTGCACGGGCCTTGCGCTTGAGTTCGAGTCGACGCTGGTTCTTGTTGGCCTTTTGGCGATGAAAATCACAGAGATTGTGGCGCTCGCCATTGCGTTTCAGGGCGCGTAAGTTCCAGCATCTTTTGCTTGGGTAACGACACATGACGTTGGCGTCGTGCACTTGCTCTGGTGACGACGTAATTGTAGTCATTGGGGAAGGAGAAAAGGAAGAACGGGGGCGTGTGGTCATCATGACAAAGTGAATGGAAGGCAAAAGAGCGAATGATCCAAATCGCGCACCTGGGGACTCTTGTAGTCAGTCGCTTGGAAGGAAGATACTGCAGTCACATGGAGCAAATCGGATACGAGAGTTACAATAGGGGTGAACCAGATGGCTGAGAGGGAACCCACTGCTGTATTTTGTACAGGATTTTTGTACCGGGTGAGAAATTTGGTGCTGCCCTGGTGCCACGTCTTGGTGTACCGTCGACCAAGGCAATTGTTCGTCTGCTGGACGCCCCTTGTTATGGTCAGGCTGTTTGGGTATTGATCACCGGTAGTCAGGACTGTCACAACCATCTGTAATCACGTCGTTTTCCTTCCCTTGATCGTGATGGTTTTCCATATCAAGTCAGTCATCGGACCAGAGCTCAAGTCGACTGTCGACTGTGTACAGAAAAGTATGCATCGCTTCAGCTGAAACGAATGAATGGGCAGCCTTTTTCGGTCCAAAGACACAAGTGCAAACCATTTTGCATAAGAAGGGTGATGTAACGGACGCCCATGGGGGATCGACCGATAGTGTTGTTCTAGTCCGGCTACAAGTCATCGCCAAAGTGTTATCTCATAGAGTACACTAAGCACGGGCATCCAACAGGGCTGCTTCGTAGCACCACTACTCTTCTTTTTCTCGGTCGCGGAAGTACTAGCAGCACTAATCAAAACTGGAAGAAAATAGCACGCTAATGGTTTTACAATTGGAAATTAGAGCGGAAGTTAGCGAGTGGATGGCACCGAGGCAAGAAGAATGTACGATCATTAAACAGCACCGTATAGGATCTCTATAGTACACCAGGTCGGACCAGGATTTACTTCCTCAATAGTACGAAGACATCCCCACTCTTATACACATGTACACCCAGGAGCACAAGGACTTTTGGGCGACTTGCAGGTGGGATCAGAACCCTTGGATAGTGGATGACAAGGGGATTTGCTATCACAAAGAAGTATACACTGCTACACGCGTGCACGCTAGCTGAGTTCCACATTTGGCGAGTTTCATCACTGGGTTGCCATATTTGGCTTCGACAAACGGGGCTAAATACTTACTACACGATTTCTAGACTGGGGCATTGGGCAACAGCCATACTGATGGCAAGTCCCTATCTGCACGAAGAAGAAGCAATGCAATACCGGCTCAGCTAACGCTGCGGAATGGACCTGAGGTACTGAACAAGGACATGTGGACATTGATAAGCCGAGGGTTACACACGGGCGCCAGAAAGAACACGCCGGCGGCAACTTCGCCTTTATCGTCCTCTTTTAAGCCAACAACGTAGTTCATTGGATCATCGATCACATGACTGATGTGTACTTAACTGATCAACAGGAGCTGATAAATCTACAACACTGAATATGGAATACGGCACTTGTATCCACAGCGCATCCGCAGTTACATGGATTCTTATGGAGCCTCCCACCCTCCATCAACCATTGCACGCTTTCAAGGCGCAACAATGCCAACCGTTCCATCGCGCGAAACGAAAGCTACATTTAGCACTTACATCGGTAATCAGGCTAGCAGAACGGCACCCACTTCCCGATGTCGCAGTCACCGGTACATCTCTGGGAACACGGACACACTCTCACAGAAGGCCAGGTCTAGGTATGCTACAGAATAGCTGCCCATCAGTTGAATCTGTACTTCTTGGGACGCGACATGGACTCGACATGCAAGAGGTATCTGGCCTGTGGCGGGCGACACGAAGGACTCTTACATACTGCGTCGATGCGTAAACGTCTTGGGCATACATCATCACGATCGGTAGTTTCGTGCGCTCATATGGTCTTGTACAAACAAGCAGCGTTCTCACGTTCGGCACCGGAGCTACCTCCAAGTGTACGGGTGGCTATCAATCATGTGTTCCTAGGCAACGCTGACATCGTTGGCCGAGCTTGGAAAAGAATATAGTGGCTAGCTTGCTTCGTCTGCGTAATTACGCTCTGGATATAGCGGAACCAGAGTATCCATAAGCAGGAAAGTGCGTCCACGGAGCAAATGGTGTGGAAGTCCAAGAAAGCTTCGTCGCCAACTCCGAGCGGTCGCTATCAAGGAACAACGAAGAGATAGGGATGTGAGCACTGACGTCTACCTCCGCCTATCAACGGCAATGTTCCAGGACACCATCGTCAAGTGGCAGCCGGCACTGCACAGCCCTCGTAACGGACAGGAGACATCTCCTGAGGTACTAGACTGACTGCAGACTTCAGAAATCTAGTCTGTACCACACACGATATTCATCTCTTGGCGTTCATTGATAATCAAGGAAGTCCTCAGTAACGGCTGTGTAACAAGGAAAATGATGATGGATATGAACTTGTTCTTTAGAGTCTCTACTTACTGTAAAACGGGAATGACCAAATCTCTTGCTATCTAAATGTTGGCGCGGGTGACGAGTGTTGGAGCTCGTCGGACGTTCGGTTGCCATGAAGAACGTTGTAGTGTCACGGTGGTCCTGAATCCTTCTCCCGATCTTGCCATTGCCGTAGCAATTGGCGGCAGTAGAATGGATGGAGTCATGTCAATAGGTTCTACCTTTGGAGGGGTTAACGGCTTACGATGAGTGAACCCGCGGGAGTCTGAGGCTGGTACCATCTTGGCCATCGCTGCCACACGAAGCATTGCACGAGGACTTTTTGGGTACGCTGCATCCATCCATGCAGCAGGTGACAATCGACTTGTCTCACGCCATGACTCCATTTTGCTGTTGTACGTCAGGTGACTGTTGTGTGGGTTTCCCATAGCCATAAGGCCTGCTGCTCGCTGGAGCTCTATAAGAGATGCGGTGGCTCGTGGTGGTGGTCGGATATATTGGGTCGTGAGGGGCAGGACGCCCAGCTCCTGCTCTAGTTTAAGTGCAATGGAGGCACGCATACGCATACGACGCTCGAGGTCGGCGCCGGCATGCAGTGGCAAGTGGGTCGGGATACCAAGAGCAGCTTGTCCAGCTTTACGCTTCTTGTCAAGACGACGTTGGTTACTGTTGGCTTTTTGACGGTGCATCTCACACAAGTTGTGGCGCTCGCCATTGCGCTTGATGGCACGGAGGTTCCAGCAGCGTTTGCTGGCGTAGCGGCATTTGAGCGCGCTAAATTCGTCGTCTGTTGTCTGCATGATTTGGTTTGAGAAAGAGGAGTCGGAACTTTGTGTGGAGGTGACAAATTGAAGAGTGAACAGTGGCCTCGAGCTACTACGAGCTAATCCAAGGCCTCTTCAACGTATAGCGGTAGTATCTTATTAGCTCGAGATGATTTCGCTGTGTCGACTTACAAGCGGAATGATGACTTACTAACAAATTTTCGACATTCAGCTTGCAAGACAAAGGTCGACTTTTGACTTAACGGAAGAGCGAGACGTCGCTTTTTGGTGGAGAGGAGACAGTAAAGATGATTTACGTTCGGCACTAGTGCGGCCTTCGCTGGCTGTACATGTAGCTCTGGACTGATGCAAGATAGTCTAGAAGATTTTCATGCCCTCCGGTATGCCATTCACTGTCAAATCGTCACACTTTATAGTAATAATGCTGTTGATGCAAGGCTTGTCCACAGCGTCATGGTGCTGAAAATAACGTTGGCGTTTTTGCTGTGCCAGGAGTTGTGCCTGATTTCTGTAGTTTGAATCAGTTCCGCGACCGTGGCGACTGATGTAAGTCGGTGCCACTGCGATTGGAAAGCGATTGCGAGCAACCTTTGCAGGATATGCGATCAACGCGACGTCTTGTCCTTGTTTTGAGGCTACGATAGTTTGCGTTTGCCGTCAAAGACAATAACAGTATCATCTGATCTTGCCCCCTAAATGTAACGGTAAAAGAGCAGTGAAGCGGCTGAATTCATATCCCGAGCAAGGAACAAACTGTCTCGGTGTACGGTGTACGTGAGACGACATTTGGTGTCTATACTAGCGCCACCACGAATTTATTAGTGTGCCTGTCCTCACGCTACGAAAGCTGTATATATGGTACAATAGACGAGCTTTTCTCAGCCAACGCACTGCACTGCTGTGCCGAATGCTGACGATATGCATGATACTTGGATATTATGAGATGACTTTCAAGTTCTGTTGCGTTTGTATGTTGTTGAGACAAGAGTTGAAGCGGATGGCCACTGAGCTGTTAGTCTCGTCTTCTTAGACCGCCGCCTATCGATTCTGCGATCGGTTCAGTAGCACATGACTTAGTACGCGTTTCGAATGTTGAGCAAGCCTAATGCATTCGATTATCACGGTGTTGCGTTCACGGTAATTTTGCTACTTCAGTACGTAACAAGCGCAATGTGCAATGCATCGGCTTTGTCCTGGCGCGTAGCTGCAGCCAGTTCACTCCTTCACACCGTAATCAAACTTGCAAAAGACTCGGCGATCTTATTAAATTGAAATAGTTGCAACCATGTTCAACAAAAAGTCCTGACGACGCATACCCATCGACTGATTACCCGTTACATCTACAAACTTTTTTCTATCTCAGCAAGCTAGGCTTTGCTGCTGATACATGTGGAGCTGGTATGACTTGTACTATACAAACGTGTCAGTCTGTCTCGACTCAACGCAACAATCAAATGTTTATATCATTCTGTATTGTTTTGGTGACAGTGTCTCACCATTAGGATCGGGTAAAAAATATACTTGACGAAGTTACAAGGGTGAGACCACAGCTACCGACCCGACTTCGTCTTTCGTCTGTGACATCGGCTTAAATTCTGGTGCGTGCAAAATGCAACACCACTCATCTCGGCAGTCATTGTGAGCACTTATTTCAGGGTTTGTGGCCCCAAACAGGTGAACTAGAGGCTCATCTGAGAGCTCGCTCAAAACACACTGATTCTTAGCTCAAGTTTAGGACGATACTGCTGCACTTACATGTTTGGTTGCTCTGATATAGAAAAGGGTTAGAAAGACCACAATACATGCCAGTAGCATCCTACTGTTTTATCAATCCTAATGATGAGACACTGTCACCAAAACAATACAGAATGATATAAACATTTGATTGTTGCGTTGAGTCGAGACAGACTGACACGTTTGTATAGTACAAGTCATACCAGCTCCACATGTATCAGCAGCAAAGCCTAGCTTGCTGAGATAGAAAAAAGTTTGTAGATGTAACGGGTAATCAGTCGATGGGTATGCGTCGTCAGGACTTTTTGTTGAACATGGTTGCAACTATTTCAATTTAATATGAGCGCAACAAGCACAGACTCGACTCGAGCCTTTTTGCAAGAGACTTTTGCAAGTCTGATCACGGTGTGAAGGAGTGAACTGGCTGCAGCTACGCGCCTGTTCCCTTTTGCCAATTTGTCTACAAGTTGTTTATTGGGGTGTCTTCCAAGGTACATACAAATGTCAACTGTGACTTGTTGTCAAAGAAATTGCGCGAGATGACGAAATGGTTTTCTTTAGATGTAATTTATATGCACTCACGACTTCATGATATATCGATGGCGACAACTTCCCAGCAAATTAAATTGGTTGCGGTCGGCGCCTACGTCCGTTCAGTGTTGTCACCAACGCGACTATACTGGCGCAAGGGCTGTTGCCTCTTCTAGTCGTGCACAAATGCAGTTGCAATCTGCGACTAATCAGACTGAATTTTAATGTCGCCTCGATTGGATGGCGCATATCAGCCGAACTGTGGGCATCTTCCGTATGCCCAAATATTCTGCGCTATCGTGGATGACAGACTCAATGGGTACACTTTCTGGTAGATGCGGCAGTGGGCCTGAGCGGAACCCGTAGTTCTCATAACCTGTTGTTGTCCACGCAGGAACCGCTGTACGGAGCCAGTATCGTATGGCCCTTGAAAGCACATTCCTCTTTACGTGGCAACTTGGATGTACGTCAAAAGTGTCCGACGCTACCCTCGTGCTATCCACAAGTTAGAGACAAAGTGCATCGCTTTAACGTAAGGCTTAAGCAATGGCACGTCGATCATACTATATCTTCCAAGCCCATGACCTTTTCCTACCTTCATTTTGAGCGTCAGCTGCATACGTAGTTTTTATAGGAGAGTTGTGGCTGTGCAACTGCATTTGCAACGTTTGAAACGGACTTGTTGCCATAAACGGACTTGTCGCCTCGATGGCACGCACAAGTTTCTAGCGAACAGTCTGCGCGAACGAGCTTTGCTTTATTGCATCGAACAGGAGGAAGCTTCGTCGAAGCAGCAACTAGATAAACTAGATCGTTGCTTATCATCGTATTTTCTTCCTTCGTGCGTTACTAACTGATGCGCTTGCTATCGCTTGCATCCATCTGTAACAACAAGCAGTACATTGCTAAGCTTGCCATTGACCTATCGAACGTTATCCACTATGTTGACACCAATGATATAGTACACGCCCTCGGCCTTTTATTAGTTAGCTTGTAACGACAAAGCATTAGTTGGCTTGTAATGACAAAGCATTACACATTTCTTACGCAGTGTCGATTGATTTTCGACTCCGTGCACAGCCTCTTCAACCTACTAGTATGGAGACCGCCTAGTGCAATGCCTTGGGAGATGGCGAGGATCCGTCTGCAGTAGACGACAACGGCGACTGCACACGTACGCCACTATCCGAGGGCTCCGATATCTGGCCTACTCGAGACTGTTCTCGCGTATTGCTGCTCCGGTAGGTACCCAATGCCATCTCTGTCTCACCAGGACAGTGCGAAAATGCAAAACCCGTGTTGCGGCGGACGAGTCGTGGCGAGTCCACCACAACGGCGGCGTCTTCGCCTTTGGCCAGGCGATTCCACTCGCGCATCAGGTGAGATGGCTCCGGACAAAATAAAACTCGCCCAGCCTTAGCGATGTAGTTGGGTAAGACGGCAATCACTACTGACAGCAGAAGACCAAGCCAAAACCACGCTTCGCGAACGAGTTGGTTTACTATACCAAAGCCAGCCTCTGTGTCGTAAAAATCAGTCTTGGTCCATCCGAATACAGCACAGAAGAATGCTGTAAACAAATAGTAAAATATTAGAGTACCAACAGTTGCAATAGCGTTTCGTCGTGTCCAGTTACTCGTCATGAGCGACACTTGCATCGTCGAAGCTGTGATCAGGTACGTGTACGATGCGACGCCGTTCGCCCAGAGGCCCAAATCGCGCTTGTCAAATTGGAGCTTCGACGAGTCACTCGAAAAGTACCAGACAATGGAACCGTTTGTGAAGAACGGCACCGCGTAAACCACATAAGCATGCCACGTGCCTAGCACGCACCAGCCAAAAAAAGACATCCAGTTAAATGATCGATTTTTTAGACCGTTCACGTACAACGTCGGGTATTGCATCAGCACTGCAGGAGACACATCCTGGTTGTACATGGCAATAAGTACAATAGGAATCGTCGTAAAGAGCGCATTGTATAGCGTGAAGAAGATGCTGAAATACATCAGCAAACCGCTGTACATTGTCTCCATCGCCAGAAAGAAGTTGGACATCGATAATGCCACATTTTTCATGAACGAAAATAAGATGAGCTTGGATATCCTCTTGTAGCTGTAGTTGCCGTGAACCAACAGCAGACGTTTCAAATACTGAAACTCAGCAATTGAGTAATCGCTGGAGAGAACAGCTTGACGGCCCTCTTTTCCACTGATACCGACACCCACGTTAGCGGCCTGAATCATCGGCACATCATTAGCACCGTCCCCAATGGCAAGCGTAATATTGCCTGGAGAGAACATGAGTGTGGGCTCCGTAACAAGCTTCACCACCGACGCTTTTTGAGCGGGTGAGCAGCGACAACAAATCACTGATTTGCACTGCGTAGCTACTGCCAGAAACAGGTACTTGATATCATCATCTAGCACCAGCGCAAGCGTTTTACCATCAATCACCATGGCAAACTCCAGCTCTTCATCAATGTAGTCTTCGCTGCTCATGCTATCAGTACCGCCTGTCGTTGCATCAGCTTTTGGCTCAAAGTTGTGATCACAAAGATCTCGGTCAAAGCTCTTCTCGGACACATCACGGTTTGGAAGGGCCGGATAAACCTCATTGTAGTGACCAGTGGTATCGATCGGTGCATCCACATCGGCATGTTCTCGGCGTGGAACGCGTCTTCTCTTCTTTCGAGCCTCTGCTTCTTCATTGCGCCCCACCAGAGCCATCTTCAGTAGATCCCACAAGTACATAATAGTTAGCATTAAAGCTTCCCACAGTACACTAACCGCCGACGAGGTTTCATCTGATCCCCACTTGTCTTCAACAAGGTCGACGTACAACTCCTCCAATTTTGTACGTAGTGATCCCTTGTCACGCTGCCCCAATACGATTACATCCATGTTATCATCAATCACGTGCGACGACATGCCAATGCTTAGCGCGGTTTCCTTTTTGTCGCCCGTGAGCACCCAGAACTTTATGCCTGCCTTGCGCAGCGCACAAATAGACTCCTCCACCCCGTCCTGCAATCGATCTTCAATGGCCGTCGCACCGAGCAATGTCAACTCAGTCTCAATAATAGCCGATATTTTGGCAATCTTAGCGGCACGTCCCTCCATCGAAAATTCCGCTTGGCGGTACAATTGATTCCATTGGTCATATTCCTCCTGCGTAAGGTGACGTACAGCTGTTGTTAAAGTTCGAAGACCCTCCGATGCATACTCCTGGAGATGACCACGCGTCACGTGCGCTACGCCCTGTGGCTGTGATTTTGACAGCAGATCAAAAATTATATCATCAGCGCCCTTGCAGTAAAGCACGATACTTCCATCGGGAAATCGCACAACTACCGACATGCGTTTTCGATCACTGTTAAACTCGAGCACATTCAGAATTTCAAACGACATGGGTTTGCCCTGAATGACAGCATGACACATTGGACCGTCACGCGAAGACAGCACATAACCGAGGTCAGCAGCAGCCAACACAAGTGCCTCCTCATCGGGAGAAGACGCATTGTATTTTATCGTTGGCGTTTGGGCAGAGCATGAGTCACTACTAGATGTGGGTGACAACAAAGCACTGGTCTCAGGAATCACAGTGTTGCAGATTGTCAGCAAGAGAAGAAAATCATGAATTTCCTTTTTTGTAGAGTGGTTTGAGTTCAAACGCGCCAGTAATCGACCGTCGCTGAACTTGGTGCCAGGTCTTCCTTGTTTCATTGTGTCTACCTCAATGTCATTGTAGCGCAGTCCCGCAATGGTACATTTTGCAAAGATCATTTCGTTACAAGTAAGTGTACCCGTTTTGTCAGAGAAAATATACTGGATCTGTCCAAGATCTTCGTTGATGTTGCTGTTGCGAACCTGTGCCGGTGTATCCGTCTTCTCGTCGTATATTTCCAGATCGTTTTCGATATAGCGTGCGTGAACAAAACGCACACCTTCCATCGTCACATACATCGATAGCGGAATCAAGTTGTTGAACAGGATCACGTAACTCAAAAAGATATAGCCGTTTGATTCTTCTTGAATGTACCACGGTGTCGAATCATCGGCCAGGTCCAAGTCCCAGTTGTTGTTGCCCAATGTACAAGCAATCGAAATTCCGAAAAGTAGCATCAAAACTAGCACAAACATCGTATCCAACGTCTTCTCCACAAAACTACGTTTAAGCGGCACAGCCACCGAGTTCATCTGAACTTTCGTTTCTTTGCCAGTGTAAATCACAAGTCCAAGCGTCCACTCGGCATTGCGGCTGTCACTACCACGTAAAACCAAGTTATCCATAGTAATACTCGTCTCCGTGTCCTCTTTCTCGGTGTCCGCAACAGTTTCACCCGCAATATTCTTGACCTTTAACACACCATCTAAGTAAAACAGATCCTTATTGGGCACATCACATTCCACCTCGAGCTCGTGACATTCTAAAATCTCTTCAGCAGTAACAAAATGCTTCGTGCAACTGGCTACCTGGCGAATCTTCAAATTCGTTTCGCCATCCAGGTTGGCTGTCTCCACGTAACACCGGCCATCAGGCCGACTTGTGGCTAGCAGGATGCAGTCCGCAGGAACCTGGTCGCCGTCTTTCAATAGCAAAATATCACCCACCTCGATGTCTTGCCAAGTGCCATCAATATGTTGCACCTTACCCGCCGTATCATAGCGAACGATGTGTGCCGGTCTTGAATTCACCATAGTATCTCCCTTTTGCCGGCGAAGATCTTCACTCACGTCCTTCAGCGCGGACGTCGCAAACACAATCAACAGTGGCGTTAAACTAGCTATGGGGCTCACTGGCGAAAAGTCGAAGAAACACAATGCCACCACGATGGTCGTGTACAAGTTCGCCAGTCGACTGAACTGCATCTTGAGAAAGACGAACAGGAAGTTGTAATATGTGTACTTGCTCGTAATGATGAGGTTGGAGCAGAAGACAGGTGCCTCTTCTTCAGCCTCTGCCTTCTTTCTTCGCTGCGCCTTGCTCTTCAAAGCATCCGGCAACTTCGACGAGAATCTCGACTCACTGCCTCGCAACTTGCTATTTAAAACGTCTGGACTTACAACAAATTTCCGACGTGCCGACGGTCCGACGTCCTCGTCCGTCTCCCCGGCCGACGGGTTGATAGACATTGTCTGGTGCAGTGAATTGCCCCGTGTGGGAGACGGCATCGCCGTGGCGAGAGCAGCGCGGTCGCATTCTCGCTGGTTCTGCACTGCCTTGACAATTCGTCGGAGCTTCCAGCCATACATGAAGCCCATAATATTAAGCATGGTCAACAAGATGGAAAAGAATCCCTGCATAAGCACGGAAGTACCGCTGCTGACACTATTGAGCTTGCCATTGTACCCCTTCGAGTACCAAATAACGTCCACAATCAGCGTGAGTTGCATGCCAATCTTGTAACTCAGCAAAAACTTGGGTACGAGAAACTTTGTGCCGTGCCAGCCCAGTACGATCGTAATGTAAAGAATGAGAACGGGCAGAGTGGCCTGAAAACTCAGACCCAAAATAATCGGGAAAATACGTAACGAATTAATGACAGTCTGCGATACAATCGTAAACTTGAGACGTTTTCGAGTCTGGTAGATAGTCATGCCTTTAAGAAAGCAAAAGACCTGCTCAAAGAGGTTCCAGATCTTGGTCTCGGCGTCAGGTTTGGTATCAGATGCAACTGAGTCGGCCATACTGTCATATTTGAAATTGTACGTGTCAAAATTAAATTATCAGTTTCAAAGATTTTCATTTTTGACAAGAAGAATAAAAAAAATCCTAGTTTAGGTATAAGCGAAGTAGTGTTAGGTGATGCGTACCTATCAGCTCGATACCGAAGCGAAATGATATTGCGCTGCTCTTCTTCATTCTGCATCCCATGAAGTGTGTGGCCTCGGCGCAAATTTTTGTGCACTTGCGACTGAGATGATGACGTCGGCTGTGTGGCCAGTCCTTGAACACCTTCCGTAGAAGAAGAGGGCGCCTGGCCGCTGCTCATATCCAACATGTAGTCCGTGGTACTTTCGGATGGCGAGGACACGGCGAATTCGACACGCATCTCGTCCCGTCGGTCAGTTAAGAAGAAATAACCGAGAGGAGCTGGAAGGAATATGAGAGCACTGAAGCGCTGTACCTATTAACAACTTTCCCTATCCCTTCTCACACGTCTTAATTCAGTAGTTCTTGAATTGTTGTTACAATGTGCACTGATTTGAGGTATTAATAGTTACTGTTTAATCTAACAACAATGGTTTCGGCAATTGGGCGACGAGATTATTGGCCACAATGTCCGTTGCGGATAAGAACGTTTTTCCCTCTGATTCGTCGCAGACACATTGTCCCAAAATGCATGCTTCGTACATATACCGGTATTTTAGAGAATAGAGTAAGGGAAGCGTGTTTTTTTGCAACTCGTGTAGTAGTATTGTAGCTTTATATTGAGCCTCTGATCTGCGACAGGCAGGAAACCTACCGAACTAATGGTGATCATTGTAGCGAGTGCTTCGAATTGGTGACAACAATGTATTGCGTCTGCCGAAACTCTAGAATTCTGTACAGCAGACATAACGACCTGACCGTTTTCTTGGTTCTGATTGATCACGAAAGTTTATCGTTGGCAACGTATGGTGGAAAGGGTTGATTAACGAAACCAGTTGTCGCGTGCCGGTAGCAAACAGGAAGCAGTAGTAGTGTAAGCAACAAGTTAATAGAAATCGCTCCAGCTCGCACCTTTTGCAACCCTGGACATTCTATTGTTGCTGTTCATTCTTCTGGTGCACTTCACACCGATTAGATAATACATACGCACGGCACTCGCCACCCCATCGCACATCCACTCGCTTGGCAAATCATACGTCAACGAGTACTCCTCACTGAGATCACCAATCGTTCGCGGCGGTGCCATCGCTATTTGGATGTTGTATTCTCGTAATCTTAGGCGTCCACCCGAGCATCAGCAACAGCCCGTGCCTGCGAGGCCATCATGCGGTTTACTGCGTTGACGTAGGCCGTTGCCGATGCCACCAGGATATCCGTGTTCGCACCGTGACCAACAAACTGGCGGTCACGCGTCACACCCGTCTGCGCATTCACGTGCTTTTCATCCTCTGTCTTCTCTTCCTCCTCCTTTTCCTCCTGCACCCGGACAGTCACCTCACCCAAAGCGTACGTGCCATCGGTCACACTGTCCACAGAAAAGTCGTTCAGCTTAATCCGATCCATGCCCGTAGCGCGCTTAATGGCAACGTAGATAGCGTCAATCGGACCGGATCCCATAGCAGCCTCGCTCACTTCCTGGCCGTCCTTGTACGCAAGCGTGACAGTAGCCGTGGGCTTGACCAGATTACCAGCCGTAACGTGTACGGACTGCAGCGTCCAAAAGGCTTCGGGCTTGAACAGCTCATCCGAGACAATCGCTTCCATGTCGGCGTCCGTAACCGTCTTCTTCTCGTCAGCCAGAATTTTGAACTTCTCCACGTAATAGTCAAGCTCCTCTGGCGTAAGACTGGTATAGCCAAGCTGCTGGAGACGCTTGCTATATGCATGGCGACCCGAGTGCTTTCCAAGCACCATCTTGTTCTCGCTCAGACCAACAGACTCCGGTAGCATGATCTCATAGGTAGCCTGGTGCTTCAACACACCATCTTGGTGAATGCCAGACTCGTGAGCAAAGGCGTTGGCTCCTACAATAGCCTTGTTAGGCTGAATAGACATGCCAGTGTAGTGACTCACCATGCGGCTGCAACGCGTGATCTGGGTCGAGTCGGCACTTGTGTACACCGGAAAATGCTGCGGGCGCGTCTTCAGAGCCATCACGAGCTCCTCCAAAGCCGTATTACCAGCACGCTCGCCAATACCATTTATCGTGACCTCCGCCTGACGTGCTCCACCTTGCACAGCAGCCAGTGTATTGGCCGTCGCCAGACCCAAGTCATTGTGACAGTGCGTAGAGAAGACAGCCTTGTCGCTTCCCTCCGTGTTATCAATCAAGTAGCGAAAGAGAGATCCGTACTCTCCAGGAACTGTGTATCCCACCGTGTCGGGGATGTTGAGGGTCGTAGCACCGGCCTTAATGACCTCCGCTAGTACCTCGCACAGAAAGTCGGGGTCGCTGCGTCCAGCGTCCTCCGTTGAGAACTGGACGTCTGAGGTCAAGCTCTTGGCAAACTTGACGGCGTCCACAGCGCGACGGATGCACTCGTCACGCGAGATCTTCAGTTTGTACTTGAGGTGGATGTCAGACGTGGCCAGGAACGTGTGAATGCGGTGCTTGGGCGCGTGTTTGACGGCATCATAACAGCGCTGGACGTCTTTCTCCATGGCACGCGCAAGGCCGCAGATAACCATGGGCTCGCCCGTGGCACGGTTCGCCGTGAGCGGACCAATCTCCTTAGCGATGGTCGACACGGCTTCAAAGTCACCAGGCGACGAGACAGGAAAGCCCGCTTCGCACACATCCACGCCCAAGACACTAAGGTTGCGCGCAATTTCAAGCTTCTCCTTAAGGTTGAGGGTGGCGCCGGGCGACTGCTCGCCGTCACGTAGCGTCGTGTCAAAGAGCACAAGACGATCTTTGCCGGATCCAGCGGTAGCAGCGGCATTGGACAAGGTCCGGCAAGCGTTGACCCTGGCGGTGGAGACCGAGCGCTTGACGATCATCTGCATCATGTTGGATAATTGGCTATTGGACAAGAAGTGCTGGACGCACGAGATCGAAGAATGAGCGGAGCCCGTTGGGTGGTATTTTGGCCAATGCAAAAGAGGGTGTAAATACTGCGTAAAAAGGTTGGTTAGGATGTAAAATTCTTGTGGAGCGAAAATCTTGGTGGAAACAGACTATCTATTTACCGTTTATGGTTTACAAGATTTCTGAAAAGTCCTCAGCCATTCCAGTACCCCCGGAGTTGTCTCCTGGCGGTTACGTGGGCTATGCAGTACCGGCTGCCGGATGTTGATGGTGTATTGGAACATTTCCGTTGCTAGGCGAAGGTAGACGCCTTTGCTCACATCTTTATCCCTTCGTTGTTCCCTGATAGCGACCGCTCGGAGTTGGCGAAGAAGGACTTGTTTGACTTCCGCTACCTCTTGCTCCGTGGACGCACTTTCCTGCTTATGAATACTTCTGTTTCGCTGAATCCAGAGCATGGTCACGCATACGGAGCACGCGTGGAGCGAACATCTTTGATGAAGCACTTTGCCCATGGGTTGATTTTTGTAGCATCGTTTATACCGTCGACCCAATTCACAAATAATTAGCGCTAGCAGTCTTGCTGACTTGGCTTCTCGATCAATCCCCACGAATGTCATCATCCGCTCCCCAAATTGACAAAAAGTGTAGCTGACAGTTAATGATGCAACGGAGAGCGAAATGAAAAACGCATATGCAAAGTCTGCGGCCACATATGTAGAACAGGCTTTATGATTTCATCGAATAACTCATCGTCACCGCTTGCTACTGCCTGGGATTATCAGATGCAGCACTGGGATTGGATAAAGTCTCATGAGTGTTCGTGATAGTGTCAGGTCAGTCAGTATAACCTGCTTATCAGTGTTGGTAAGTGGCTCCTCAAGTCGTGTTGTCTCTAATGGTTCTGACCTCAGACCGAATACGACCAAAATTCTTGATAAATATGTCTACTGTTTTGGGCATGCCCTGCCCGTGACTTGGCCTTACAGTTAGTTATCTTGTCGTGCCTTTCGTATTCAGCGAATAGACACCATCTTCATGATATTTTGTACATATCAACGACGGTGCTGTCGTACACGCAGATTATCTTGTCAGCTAAAGTCCAGAAAGTCTCGACAGGAATAAGTCGGAACGTGTCAACGTCAGCTGGAAGCGGCACAGCCTTGTCAAGTTACCAAAGCTTGACGATGTGGAAGATTTGTTTCTATCTTGTCTCGTACAAGTGGTGGAACATCAAAGGAAAAGATGCATCTTGATACTGGAGAGCCGTAAATATCGAGCTACTCCACCTCAGATGATGTAAATGCGCGCCGCTCATCATTGGCCTCGTCACTTTTAGCAATTTCACTCAAAATGGTCTCTTCGCTTAAATTCTGCTTCAACATATGACATACCATAGTCTACATATGCTCTTCAGAAGTTTTCCATTACATTTACCATTAAAAATGTCGTCTCCACGACTTCAGCATCGTGCCAGCAGCAGCGCAAATTTGCAAGGTGACTTCCGTGTGGAGGTTTTGGGTAGCCAAGAGTCGCTAGATCTTGACTGTGGCAAGTTTTACACGGTCAGTGAACTTTTATGCGATCTCTAAAGATTCCATCGCTTTAATGCTCACTTTTTTTCGCTTTTAGGAATACATTCTGCGTTGCTCGTGGATTAAATGCAATGGAACACCAGAGGTTAAACTGCAACAAGTAGCATGAAGCCGACAATATGTAAAAGTAGCTAATTTGAATGAAATGGTGTTGCAGATTTGGGACGTCGTCCGTCGCTATCGTGAATTCTGCGCAATCGACATATTGGTATCAAAGGAGTATTTGATTGATTCAATCAAGACACCATGTGGTGTCCAGGCCAAGTAACTAACGTATGTAATGTTGGGTTGTGAATATAAAGTTGCGCGAGAAGTATCCGTCGCGTGCACCGATGTTCCCGTACTTGCCAAGTAAGAAATACATTGGCTCGTCATTATCAGCTGACTTTGTGGACAAGCGACAGCGTGATCTTGGCTATTATATAATGTCCATTCTACATAGCTGTCCATTGGTATGGATCACGTGCTACAATCTTTATTGTTGTGTCTTACTGATATGATAGTGTGACGTTACGCCTGGCAGCTCGTGCAAGATGAAATTATCGACTCTTTTCTAGACATTAAGCGACACATTCTCGAACGCGCGCGAGAAGAAGAATGCAGCGATAGTCGCTCTGTCTCTACTCCCACGCACACAATGAGCAACTTTGGGGGCGTTAGTCCCTTGCGTAATCATTGAATAACATTTCTATCGCTTACTTTCAATGTTGAAACTAGCGTTCCGTCTTTTCCCAGCGAGAATGAACTCGACATACAAATTTTTAGATAATCCTCGATATCCTCTCTAATCCAATCATGACCATCACTCTGCACGAAGATTTCGTGGCTGCACGAGCACACAGCGCGCACTGGACCGGCTTAAACGTGGCGTAGCGCGTACAAGTTCGAGGGAAGCGATCGTTACACGAGCAGACGGCGTCAAGTGACAGTAGACATCGCTACAAAGCCACCCGCTACTCAAGGAGGAGTCAGACAGAGAAGATGGCGCTAGCAGACATCATGTCAGTGGAGAGAAGTGCCAAATATATGGCATCTAGCAGCTCCTCAAGTCTTTCATCGGATTCAGATGATCTTGTCTCGTCTTCAAGCTCGTCGTCCATTTCTTCGGCTTCTTCTGCTTCGGAGTCGGACTCAGATACTCTGCGAGCTTCTGGGAAGAAGAAAAAGGGGATTAGAAAACGTCCAGGAAAGGCAGTGGGTGCAGAACTTTCGGACTATGAGAACGACGCATACTTGGACAATGAGGGAAAGAAGAAGAAGAAGAAGAAAATTTCAGCGCAATGGTCTCCGACCAAGAGGAATGGGAAAACGAAGAAGAAGATGGAGAAAACGGGGTCTGTAGTAGCACTCCCACCGCCTCCTCCTCCACCCTTGCCGCCTCCTCTTAACAATGCATCCAGGTACAGCTCACGCAGTGACAATTCTAGCTCAGGCTCGTCGGACTTGGAGATGGGTCCCCCGCCTCCACCTCCTGATAGTGCTGATACTATTGCTACTGCTGTACCTGTGGTTACATCAACTACGAGACCGTCAAAACGGAGAGCTGCAGCGTTAAAGAGAGGTTCTGACGTAAAACCTTCGTCATTGAAGGTTACACTGAAGCTCCCGCCTGGATTTATTGCGAAGAATAGCGGCGCAGGGATGCCTGTTACTAATCGACCGAAGGACAATTTACAGGTGTCAGATCTAGCAAAAAGGACGCGAACTTCGACCACTCCAATGAAGAAAGCAACACCCGCTATAGATTTAAGACTTACAAAGATGAAGGAGCCTGCAAGCCGTGAACAGTATGTTGCTGCTGGAAAGGATGCAGTACCGGCGGACCAAAAAAATGGTACGCCGCCTGCGAATTTGCCCGCTCCGGGCAGCCATTCCATTTTATCAAAATTGATTCCAACGGGGCTTACTGTGCCTGCAGGTGAAATTCGAGGTGCAAGAGAACTATCACTCGTGGACCCTGTCCATATTGGCAGTAATGCCGAAGAAACGATTGAGTCGAACATCCCTGCTCATTTCAATGACCCATGCGCACAGGAAGGTGACGTACTGCGCCTTTTGGACATGTTCTTCTTTTGCGATGAGAATGGGTACGTAATAACACGTTTTTGTTGTTGCAAAGGATGTACAAACCTTGTTGACTTACCTGTCGTTTTGTCACAGCAAAGCAATTAGTCTCGAGATTTTAGACTGTCCACGCGACCAGCGTCCGAAAATAATGGGGTTTGGTACAGTTGTACAGCACTTGCCAGTGGCGGAACGTCCCCTCCCGATCAAGCCAATTCTCGCATCCCCTGCCTTTCCTTCACGCTCCAAGAAACGCCCTCGTGCCGATTCTATTTCGTTTAGCCCTGCAAAGTTTCCAGCGTCAAAGTTAAGAGCGAGACCTAGAGGTAAATTGCCTGCACCACAGATTTTTACCTTGTACTTATTTGCTCTAACTCACATTTGTTTACGAAACTTTAACAGCTGACAGCAAACGGGTAAAGATGAGTAATGCAATGATTTATCAAGGTGATGGTGAATTTGAAGAGAACGAGAACAAACCGTCTTACATGGAAGGACGTGGTATTTTTGATCAGTCGAGCATATACGATCTTCTCAGTTCATTTTGCCAAAGTCGACTATCTCAAAGGGATGGCCAGTCCGATAGTAGTGGCAGTAACTTGAGTTCCGATGACGATGATATTCGTTCAGGCCGAACTGAATCTCGTGCAGGTTCTGATAATGATAGCGATCTCCTCTCGTCCGCCGCTAGTAGCGCAAGTGGAAGTGACAACGATATGGATTCTGGAAGTTCTTCCTTCTCAGGCGGGTGTGGTGCTAAAAGTGGAGCAAAGGCGGCAACGATGAGCCGGCGCTTACCAACTACGAGCGTGAGGACCGTTTTGGCTGAGCACTTGCCTCAAAACTTTGCGGAATCGAAAAGGCCTTCAGCTGCCAAAGTGCGAAATCTACCGAGCACCCGAGTGGATTCGAGAAATGCTGGTTTGCCTTCTGATGTAATCGAACTTATGCGAACCGACCAATCCGTTGAAGTAGCTGCAAAGGGTACTTCGGACGAGCTCAACTTGATGGAGTGCGGTTTCCGTCATCCACAGAACTATGCACGTGCTCGTGTTTGGCTTCCTGAAATTACGGATTGGTGCCTCGATTACGCTGAGGGGGACCCAACATTGTGGGTTGTCACTCCTCACGCCTGGTACAAGATTGCAGGACCGTTATCAGGAATGCTGCCACATGCGTCATATCGACAGGTTTTCAAGCACGTCCGTCACCTGTTTGAAGCCAGCTATCTTGTGGCGTACGTTCTCAAGGAGTGGTTGCCGATTAACAAAAAGGTGTCCTATCGGGCTACTCTGCAACAGATTATCGAAATATCTCTACAGGGAAGATATCGTGTGGTAGGCTGCTGTGCTTGGCATGCATGTAGGAGGTGTGAGCGCCTTGGCTTGTTATCTAACATCTGTGATGCTGAAAACGTATGTGTGTGCAGTCTGCCTGGTTTCTCGTGAAGAACTACCCTTTCATCCGGGCCCAGGTTTCGAACCTGTTCCCGGACAACGATACGTATCTCGAGTCAATGTTTTTTAAGCAGCTGCATCGTCTACACGAAAATTACACGTTGCGTGTAGCGAGACACAAAAAAGAAATGGCCGAGCGGGAAGTTCGTCGTACGAAACGAGAAAATGAGCGGCTTCAAAGGAAGCAACAGGTTGAGGATGCGCGACAACGTTTAAAAGATGAACGTGACGAAGAGCGAAAGCAGAAAGAGCAAGAGCATAAGTATCCAGTGGAAGATTTGCGACTTCTGGAAGGAGATTCGGTCAATACGAATAGCCTACCGTTGAACTGCTCAAATTTGAAGGGCATTGAAGGTCCAATGCTGGGTGAGGTCATCATGGCGTGGCAAACTATTTGCACATTCAAGGATTTTCTAGGGCTTGAATCGATCTCGTTGGAGTCTGTCGTGGAATGCATAACGACTTCTTCCGATGAAGGAACAGACGTTGGTTTGGCTCGAATCTTCATGGCGTTTTTGCAAGTCATCCTATCGGAGAAGTCATTTATGTCACTACTGGATGATCTCGTCGTTGAAGGTAATATCAAGGTATCTGATCTGTTCGTGAACAGCGAGAAGACCTACGGAACTTGCGAGCGGGCCTACGATGACATTTTAAACGCAGTTACGTGGCCAGAAATTCTCCGCCAACTGATGTCGAAGGATCTTGGCATTGACCCGTCCATTGGACACGTGGATCCTTTAGTTGGTTGTGAGATCGTTCGGCAAACACTCTACATGCAAAATAACTCCGCCCCGTTTAACTCTCCTGTTGACATGACTGCAAAGGGTTTGGAGGATTACCCGCTTCTTGTAAAAAAACCAATGGATCTTGGAACAATTAAAATGAAGATTGATTCGGGAGGCTACGAGGAGCCTCGCGGGTACGAAACGTTTGCCAAAGATATCCGATTGGTGTGGGATAACGCTGTATTATATAATGGTGAGGAATCGGAGGTGGGCCGTGCTGCTTCAGCTTTGTCTGATTTGTTTGAACAATATTACGAGAGGCTTGTCATTGGGCGCATTCGTGCAAATCAAAGCCGGATGGCAGGGTGCGCAAAGGTAAAAGAAATGCTTCAAGATTCGTCCGCAAAAGAGCTAAAGTCATACCGATACTCTGATGTTGCTTATGGTCTGTACTGCTCCGAGTTCCATGAGCTTCCTATAGCGTACAAAATTGGTGCACTCTCGTGGATTTGCTCGGAATTCCTGACGCTGTCTAGCATTCGGACGTACATTGCGTCTCAAGTAGAGCAGGAAATGCAGGTTTATCGAAAATATAGGAATCGCGCAGCCGACTTGGACTCACGGAGGAAGCACGCAGACAGAATGCGACGCGAAAGAGAGAACGCTTTTAGAAGAGATTGTGCCAACCAAGGTATCCATCCTAATTCACACAACGTTTTCTCGGAGGGCATTAAGCGCCGGCACGCATTCATTGGAAAGTTCTTTGAGGACATTCAGGCTGAGAAAATCGAGGACGAGAAAAAATGGGAGCAAGAGAAAAAGGTCCAGGCGGAGGAAATGGCGATCGAGTCAAGCTCAATCGTTATTCGTGAGTCTCCTCTGGGAAAAGATAGGTACCACAACTCGTACTACATGTTCAAGAATGACACGAAGTCGCGATTGTTTATCGAACGTGGCGATTCCGGAGATTTTGTCGTTTGCAGTAGTAAAGGCCAGCTTGTGGAAATTTTGGAGTGGTTAAATCCTAAAGGTGTTCGGGAGCTAGGCTTGTTAACAAAGCTGCAAGACGTAAGAGACAAACTAATGAATGCTTTTGATGAGGAGCAAAGCACCAATATGGAGATCGTATGGAACAGCAAGGGCGCTATCGAGCTTCAGATGTTTCCTCTTCGTGGCGGTGCGATGAAAGGCGAAAGTATGATAATTACGGATACAGACAGGGTCATTAAGTCACACGATGTCGCCCGGAAGATGCTGCTATGCCTCAAACAACACTTAGCAAATACGAACACGTTGTCTTCTTCGTGGAAAGGAGCAGAGACATGGAGCAGCCAAGTGGAAGAGACCAAATCATTCAAGGAGCAACTTGATTTGTTTGCTGAATTGGAGAGTGCCGCGGTGGCAGCTTTAAAATCGGGTGTGGAGACAATCCGACCTTCATGGCAGCGGAAGCGACATGAGTGGCGACTGGCTTTGAAGGGTTCTTGTACATACGCACAGTTGGTGCTCCTGCTTCACTTGCTGCTGGAAGAGTTTATCAACGTGGAGGCTTTCCTTGATCTATATATCCGCTTGGATCGACAGGAATGGCTTAAATTGCGACCAAAAGACACTCAAAATTTTATCCCTGAGGTAGGAATGTCTGTTGTATACTTTGGGGATGGCCACGCTCTAGCACTGAAAGAGGATGAAAAGTCCAAGAGAAAGCGCTTTACACAGAAGAGCGATACTCCTGTTCGGAATGCAACAGTAATCTGCACGGTGGAGAAGGTATCATATCACCATGGTGGAGGTGACCCCTACGCATTGGCTGTGTTACAACCGATTCCGGATATGGCACAGCACGAAAGCATTCGCAAGCCGGGCACTCATCTATGCCCCCTGCCATCACGAGAGCAGAGACTAGCAAGAGTATTCTTACGTATTCTGGCTAAGTTAAAGACACTTGCCGATGCTGGCCCATTTCTGGAACCTGTATCAGCTCAAGAGTTTCCGCAATACAAAGAGGTTATCTTGCATCCGATGGATCTCGGAACAATGACGGAAAAGGCTAGCTCGCTGGGGTACAATAATGCAGCCGAATTTATGTCTGATCTGAGGCTCGTGCGGGACAATTGTCAGCTCTTTTGCGAAGGCCGCTTTCCAACACTTCCGCCATTAGCCCACAACTTAGTAAACGTCGCGGACGGACAGATCAAGAAGTGGGGCAAAGAAATTCGTGCATGCGAAGGCACCAGTAACGAGCCGTCACATGTGAGCAAAGCTACTATGTCTTTGTCATCCCTAGAGAATAAGAGCGTATGGACGAGTCATGATAAGTCGGAACTTGAGAATTGGGAGCTGCCAACGCGTTCAATTGTGACTATCTTGCGGCTTGAAAACCGATTGCCCGAGTATATTGTGCATGCTAGTCGATATTCGTGGGCTGTGAACCGTACGTGGCATTGTGGAGAAAAGTTTCGTATGATGTTCCGCAACCCGCAAGGCCAACCAGGCGAGTACTATGGAGGCGTGACTGCAGGATCTTTGCCGTTCGACACGCATGGTATGCTGCCATGGGAATCACTACGCATAACGTGGGATGAAGACGACGGATCAGACGACAATTGCATTAATCCGTGGTACGTGATGAACGTGAGGTGTTTGAAACGAAACAGGGCTCGTTTTTTACTTGTTTCTTGTTTTTTGTAAATAGGGAAGCAGAATTTCCACTCAAGGATGAGAAACAAGCGTAAATAGAGAATGCAGATAACCTAGCTCCGCGTGCATTTTGCACGCATGTGTTCATGCGCAAACACATTAATCCCGAGATAATGTGTCGTCGAATCCAACACGATGGTTGAGCCGGTTGCTGCATGGTTTCTTACTTCTAGCTCTTCTGGTACAGATTTTGATTGAGGAACTCACATATATCACTTTACAGGTTTGGTCGTGCGTGTAAGGAAGCATCGCTTGCTCAACGATTCTCCCGTTCTTGCTTCCGAAACTATCACTTCCAGCATAGGACCAACCTATACTCTATACTTTGGACTTCACAGAATCTCACGGTCGACAGTCTTCCCTGGATCGGCTAATATGTGTCACAAGATGTGGGTGGTGCGATCTGCTAGGAAACATACAGCTATGTTGTCATTCTGCAACGAGCAGCACAACAGAAGCAAACAATCTGTGACGGAGCACATCCGTCGCACGGATAACCATATTGCTTTTTCCACCTACCCGCAAAATGGCGCTTCACATTTGTCTACTAACTTACCTGCCGGACCTCTATTTCTTGTGCTGTTTCTTATTGCTTTTTTTCTTCTTTAATGTACTTGCTCCGTTTGCCGTACCAACTTTCGAGCCTCTAGACCCGTTTGCAGCTAGCTCAGCCTCCTCGGCCGCTATCAGTGCCGCCGCAGCAATGTCCTCAGGCTTACTGGTGAATTCGTCATCGGTACTATCTGCCTCGTACGCGTCATGCATACCATTACGGGGTCGGGCTGGCAAATTCATCTTGCCTCTTTTCTTTTTCTTCCGTTTCTTGTTACCATCCATTGCATCATCTTCTGGCCACGCGACATCATCCATGAAACCTAATGAGCGCGCAAACTCAGATCCATGATCAATTCCAGCATCCTGCTCTTCGTTCAGCATTTGCCATGAACCCTTCTGATAACCAGGGCGGACGGCTTGGGGAACCGTAAATCCAAGACCATTTACGCAAAGCGAATTAGTTCGGTCGCGCAATTCCTTCTCAAACCCACGCCATGTCGTGTGCGACTGCAAAAAATTGCGCAAAAACGCATCAGGCGACTGTGAGGCTGCTTGTAGACGAATGGCATTGCAGATTTGCAGAATGTAACCCTTGTTGCTGGTAACGTCGCCATCTGCACGGTAATGTTCCACCAATAACGTGGCCAGCCTAAGCTTCTTCACGAGCACCTTTAGTGCCTGCTGGTTGTCCGTGCGCAGTGCAATAAATACAAGCTGATAGAAAGCTGCGTGATACAGATTGTTGTGAGAATACTCGAAGAACCATGTGACCAGTACGCGCCATACATTTACATCAAAGTGTTCACTCATCAAACGCGGGTTGTGTGCCATGACTTCCACCAGTGTCTCCACAAGCATAAGACGCAATTCCGTAAAAGGAACCTTCACCACATATGCCGTGTGACGAACTGCACCCTCCGGCAGTGGCTTTCCAGACGCTTCATTTGGCATCTCGATATTCTGCTGACTCACATACTTCTGAATGAGGTATTTCAAAAGTTCGCCAAGGTGTTGTTCCACAAGCTCATATATTTTTTCGCGCAGAGGTCCCAGCTGATTTGGAACTAGATTCACGATCGTAGCACCAAAAGACTGGTACGGACTCGTCGGCGGTCCTTGCACTTTTTCCAACGTGCTCTTCTGCAGCAATCGAAACACGCACTTCATTGCAGCAGTGCGTTGTCCCACCGATCTCTGCATTGTCTTTTTGCTATCCTCCAATTCAACCGCTGCTCGAATCAATCCCTCTAACAACTCTGGACAGTAGGCAGCTGGCTGCAACAGCAACTGCCCATTCTCGTCCGCCGCAAGTCGGTCCAGCAGTTCCACAAAGACGTCTGCGGCTCCAACTGTATGGGTCTCTCCATACTCGGTACTACAGACATGGTTTGCCAAAACTAATAGCACCTTCCACTCGGATAACGCCCGGAAGAACGCCCATTTTTTTGGCGGTGTCGAAGTGTAAAATCTCATGGCCGCAGCACTGTGAGGTTTGCATACCAGTGTTAAGAACAGCTCGGCTACGGGAGCATGCTCCAGATACGGCAGCATGGCTCCCATATATCTCGCTACGGTTGAGGCATCTTTGCCCAGCACGTCGTACACGTCGTCCAGATAGAAGCGTAACAGCTGATCGATGACCCGACAGGCATGCCGCAAATTTCCTTTAGCGTCACACTGGAATACGCGGAACAGACATCGCGTCAGTAGCTTGCTCTTGTCCCCGAGGAACGTGAGTAGCGCCTCGGCCGTATCGTCGTTCGTCAACAGCATCGTCGCACGATAAGACGTCACGAGCTCTTCAGTCACATTGTCCTGCGTCTCGTCTTCACGACGGTTGGCGACATCTTCAGTAGTCGCCACTTTTGCAGCATCAGGGCCGTCCGGGAGTGTCTGCTCACTGTCGGAATCCACACGCGCAACGAACGTGACAAAGTGCGCGAGCAACGCGTCGTTGCTTAATGCAGAGACTAATGATGCCGTCACCACTGGATTATCTTTAGCAAGTATATTACATACAAGTTCGTCAGGAGAAGACGTGGCGGATACTGACGAGTCTCGACGTGATACCGTCACTTCAATCATTGCGACAGTATAAAATTGCGTCCGTCAGGGGGTTATGGCGACTATAAATGGTTCGTTGTTGGCGAGTGTAAGTAGGGGAGGGGTAGGTCACCGTGAACATGTGGCATTGTAGATTATCAATAGCTTTAAAGAGTCAGTTTTTAGAACAGTAAAGCCTTTTTTAACAAAAGCTGCTATCGATCGTATACATTTCACACTAGATGCTGACGGCACGCAGTACCCGACGGTTCCTCCTGAACACAAAATTAGGCCTTTATTAGCTAATTGGTAAAGAATAGACTTTTGTGGCGTAATAACAAAGTTATCGACCAATTGTTACTGGACAGCGACGGTGGTCATTCAATGACCAAGACTACTGTCAAGTATATCCTATTTCGTCCTGTTACTAGCTAGAAATAGTGCGATGCAGTATTATCGCAAGCTACACTCAGAAGACCGACAAGTGTCTTTTGCATCAAGCATAGCTAGAATCGCGTTTTGGAAGTGAGGACGACACTTTCGACTTCTGCTTCAAGCAAGATGATGGTGAGAATGTTCCATGCACAAATTACAGATTTAAAGCAAATGCTTATATATCCGACTACATGTTTGCGAGAAGCGATTTAAAAATAGTAGGACATCGCAGGGCAAGACACAGCTAAAGCAGCTATTGGAGCAGCAGCCACGACACACGACCTCTTTTTATTTATACATATAGAGAGTAATCGAACCGCTACATCCTACGCTCTTGCCACAAAGCTGCTTAGTTATAGGGGAGAGGTAGCATCGGGGCACGTAACAGACTTAGGTCCTTGGAAGGGCGGTGGATTGAAGATTTGCCGTGAAGAAGTCGATGTTTGTGTGACAATTTAATTGTCTGCTACTTTTAAGCTCGTTTGCAAAACCTGTCATCGTGAAATGCGAATACAATTAGAGAGCATAGTAACCAAAGTTTGTTGCTTAAAAAAGGCACATTAAACTTCTTCCCCCGACTTATATTACAAATGAGATGATTTTCGTGTCCTGGTTATTGTATCGTCCAGCCAAAATACTCAGTTAAAGTATAGTGGCATGAAAAAAACGTGATAAGCATGGAAAGGGGTTTGGAAAAATCATGGAAAAGCGACGTAAAAATTTCGAAGCAGCCATTATCCAATTTGACTTACAGCGCTCAACCCGATTCAAACTCGTTTCGTCACGATGGCCGCCCCCGAACACAAGATGAAGTATCGCTACCTTGGCAACTCGGGTTTGCTGGTGTCGCGCCTGTCGTTCGGTAGCTGGGTGACTTTCAATACGCAGCTCGACTTTGAAAAGGCTTACAGCATCATGGAGCATGCCTACAAGCAAGGCATTAACTTTTTCGACAACGCCGAGACGTACGCTAACGGTCAGTCGGAAACGATCATGGGCAAGGTGGTGAAAGCCGGTGTCGAGCGTAAGCTCTGGTCGCGTGAGGACCTTGTGATCAGCACCAAGCTCTTTTTCGGATACAAGGGCGGCCCCAACGACATGGGCAACAGTCGCAAGCACCTTGTCGAAGGCATGAAGGCGTCGCTGAAGCGCTTCGGTATGGACTACGTTGACCTGGTCTTCTGTCACCGCCCGGACCCCTTCACGCCCATGGAGGAAACTGTGCGTGCCATGAACTTTCTTATTGAGCAGGGCTGGGCCTTCTATTGGGGCACTAGCGAGTGGCGTGCCCAGGATATCATCGAGGCCTGCGAGATCGCCGATCGACTCGGTCTGATCCGCCCCATTTTTGAGCAGCCGCAGTACAACATCTTGAAGCGCTCGCGTGTTGAGTTCAACTTTGATATACTGTACAAGAAGTACAACTACGGTCTCACTACGTGGTCACCGCTGGCGTCAGGCATCCTTACAGGCAAGTATAGCAAGGGCATCCCGGAGGGATCGCGTTTGTCGATGCCGGCATACAAGAGCATGCTGTCGAATGGTTTAAAGGAGAAGGCTGCTAAGGCTGACAAGCTCGCTGAGGTGGCCAAGGAGGTGGGCTGCTCGTTAGCGCAGCTGTCGATTGCCTGGGTGGCGGCCAACCCACACGTGTCCACGGTAATTCTTGGTGCTACCAGTATCGAGCAGCTGGATGAGAACCTGAAAGCGATGGAGTTTGTGGACAAGATCACGCCAGAGATTCGCGAGAAGATTGACGCTATTGCCGACGTCCGGCCTAAGCTTGACCTTCCAATTGAGCCTTACGTGATCAAACTGCGCCAGAAGTGGCTATAAGCGTCGTAATGTCGGGAGGTGTAGTCCTGAGCTTAGCTGAGTTTTAGCTGGAGCTAGAGACTGCAATTTGTTGCTTCAAGTTGATGTCTGAATATATGAAGCTCGAGCAATTTTTCTCAACTAAGTGATACATGTTGTGGTAATTATGATGTTCTTATGATCGAGAAGCTATCGGAATCAACGAAGTTGTATGAAAATGAATCCTTTGACTACGAACGAGCACGCGTGATCTTAGCTTAGCCGGACAGTCTCGAGAGCATCACCGTCCCGTACAATCACCGGACTCGATCGAGCACCGGCTTATGTATGTATGTATGTATGTATGTATGTATGTATGTATGTATGTATGTATGTATGTATGTATGTATGTGTGTATGTATGTATGTATGTATGTATGTATGTATGTATATATGTATGTATGTAAGCGTGTTACACGAGCCGGCTTGCCGCCAAAGTGGCTCAACTTCTGCATGCGTCGGGTTATCTCTCATTCTCTACATTTTTCTCTACTCTCGCCAGGGTCCATTGAGCGATGCGGCTATAAGCGCCACGCTGAAGGTCTTCCAGGCTGCACGATCCTGTGCACAAAGGTGAAGGAGGTACAGGTCTGAAGCCAGTCGACGACGGTGTCTAGCGGTAGATTTCTTGCTTACATCCCTTGGATGTCTGTCTATCTTGTAACGAAGCGAGCCCGTTACATATTATTGGCACTAATAATATGTGTCAATAAAAAAATTATTATAATTTTTTGGAATATTTTAAATTTCAATACAATAAAGCGGCAATTGGTTGATTCATTTAGTCACTCCTACGGGAATGCGCCATTCAATGCCACGTAAAGGAAGTCGCTGCAATAGCCACATGAGTATGCCCATCTAGCGACCACTCAGAAGCCGCGAAATCAAAGAATATCTGGATACCGCAAGCGAAATCCTCGATCGTTAGCTCAGGTTGCGCCATGGTCAGCCCATCGAATTAGCTCAACCTGCGAGGCTAAATTGGAAGTTCTGTATAAGTATTTTTCCAAGCTCAAAATATACCCTTTTCCCACGTTTCCTACATCCAAGGCACCGACTCCTGATTCACTGTGGACACCCAGGCGGGTCACTTCGGCACAAATTCCCACGCTTTATGATCAGGAACCGTGGAAAAATCTCGAGATGTTAGTTGCCTCGGTATCGTTTCCAATGACTGGGTGGTTTGACAAGTTGATAATCCGTTATCTCGATTTTGAAGATCGGCATCAGCAGGCGCTATGGAAATTGACCCATCCGTTGTATCTGTCGAAAGAACAGCGAGAAAGCAATCAAAAATTAGCGAAGTTTTACAGGGAGCGTAAACAGCGTCGATCGCGATCTACAGCCGGTTAAAAAGACGATGCTTCGACTCATTCTTCAGGGAATGATCATGGAGCCCTTGCGATTCAGATATCCTGTTGTACCCTCTTTTTCTCCATTTCCCTCCACCCTTATAAATGCCAGTGTGGCATCCCGGTTTGGATTGCAAACAGAATAACATTCCCAACCTGATTACCGCACTGTCGTTATTGCACTCTGCAGAGACTTGGCGATACCTATATCGATCGTCAATCGCTGATGACCCCGGATCATCCCTCGCCCGCTTATCCAGCAAGTTTTTTCCAAATAGTATTCGTGATCTGATAGCATTTCGTGATGGTTCAATACAATTTCATTTTGTTTCTCTATTTCTTTAATCACCTCCGAAATTGTCTTCTTTTCTTGGACTTTCAGCCGCAATCCAATTTTTTAGAGCCTCGATCGCTATTCTCATTATACACAACAAAAAAATCCACCACTCTATGCAACCTCCTTGCATGTTGTACCACTCCCAACACCCGATCTTCATAGTCACCAGAAGCTTCTTCATGCGACTGCATCACTTCAAAACGATTTCGTCTAATTATGCCATGCTCAAAATCTGGTAATAATGCACCACAATCTAAGTCGGCTTCATTCTGTAACAGGGCATCTAGTTACACGTAAACATTAAGTGATATACTTAATGTTTGGTCTAAAAGTATCCATGATTACTTTTGACCTGTCACTTGGGTGCGATACACAAATCTGATCCACCCCCGTGAATGTGATATCCATTGATGGATTCACATGAGAAGGGATGACGCTAGTTGAAGCAAGGCATCTCGACGTCCCAGAAGGACGTCATTAACGAGCTTAAATCTACATTTAAGCTCATGCGTCAGGATACGCTTCTAAAAGAGTCGCGTATCCGATCTTTACATGATTAGCCAATCAGTAGTTAAGTTTTATATTTAATTATAATTCATTAAATAAAGCTCAGTCTTGAATTTACTAAACGTAAGCACCACGCACGAGAAGCTGAAAAAGCTTCTACGTGACGTCGGTGCCTTCTTGTTTTAGAAGTTCGTTGTACTCTCGCTTAAGCGAGAGGCAACTGGTGGTACGACTGCTTAAGCAGTCGACCAACCACACATCCACCCTCTCACGCAAAGGTGAGACGGTCTAACCGCTTCCTCGCTTGTGCTGAAGGTAGCACGAGGAAACTTCGTAGAAGTGTCCGTCTACACTTGGTAGCACTTGTAGTCCTTCCCACGACCCGTTTCTCTGAGCGTGCGTGTGGTTGAGATGGTCCTTAATATGGACTGAAGTGACTTCCCTCACCTCTCCCAACACCATAGGAAGTTGGCAGAGCATATGGCGCAGGGACTTGGTGAACAAGCCCTGCTCAACCTCTCTGCATTGTCCTCCTGAGTAACATGTTGCCCAATTGGAGCAATTTGAGACGTTTGTGCTCGGACAGCGTACAAACGCGTCCGAGGTAAACAGCCAAGCCACCGCTAAGTCCATCAATAAGACTCAGGATGAGCTTAGGCTTGAGCAGGCACGTAATGAGGCGCTCAACACAATTGTTGAGACGCTCTCTGCCCGGACTACTCAACCGAGGCCCATTCGGATGGACCCTCCGAAGTTCGATGGAACTACTCCTCACACGATTGTTCACTGGCTATTAGCAGTTAAGCAATGTGGAGTGGCGCAGCTCATCGAAGACGACACCAGAATGGTGTCTTATGCTATGTCCAACTTGCGTGGCAAAGCGTCAGAGTGGACATACTCTGCGCTGATGGCAAATGCTGATGCATTTCCATCATGGGCGATCTTCAAAACAAAGATTCGCGCCATGTATCCGCCGTTTAACAACGAAGTGTTTCTTATGGCGCGCTCCTTTGGAGCATGACAAGCGAAACTCTTTCTGCAAGAATTTGCGCAGGGGATGCGTTCGCCGTTGGCGTCCATTAATGGGGAACCGATACCGGAACGTGTCAAGGTGGCCACGTTCCTGAATGGACTTAGGCACGGCCCATCGCGTCAGGCCCTTTTTAGAAAGGTGCCAGCGACGATGGAAAAGGCAATTGACATCGCCTTAGTGTAGGAGCAATCTTACAACAGCGCCTCGGTGATAGCCTATTACAGGCCGTCGACCGAGAAGTCTGATGCCACTCCTATGGAGTTAGGCAATCTTCTACAAGTGCGTAAAGCGAGGCCATATGATGGCTCGCTGCTATTCCAAACTTGCTGCTGGTGATAAGGCAGCCAGCAAGAAGCCTACTAATCCGAGGGGTGGTTCAAAGGACCGTGCACGTCGCACGGTGTTAAATGGTATGAGTCTTGAACGAAGAGAAGCTTGAACGCAGGCGAAAGGAGTTCACTCAGGAAGATCGGAGAGAAGAAACTTGTTGCGAAGAAGGAAGATTTGGAAGTGATTGATTATTGGGGCTTACTTGCCGACTACATGATTTATATGTGGTTCACATATAAATCATGTAGGGCGTCCTATCATCCTACGCGTCTAATCAACTCTAAGTAATTACCGTAAAAACTACGTCGTAAATACTAAGTTGAACAGGCATACGGATTGGATCGATCACGGTTACCCAATATTGGTGGAATCGATGACCGTCAACACGCCCCCTCAATACGAACACGCATGAATGCCTAATGCTGCCGTCAGCTCCTTGTGACGTGGTCCGTGAAGTCCCTTGGTCATGATGTCCGCTAACATCACCGCAGTTTCGCAGTACTCGAGCTTGACTTCACCGCGATTGACCTCATCACGAATGTGGTGATTCTTGATGTCAATATGCTTCGCGCGACCATGGTTAACCGGGTTCTTTTCCATCTTGATACACGACTGGTTGTCTTCTGAGATGACAAGCTCCGGTCCCGACTCGTTCATAGCTGACAAGATCTCGCACAGCAGGCGATGGATCAACTTGCCTTCCTGAATGGCCAGGCTCAGCGCAATGTACTCCGCTACACTTGTTGAAAGTGACACGCTTGACTGCTTCTTGCTTCCCCAACTCACAGGCGCACTCATTAGCATGAAGACGTAACCCGAAGTCGACTTGCGGTCAGAAAGATCGCCTGCCCAGTCCGCATCGGAGTACCCGCGAAAGTCGATCTTGTCTCTTGGCGGAAAATGAAGTCCATGCGACTTGGTGCCTTGCAGATAACGGAAAATACGCTCCACTGCAGTCCAGTGTTCCTGTTGAGAATTCTCAATGAAACGCGACACGTACCCAACAGCATACGCAATGTCTGGTCGCGTCGCAGTCATCAAATGCATTAAAGCACCTACAGCCTCTCGAAATGGGGCATTGCACTTGGTCTCTTCGTTGCTTGGAATTAAGCGCGTACTTAGGTCCACCGGACTCACAGTAGACTTGCATTCGTTCATGCCGAAGCGCTTTAGGATGTCGTTGACATAGCGTCGCTGGCACATCGTCACGCTCTCGTCCTCTCCGTCAATCAATACGATGCCTAGTACAAAGGTGCATTTGCCACTGTCGGTCATTTCGAAGCGCGTTTTGAGATCCGTTTTCGTTTGTGCTATCAACTCAAGTGAACTGCCGGTCATTAACACATCATCGACGTATACCAGCACGAGCACGCAATGACCATCCACAATCTTGATGTAAAGGCACGGATCGAAGGCTGAAACTT